AGTTCACTTAAAAACATATCGAGTCCAATGTAAACTGATTAAGTTTTACTCTTTCAACTGTCATAGAGATACTTAAACTGTGGTAATCTGAGCACTTTTCAATACGAAATATAATAAATAGTCTTTCATCATATAAATGAATAATCACTTATAGCACTATACATCATAAATATAAAGGAAGCATTGTATAATGACAGTAAATAACGATAAATGGGATAATATGGATATTTACAAATAACGGAACCATAATAGTCATTCCCCAGGCACAAGCTGTCAAAGTACTAAGTAATCAATAATCAGCAACCACAATTAGTCAATAAATCAGGTAGTATAAAAGACAAGCTGAAAAAACATCTTTTAGAGGATTATCATTATTTTTGTAATAAAGAAGTACTGAACAGTGTCACTGTATTTGTTTGTTTTCTTTCTATTTTCTATTCTATTTCATTTTACTACCTAAACACCACAATGCCATTTGCGTACTCAAAAAAATATATTTTGAAAAATAATAAAAACCACTATTTTAAAATAGAAACCACTGTCTTAGAATAAATTAAAAGTATTTTCTGCAATACAAAAAAAAAATAAAAAGTTTTCTAATTTTAAGCAGAAAAATTAGAAAAAAAAAAAGCTTGCTTTTCAGTTTTTCAATTTTAAATTAAAAAACGAATCTACCAGGCAGTAATATCCTTTTTAAACTAAAACAGTAAAATCATTATCCGGTAGACACATTTATTTATTTAAACAGAAAAATAAGAAAATTACAACGGAAAAACCAAAGAATTCCTACTTTTTTTTTTACTTTTTATCTTTGCAGAAAATATTTTTTCAGGTACATAAATGGCATACTTGCCATGTCGGCATAAATGTTAGCATTTTATAAAAAAAAAAAATAACTTTTTTTGGAAAACTACTTATGCCCATAGAAGACTTCTGACGTTTGCGAGCTTTGCGATATTTTTTTTTGTAGATTTTTGCAGTCTCTGCTTGACCAAAACGAAATCAATGTGCTGATTATACTCCCTCTATACATGGACTTATTGGGAAGCTCCACTCTCTCAAATGGGTATCAAGCATTTGCACTCTGTCGAAGATGATGAACCCTTAATTTATTTGGGTTTTCCATTGATACAAAGCCGTATTCAAAGAGTCAATTTTATGGGTTCTATGATAACAAAGATTAAGACTGCTATACAAATCCACTCTACACGTTCATTATCTGTGGTGGGCCGAGCCACTGTCTTGAATTCACTGATATTGTCTAAAATATGGTATATCTTGCGGGTTACTCCGTTGACACTTGCTGATCTCAAACAATTGAAATCTTTGGCCATTCGATTCTTGCGTAAGAATATATTTCCTGTTATTCCTTGGAAAGTATGGACGTTGCCAAAAGAAAAAGGTGGACTTGGAGTAATTGATATTCAGGTTCAGGCCTCGGCTTTATTTTTTCGCTGGCTGCATCCTTTGTTGGCGTATAATCAAGATACTATTGATGCTCATCCGGTCACGTACTTACTTAGCCTTCATATTCGAAATATCAATGACTGCAAATATCATCAGATTCCATTGTTGTTTCCTTCTTCTCGTACACAAGGGCTGAAAAAACAAAGAATTGGCACTATTAATATGCTATATCGTGCCATTGATTGTCTTCCTCGACCATTTGCGAATGCTAGCCTTAATACTGTTACCGCTATGGTCCTACCTTTGCAAGCTGTGCTTTACGTTCCCCCTTCTTCGTCCTTCGTTGTCCCCCTACGTGTCAAGAAAATGATAGTGTCAGATGTCTTTCAAGTTGATGCTAGACTCAACTTTGTTCACTGGAAAGATACTCGTGATCCTTCACTACTTTATTGGAAGCGGACTCCCTCCACAGTCTTCAAAGGTCTTGCATCTGGGAGTTTGAAACTTCAGCCATTTTTTAGCTCTGTATGTAGTCCTGCTCCACTTGAAGACTCGACGGTCTCATTTGCGCCTTTGATCAACCAGTTTCGGTTTCAAGATGATCAAGGTATTTGTAGTATCAAGGCATCGGCTAAGACATTTCGTCAGTCAGTTCTCTCGGCTATGGCTCCTCCTTTGGCCTTGAGAAATATTACAGAAGTGAAATGGAAATTCTTTTGGTCTCTGTCTCTTACCACCATTCAACGTAATGTGACATACCGGTATATCTTGGGGTGTATTCCTCATCGTCGATTCTTACATTTTATTATGCCTCACGTGTTTGACTCTCCCTTCTGTCCGGTGTGCTTAACTACCACTGACTCTATTAACCATATGCTCTTTCATTGTCCAACTAAAGAGAAGGTATGGCAGGAAATCATCTTTGAGTTTCTTTGGCCTACCACTTCAATATCTGATATCCAAGAGGCTCTTCTGTCCCTGGACTTCTCGTACATCTGGTACTGCCAACGGAAAGGAATCAAACCATACAGAATCCTCATAATTACTCTTTCACAAATCTGGCTTGCTCATATGAGATTTATCTTTGACAAGACCCCCATTGTACCTACGGCCATATTAGCAAGCATCCGATTCAATGTTCGTCAGACTATTGAAGAGGATCAATGCCATTCAATACTGTAACTTTTTTCTATATAATTTATTTTAGTTTAGTTTATTTTATCTAGTGTGTTTCGCTTTATTTTATTAACTTTCATTTTAATTGCACCCGTCTCTACACTTTGACTATTACTCTTAGTGTACGCGGCTCAATCAATAAACACATTTAAAAAAAAAAAAAAAATACTCCCTCACTAAACTATAGATGAAACTCTGTTGTGAACATATATGAATTCATATGCATAGATTAATAAATGATGATCATGGCAAAAGACCAGATCACATCTATGGCAATTGCAATGGATCTATAGTCACTGACATTCACTCATTCTACTAAAAGTACTACATCATCCTCATAGTCAGAGATTATGAACCCAGTGACTCTGTTATTATTGATGGCCCTCATAAAGTGACAGTTAGAGCTGACAAATACATTAGTATTGGCATTTGACAAATATGTAATAGTTTATTCAAGTTCAGGTCAGATCATGTACTGTTGGCTGAGCTGACAACTTCCTCTAAAGGCATTTCTCTTCATTGCTCCTGATCTAACAAATCAATCCGTAGTCAAGAAGCTAACCCAAAGCAATAGTTTGGCCGAGAAGAAAAAGTATAAATACCTTGACATTTTATAGCAATTGAAAGATAACATTTCTTGGAGAAATAAAAAGCCTATACAAGTTCTAACGGACTTTCTCTGTGTTCTTACCTTTTCTCTTATTGAATATCTACTCTCTCTTCATCTCACAACATTGAGTTTATTTGTATTGCTTTTCTCTTCCTGTAATTTGGTGGTTTGGCTCTGGACTGGAGGTAGTGGCGCATTCAAACATACAGGGTCTTGACCATAGAGTCGTAGCAACTTGTTTCGTTTTCTATTCAGTTCTTTCAACTTCTTTTCTCTCCACTGGTTATGGTGATGGCAGAAGTCGGCTTTTACTTTTCTAACAATGTTTTTGATCGAATCCCACTTGTCTTGTGCTGGTATTGCCGGTCTAACTTGTGTTGTATATATTTGTCAAGTTCGCTTTTCACTTTGTTAGTGTATCTTTCATTTTAAGCAAGATAAGGGTTGCCTCTCCATATGCCTTTCCTATTGTTCTGTAGCTCAATAGTCAGAATTTTCTTTAGTGTTGCATGATCTGTGTATTTGTCACTCAAGAATTCCACCTTACCATCTGACATTTGTTTGAAAGTGTTGAGTCCGGCAAATATGTAATTTATGGTTGATGAAGATACCTTGTCGCTTCGCTTTTGGATTCAAGTATAGTCATATTGCTCGCCTTGTTGATTTATGCAGTCTTTCGTATGACCCTTTATGAATTCGATCAGTTGTTGAGGCTTAGTTTTTGTTCGTGTAGAGTGTTTGCTTGCGCTATCAAAACTAAAATTAAAATCACCAGCCATGATTAGGTCAGGAATCATATCTGGTGTCTTGAGTAATAGCTCGACTGTTGCTCTAAAAAGATTGTTTCTCTCGGTCACCTGTTCAGTTTTTAGACCTGATTATGCATATAGGTTCATGATGTATAAAGGCGGAATAGAGTTGTCAACAGTTGTTAGCTTAGCTAGGATCATTCTTCCATCTTTAGATACTTTGATTTCTTCTAAATCTAAAGCATTATTGAAGTTGATTATTGAGCGATGTTTTGTCCAAATTGCTTGGTGATAGTTGAACTTGAATTTCATGTTGTTTATGGTTTCTTCAGAGGTGAGGGTTGGTATATTGGTTTCTTGACATAGTAGCACATTCCATTTCTTGGTCTTCAGTAAAACAATAAAATTGTCTGTGGTTTGTTGGTTATTGTTCATATGTAAGTTTCTGCAGTTTGCAGAGCCTATTTTAATGTGTAAGTGTTTGTATGTATTCATTTTGTTTTTTCTAACCCCCCAATTATTAGTTCAGTTCATTCATTTGCTCCCCACCATTGTCAGGAGAAGGAGAAGACGTTTGAGTGACAATTTCATTTTCAACGTTTTTACTGAGTCAAAGATTTACTTGTTTCAGGAGAGAGAGCGTCTTCCAAGTTACGCTTAATTGTCCTGTCTAGTTTACTTTTCTCTTTACTGGTCGAGCTGAATGAGTGTCTGCGGGTGATAATATCATCTAGCTTTTTGGTTTGGTGACTTCTGGAGCTCCTTGGTGTAGAAACTGACTTGGTGAGAACAGCTTCCTTCATAGGCTGACTTGGTTCGCTGGCACATCTACTCATCATTACGCTTCTGTTCTTCAAATCTACTACTTCTTCCATAACAGTCGCTTCACTTTCTACTGCCTGCGGCTTTGGATCATTCTTGAGTAGTTCGAGCAAATTGATTTCTCGTCTAATTCCTGCAGCATTGTTACTTTTAGAGCCAGCTGTCATATCTGACTCCTCTTCAGGTCCAGATTTTCCACTTTTGGACATTCTTCCTGTTTTGTTTATTTTGGGGTCACAATTCCAAGGTGCCGTAGGGCATCTGGCTTGCAAGTGGTTAGGATTCTTGCAGTGGATGCATGGTTCTCTGACTCTTTTGGGCCAGTCAAATTTGATGTGTTCGCCCGTATGACAGTCAGTGCAGATAGGCTTCATTTGAGACCAAACGATGTTTAGTAATACTCCTGGAAAACCTACAAGTTCCACTTGAGGAGTGAGCTCAGCTGCATACGTTGCTTCTTTTAGTTTATCCCCATTAAGTGTAGCAAAACCGCGACCAGTGAACCAATCGGAGTCAGCGCACTTGGAAATAACAATGTTTAAAATATCGCCAAAGCGTTTAAGGGTATTGATCAATGCTGGTTTCAATACTTTTTCTTTCATGAGAGTAATTCCAGAAATATCAACGTTGATTACCATTGCAAAATGGTTAAGGGTCTTGTTCAGTTCAGCTTTTGACATGAGAATACTAATTTAAATCCACTTTTGCCAAGGTTTGAAACATGTCAACACTTTTTTTTTTTTTTTTTTTTTTTTTTTTTTTTTTACTATTTCGCTCTACATACATAGTAAATTCATTCTCGAAATAAAGCTAAACAGAGAGATATCTGAATAGGTTGTGTAAATTATGACGTCTGACTTCCTTCTCTTGGTTATTATAAGCTTGTTGATCTTTTTGATAGCATTTATCAACTTAATTTTTTTTTGTGAGATAGTTCTTGTTAAAGCAATTTATTCTATATATTTACAGAGCATCATATTTCAAGTCATATATGTTGACACTAGTTTGGCAATAGATAGCCTAGTTGTAGTTTACAAAATGTTACTTCAACCACAAGTTAAATAGCTCAAATAACAAAACGAATTTTTGCCTTGCTAAAAAAAGTATGTTGAGATTTTATTACTATTTTGATCAAAGATCCAGTTTAGACTTTTGCAAATGGATTGCGGTTAAGTTTCAACTTAAGGATAAGGAGAACGAATGCACCAACTAAATAAGCGACACCAGCAAACATCTTGTAGCTAAAGAATGGACTAGCATCAACACCTGATTCAACGGCACTAGCAATGTTAGAGCCAAAAACAGGAATTACATTAGATAAAAGAAGAAGAGATAAGCCAGAAGGAAAGAGCTCAGGACCAAGAATATAAGCTGTAAGAGGAGAAATCAAAGCAAAGAAAGAACCGCTTGTAAGACCAAACACTACAGAAAATGCCATAAGGCTACCGTATGAACTAGAGAATGTCCAAATAAGCAAGCAACTCAAAGAAGAGATAAAGGTAAAAAGCAAATTTGTGTTGACTTTACCAAAGCGATCAGCAAGGAAACCACAGATGATACGGCCAATAAAGTTACCAGCAGCACTAACTGCGACAAGAGCAGAGCCTTCTGTGTCTGAAAGACCAATGTAAGTAGCATAAGAGGGTAAGAAGAAATATGGAATAAAGTAACCAAATAAACCGATATTAGATGCAATAGTAAACAAGACGAAATTAGCATTCTTGAATACGGAGAAGTCAATGATTTGAGAAAGCCTTTTTCTAGCTTTGGTAGAAGGAATACGCTGTCTTACAGTAATGCAGGCAAGAATGTCACAAAATAAGCAAACAAAACCAAGAATACGGTATGTCCAGCCAGGACCAAGTCTTTGATTCACAGGAGTCATGACGAAGGGAATGATTAGACCGCCAATACCAGAGCCACTAGCAACTAATCCAAGAGCTAGTCCTCTACGTTTTGTAAACCACTGAGGGGCAACACCCATAATAGCCACATAGATACAAGAAGCACCGATACCAAAAACAACCCCTTGAGTGAGATACAGGTGCCAAATTTGTGTAGCGAATCCAGCCATTTCTAGACCAATACCAATAAAAAGGGTGCCAGTAATCAAGACAGCACGAATGCCAAAGACAGAAACGCATATTTGAACGATAGGACTAGCAGAGTTCATGCAAACCATAGCAATAGTGCCAACAAAGCTAAGGTTTAAGGCAGCATTAGGAGTATTATTGAATAAATGTTGTTCATAGTAGTCTTGCATAACACCTATCCATATAGTAGTTAGTGATCCAAATCATCTTGCTTTATCTTGGCTTGACATAAGCGCTTTCTTACCCCTATATCCAAAAAAAGAGAGCTGTTAGAATAAATCAAATGAATATAGATACATACCAACTAGTAATTGTGCCAAAACTGGTTACTTGGACAAAGAATGCACCCAATATGACAAACCAACCATAGCCGCCATCATGTTCTTCTTCATGATCTAAAGGCGGCAAGCCAATTTCTTTTTTAGAAACCTCTTGATGATCATTTACTACTAATAGATAGAATATTTCAGTTATTTTGATTTTTCTTAACCAAATCTTACCTTCAGTAATATCAGATCGAGACTCATTTTCAATGATTTTTAGGTCAGCGAGAGCCTTTTCATTAGAGCGATCTAAAGTAATAGCACGTTCGTTTGTCATATTCTTTAACACAAAAAGATGGACTTTTGATGTATAGTCCTTAAAATATTAAAAAAGGAAAAATAACCTACGGGGTATTCAAAGAGCTTTTGGATTCTTGTCTTTGGTACTTGGATGATCAATGCCCAGAAAAGCTAATTTGATCTCTCTTGAGAAAAAAAGACAGAAGGAGCTCAGGGAATAAAAGAAAAATTTCTTTTTTATAGTTTAGTTGTACTCCAGCAAACCAATGAAAGCATTTAAGATTTCGGGACGGACCGCAGCGAGTACTAGTGTCACATTGATAATTCGTTTTTATACTATAGTGTCAAATGTCAATTGTTTAGCCTTTCTTTTGTACGGTAGAAGTATTTGGCTTAAAGACTACTGCTCCTGCTGGGCGCTTTCATTTTACATTAGGACTAAAAAAAAAAAAAAAAAACTCGAAGAACCAAACAAATGGTTGTACGATTAAATGTTTTTATTTAAAAGACGCACCTGTAGTAGTTCTCTACATATAGTTGATGACCATTAAGTATACAACTCTCGAAAGATAAATTGTCCTAATCAGTTTAATGTAAGAGTAAAAGGAATTAAAGACAAAAAGATAGTAAGGAAAAGAGGAACGAGTGAGATAAAGAATAGAACATACGGCTGGCTAGCGTGTAGATTTATGAAACAATATTTTCTGGGAGAGCTTGTTCAGTAAAAAGGGTAGGAATCATCAATTGCTAAAAGCGTCTGAAGCCTGCTCTGAACTTGCAGACAATCAATAGCATTAGTTTTGCTAAAAACTCGATGAGGATGTAAAGGGCAAGGAAAGGGGCAGCTATATGGCAACCATCCAAGATGCCATCAGCTAAGACGATTGTATCATTGGCTCGTCATTAGCAGTGACAATGATATTGAACACATTATTTCGGAAGATTATAGGACATTACTACACTGAAAAAAGAAAATCCAATATCACCTAACCCAAGTACACTCTCTTGATATAATATATATATACATGTTGTCATTCATTTCTTATTCTTAGCTAAAAAAATAACTCCATAAGCAATCGCTTGAGAGATGATCATACAACTAGAAGGAATCAGATAGAAATATCTCAAAATTTCTGAATATAGTGTATTCAAAGATTGGATAATAATATAAATACTCACTAAGTATATTTAATATAATTATAGCTTTGGTTAAATATAGGCATAAGGACAAAGACCTCAAAATGCAAAATGTCGACTATATACTAACTTCAAATGAGGAGCTAATCAAAAAGCACTTATACCACTTTTGCAAAACGAAACTAATAAATGAGAAACATGTGTTTTACTCACATGAATGCTGAAGACCTTACTATTGCTATCAATCACACGTAATACTCTCCAGTTCTCAGTAACCCAAGGATCTCACAACAATTTTATTCATACCCACAAAATGCAGAAATTTTGTGTGTACGGTATATTTAAGTGGGGGTAATGACCTAAAATAGAAAGCCGTGTGCGCCTAGTATTACCCTTTAAATACACATATTAAATGTCTTGCTTCTTCAGAGTAAAATACATACTTGTGTTTAAAATAAACTTTACTTTCGCTGTTTATTTAATGCTATTACTATTTTACAGTGTATATTAAAGAATATATATATGTGTGAATGCGTGTGTATAAATGAGGTCAAAACTCTAATAATCGTCCCCATAGTCGTCTCCATAGTCTTCAGCTGCATCATCATCAAAAGCGTAGTTTGCTCTTGCATCACGCAAGAAACGCTCATCATCTGCCATATCATCAGAATCCATTTCGTCTTCATCTTCATCCGCATCTTCATCCGCAGCAGGTGCACTACCATTTGCTGTGTCTTTCTCTGTCTTTTTGCCTGTAGTATTAACATCACCCGATTCTTCAACTACTTCATAGTCAACTGGGCCTGTTGGTATAGATTTGCCTGTCATCTTTTCAATGGCGTCTCTTGCTTTGAGTTTGGCTATTGATTCAGGTGATTCGAACATATCATCAAACACTGCTTGATTGATTTTTTTCGAGAGCTTTTTGTTGATCAATAGTTGTTTAGCAGCTTCAGCAGGTGTTGAAGCAGGCTGCATCTTTTTCTTTTTGTGTCTGTTTTTACGACTGGTTGGTATACCCTTTTCCTTATCAATCATACGTTTCACTGCCATTTCTTCAAGATATTCCTTATTGGCATTATACCAAATCTTTGTCTTGAGAGCAACTTCTTCTTGAGTTAAAATCATAGCCTCAATTTCTTCACAATCTACATCAGACAGACTTGCTTCTTCTTCAGCTTCTTCTTCTTCTGCATTTTTGTCTTTTTCTAAACAAAGGGTCAAATGTCTATTGACCAAAGTTTAATATTTACCTAATTGTTCTGCTGCCTTTAATACTGAGCCGTTCTCAAGCCAGTTTTCCATTTCGTCTACAATATCTTGTGCATCTTTCTCTAATTCAGGATTTAACAAACTTTGTTCTTCGTGTGCCACTTTGGCTTTTGCAATGGCTGACAATTTGATCTTTTCTTCTGTAGATAAGGCATCATAATCAGCATTTTTGTAGGGTATATAGCTTTCGTCATTCACCAAAGTAGCTTGTGTGTCTTCTTGTTCTTCCTCTTCTACTACTTGTGTTGCATCTGGATCTTCATCTGCCTTTTCCTTTCCTTTGATAGAAGCTTCTGCTGTAAGATTTACGTCTACATCGACAAGACTCTTTACTTGATCATTCAAACTATCTGCAATCTGTTGCTGAACCAATCGTTGTTCTACTTCCTCTTCAGTAAATTCTGGCTCGACTCTTCTTCGCTTTCGTGTCTCTGTATCGGACTCATTCTCCTTCCCTGCTTCTATTTCTGCTTTTCTACTCTTTTGAAAAGATGGAGGATCTGCACGACTTTCTAACCAAATTGTTCTGAAATCACGAACTGACAACTGTGCTGATTCAGTCTGATTGAATTCTTGAAGACGCTTCTGAATAGTTACATCAGCCACTTTGACAACGTAAATCATTTCGCGAGTTGTTCTTCTGAACCCATTCATACGCGCTGCAATCAACAAACAAGCACCACAAATACCAGCAGGTCGACGACCGCTTGTGATCCAATCACGATCCATACGTTGTGCAATACGAACAGCATCCTGAGCTACTCTTTGTGTATAATCACCAAAATCCAAAGCAACAGCAAAACGGGAAATGTACAAAGAAGGGTCTACATGGGGTAAACTTAAATTCAAGACTCGACAAAATTTGAGAAATGTAGCACCCAGCGTAAAAACATTAACTTGTAGAATATCGGAAAAATCGATCAACATGTGAGAGCTTTTTTCTGTTCTGCAGACAGCATATAGACAGACAGCAGCAACATGCTCACTACGACGACCACGGGTGAAGCGATTGACGACAGCTAAATTATAATAGCGCTGTGCTGCTTCTCTGTAACGTTCAGGTAATCGAGTAGCATGTGCTAAGCTGGATATTTTAAGACGGCCGTTTTCAATCGATTGTTCTTGTCCTTCTCTACCTCTGCCTCGTCCAAACATACCACCACCAGAAATACGACCTATCAGTAAAGTGTAAATGCCTTGAGATAGAATTGATGTTTATTTACCTGATTCTCCTGCAAATGAACCCTGAAGAATGGCTTTACCGCCAGAGGTTTCTCCAAATGTTACTTCAGCGACAATGGTATTTTCTTCCAAAACCTATAAAAGCAAGTCAGATATCCATTAACATAAACAAAAAAGTAGTTTTACTTACTGTACCACAGTTCACACAGTAACTGGTACCAGAAGGCCCATCGGATTCGATTTTACTTTCACCACAAGTATAACAACGCATATATGGAAAAGAAAGAAAGGGGGGGTTTTTTTTTGAAAGAGAGAGAGTGAGAGAAAAAGGAAAAAAAAATATAAACTCAAACCACAATCACTGTCACGAAAAAACAGTCCTATTCATGTGAGATAGTAACTTTATGCGAGAAAGGAAGGGGGTTTTGTTTGCATTTTGATGTTTAAACGATTGTTTTCTACAGCTGCTGAGAGAGGGAAAAAATGGGCAGGCATTGCTGCTATGAATGATATTATTCAGGCAAATCCCTCTATTATTGGGGTTGGTTCAGGTTCAACAATTGTTTATGCTATAGAAAGACTAGCAGGATCACCTTTGGGACGCACTGCTGTTTGTATTCCTACTAGTTTCCAAACACGGGAGTTGATATTGAGACACAAACTCAACCTGGGATCCATTGAGCAGTAAGGATCATACATATGTTTTCTCTCTTCATTCATTCATTCAATATCATATGTTTAGATATCCTTACATTGATATCACAGTGGATGGAGCAGATGAAGTAGATCCAAACTTAAATGCAATCAAAGGTGGTGGCGCTTGTTTATTTCAAGAAAGATTGATAGCACAAGCTTCCCATAGATTTGTGTTGGTTGCTGGTAAGTAGACATAAAACATCCACACAATTTATACGCTCGTAGATGCACGAAAAAAGTCTTCACAGCTTGGGACACAAGTAATGCTATTCATGATTTGCCAACTACTCATTCTTTTATATAGTGGAAACGAGGTGTGCCTGTCGAAGTTGTTCCAATAGCGCTTTCTTCTATCCATTACCAGCTCGAACGCTTATTTCCTACAGCAAAAATTCAACTTCGTATGGCATCACCTACCGACAAAGCGGGACCTGTAGTAACAGACAACGGCAATCTCCTGTTGGATTGCGATTTTGGACCTATTCAAGATCCTGATTTGCTCTATAAGGAAATCAAATGCTTGACAGGTGTGTTTGATGTCGGACTCTTTTGCCATATGGCAGACACAGTGTACTATGGTAGTTTAGATCAAGAAGACGGAGAAATTATAAGCGTATAAACCTTTTTATTTCGCAAAATAAGATAGTATGTTCTTAATAAACATAATCACTTGGTCTACACAGACTTCTTCTTTAAAAAAATAAGTCAAGACATGCATCAATGCAGGCTTGATCTGACTATCATCTTGGCTAATCAGTCTCAATTGTTCATCGAAAGACAACCGTAAAAAGGATTCAACCAAGTCACCATGAATAGTTGATTTCTCACCTCCCGATAACTGACAATACCAATGTTTGAAGTCTTCAACTGAGCCTAATAATGGTCTAGTAGGTTCAAAATCAAGCAGCAAATCTTGAAGTACACAAAATAGATTGTAAAGTGGAGAACTGATACGATAGACATGCAACATGCCACCTGATACAGTACAAGCAACAATGGGTTTGGTGGTATTGGATTTTCCCAAGTCAAGCGACCAAGGCAAAATATGAGGTGTTGATTGATTTGTATAAAACAAATCATTGTGTGAGCCTAACAAAGCTAAACTGGGACCAACAAGAACATCCGAATAATGGAATGAAAACAGACATTCCAGTCTTTTTTCATGTATAGAACTAGGATCATCATAAAGCGCAACCATACCGCCTGAATAGCTGACGCCTACAGCAAGTCGACTGTCTATCACAAGTGAATGATGTACACTACGGGATGCTACATCGCTATATTATGTATTAGTCTCTTAAAAACTCAAATAATACAGCTTACCTCTTCAAAAAATGCAACGTGCTGGTATCAGAATCAAATCGATAGAATGAGATAGACTCATCATTGTGACAAGTGACACAAATACGCTCGCCATCACCATGAATAGAAGTAATCGTAGAATGAAGCAACTTGTGTGCAACTTCTATCAGTTTTCCAGTAGAAGTATCTAATCTGTATAAATACAAATGGGCACCTGCAGAAAACAATAGACTGTATACATGTGTCAGCTTTAACATGTCTTATTGTAGTATACTTTACCCTGCAGAATGAGGACAAACACTATACACGCTACCAGGTAATTTCTCTTGCGTCCAAACTTGTTTGAGCATAAATGAACCTGAAGATGTACTGCGCTTTGCTTTCAATCGAAATAATATCATGGTGCCTGTCTCCTTTTTCGGGTACCATGTTCTACTTGATTTGGAAAACCGAGATTCTTCTTCAGGATGACCAATCCCAATACAAAGATATTTGTAGAGTTTATTGTTGTTTTTCAATGACCATTCTACAAGACATTTGATGAGCTTGTAAAAAAAAAGATGCATATTCTTTACCTGCTATTGAATAGACAACTTCGCTTTGCCCATAACCTGTATCAGTCCATAGCAATTGACTATTGGACAATGGTTGACCACTGCATATGCATTAGACATAGATTTCATGATATGCTAACATACTTGGAAGGATCAATCAATCGCATGAAATTTTTACGCTTGCCAGAGTCCATAGCTGTCGTGACAGTAATGATGTAATTCAATGTCTTATCATATAAAACTTTTTTTGGCGTCTAACAAAGATACGAGTTATACCAACATTTTTTTTTTTAAATTGGTTTTCTTACTTGGCCAAGATAAATTTTGTTGGTATTGATCTTGCTTTCAAGACTCAATTGAAACAAATAAAGTCTGTCATCTGCAAAAACAGCAAAGGATTCGCCCGTATTCCAAAGCAAAGGCACATCACAATCCAAAGGAGCAATCGTATTCATAAATCGGTCAAATTTAGGCAATAACACTTGCTCCAATTGAATGCGATCCTTAATTGAACATGTCAGTCGCCATAATTGCTCACAGAGAGCATAAACACCACTGTGACCACACAACAGTTTGACTGCTCTTGATCCAATGTTATGTGAATAAGGTTGTTTGACCACAATAGCTTCGTCTAAAGGATCATGGTTGATTTTGAAGCTAAAGAGATCCCCTTGTCGTAGCCCTGTTATGAAGTACAATGGTTGCCTGAGCACTGAAGATTCAAGTAAGGTTGCTGAATTCACTACAGTAAATTCTTTGGAAGAAAAAGAAGCTTGCAGAAAAGATTAAGCACGCATGAACTACTTAGAATAATAAGCTTACATAAATCAACTTCTTGAATGATTTGTAATAATGATCGTTCATCTACTGAAAAGAACAAAAGTGATGGGCTAAATGTACCTACGACCAAGACTGAGCGAGGTTTGTTGTTTGATCTACAAAAAACATCATGAATGAACAGTAGCCATAATCATTCACTTACTTGATATCAAAATAACCAATGTAACTAGGACATGTTCGAAGTAATTTACTGCCTATCTGATCTACGACAAAAGTGCAAGCACTTAAAAGAGGTTTTTAAGATCAATATGCTAGCGTGTCACCTATTGTTCTCACCCGTCTAAATCAGTGTCATTTGCAATATTTACAATTTGAATTTTGAATATGTCTTTAGATGCAATGCACAAAGCAACACTCGTGCCATCATGAACCTGCCATGAAGTTGCAAATTGAATACTAAAGTCTATGTCATCCATTGGGCTCCAATGAAAACATGTTGTGTCTATATAGTCCTTCAGCCAAAGCCTATATGTGTTTGAATTACCTTTCTCTTGAATGCAAAAGACAATTAATCCCTGAGGATACACTTGAAGCACAAACGATTTATGCTCGATAGTAAAAGAAGACACATACAGTGTTTCTGTATCAGGTTTGATATTGGAACTAAAAGTAATGTCTTTGATTTGTCCATCTACGAAAACAGTAAATACAATAAGTATGACATGATAGACTATATACCTTTTGCACTCAACAAGCGAGTATCTAGCATAGACGAAGTAACTAAATACAAAGGCCTTGTTGAATTCTGCATGATACTCCATGATCCCGAAACACCTTTCCATTCTGCTTTATCTGAAGAGCTCAACATAGTTGTTTCAATACCAGAGGTGACGATACTTAAAGCACCATGTTCATCTTGCCCTGAGCATGCAATTAAGGCATCTTGGTGATCTCGGTAATTATCTGCTACCTGAACATCAGTCAATGGAGCACGGTTAATGAGTGTTTGAATGGTTATATGTCGTATTATGGAATCAGATTGTTCATGAGGTATCTAAGCAAATGAGTATTCTTCCTTTCAAACAGGGTGACAACTTACTGCTAAAACTAAACTATCAGCACTTTCACCAGCACATAAAACGATATCTGCTGTTACTTGATCATTCTTCTGTCCCAGCATATCAATAGTTCCAAGCATACACATAGATTGACCAATTGGGCTGGCTGATTCAATAGGATGCCATACAAGTTCTCCTGTTACGTTGATCTCAAGTTTAAATAGACATCCTTCAGCTGAGCCCAGATAGATATAATCCTCCAAGGAATCCAAATGCGGTGTATAGGCAGTAAAAAGGGGACCTATACAGCATAAATAAAAATTTGGAATCGACTCAACTACGCTTACATTCAATACTACCAAACTGTCTTGGAATAATGCTTGTAGGATATAATACATTGCCACACGCAAGGTCATCTGCTGTTAATAAACATACTTGTTGTTCCTATAATCATGTTAGATATATTGCGGATTCACTATACAGTATTACAGTAACAAGCATAAAGGATTCAGGTTGAAATTTTAATGGTATCAATAATAAAGGCAAAGGGGTATCTAAACATTAGGCATCACCTTGACTCTCTGTACTTACTTTTTTCCAGAGGCAATCTACTGACTTTGTCTATTATAACATGCTGTGGATCAGAAGCATCAATAGCATAGATCACTAGTCGACATAGGCGTTCTACATCACTATGTCACATTAAGTATTCGCTCAAACCCCCTTTTTTTTTACTTACTTGTAAATGACAAGAACAAGCAAGATACGATCCATGGTATCTGTTTCTGTATGCAAGAATTCCATATGCCAAATAATGCCTTCTTCTATCTCAGAACCCCGCTATGCAACAAAATAAGCATACCCATTAGTCAAATCAAGACTTACACCAATAATTGGATCAAAATAAATTCTAGACATGGATTTACTCATAATGAAGATATCAAATGTGTCCTGAAAAGAAGCTACGGCAATGGCTCTTCCACTGAATGATATCAGCAAACTTATGATTACTATGCATCAAGTTTCAAATCTTACTGTGGATCAATGGCTAGCTTCTTTCCTAGTTTAGTGTATTCTAAGCCTGGACTTGCAAGGCGAACCTATTCTTTATCAATGGACCATTCTCGTATTGACATTTTTTTTTTTTTTTACCTCGGATACTGTCTCGAATCGTTTGATATTTTGATCTAAATCCGCTATAATTGTCATGAAAACCAGTTTTCCATATTCAGATAATGCAACAATAATATCCTGTCCTTCAATAGTCGAATGTTGTCTGACCCTTTTAGCGTAAGTAACATCCTCATAGTCCATATTGAGTAATTGAGGCAATGGTTGATCATCAAAGTGACATGGCATTAATTGCGCGTCATTGATTATGCCAAATGTAGACTGTTCCAACTGCTCTGAAAGTAAAACAGGGTTATTCTCGGAGACAGAGCCTATACTCAGCCATGCTAAAGCATTTCCCTAAACATGATTAACTATTGCATTGATCATGCATGTGTTTATACCTGGACAAGAACAACATCAGAAGGATCTGAGCTGGCGATCGATCCTCGAAGAATACGTTGGATAATTGTACTGTAACTAGAGGATCTATAGTAAGCAAACATGCTTTCAAGAGAAACAGAAAGAAAAAATCTGTAACAGCGGCAGGTTTGAAGGTTTAAACTCCCCTTGTCAACCATGCATTTTTATTCTATTTTCTTTTATGAAACGAAGGACGAGGCTTTACTTGTTTATCAATCCAGTTAATAGCACTAAGACAGTACTTGTCTGGTTTTAAGCGGGGATATTGCTGCAGTGCTAATTGATAATATACTTGTCCAAGTTTGTATTGTTTGACTCTGCCTGAGAATCGTAAAATAGCATCTAATACTTTGACAGAAAGTGGGAATCCAAACCCAGTTTTTCGATCGACATGGTATTTCCGCATTATTTGATCTGCTTCTGGTGGACATAAAGAATAAAGACGGTCAAGGGTAGTCAATACTACAATGATATCATCTTGTCTATGTGCTGATTGAGCAGTAGCATTAAGAAGAGCAACGACCAATGAATCATCGATTGCCAAGTCAGCATCTCGAGCACTAGTAGCGACTGTGGGCTCTGAAGAAACTGCAATTTTTTGAGCTTTTTGTGCTAATAGAGAAGTAGGTTGTCGACTTTTCTTTTCTAAACGAAACATTACATCTCTCCAAATGTAATTGATAGAATCTATACCGTGTGGCAGTTGAGGACATGCTTGTAGTGCAATTGTATATGTTACAGCATCAGGAATGGTCATGGTATCCACAGAAATACGCTTTAGTGTCTCTATGGTTTTCTTGGCTAGTTGATTATTATTATAGACACGCATAAGGTTATTGATATGAATGGTTGAGGGTTGTAAATTAAAGTCTTTCATTTTTTGTATCCAGGATTCTGCTTGTTCAACGGCTTGTGGTGAATTGCTTTTGGCATAAGCTGTAAGCATATGTGTAAATGTACGTTCATTGGGCTCGAATCCTCTTTTCCGCATCTAGACATACATGAGCCTTTGGCAGAATGCCATCGAGACTTACTTGGACATAATAATTTTCAGCATAATTGGCTCTACCATGTCTGGCGCAATAACCGAGTAATTGGTTCCATACCACTGTGGATTGTAAATAGATAGGAAGTGCTTTCACATAATCTGCTGCGTCATCTACAGTGCCCATACTCAATATACGAGTCACTTTCTCGGAGGCATAAAAGGGGTCATCAGGCTTAACATAGGTATATCGATTGGCTTTTGCTAAAGGAGAATCTACTTCAATATAACGACGACCTGGTGTTGATATTTGAGGTTGCTTTTTAGTGTCATGATCGGTTTTTCTCCACTGAGATGGATTTTTAGAAGCAAATGTTCTCAACTGAAGTTGACGTCCATATCTGAGTGCATTATTGTTGAATCGAGTCAAATAGTGTCGCAACATGGTTCAAAATAAATAAAAAAAAAAAAGAATTTTATTTTTCTTTTATGCAAGGTAATGTGACTACAGTAAATTCGAAATAGGTGACTATCTTTTGACAGGTACTGTGCCTACCACAAACTCAACCAATCTGTCCATGACAGCTTGACGTGCAGTTGCATCCTGAATCATGATATCAGGAAACATAGACCAAAGATGCACACCTGTAGGTTCTTGTACCATCATAACTTGTACACCCGAACTGCGAGCTCTTGAGGCCAATATACCTCCCTCATCCAACAAGACTTCCTTACCACCCAACAAGACAAGTAACCGACGAGGAAGAAACGAAGCCAAGTCAATGTCATGACGAAGGTATCTAAAGGGAGGCACATCATCTTCATATTCAGAGTCTTCTGGACCCATATAACACTGTTCCATACGCTCAATTGCCTTTTCTGTCAGAATATCATCACCGAGATTAGCACGCCATGACTCACCACCTGCTTCTAAACCAGTGTAAGGAGAAGCACAAATCAGCCCAGCTGGACGTTGTTCACTAGGAATCTTATGAAGTAGTGTGTCGAGTGCAATAGCAACGCCTGCGTCGTCGGCACCAAGTATGATTTTTCTGGGTTCAATGTTCATGTTCTTAATCAGCCAATGGTATGTTTTAGCGATGTCTTTGATAGGAGCAGGAAACAAATGCTCAGGGCCGTGCTCTAAACCATACATTAGAGGAATATATCAACCTAATTTATGTCACTTACGATAATCTGCTACAAAGATCATGCTTTTGATACCCTTGTCTGCTTCTAATGCTCGAATCCAACTGGCAAAAGTAGGCGTATATAACTTGCCTAAATCAAATCGAAACCCGCCACCTTATAGGCAATATGTCAGCCACAAATAATAATAATAATAACAATAAAAGAAACAAAGCCCATACCCGGTATCCATAATAAAACAACATCTGCTTCCGAAATTCTATCTGACATGGCTTCTCTTTTGGCGCCTTTCAAGTCTTCTGCTATCCAATAACCATAGCCTTCTGCTTTATGAATCCAACTTGAACGTGCACGGAATAAAAAGAAGGAAAGATAATTAATGATTTGTCGTGGATAATAAGCTTTAGGAAACGTAAAAGCAACTGTCAGTGCCCAAACTAATACCCAACGCTTAAAGCGTGCAAACAAAGACATAAGAAAACAAAAATAAAAAAAGGGAAAAAGAAAAGCTGAAAAAGAAAATGATGGAAACAAGTTTATTTTTAAAATGAATTCTGTGTAACTCTTCATTCTTGTTCTTCATCCATAAGCTGTCTAGTTTCTTCTTCATCTGACTTATCGTTGTTTTCTCGGTATAGAATATAGTGTTGCATCATAAATACTACATCAAATACAATTGACTGTAATCCAAGACCACTAACATAATGTGAGTCCAATCAATAAACGAAATATACTTACAATTTCACTGGATTCTGTCATATAAAGTGTGAGTCAAATACAGAACATGTCATTTCTATACTTACTCCAGAAACACCACTCCAATCACCATTTAAACTTGCATCCAAAAATAACTGCGAGATGGACAAGACTCCACCTGTGAAATCCTATTGAACAGTAATTAGATTTTGTTTTCCATACTCATCATTTACCAGTAAAATGTTATGAATACTCCAGCCAACGGTTGATTTACGCTTGTAGTTAATCCAGACTTGAGGCATGTATTTGATCAGACTGACAGCCATTTTAATAAAACTCAGATAGTACAAAAGATCAATCCACCATGCTTTGTTTATGCTGATCACAAACAAGAAGCCAATGATACCTATACCTGTAACAACAAAAAAATATTTGGCTACAGATGATACTGTTTGATCATTATCTCTCTAATCAGCAGTCAATGATTCTGTTATGCTTCTTGCTTATCTTACTTTATAGTAAAATGTCTGCATTAAAGTAAAAGAAGATACCAGAAATGCATGCATAGCAAACACAACATCATTGAATCGAACAAGACTACCATTCGATTCAGGATTTCTTTGTTTATCTTTAAAGACATTAGAATCTGAATACATTGTTTGTGCTTACATTCGTCTTGTATTTCATGACTGAAAAAGAAGGACATGTTATAGATCCAATAACAGAGAAAACCATAGACATTATAACAGAGGAAATCTATAGAAAGCCCTTGTACACTTGTAACGTTAAGGAAAAAGAACACGTTTGCAACAAACCTTTTTCTTTTCCAGTTGAGAATAGTTTGAGGATAAAAACTAAAAGACCAAGCAACAAAGTAACACTATTGTTCATGTGTTGGATTCTTTTTTCATGAAGGACAAACAACTTACCCATCCAATCAAACTACTAATCGTTGAGCCTATACTCATATGAATAAAGAAAAAGTGTGTATAAATGCAGTATGTATTGCGTGCTCTATCTAAGCCAATCATTTCTTCTTTGATCATGGACACACACTTTAGTTTACTCGAAACCATCTTATTCACACCTGATCAAGGTAAACACATGATTGATCATCATAATGCTCATAGACATAACTAGGCTTTTATTTAATACAAGAACATCTCAACAGACTGCAACATGCTATTGATGACTTTCGACAATTAGATGCCTCTTTGTTTCCTAATGCACCTTCATCTCAATACATTCTTGATCAACTTGAACAAAAAGTATCTTACAATCAAGGCTATCAACGTGTAGGTACTCATCGACTGCTCTCAAAGCAATTGCACTTATAATTGCATTTCCTAGGTTCGATTGTTGATAGACACATCATCAAGTGTTACTGTTGAAAGTACATCCTTACCTACTTGTTCTGTTTTTTATCATTCTCTTGATCAAGCAGCAAAAGCAAACCCTTCTTTTTCAATTATATTAGACATTCAGCCTTTTGATGTGTCTACTGATGATCCCTTCATTTTGCATAAGACAACACATCGTGTCGTGTATGAACAAGCAAGAGCAAGAACTCAATGCTCATATCATCCTGTTGATCAAGAACCCTTTGATGTTGTGTTGTATAACAAACAAAACCAGATTACTGAAACAAGTATTGCTAATTTGGCTATTGGATATCCTAGTACAAATGGCTATGTTTACAAGACACCACCTATTTCATGTGGCTTATTATCTGGTGTTTTTCGTTCATTTTTAATCAAACAAGGCTTACAGGAGCAAGTCATGACAGTAGATGACTTGATACAAGCACAAGAGGTAAATACAATAGGGTTATTTTTATGTATTTCTAAAGCATTCTTTTTATAGGAAGGACTCCCCATCCTTTGCTTTAATTCAGTGAGGAAAGCATATCGAGTGACACTATTGACAGTATGAGAGAAGGTTGTATTTCTTTCTTTCATAATAGTCCTTAAGCACAGTGATTCCACAAGCACTTTTAAATACAGTGACAAATATCACATACGTTGGTTTCTTTAAATCGATCCTAATAAAAGAAATATGAGTCTATGCTATCAGTGCATGTACCGCCTTACTTGTATGTTGAAGGAATAAGGGGTGCAATCGTCTGAATGATTTCTTGTTTATTGATCATGATATTGTTTCGAATTTCAGTAATAATAGCCACTGTCTCGTCTGTTTCTTTTGTAGGAAAATGGTCCTTTTTCACTCTTTCAAAGCAACTGGCAATACGTTCTGTAACAGCAGGACAAATATAGTCTAAAGGAATCCATCTCTATATCAACCATAGTAAGTGACACTCTATGATAGTGATTTACTTACTGCACAATGTCTAAGTTTATTCAGTTCTTGTTCGCGCTCCTTGTCTGGCAATTGCTTCAAGTAATCTAGTCAAGCATTCATATTTTAGCTTATGTATATACATATATATATGTCCTCCTTTACCAAACAACTGAGTGACAAATTCAGTAGGCTTGACATTGATTCTGAAACGATAAAACACAAGACCACCACAAGCAGCATCGATGGCTTGAAACTTTTTGTCTTTACGCTGTTCTACTTTCGTTTCTCCTGACCATTCTTGGTCTTGTTCGTCTTCAAAATCAAGTTGATCAATATCGAGTTTTCCTTCAAATCGCGTCCAAGTCGATTCATGATTAGGAAAGAGAGTTTTAATATAATGCTCAAGACAATTGGACACTTGACCAAGTGCGCGCGTTTCAGCATTGACACTGCATGACACGAGTAATCCATTAGCATCGTCTGAACGTTTTAACAAATGAGAGTGCTTAGTGAGCCATTTGTTTTTGAATCTGCCTCGCAAGATAGGAATGGTTGCTTCTTTCTTCTGCTTCTTGTTTTGAGTATCCGTAAGTTCAATAGGTCGTTTTTTATCGTTTTGATCTGCCATGGTAAAAGAAGAAAAACATTATCTAAATTAAGCCAAATGAATTGCGTGACTTGATATCTCATTTTCAGGTACCATTCCATCATGACGTTAGTGAGCCTATCATTAGACAAAAAGTAATGGTTTTTGACAAGCATCGACTTTATGTATGTATTTTTCTAGTAGAATTCTCAGTTACAAGGTGTTTACACTATGATAGTGTTTTTTTATTCATTAAGAAGGGAGGGTATATCGTTAAAATCCGTTCTTCAGCCAATCAATGGCTTCTTTTTCAGTGATAGTTGGATAACCAAATGCATGAGAAGTAAAAAGTTGTTGCTGTTGCTGTTGCTGCTGCTGTTGCTGTTGCTGTTGCTGTTGCTGTTGCTGTTGCTGTTGTTGTTGTTGAAATAGTTGCTGCTGCTGTTGCTGGTGCTGCTGTAGTTGTTGCTGTTGTTGTTGCTGTATAAAAAAGTGTTGTTGAGGTGGTAGCATATAAGAAGATGGTTGCAAAGGAGCTAAAAAAATAAGCTATTTGTTCTATACGATCAAGAACATACCTGAGACTCGTTGTAATTCTTCCAATAAATGTTTTCTTTCTGTTTCTAAACGACTCTGCTCTTGTTCTTCCAGTCGCTCTTTTTGTAATAACCGGGCTTCTTCTTCTGCTTCTCTTTGTGTCTATATGAGAAAACAATAAGTCGTTTGCAAGTGATCTTGTTTGACTTACAACAAGTTCGTTCTTTAGTTTGTATTTTATTAATCTTTCTTTTAAGCTAGTCAAATGTTGCTTTTGATCTTGTACTAATGGTTGAATGTCTGGCATGGTAAAGAAAAAGAAAGAAAATATTTCCACATGTGTTGTGATTGGAAAAAAAATAAAATTTTTGAAATTAAGCAGAGCAGAGCATGGTGTTTACATTAGGCTATAAAGAAGAGCAGAGAAATAAATTAGTAACATATATTGAGTGGTTTATGTAGAACACTGACACAGATGCGAGGAAGCATTTGAAAACCGCTATCTTGTTAATTGCATAATTGCTTCAAATCATTACATTTATACTACTACACAATATGACTGACCAATACTAAGCTGTAATTGTTGCAAATAGTGGCTACATTAAATATCATTTTTTCTTAATAAATATCCTGGGTTTTCATTCTACACGGTTTACGGTATTATGCTTTGGGGATCTTGTTCAAGGATGGAAAGCATATAATTTTTATTTTTTTTTGATTTCAAAAATTATGATATTTTTTCTGCGTGATTGGCTATAATGCAAATATAAGGTTCAAGTCGTTTTCGGTACAAACTGTCAAATACTTCCGAGCAGGTTCAAATCATAATGCATTTGTTTTCTTTCCGAGTTCACCTATCCTCTATCTCTATCTCTCCCCTTTTCTCTTTTGTTTAAACACAATGCTTTCATCACGGATTTCGTTTTTCCTGCTCTGCTTTTACATACTTCAATGCGTTCAAGCAAGAAAAGGTATGCTACATCAACTTGTTGATTCCATGCATTAAAAACAAAAAAAAAAAAAAAAAAAAAAAGATTGTGATCCAAAAGATCCAGAATGTCGAGAAGATATATACAGTAGTGCTTCCGCTAGCACAAGCACTTTCTCTATAGATGAGGCACTCAAGACTTTAATTGAAGCGGCTTCTTATGAAACCATGTCTAATTTTCATGAAGCAAAAGTAGCTGATTCTCGGCCCAATTCACCTCCAAAGCCTGTACATACAGAGCCCGCTATTCAAGATGACTATAGCGGTGACATGGATTCAGGCTCTGATGGAATTACAGAAGACAATACGGGTTTGAGTCGTGTAGAAACAGCAGTATTAAGCACGTGTGGTGTCTTGGTAGTAGCAGGTATTGCAGTGGGTCTCTTTGTCTGGAAAAACACATCAACAAGGAATAGTGCTAATGGCATGTCTGATCTCGAGCAACAGTACGATAGAGAGAATGGTATTGTCTCTAAAGAGCAAAATTTACCGAGTGTAGAGATGGTTCCATGGAAGAAATCAGTGGAACAAGATCATAGCTCAGTGAAGCCCATTGTAATTGAAGCAATAACAGAACCAGCAGTCGAAACAGACGTGACAGAGGATCATGAACTTGTTTTAACAACGCATCATTTGCGTAATTCGATGTATGGCCCTATGTTTGGTGGTTCACCGGAACTAGAGACAAATATAGGCACAACATCCTCAGCTACAGATCCTGCGCATGATCCAACTGTCTTAACTTACCCATTACAAAAATTCCTCAAGACACCTACAAGTTGTCAATCACCTGTGCAAATCGCCGTCCATTTAGAAAACAATCAAGACGAAGAAGAAGACGAAGACGAACAAAACTCATTTAAAGAAGATATCATGTATAATAACAAAAAAGGCCCATCAAGTCTATCTGTACAAAAGTTAAGCCATCAACTTGCAAGAATGTTCAAATCTTCAGAAGATGCTAAAAAGAACCCTATGCTCCCATTCAAAAAAGAGAAACCACTCAAGATAGAAACTAATCAAGTCTTACAAACATCCTATGCATCTTCTTTTGTAAGTCCATTAGATCTACCTGAAGATCAATATATTCCTATGCAGGATGCTATAGGCTTACCTCTTGTGTCACGAGCAGAAGTACTCGCTGATCCCTTGCGTCGTTTAGGGAAAGATGAAATTGCATTATGGGAAGAAAACTGTAGGAAAAAAGACAATCATGAACAATAAACATAGTTTTTTTTTATCTGAATTCTTGTAAATCAAACAAGACGATACAGCCTTTTTCTGTTCCAAAGCACAGGAACTCCTCTTGAGGAGAAACAGCAGAAGACACAACTGCACTATCAAACCCTCCTAATGTTAGACTTCTTTTGGTTGATTTAAGATCCCACATAATGGCTGTTCTATCGCCTGATGTTGTAATAAGTTTTGAATGAATAGTGGCAGCTGATATAGACCAAATAGTACCACGATGTACATTAGGTGCTTCTACATAAGTTTTCTCTAAACCAGGTAAAGAAAAAATTGAGATACCCGTGTCTGCCTGTCCCGCATAAGCAACAAATGTTGGAATATGGATAGGTCTTCTTGCAACTGTGTATTCATTTATCGTCTGTTCTTCCGCTTCTTCTCCCAAAAACTCATCATACACAGCCATGGCTGACACAGGACCATTGGTGTCCATAATCGATCCAATGACTTCTGGAATATCGTTGACCAAAGACGTCTTTAGATCCCATACAAACACACTTTGATCGCTTGAACTTGAGACAATATAGCCTGCTTTGTTTGTCTGTACTGTTCTTGTTTCTTGCTCTGATTGACAGAATCGAAGTGAAAATCGCGGACAATACACAATGGAATTGATTGTGTTTTCTTGACCGTGTAAGATGCGAAGACAAGTACCGTGTCGTGTGTCCCATAATCGAATGGTGCGATCGATTGACCCACTGATCAATATATGCTCTTCGTAATTGTTGGTATACGCGAGTGCTGTTACGGGTCCTTCATGGCCAACTAATTGGGCTGCGTGTGTCAAATTGATCAGATGATGGATCTGAATTGTCGTATCAGCAGAACCGGATGCAATCATTTGTCCATTGTCAACTAAGCATGATACATGGCTTTTATGTGCCTGTATAAAGCAGTGTTTCTGACTCTGCGTATCCCATACGTGTATTTTACCGTCAATATCGCCAGTAAAGATGCGCGTGACATGAGCTATAAGCATACAGAGTACAGGGCCTGTATGATACCGCATTTCAACACGTTTACAGTCGAGTGTTTTCCATGTTTTTGTCATTGTCATTGAACGTCGAAACAAGCTATAATAAAGGGACTGGTCGGTATAGGAGACCGTGCTATCGTTGTCTATCATTTTGTATTCGACACAAAACCGTCTCCATATTATATCGTGCGTGCAGACTTTGCTCCATAGCCTAGACACTAGCACACATTTATTAGCACAAAACATATTATAACCTATGTTTACCTAGTCTTAACTTGCATAGCTCAAAAGGCGTCGAATAAGAAAGTATTCTGGCGCTTAAGTGGATAGGAAGTCTTCCAATAATATCTAAAGAACCACAGTTTTGTAAATAACGAATAATTTCCATACGCTCTTCGTGTGTTAGAGAAGCAGCAAGGATTTGTTTGATATTATCCATGTGCGTCTCTTGAGGGTATCGCTTGAGGTATTGTGTATTCATCATAAAGAAAGAAAAAAAAAAACAAACGTTTAGACGCGCTGCAAAGCCTTTCTATTTGAACTCAGTTGAAGTCAAAACTTGCATTCATGTAAAATGATGTGCAAACAATGAATGTCTTTCTTTGTTCTCAAAGAAAAAAGTAGAAGCTCAAATGTCGTTAACATACAGTGTCTTCCCAGGGCAAGTGTGTTTGTGGACATAATTGAAACAAGTTATTTTAAAGAACTCAATTTGCCTGTGCCTTTGTAATAAGCAAATAATTGTATTTGTTATCAATTAGTCAAGGAGATAGGATAGTAAATCTCTTAACCTGTCAATTACTCTTAATGAAACGCAGTAAATAGTCGCCTTCTTGACTACCGTATTCTTTTAGAAAATAAGCAAATGAAAGACTAGCTCGTTATTATCTGAGTAAAGACCAGCAAAACTATTTCAAGAAAACCAATAGTATCTAAATATACCTTTTAATTCTTTAAATAAACTTCCACGAACGACATAATCAAAAAAGTCAATAAATCATCCCAAAAAGTGATACAGGACAATCTTCGGTCCTTTAAACACTCCTGTATTAAACACACTGAGTTACATTGTGCTTCATGATTAATACAGTGTTTTATTGACCCCCAAGAAAGTTTCCCCCTTCACTCTCTGTGTTTTACGCTTAATTCTTCTATTATTATCATTCCCTCTCCCCTCTTTTTTTTCCTTCTATCTTTTTTGGGTGAAAATATATATAACTTTCTTGGTTTTTTTATTTTTTTTCTCTTTTTCCTTTTTCTTTTGTTTTCTTGTATATTTTATGTTTTTCTTTTTTTCTTTACTTTAATATATATATTATACCATTTGTAAGCCATCAATTCATAACCCTCCCCCCTCCTTTCATCTAAATTATTATTAGAACGATACCTATTAGAAAAAGAGAATGTGGATTATCTCTCGAGTTGTAAGTTTAAAAATCTTTGGAACTGCAACCTAATTTTTTTGTTCAATCTAGTTTGGTGAGTCACGGTGGACGAGAGCCATTTTTTGTGCAATCACGTTACAGGCACTACTGGCTATTGTATTCGAGGCCATCATTTTTGCCTTTCACTCGAATGAAATCAACATGATTAGCACACTCAATTTGTCACAGTCAGAAATAATGTCTTTGTCTACATCTTATGCCAATGCAAGATCACTTTTGGTTTATTTCATCCTGTTTATTATTGCACAACTTTTTACAGTGATACTTGTGGTGGATGCTGTAAGCCTAAGAAGAAAAAAGATCATATTATTATTTTACTAAAAAAAGTTTATTTTAGATCTATCAACGTAATACAATTCAACTCATTGCGCTGGTCGCTTTCGAAATAGGCATGAGTGCTTATTCTATCATTCAATTTCATCAATCATCCACACTTGTTGATGAAAATTCGAGTACATCTTCATCTGGTATTAAACTTGCCCTCAGTTATCTTGGCAATGCTTACCATTTGTCAATGTGGGCCGAAATCACACAAATGTGTGTGATGGTGATCAGCACAGTTGTATTTGTATTTTTAGCATACAAGCTCTACTTGGAATTTGGTTGGCACATTTATAAAAAGATCGGTGCTGATTTAGCTATGCGAGGTAAATGTAACCTTTTATTATACAATAAACTGATATTTGTGTAGATCGTTATAAAATGTATCAAATCTTTATGATGTTGCTCAAGTTTGATTTTTTCTTTTTTCTTGGCTTCTCAATACAATATCTTGCTTTGTTGATTGTTGCTTGGTGGCCAGATGCTTCTTCTAATGGAACAGAGTCTTCTATTGTGAAAGAACTGATTGAACATATCATCCTTAGTTGTGTCATTTCAATCACTATGCTTTTCTCAGCCTATTGGGGTGTAAGTTTGTCTTGTCTCTGCATATTGTATCTAATTCATATATGTTTAGTTGAGTCGAGAAAAGAAGGTTCACATGTACATTTTTCTAGTCTTGTGTGGTGCAAGTATGGGCTACTATATTTACATGCTTGTCCAAATCGCTCAAGACCCTGCTAGGTTTTTAGGCTCAAGGGCCTTCTTGAGTTTTTTCTGTAAGTTTACTCCTTTTGAAACTCCTTCCTCACATACTAAACTTTATTCATTTAAATCACATTAACTTGCCATTTAAATAGTATGCGTAGACATGGTCTTAATTTTGGTAAGATTAATTACATATATATATATATATATATATAGATTTTAATATCTTTTTTTTCTCTACTATTAGGCTTCTGTACCTATTGGTATTATTTGTCTAAGGAACTTTAATCTTGGCCTTATGAATCACAGTAAGTTTGAGTCGAGTAAGAATTATTTAATTCATACATTTTTCTATTTAGTATCACATGCCACAGCTTCTGCTTCTTCAGCTCATTCAATGGCACCCTTAGGCATAGAGAAAGCAAGTTCAAATAGAAGATGGTCCATTGAATAATTGTTGTCTCCTTACCCATCTTATCAACTGTCTCATTACATCTCTCCTATTTTTTTTCAAAATAATAACAATAATAGTAATAATAATAATGATAGCAGTGATAAGTCCTGTGATGCTCTCTTTGCATTCATTTTCGTGGGAAACTTTGAAGCATAAATCTCAGGCACTTTTTTTCCTTTTTCCTTTTCTTTTTTTTTCTAAGCATGTCTCAACTGGATTATAGCAAAGACCCTAAGCATGATAGCTTAGCATTAATTGTTCGCAAAGATGCTCCATACAATGCTGAACCAGCACCCATTGATTTAGTAAAGAATTACATTACACCAGAAAAATATTTTTTTTGTCGTAACCATGGTCCATTACCTGATATCAAAGAACAAGAGCACACCATTCTTGTTCAGGGTATTGGATGTAAGACACCTACTTTATTCTCCATGAAAGAGTTGAAAGAGAATTATGAGAAACACTCAGTCATGATGGCTATGCAAGTAAAGTATAAAGTTGATAAGAATAGTGATACTTAATTTATCTATTTAGTGTGCAGTACGTATTGTTGGGCTGAAAGTGGGTTGATAACCATTGTTATAGGGAAACAGAAGAGATGGTTTACATAAAGTAAAACATACCAAAGGCGTATGTAATTTCATACAAAACAAAACAAACAATGAATACGTTCTCTATAGGTAATCTGGGGCCCGTGTGCTTTAGGCAATGCGATCTACAGTGGATGCCGTTTACGGGATGTATTGGCTACCGTTGGTGTAACAACAAAAATAAAGAACTTGACACAGCTTCATGTGTCATTTGAATCTGTAGAACAGGTAAGATGAAGTTGTACTACTTTGTGCTTATTTTTTTTTCAAGTGTGAAGAAGACAAGTGTTATGGTTCTTCTGTTCCTTTGTCAAAAGCATTGTAAGTCATTCTTTCAGGAGCTTTTTGTACTTATTTTGTTTTAGGGATGAGTTTGGAGACGTCTTGTTGGCTTATGAGGTATATAGAGACAAGTTTCATAGATACAGGTTTCTTAAGTTGAGAATAACAGATGAACTATCAAACCTTATCGCGTGATCATGGATTTCCTATTCGAGTTGTTGTTCCAGGCTATATTGGTGGTCGCTCTGTAAAATATCTCAAGTCCATTACAATTCAAGACTATGAATCCATGTCGTTTTATCAACGCAGAGACTACAAGATATTACCTGAAAATGCAAGTAAAACATAACTTGTTAGGTGTATAACAACAGTTTAAAATAGATCTCTAATGAAGATCAAGCTAATGAGTATTGGTGCAAAGTACCTTCTATTGGCGAATACAATGTTCAATCCTATGTGTGCAACCCTGCAGATGGTATACATTCAGGTGGTAATCAAAACCAAATAGTGCAAGGCTATGCATTATCAGGTAATTATATATTGAATACGACGACTCTAACTTGTATGTTTATAGGAGGAGGTAGAAGTATTCAGCGAGTTGGTAAGTGTTGCTTGATATATATATATATATATAGAAAAGCGCTAAATAAGGATAGATGTCTCTGGTGATGACGGAAGAACATGGATAACAGCTCAACTTCATCAACCAGCAGCTGAGCATAATAACTGTAGAGTATGGGGTTGGTGTTTGTGGACAGCTACTGTGACCACAAAGAGAAATGTAAGAATTGTCAGTAGAGCAGGTAACGTACAGGATTGTGTCTGTTGGCGAGTATTTATTGGTTTTTTTAAGTGGACTCTTCTGGTAATGTTCAGCAAGAGTATCCTGTTTGGAATTATCGTGGTGTTATGAATAATTCTTGGAGAACAGTAGAGCCAAATACACTTGAGATGTCTAATATCTAAGTAAATAATATATATATATATATATATGTATGAAATGTGTCTAATTAAAATACGCTATTTTTTATTGTGTAAAAAGAATTATATGTTTGATGAGGTGTATATAAATAATAATAATAATAGAGAAAAAATACAATGTATATTAAAAATCTAAACAATGAAAAGGAGTTCCAGGATATTTATCGTCTGGGCTTTCTAAAGATAAAGACAAGACTAATAAAGAGCAAGACATTGAAGGCAAAGTAGGAACAGAGGACACCAAAGTTACGCCACTTGTGGCTAGCATCCCAACCAAATCGAGTCGTATAGAATTCAGCACCAGAGGAATAAGTACAATAATTACAATAATCAGGATAGGTAGCATCAGGGTTACCAATGTAACCAGTAGCACCATAGCTGAAGAAGTTGGCAGTGTATTGGCCACATGTTTGACCTTCAGGAGGAGTGAATTTGATAAAATCACCTTCAGTACAAGTCACCTTGATATTGCTCAATTCGTTGACAGAAAGGCCTTCAATGTAGTAGTGGAAAGGATCAAGCCAGTACATCCAGGAGCTCCAGAATTTAGGCATAGCAGAAGGTGCTTGCATCAAACCAGCAAACAAGATAAGCAAGGAAATGACCAAAGGATTAATGACAGAAGCCATCAAGGGTGATTCAGAGAAAGCAGCAATAACAAAACCAAGAGAGACGGCCCAACAGACAAGCATGGAGAAGTGAATGTAGAAGAAACCAACAGTCTCGGAGTTGTTTGTCATACCAGCAGTCCAGTAGAAACCAAACATGAAGAAGGCAGCATAGAAGAAGATGTAAGGGAGTTCGACAAGCACAGCAGAAATAGCCCAAGATAACCAACTGTAGTAACGGGAAGCATATTCACGACGGAAGAATTGACGTTCAACCATGAACTTAGGTTGAGCCAAAATAATTAAGACCATGGCCATAATGAAGGTACCAAAGAGAGCAAAGAGTTTGTTCAAAAGATCAGAAGAACTATTTCCAAGCTTCCAGTAAGTAAAACCAGTGATCAAAGAGGTAAACATGACGTTACAGAAACGACCCACATTGTATTCAGGAGATCTCCAATAAGCCAATGACATACGCTTGAAAACCAATTTAAATTGAGTACCGTAACCAGTAGCATAAGTTTTAGCTTCACGAGTAGGATTGGGGTTGGAATTGTTACGAATTTCTTCAAGTTCAGCAGCTAAGGCTTTAGCTTCAGGAGACTTTTGCCAGATTTCAGCCCAATCAGCCTTTGCTTTACCAGCAGTACCAGCACCAACACATTCAAGAATGTATTCAGCAGGGTTAGCATCAGGAGAACAAATAGGGCCACCATTGGATTGGAAGTAGTTGATCATAGTTTGAGAATCTTTACCAATTTCACCATAGTAAGCAGTCTTACCACCACGAACTAAAAGCAAAAGGTGGTCAAAGTGTTCAAACAAGATAGCAGAAGGTTGATGGATAGTACACAAGACGGGCCAACCAGCATCAGCAAGCTTACGAATAAATCGAATGATGTTGAAAGAAGATTGAGCATCAAGACCAGAAGTAGGTTCATCCAAGAAAAGAAGCTTGGGCTTACCGACCAATTCCATACCAATAGTTAAACGCTTACGTTCTTCAACAGAGATACCATAACCACTTTCGACTTGACCAATTTGAGCATCACCAATATCGTCCATTTCCAAAAGTTCGAGAATGGTTTCGACATACTTGTCTTTTTCTTCTCGAGGAACTTCAGCAGGTTGACGGAGATAAGCGGAGAAACGGAGGGCTTCACGAACAGTGACAGCAGGTTGATGGACATCCATCTGTTCACAGTAACCAGTAATACGTTCGAAATCAGTCATGAGGGCTTCATAGTTCAAGAAAATATCGCCTTCAACTTTACCAATGGTCTTACGACGAGCCAAGACATCCAAAAGAGTAGTCTTACCAGCACCAGAAGAACCCATCAAAGCAGTAAGATGACCAGGACGAACAAGACCACAGACATTGTTCAATAGTTGGAGCTGACCACCTTTGTAAGGTACAGTATAATTGATGTTTTCCCAAGAGAAAGTAGTACCATCAGAAACGCCTTCCATTTCAGAACTAATGTTGGCTTGCTTACGACGTCTTTCTTCTTCTTCTTCATTTGTACGAGGCTTGGGAGCCTTACCGGGCAAGTAAAGTTTAGTAAGAGTACCAGCCTTGCTTAAGCCACCAAATTCCATAGCACTAGCAGTCAAGAAAGTAAAGAACAAGAAGAAGGCAACGACAACAATGAAATCAGGAGCCCAAAGTTGGCTAGGTTCATAACTAAGACTTTCACGCAAGTAATCATCACCAAGGACAAAATTTTGACCAGGTTTACCACCAGTCATGGTGCAGACCTTGTGGTTCCAGTCATCATAACCAGGGCCGTAAGGGACACTGTTGCCAACACCTTCACAAGAATAAGATTGACCACCCAATTCGTTGATGAGAAGAGCCTTGTAACCATAAGTTAAGGGATTGATCCAGTAAATCCAAAACAACCAAGGATGCATTTTGTTGTAAGGAATGGTATAACCTGTATAGGAGGTAACAGCGATAAGAATAATACCGGAAACTTGTGTAGCAAGGAAGAAGCTAGAAGTAGAGGCACCAAAGAATCTGAAGAAACCGTTCATACACATGTTAATAAAGAACAAGACAACAAAGAATGTAAAGAAGGCACCAGCAGTCAATTTCAAGCCCATCATAAAGTAAGCACATATTTCAAAGAGAAGTACTTGAGCAATAGCATAGGGAACATCCATGACTACTTGAGCAAGATAGAAAGCAGAAGGACGGTAAAGAGCATATTGTTTGTGTTTTTCTAAGATGGGTCTACCCATCAAGAAACTCATGAGTTCGGATTGAGAAATGAAAGAATTGAACAAGACAGCAAAGAAAAGAGCACCACCTCTAGAGAAAGCACCCATACCATCTTCGCTCATTTTGAAGAAACATGAAGCAGTAATCAAGGATTGGATAAGAATTGTACCATAACGAGAAATAAGAGCACCCAAGTCAGTGATATTAAGATAGTATTGACGAATAGTAAGTGCCTTGACTTGCTGATAGAAAGAAGCGGTATAAGGGGCCTTTTTGCTAGCACGCTTTTGATGTTCTTCATCAACAGCTTTTCTAAAGGTTTCACTAGGACTTCCGCTAGCAATTTGTTGTTCGTAGGCACCAAGATCAGCCATAGCTTGTCTATATACATCAGATTCAAGGTATCGTTGTTCGAAATCAGAAGCAAAACGAGGTGCAGTCTTTTCAAATCCAGGAATGATTTCACGTTCAATAGGGTTACAAAGACCAGTCAAGAAATCAGGAACAGATTTACGAGGAGGACAGAAGAAACCAAGAGATTCAAAGTATTCTTTGGCGTATTCAACAGGACCAAAATACAAGCAACGGCCTTCATCTAATAAGAGAACTTTATCAAAAAGAGAAAAGATGCTGTTGGAAGCTTGATAAAGAGTGGCTACTGTTGTCTTGTGTTGAATATCTGTCATGATACGGAGAGCACGGACATAATCAAGAGCTGAGGCAGCATCAAGACCACGAGTAGAACAGTCCCAACAGTTGATAGAACTGTGTGTTGTCATTTGTTCAGCAATAGACATACGTTTACGTTCACCACCAGACAAACCACGGACAAAAGCGTTACCAACCATGGTGTTCATTTGCTTAGTAAGACCGAGCATGTTACCAAGCATGTAAAGAACCTTATTAACAAAATCTTGTCTGGTTTCATCGGGAAGACGAGTACCGGGTGTCTTCATGCGAAGAGCAAATTCGAGTGTTTGCTTTGCTGTTAAGGTAGGGTAATGTTGATCTTCTTCTTCGTTGTAACAAACTTGGCCACGATAACGTTTGGCAAAAGTATTGGGATCAATACCACCATAGCTAACAGTACCGTTGATATCAGTGTAAGCACCACGAAGATTAGCCATGACTTTTAAAAAGGTAGTACAGCCTGCGCCTGGACGACCCAAGACAAGCAACATTTCACCTTCTTTACAATGACCGTTTAAGTTGTGAAGGATTGTCTTTTTGTTTTTACTGGCACCAATACCAAGATACTTCCAGAATTGAATAAAAGTAAAGACAGTAGAAATTGTATGAGCATCAGCAGCTTCACCCTAAAAAAATGATATTAGTCAATTGTTATTTTGTGGTATGACAGACTTTACCATCACAGTCAAATCTTTCCAGACCAAACCCAAGTACTTCTGTGTGTGACCAGCCTCTTCTTCATCACGACGAAGGCCATTAAGATATTCATCGAGATTAAATTCGTCAGACGCAGCAGCACCTTCTTCTAATTTGCTAGCGTGTGTTGATTTACGACTGATTCGAGATAATTCACGTTTAAGTTCTTGATATTCTGACTTTGCAGCTATTTATTTTTTTAGATAAATTTTTTAAGAAAAATTACTCACCTTTGATGTCAACAGCATTAGCATCGGGTTCACCATAAGATTGGTCTGCAATTTCATAATTTTGGAGTCCATTGATAGTTTGTGTTGATCCATCACTTGAATGACGGTCAAGATCTTGTTGTTCTCCCTTTTCCGAGAGATATTTATTAGAGCTCATGAATTATATGGAATAAATCAAAAAGCAAAATAAAAAAAAAAAAAAAATAAAAAAAAAGAAGTTAATGACAAGATCTAGAAAAAAGAATGGGTTTATATTTATATGTGATATCTAGATCGCCGTAATTTTTCCGGGATGCTTTGCTGAGTGGCAAATAAATCAAAAAACGGCTGTGGAGTGAAGCGACCGAACCTATGAAGTCGTATCATTGTGGCGGATAAATTTACTGACCGCAATCTATTCAGACCAAGAATTCAGTCAGCTTGCTGTCACAATAGATCGCATAAACAGAAGCTACATGGCTATGCATCATTTTCATGAGCCACATACGATGCAAAACGACAGTAATTTGATGCATCCTACATGCATTCTTGAAATTGCCAAGATGAAGCATTTTAGAAGATTGTATATAAAGAGATAACCACACGTAAGGAGAAGTCGTCGCGTTTTTACTTTTTTGAATTGATACGTGATATCCGATCCGCCGAAACTGACCGATTGAGCTGCGGTCAGATTAATCAAAGCGGAGACTTGATAAGTCCTTGTTTTTCGGCCCGTTTGCGTCCAAGCAGTTTGATTGGTTGGGTCTGCTGTTCTTGCAGAATTTAGACTCAAAGTGACACAATACGATACAAACTCGTGCAAATGAAAAAAATTTGTTTCTATCAATATAAGTATAATTCTTTTTTTCCTTGGGGGCATTTCTCTTCACAAATTATAAGAAACAGTCAAGTGAAGTAGATTACTAAACACGATTGGTGTATCACTAAAAAAGTCATCGATTTTTCTCCAAGAAATCACGTAATCAAAGTGGATGAGGTAGTTTTCCTTCTTTTTCTTTTTTTCGAAAGGTTCAATACGCCAAGTATCTCTAATTACTATCAAAAGAGAACGAGAATATCTTGTCTGAGTGTGATTGTTTTACAAGACTTTGCGCTTATTCAAAAGAGAAAATGTAAAAATTTCAAGTGGTTGTAACTTGACAAATATTTTAGGAAAGCACCTCCTTCAATCCCATGTCTACTTCACAAAAAGTGGCAAATATATTGATTCTGAAAATCGAGTTGCTGTAGGCGTTTTATCAAGCTTCAAAGCATATTCAGCAAAGTTCTTCCTTGGTATAGTTTGTTGATTTACATATATTTGATTAATCGGAATTTTCTTTCTGTTTACCATTTTCAAAGTTGTCCTTTCTGACCTCAGAAGTGTCATGTATTATGGGAGATCTTATGCATATTTTATGCATCAAATAGTGTAAGAATAGGTGCCCTTTTACTAGCCCTTTCTATTCGTTGCAGTGTAATACTCAAATTAACTCACCCTTTTCGTCTTAGTAAACTCGCTTTCTTTTTACTTGAAGTATCTAGAGATGGTCTTATCTGATTTTGGATGGATCAAACCTACATTCTGTCGTTGCAAAGATTTTTGATTGCCTTTCTTTTTTCATCTTCACGAACCTCCGGATTCTATAGTCTACAACCAACATAGAGTCTTATAAAACAACGTCAAATTAACTCAATATGCTTAACACTAGGCCAGTACCGATTCTCAGTGTTTATGAAACTGATGCTGTTGAACGCGAGTACGATCTCGGTCGAAAGCGTTTAACCTGTCCCCATGGCAACACGAAAAGTCGCTTTCGTAGACGAGGCAATTCCGACGCTCATCCTAAACCACCTGTCTTTTATTGTATGGAATGTAAAAACGACTTTTAGCTTCATCAAATGCAAGCCCTACTAACTGCCACAGCAAGAGCACATCAGCTAAACGGTTCCCAGCAGATGGATGCTAGTCATGACGACGTACCTCTGACGCAACCCAGTACACTGGTCATGCCCGAGAACTTGCTCCAGTTCGTACATGACATGCACAAGCAACAACAGGAATACGCTGCAATGCTTCAAAGATTGTTTAGTCTTCAGCAAAAGCTGGAAGATGCTCAGTACGAAATTGAGCAACTCCGCAGAGAATGCCGCCCTAAAACAGCAGGTACGACAGCCAGAACTACCTCAATGTCAAAGTCCAGTTGCAAGTGCATTCGCTCTACCCCCTTGGCGCTCTACCAGCACCTCATATGCCCAAGTTGCTTCCCAATGGCCATCTTTGACCAGTAGTCAATCCAATGCAACACTAATCCGTCGAGTCAATCCTGTCCGTTTGGCTCAACGTCAAACGGCTGCCGCTCGTCAATTTCAACCTTCCTCTGATATTCAAGGATTTTGTTGTGAACATATATGAATTCATATGCATAGATCAATAAATGATGATCATGGCAAAAGACCAGATCACATCCATGGCAATTGCAATGGATCCATAGTCACTGACATTCACTCATTCTACTAGAAGTACTACATCGTCTTCATAGTCAGAGATTATGAACATAGTGACTCTGTTATTATTGATGGCCCTCATAAAGTGACGGTTAGAGCTGAGAAATACATTGGTATTGGCATTTGACAAATATGTAATGGTTTATTCAAGTTCAGGTCAGATCATGTACTGTTGGCTGAGCTGACAACTTCCTCTAAAGGCATTTCTCTTCATTGCTCCTGATCTAACAAATCAATCCGTAGTCAAGAAGCTAACCCAAAGCAATAGTTTGACCGAGAAGAAAAAGTATAAATACCTTGACATTTTATAGCAATTGAAAGATAACATTTCTTGGAGAAATAAAAAGCCTATACAAGTTCTAACGAACTTTCTCTGTGTTCTTACCTTTTCTCTAATTTTATATCTATTCTCTCTTCATCTCACAACAGGGACTATAGAGCGAAGATTAAAAGTGAAATCAAATTTGATTCTTCTTCGCGCCGCATCAAAATTGAGCTTTTGTCAACTGCATGAAGAAGCAATTATTGGGTTTTGGTGTAGTGACAAAAGCTGTAGGTCTTTGTTTTCTGAGCCTACTAGTTTAAAGAACATACCAACTTTGCTGCTAAAATTCTGCGCAAATATGCAAAAATAGCTGCGAGGTTTTCGCCCTTACCATGCCATTTTTATAGTACAACTGGCAAGCACACACTTTGATCAAAAATTAGAGTGCCAGGCGCACATTTTAAGTGTTTGAGCTTGCCAATAGCCCTATTTTTTGTCTTATAGCTTCCAAAAGAAGATCAAGAGTTGATAAAACGAGGTTTTTCATGAGTAGTACCCTTTGTTCAAAAGGCATATTTAACCGTTTTTTCCAAGTTACTTTTTTTTTGTCTAAATCAACTTCACAAGTGCCCTATATGTTGCTAAACATGGTTTGTAGGTATTTAGGGCATTTAAATGTGTATGAACAAGTACTATACTCCAGTTGTGTGTAAATTTTTTGATAAAAATTATCTATCTTGAGAGGCAGGATAGGGGGAGGGTTGCATTACTTATAGAATCAAATTTATTTTTCGATGAAAGGAACTGATTCGTTATATGCATATCCCTTAAAAATGCAGTAAATAAATATGAAGTGTTGTCAACTGATAAAATACTTAGGATTAATATACTTATTTCTTCTTCCCGTTTCTCCTTTTCAAATGCTTAAAGCTATGGCCTTTTCAAAACCTATATATATACTTGCAAAAACAATCGCCTTTTGGAAATGAAATTAGAATGAACAAGCAGTTTTTTATCTGTTATGAGCATGTGAAGAAAAAGGTATCATATATACTACACTTTATTGGAAAAAATTTCATCTGTTATATGCATATATGTATTTTTTCCTTAGCTTGATATTGTCTTTGCGAAGAAAAGAAAAGAAAATAGAAATATACATCTTCAGTTTGACTTATCTATGAGGATTGGTCTTTCGGAACAAGACTAAATAGAGACTGCTATTGCATATTTTTCAATGACATCCAGCTGGCATTGAAAGAAGATGGCTTGAACGTTTTCATTGCTGTAAGTGTGGCACAGACATCTACAGATTAAACATTCTTTTCATTTTCGAAGGATTCCGTGGTAAAGACAACTCTCAAGAAATTAATGTGAGTCCATTTATTAAGGGCTTTAAGGGACTTTTCTGCAAATATCCTATTTGAAGCACTGGGCAGCATGAATAAAAAAGGAAGGTGGTACAAGGGCATAGTAATGAAGCTCAGCTTCTGCACTGCATTTTCTACTTATCAATTCTCTTCGAGCAAAAAAATAAAATAAAATAAAAAAAAATTAAAGTATGGCTTGCTGGATACAAAAAGTCAAGTATTTCTTCCGGCGTTACCAAATAACTAGACATTTCTTGTTTATTAGAAATCATCTCTTTTTTAACGAGTCGCATGAATATACTACTGCCATCTGGCTTCAAAAGAGTGTTACTAATCATCACTCAATTGATATCATTGAAGGATTTGTGATATTGAAAGAATGAGAACATTTCCAAAAGAGTTAAGGAAATGTAAAAACTATTTGGATTTCAACCTCGTACAGGAACCAAATTACCGAAAACATGCCATATGCTCTTTTATCACTCTTTGGTATCTAAAATAGTGCGATTATACCCTATTATTAAGATGGAAAATAGATTATTACTGATTTCCATCAAGAATCGCTTTTGTTGAAAGCTAAAATATGCTAAAACTAACGTTTGGTTTGCTAAAAGTCAAAGGCAAAATCTTAAAATAGATTGTAACACAAAATAAATGTAATATATGCGTGTATTAGGAGACATGAAAACAAAAAAAGCCAACTCAATTTTATCCAGTATTTTTATAAGGGACAATAAAAAAAAATCATCATGAACTTTGTGACATTCACAAATCAATCACAGATAGTTTTCTTTTTACAACCTCGAGCATAGTCTGCGTAATCGAAATTCTGAGAGCAATTTTGTCAAAAGCACGAGTTTCCTCTACTTGTGCTTCAATATATCAAATTCAACTTACCCGGAATAAACAATGTCTTCAATAAACAAGTGTACTATAAACCGAATACCTGGAATATTTAAGAGCCAAGTAACCAAAGCTCCTAATGCAATAACATTTATTTAATTAATTGGACGTCCATACAACTATCATTTCTTGTGTAGTCTTTATTTTTATTTTTTCAACAACAGTGTATCACACAACATTTCGACATACAACTAGATTAAACTATTGAACATTTATACGCTGTCGCTAATGTGTTTTTTGTCTTGACTACATATTCATTTCGATGTTTTAAACGAAATATTTCAAACTGCAATAAAAAGGCATGCATGGTAGATTAATTGTAGACTGTATAAACGTAGTGTCTTATAATACAGTTTCCATCTCAAAATAGAATATCTAATAATGGAGATTGAAAATATAAAATGATGCTGTTTGAAAATTGCAGAATGTCATAACTTTGTTAATTAAATTGAGCATAAAAAGCCAGCTTTTCTTTTTCATAGTGACACAAGACACATCACTGAAATTTTAGACCACCATTTATATGATTTTCTGCTCAGCTCGTGTACGTGCGTGCTTCACTAAGCTCATGTTGGCATCAAAGAGCCACATAACTGTGGCACTTTTTTTCTGTTTTTGTCCCGACAATTCATATAAAAGGCGAGAAAAAACAATTCTGAAATCATTATCTTCCCTCCTTCCAATCCTTAATACAGAAACTTCTAATGGTTCAAAAATCACTTTTGCTCTGTGTCGCAACTGCTTTTCTTGCTGGTTTGCAAGCTACTTCCGTAGATGAAAATACTGTCAACATCAACTTAGACAACACATCTGTACTTGAAAAGAGACATTTCTTCATTGACAGCAACAAGTGTGCTTCTGGAAGCTATGCTTCTCAATTGGTAAATACTTACATCAATCATGTAGAATTTATTTGACTGATCATTCCTTGTAGTTGACCCAATTCTCTGGTGTCTTCTTTGGTGACTTCAAGTCTGTTGGAAAGGTTGATATCTCTGGTTCTCTTGCTGTCAAGGGTGACTTTGAGAGTCACTATTCTAGCATTAACACCAACTGGGATGCTGGTTTCTCTTACGAAAACCTCAAGAGTTACGGTCTTGTTGTCGGTGGTCAATGCAAGTCTAACTCTGTCTCTGTCAGCGGTGCCTCTTTCATTCGTGGTGGCCTCTCAGGTGGCGCCAAAAGACTCTTTGATTTCTTCAAGTTGTACCACGGATCTACTGGTTATTATAGCTTTGAGCAAAGTCAAGAAAACGCTTACGAAGCCTCTTTGCTCTTGTCTCAATTGGAACCTACCTTGAGACTGGATGCCGAAGGCAAATTGAGCGCTTGTGGTACCGCTAACCATGGTTTCCATGTCCTTCATTTCAACACTTGTAAGAGCAGCGCTTTCCATGCCTCTTTGATCTCTGAAGCTGCTGCTTTCCTTTCTGGTAAGGGTAGCTGGAGCGGACCCAAGGGTTTGAACTGGCCCTCTTCTGGTACCATTGTCATCAACATTCCTATTGACATTGGTGCTTCTTTCTCTATCACTAACAAGGAAGTCTCTCTTGGTTTGGATGCTTCTCGTGTTATCTTCAACTTCTACCCTGCTGACTCCCAAGGTAAATGCCACAGCGGTGGTAAAATCTCTCTCAAACGTGAGATGAGCGGCTACTTTGGTGGTTTCACTTTGGCTCCCAGAGCTGATATCTTTGATGGCGCTGCTGGTGCCTTTGCTGGTACTGTTATTGGTCACAACTTCAACTGCGGTGGCGGTATTGGTATTGGTGGTTATCACCTTGCTGGTGGTAGCTCTTCCAGCTTCAAGGGTTGCTTCCCTATTCACAACAACCACACTCCTCCTCCTGCTACCACCATCCACGTTCCTCCTGCTTCTGCTACCACCACAACTCCCACCAACAAGCACACTACTAGTACTGATGGTCATTCTGCTACAACCACTGCTGTCAGTGACAAACACCACACTACCGTTGCCCACAAGCACCAGACTACTTCCGTTCACCACAGCAAGACCACTTCTGCTTACAAGCACCAAACTACTACTGACTGTGGTTGCGGCAAGCACTCTACCACCAAGTCTCACAAACACTCCAAGACTGTCATTAAGGGTAAGCACCACTCTAAGACTACCACCAAGGGCAAGCACCATGCCAAGACTACCACCAAGGGCAAACACCACTCTAAGATTACCACCAAGGGCAAACACCACTCTAAGATTACCACCAAGTGTAAGCACCACACCAAGAGTAAGCACCACACCAAGACCAAGCACACTCCTACTACTTGTCCTGTTGGTTGTGCCACCAAGACTGTTACAAAGGTCGTCTATGTTACTGTCAACTAAATGGTTCCAAAATTCTCTTAATTTATTTACATAATACATCTTTTAATAAAATTGCTCTTGCAGTGAATTCTATCAGACATAAATTTTTGCATAAACGAACCATTTCTGCTGTTGTCAATTATTTTGCAGTATAGTGAAAACGTCATACAATGCAACTAATAACTCAAAGTTTGTGTGGAACTATCTGCTGACAGCAATTTTATCACATAAGGATAGTATGTTTAAGTCAATAATTGATAGAGATGTTTCTGTTCTTTAATTTTTTATACTTGAGCCGAATGTTGCTCAAACATGAACCTTCTTGATATGAAGCCTAATGCGTAAAGCAACGAAACAGAACACTGACAATTAAAGTTTGTTTGAATAGATCCTGTATGCATCTTGGAATATCGGAATAGTGAAGTAATGCAAACAAGGGTTATTCTTGTTGATTCCATAATGAGTATAAGCTGCGATCATGGCGGTTCAAAAAAAAAAAAAGTGCTACCAATGCCGCAACTTAATGAGTTCAACATGCAATCGATCGTAAAAGTCTGTCAAGTAAAATAGATCGATAAAGCGAGGAGAAATTGCGATGGCTTCAAGATATCAATGGCTATCGAATTGAATGGTTTGGTTTGTTTTCAATTGCTTTTTCCTAACATAGTCTTGTGCCATAATCAAGTTCAGAATTATATTTTATTTCTTGGTACAAATAAAAGGAGAAAGAGACAGAGTAACAGAGGGAATGAAGTAGATTAAAAATAGAGTATAGTTCTACAAAACTAAATAATGAAATAAATGCAAAGCTCAAAACTCAGAAGGTTTGCTGCACTTTGGTGGGTCTTTGTGTTGCCATGAAATGATAAAATACCTAAAAAAATCAGCACTATTTTTGCTTGAAAGCCGTAATAGCCCCTATTATGCTGAAAAGCAATTTGGTGCATTCAAAAATAACTGATGAATTCATTGGCCACCTACACGTGTTTTCTACTCTTTTGTTTCATTTGATCAGGTAGCCATTGCTTTTATTCAACTGTCAGATGTATGTCAGCGTTATTTTATATAAAATGTCTTCATTGGCAACTGCTTTCGACACAGAAAAAAATGACCACTTGACAGCAACGTGTCTACTTTAGCCTGGACAACAATAGTTACGCGAAGAGTTTTATTTATGAACTCCATAAAAGTAGATTGTTGATTGCACAAATGAAAGTTAAAAGTATAAAACATGGCCAGATTTTATTTCGTGTACCATTGCAACAAGCGATTGGCCAGACTGTAAGCTTTTTTTAAAAAAAGCTTACAATGTTTAGCATTGTTCAGTGCAAGCCACAATGCCATCCATATGCTCTCTCCAGTAAATGCATGACTCGAATTCCTCAAATACCTAAGTTCCTTTTGCTTTTTTTAACGTATCATGTAAAGAAACCGAAATTAACAGCCATTCGGACTCTTGCAAGGGTTGCGAATGATTACACCAAGTAAAAAGAATAATGGCTTCTTTAATTAGAGTTGAAGAATATGTCTGGTTTATATATCTAGATGTTTGTGACGTCCTTTAAAGGAAATTGTTACACGATATTGTTCATATTTCAAGCAATTTCAAGCATCGTCCTGCTATATATAATATACGTAGCTGCAAGCATTTATTAATTGCTGTAAAAGTAAAAACAAATGTTCGGCACCGTGGCTATTTATATACTTTTTCTCCAAATGAAGGATACATGTCAAACATCGGTAGGGCAGATCAATTCTGGATGGAGATTGAAAACAGGAAATGTAGCTCGACGCTTAAGTGGCACAATTCACAAAATTCTTTAAATGAAAAGCTTGAGAAGGAGAAAGACGTATCTACCAAGAACACGCGTTTCTCATAAGATTAGAGTATCGTATAAGGAGCATAAATCCCAAGAAATAGCATTATTTCCTTTTCAAAACATCAAGAAAAAAGCAAACAATTAGATACAGAGATGACATGACTAAGCTGTAATTTCAAAAGTCTGCCTTACAATGGTGTCACCTTTTTGGTTTTTTTAGGAACAGACAAGCATATAAAATACCATCAAGGCATATCAATCCAGTTAACTATATCTCTTTCTTTCCTTTTTTCTCATTACTTTCGTTATATCTAAATGGTCAATAAGGCTGCTTTCTTGTTTGTTCTTAGTACTCTTGCGGGTGAATTGTTAGCTAGATCTACATATGAGTCTAATAACTACTCCAATGTCAACCAGAAATACTCTTCACTCATGAAGAGAGATGATGTTGAATGGACTTGCTCAAATGATGATACGCCTTCCTTGATGGTAATTGCTCAAATAAACATCCATTGACCTTCTAATCCATTGTTTCAATTATAGTTGACCCATTTCGCTGCTGTCTTTTTTGGCGATTTCTCAACTACCGGTGGACAAGATATTCTTGGTCCTCTTGCTGTCAAGGGCAAGTTCCAAGCCAACAATTACATGGTGAATGCCAATGGCAACCCTGATTGTTCTGACCCTAATGATGTCAAAGGCTATGCTCTTGTCGTTGATGGCAAAGTAGATGCTAGCGATGTGCGTGTCAAGGGTGCTGCTCAAGTACCCAGCGGTACTACTGGTCTTCAAGAAACAGCAGGCTCTTGCAAGATCAATCAAGGCGGCAAAGGTATTTACGACTTCAATGAAGCTCGTAAAAATGCTTTGGCTGCTTCCGAAATTTTGGCTGGCATGAAGCCCAACATGGTCTTGAATTCTGATGGCAAATTATCTTCAATTGGGTCATCTACTGATGGTTTTCATGTACTCACTTTCAGTACCTGTAATGATGGAAAATGTAATCCTTTCCCGGGTGATATGTCTGATCCTTCCGCTCTTCTCCAAGGCAAGGGTAACTGGAATGGTCCTCAAGGCATGAGCTGGCCTAAGTCTGGTACTCTTCTTCTTAATGTATGTAGCTTATTTAATATTCAATTAATTCATATCTCCAATAGATTCCTGTTGATAGTGGGTCTACTTTCACACTGTTGGGTAATCTCGTCACCCAGGGAATGGATCCCTGTAGAGTTATCTTCAATTTTTATTCCTCCAACAACAACGGCAAATTCACTTCTGGCTCTTTCACTCTCAAGCGTCAAACTGGTAGCAATTTAGGTGCATTTGTATTAGCTCCTCAAGGTAACGTAAAAAAAAAAACTTCTTGAAGCATAAAACTCAATTCTTTTACAGCTAATATTATTGATGGTTCTACTGGTGCATTTGCTGGCACTGTGATCGGTAAAGACTACACTTGGGGCAGCAGCGGTATTGAAATTCACAACTACAAGGCTGCCGGAGGCACCTGCGATACTTTCCAAGGCTGTATTCCTATCACTCATCATACACCCCCTCCTCCTGTAGTCATCACTACCACTACCACTACAAAATCATCTACTACTACATCTACTACCGGCGCTAACACAACTAAATCTTCTACTACCACTAGCACTGGTACAACAACAACTACTGGTTGTCAAATGACTACAACTCCTGCTACTTCTACTACTTCTGATCATAAAAGCACCACTACTACCTCTTGCAACCATCAAAAGACTACTACAACCAGCTGCAACCACACCAAGACAACTACTAGTAACCACCACAAAACCACTACTGACTGCAATCATAGCAAGACAACTACTGGTAAACATCATAAGACAACTGCTAGCTGTAGCCACCACAAAATCACCACAACTGGATGTAACCACAGTAAGACAACCACTGGCAAACACCATAAGACTACTACTGGCTGTAACCACAACAAGACTACCACTGGCAAGCATCAGAAAAAGACAACCACAAGCAAGCATCATAAACACACTACTACCAAGGGATGCTCTTGTGAACGCCATTCAACTACCAAGCATCATTCTACAAAGACCAAGCATCACTCTACCAAGACTTGCTCCAAGCATCATTCTACCAAGACCAAGCATCACTCTACCAAGACTTGCTCCAAGCATCATTCTACCAAGACCAAGCATCACTCTACCAAAACTTGCTCTTACACCAAACCTCACAAGACTACCGTAGGCCCTAAGAAGCACCATCCCACAACTTGCCCTATTGGCTGTGTTCAAAAAACTGCCACTGTTACCAAGGTTATTTATGTTACAGCAGCATAAATCAATCCCTGCATATATAGAAAATATACTCTCTCCTAATACTTGATTTTATTTTAATAAATATTTATTTTTGATCTCTAGGATCTTTCATGCTGAATATTTTGAGATTGCCTGCGTATTTACCATCGGAAGCAGTTTCATCACCAGCATAGGCAAGATAATAATCTCGGGGTGACCAAGCAACTGTGTTCATGGCTGCTGAACATTCAACATGATGGACAGACTCACCACTTTCTACATGAGACTAACTCAAATGTCAACACAATGTCTTTATCAATCCTATAATGTAACTTACAACATCAATAAAATGATCTTCTGAAGCTGATGCAATATATTGTCCATCAAAACTAAAGGAAAGTGTTCTAACCGGCCAACTAAAACAAGACGTATTAAGTAACTTTGCCTTATATATACTCAACTTACGTGAGTTCTTGAAATGCTCGAACGCATTGAAATGTACGAGTATCCCATAAAGAAACAATAGCGTCTGCTGAACCTACAGCTACATATTTACTGGTTGGATCAGCTTCTACACAATAGCAATTGGCTGTATGTCCACGCAGATTGGTTTTTAGTTCAAATGAAGGGTAATCATATACTTTGATGGTGCCTTGTCCTGTTGTAACGAAGAATTGATTGTTTGCATTATTCCAAGCAATTTCATTTACTTCAACTGGATGTTTGCGTTTATCGCTGATTTTATGAGTTCGTGTGTCAATGATGCTAATGGTATCGTTTTTATCGCCTACTGCAATGTTGTTCCCGTCTGGACTCCAACAAATATTGATATTCTCTCCATCCGTCTGAATCACTGCTGTACATTTACCAGCTATAACACGAGTCAGTATGCATAACAAGCTGTTGCTTTCTTACATCGTTGATCCCATAATCGCACTGTTTTATCACAAGAAGCTGTGGCTAGTCTATCAGGATGAGTTGGATCCCAATCAAGCTGATCAACGCTATCTGAATGCCCTTTTAGTTCTATTGAATATCTTATGTCTGTCTATACAAAAAAAAAAGCATAAGAACAAAGTAATTTTATATTGTATCTTACTCCTCTGTGTGGTGACCAAACACGGGCTGTTTTATCTACAGAGCCTGAGGCTAGTTTTCTACCGTCGCAGTTCCAAGCAACTGTATGAACCTTTTCTTTATGTCCTTTACACTCTCTTATCTTGGAGTTGTCAAACATTTTTCGAACCTATATACTATATAAGTAAAAATATTATCTTTTGACTCAACTTACTTGTTCACGACTGATAGAAGAGCCTTTATAGAAGAAGTCTTGTCTTTGACCTGAAGGTGGACTCCAGTCATAAGTTATCTTTCCGTCAGGCACTTCTTCTTGTTGAGACATATAAGAAAGCGAAAAAAAAAAGATAGAAAAAGAAGAAAGAGAAATCGAAAAAATTTAAAAAACGCGTCTTTTTATTTATTTTTTTATTCAGCTTTCAAAGCCTTTTCAGCCTTCTTGATAGAACCTTTATCAGTCTTGGGCTGCTTCTTTTCATTCACCATGCCAAAAGGAGCTTCAATTCTGAAAGGACGTCTTAAGTCACCAGTAGGTTGAGAACCCCAAAAATGAATACGGGCTTCTTTTGTCATGAAAAAGGTTTTAAAGCCAAGAATAGATTGAACCAACAATGGTTGAATAAAGCCAAACTTGAAATGCAAGAATGCGATCATCAAGATACCAAATGCAGACTGCTTAATGGTCTTATTTACCTCTGCTATATCATAGTCTACATGTCATATTAGCGCATTGAATTATCCTCTATGATTACATTACCCATGACAGTTGTATTCACCAATTGATCAGGAGTTTCGCTCCCGTCCCAGCTTTGAGAGGCAGGTTCAACATACTTTAGCACTGTTTGATCTAACCTTTTGTCAGCATATGCTGATATACTCCATTCATTTCCCTACCATTTTTTTGCTTGATCTTATGGATCAAGTAGTAGTTAAGAACAAGAATAGTAACTTGAGCAGTAAGATATAAAATTCTGAGAGAATATGCGTAGTTTTCGAGGTTTATAAATCTTCCAAGTTGCTGAAAGAATAAGAAGGAACCAACGTTGAAATATGGGGAATTTAATGCTTGGTAATAGTTGACCATGATTATGTGTGTGGAAAAGAAAAGAAAGAAAATAAAAATAAAAAACGCGGGAAAAGAGGAATTAAGAATGGGTACACAAAATACAATTGGTGGTACTGCCCAATTGAAATTCCCTTTTTCCAGTGCAGCGTTATAAAGACTTACGACTCTCCTTTCTTCCTCTATTAAAAGAAACACGGTCCAATTCAAATATTTAGGCTCAAAGGAGAAAGTGCAAAAATTTGCTTATTCTGACCCTGTTATCAAAAAGCAGAAGTACAAAAGACGTTTGTGTAGCAAAGGACCTGAAGATAAAAGTGCCAATCTTTTTATCTACACTACTGATTTAAACCGAGAATATGTAAAATCTCAACAATCATTTTTTTTTGTTAAATCAAGGAAGTAACATCTATTTGTTTTGCATTTGCTTTTTCTATGCATTATCCGCGTTTAGTGATTCTTGTTTTGTCAACAACCAAAGATTCGGTCTTGTTTTTGTAATGTAGATACTCTTTAAAAGGCTTATTGATCGTCATTTTTACTTCTATCAAAATTAGAGAAGGCCCATTCTATCACTCGGTGCTTGGGTTTATATGAATTACTTTTAATATGTTCAATAGATCAGAAACTGCCGGATCAATCGCATTTGGTGTTTTTTCTTGTCATTTTGCTCAGCAGATCTTTTCCGTACAACTGATTCATAAGTGACTTGAAAACAAGGTGATCGCTATGCATTTAGAATAGGTATAGCCGATCGGTTAAAAGAGATACGACTTGCTCTCGTTTTTAGCCTGCTTTTGTTCTCCAAAAAGCTGTTATTGTAATGAAATTATGTGAAAGAGACGAAAAAATTGAGAGATGCTTTGTACACTCCAACGTTTACTCTAAAAAGCAATTATTATTTTGTAAACATATCGGGCCCAGAAAAAAAAAACTTTATTTATCGGTGACATTTTATCAGTTGACAGCATTTTATTGTTGTTTATTACACAAAGAAAACTTTAATTTGTGAATTAAAAAAGTAAATTGCAATCAACTTGTATGAAGGACGAACACTCTATTACAAAATAAAATAGAAAGAATCAGCATATTTTAAAGCTTTCTCAATAGCATTAGTACCGTTTATTGACAAAATACTTGTGATAAATAAACTTGTTTTCTTTCGTTTCTCTTTTATCTACTTTTTTCTCTTTATAAAATGCCAAGAATAATTATCATTTCGAAATTAATAAATTTATGCAAAAGCTATCGCTTTTTGGAATGGAAATTAGAATATCAGTATTCTCCTTAATTTTTTCTATTGCGATATCATTTTGACAGGAAGCATGTTTTTTTTTCAAAAAGCAAAAAAAAAGAAAAAAGAAAAGAAAAGATGGGATTTGTGAGGGAAAAAACATAACAAAAAATCTCCTAAAAACAAATACCCTTCCCCCCTTTATTATGCCCTTCCTCTCTCTTTATAAATATATATATAAATATATATATATATATATATCTCAGGAGCCAACCGCGAGCAATCGCTCTAGGTTCATTAAGGTTTATTCTAACTTTTAATGAATACATACAAATGAATTTCTTTTCTTTTTCTTCATTTTTCTTTCTTTGTTCTTGTGAGCAATGGGACTAAAAAACGATTATAGAATCTCAGCTATTGTTGTATTATGCAAGGATTGTGGTCAAGATGTAGGATTATATCCTGCTCGACATATATGTTCAAGTAGCAAAAACCCACAGCTGCCAATTCTTTGCTCCAGTACAACATCTCCCTCCTTCGAGAGCTGGCATCATCAGGAGGAGGAAACAAAAAATGTGCCTGAGCTTATTTCATCTTTTATCCCTGTAAAGCCAACGCAAGTGACTAGGCAACCATCTGATAGCTCAACTGAAAGTGAAAAATGGAGTTTTTTCCGCAGTACAAGTAAAAACAGCAATCCAGAAACACCAGAAAAAGAAGAGCATACGTCCTACCTTGATGCTTATGCATTGAATTTAAAGAGATCTATATCGCTTCGTGAGTTAAATGGATCTTCAGCCACCACTCACCTTCAGAGAGCAAAAACTACAACCGGAAAGAAGGCGAAAGAAAATGAAAAGTGGAAAGAATTGATTGCTGACAAACATAGTAAGAATCTTTCCTAGAGAGCATCATCATTCATTACTCTATAGAACCAGGAAGCAAGACGAGCAGTTCATGGTTCAATATTATTTCAAGTTCAACAAGCCAAGACATAGAATATTGCTCAGGTATATTATTTAGCAATATATAGATGCCCGTCGTTAACAAAAAGTGCATATAAAAAATTAGATCAAGAAGATTGGGAAGGAGAAACACATGTAGCAAGAATCATTAGAGAATATCATGAAGAAAAACACAAGGCAAGGCATACACCGTTGCCTTCATGGCTCTATGATGATCGCACACCTATTTCAGCACTAGCCCAAATTCCAGTAACTGAACAAGCACATCAAGAACAAGTTAGATTACGGAGAGAACACTCAAATAGACGCCGACTTTGGGAGGCGTCTGAGACACGACAGCCTACTCAACGCGAAAGAGAAATACAAGCTATGAGGGCGACATCTATCACCAAAGACCATGATCTATATAGCAAAACCAATTCTATTTCACGATCTTGTAGTGAACGTGTTTCGAACAGCTCTTCAAGACAAAAAACTAGTATTTCACCTGCTTCAAACCAGCACTCATTATTCAATGGGTCTTCTAGAAGACTCAAAGCTGCCCAAATTTCTGGATCTTTCTATGATGAAGATAAATTAAAGAATTCTCATTATCTTTATCGAAACTCTTCAGGAAATACCAAAGGCTATATTTAAAGCAAAAAATTTGTAAGAATATCATGATCAAGTAAATACGGAGTCCCTCAAAAAAAAAAAGAGTCTTTTTATCTGGTGACATTATAATGAAATGTTTGACACATTCCGTCACTTTTGCATGAAAGCATGCATAAAAAATAGTCAATAAAACCATTTTTTTTCTATGATACGTATCTATTTACAATGTAGCATTGTGTTTACTTTTTTTTTTTTTAAAAAAAAAAGACGTTTTGCAATAACAAAGTGCTACCTTAAAAAATATGATGATAAACGGCTTGAAAAGGAAAATCAATAGCGGAACAAAAATTAACAAACAATTCTCATCACCACTGTCCCTCCATAATTTCCCCAGGATAGCTGACAATTCGAAAAGGAGTCTGGTTAATTTACAAGAAAGGAGTTTTTGATTGCAATTCTTTATCTTAACAAAGCTAGTGATTTCTTCTTTATTAATTGTGAAACGCATTGCAAATTTTGTATACCGTAAAATGGATGGTCTGTCTTATGATACTAACATCAATTAAACGTATATCATTCAATTTATTGTCTAATTTCAAAAGTAGTTTGGCATGTTTTTTATGTCAAAAACAATATGATCCAAGCTTTTTTAATGACAATCTTTCCCTGAAAACTCTTTTGAAAATCATATTTCCATTTTCATCTAAAATTGATCGCAAAAAGTCTATAGACACGAGTAAAACTAACATCTTTGTGTAAAGTAGAAACCCATATAAAAGGGTTTTATTTGATCCTTGTCTCTCTCTCTTTTTTTTATTGCTATAACCAAACAATGAAATTCACTGCTGTTGCTTCAATTGCTCTTCTTTCTTTAAACCAAGTGCTTGCAAAGCCAGCTGAAGGATGTCTTCAAAACTACACAAGTAATTCAAAAAATCAGAATTTATTTGTTATCTCATCACGGTAACCTAGTTACTGCTACTGATTCATGTGTCTCTGTTGCTGCAGCATTCGAACTTACAGAAGCTGAGTTTTATGCTATGGTAAAGTCATTCTTATAATCTATTCATAAGCTCATATCGTGTTCTATAGAATCCCGGTCTCCATCATAGTATCCAACATGTAAGTAATAACAATAAGAAATCAAAATCTTACTGCTTATAATCAGGACTGTGATAATCTTGATACGGGCAAGCCATTCTGTGTGTGTATGCAAGAGCCATGCGTAAGTCGGCATCAAAATCCCATTTTTCCTTATCCAATCTTTTGATGCAGGTTCCTCTTCCTAATAATGCTTCCTCAACCATCCCTGTTTCTGCTTCCGATGTATTGTCTTCTTCTTCTGCCATTGCTTCTTCTTCTGATATGTTGTCTTCTTTCTCTGCTGTTGTTGCTTCTTCTTCTACTTCTTCTGTAGTAGCGATTAGTACTACATCGACATCCTCAAGCTCTTCTGCCGCTACTCCTGCTGCAAGTGGTTCAAGTGCCACTCCTATTGCTAGTCAAAGCACTCAAACTACCAGTGCTGCTAACCTGAACATGGCATTGGGCACCTTAACATTAGGCTTAATTATGGCCGCTTGCTCTATCGTTTTGTAAAACACCTTATTGATTAAATGTGATCTTATATAAAGCAAACATATTTATTGAATAGAATGTCCCATTGTGTCCATTGCACCTGGAATCTTATGGTCTGCAGGATTAGCACTTGCTTCATAAACTACATATTGTGTTAGTGCATTGTAAAATAGTCCAATAACTTACTTGTAATAATGGGATCTCGCTTTACTTCGGACCATTCTCCCTTAAATCCAATATATCGCACGATACTAGTGTCTCCTCCAGAATTCTCGGGGAAGAAGAGAGTAATGTCTCTTACACTCGAGAACTTGGTTACTTTGACACCATATTCAATCACATCATTGGATCCTTCAACCAGTTCGAATTCTTGTGTTGGTGTATAACTTTCTGCTGCATCAAAATCGATATCATCGCGATTAATAAAACTATCATTTTCAGTACTTTATCATAATATATAGACTTACATTTTCATTTTGGATGGAGCAGCATCTGTTCTATCTGTGCGAAGGCAAATAGAGCGTAACTTGACCATGCCTGTAAACCTAATATTTGGTATAAGGACCAAAGAGGTCATCATATACTTACGGAACATAAACAATCAGCTGCTCGTCGGCATCACTTTCAAGGAACTAAATGTGCATGAGCCTATATTTAATATTAATTTTTATGCCTACCTTTTGGTCGTCGAGTCTTTCGTGCCAGGGTCGGATCACTTTCTTACCACTATCCGGTTCTGCTTCGTTTAGACATCGCACGTTATCAATATCTATCTTTGAATATAATAAAAACTGCTCTCCAGACTCAGGTAGGTCGTCGTGAGTATGGTCGCAGTGTTCATCGTGACAGTGGCTCATATTTTCAAATGTTAAAAAAGAAAAAAAATGCACACGAATCAAGTGAAACGCGTTTTAAAAAAGCGCGTGTGTATCAAAAAGTAAGTTGCATTAAATAGGGGTGGGAAAATCAAAGCTCGTATTATATTGCTTCCATTTCTAAAGGGTATTCCTTTCAAAGAAGACCTACAAAGAGATATACTTGATTATACGTGGTATATTTAAAGAAGTTGATATCTGATAAGAAGGTGTCATCTGATTACTTCTTATTGGCTTTGCACTATTCATGCTTGTTATTTGGTTGGTCGGTAAATAAAATATAAAGGGGTTATAAATATCAAGAAAAAAGTCCTTTCTACTGTTTTTCTTTTCATTTAATATCATGACATCTCCTAGTTTATTAAATGCTATTTTACCCCTAAGTAGCTCGCCCAAATCAAATACTTTTAGTTTGTATGCTGAATCCTCTTCTACTCGAAGAGGATCATTGGATTCTTCTCCTAGTCTACCTCGGAGATTCATTGGAACTGAATCCAGGAACTTTGTTCCATCTAAAATGTAAGTTGTCATGTGTATCTGGCTTGGTTCATAACCTAGTAGTAGAGGCGATAGTGGCACTAATTCCGAACATCATTCAAGACAAAACAGTTTTCAGTCTGGCATTGATACCCAGTCTTTTAATACCCACTTTGATAAGAAAGAGACCAAGTCTACACTTGACCCTCATTCTTTATTAAAAATGGCTCCCAATGTAGTAAAGTCAAGAAAAGGAAGTGTTTTGGCTAGAAACACAATCTTAAAAATGGACCATTTCTCGAGCGGTAAATTCGTATCTAATTTGTATGAAAACTTATCTTTCAAATAGGAACCAATACCAACCTCGATTTCCACCTTCAAGGTGCACCTAATTTCCGCATTGCGGAGCTCAATGTTCATGGTGTTGCACAGCCTACTGTAAGTATACACATATGTAAATGGTCTTTTATTCAAAATCTATTAGGTCATTGGTCTCTCAACTATTCTGGCTATCTTGAATAGTCATCCAAAAAGTTTAAATTCTTCATCTTGTACTTGGTAAGTGTAAACGAAGAGAGGATTAAACTAATGTGTCTATAGGTTTTCCACTCGTGAAGAGCCTTTAGGTAAGTTATTTTGAGTGTAATTAGCCCGAGATCAACATGTGCCTTAGTTTATTTAAATGGCACTCCTTACGTATTAAGGGATTATGCCGATCCAATGCAAAACATGAGTACCTTTTACGGTATCAATTCTGTTCGATTAGAGAAAGTTGAGGAGCGATTAAAACATGATGTTGTGACTGAGGCCAAGTCATTAGGAGGTTTGCTTTTGGTCCATCAAGAATTATGTAAGTGACAATAAAGTCTATACGAAAGACTTAATCTAGTATTTAGCGGATGGATCTGTGGTACCTTGTTATATTGCTGCTGATACAGTTCAAACACCAAAAGAAGGTACGAAAAGAAAATAACATGACGAAGGTAAACTTATGTGTGCTGTAGTGTTTCAAGGCTTTCAAAGTAAAGGCTATCGCGTAAAATACTTTCGGATTCCAATTTCACCTGGACAAGCACCTGAAGACAACTATTTTGATGAATATATCAATGTCATTCGCAACTTGGAACCGACAGACCCTCTCATTTTCAACTGTGGGATTGGTGCTGTACGCAGTAAGTAACATATTATCTTTGTATTTCAGAGATGCTTATGATGTTTTAGCTACTGTGGGCATCATTATTGCTCAAATTATACGCCGAACACAGCTAATCGAGCGTGGTCAACCAGATCCATTTCCAATTCCAGGCTACAGCTACCCTATGACAACAACAAATAGTCCTAATATGTCTGATGACTCAAGTATCAATCGATTTGTCAAAGGATTGGAAGAAGCAGATAATACGAATGCAAAGAACAATGCTTTATTGCGAATTGTCTTGATTCTTGAAAATGGTAACAATAAAAAGACTAAAGATCCTTTACCTAACTTGCGCTTAGCATTAAACTCTAAATTGTCAACTCGTTCAGCTGCAGAATGGATTTTGGAAAGAGGCCCCTTGGTTGAAAATCTCAAGGAAGCTATTATGGGAAATTATCAATCTATCATGGCATTAACAACTGTACTAGAAAGTGGTATATTTAGCAAGAAAATATTGGATGCAGTCATTGATAAATGTAAGTCGTAAAGGAGACGATGCAATGGCTTACTTTTTAATAGCTGATGCAGTCATTAACTTAAGAGAATCTATCTTGACCAATCGTATTCGACAAATGGCACATACCTCTTCTTCAGAATACAACGACAAAAATTACCTAGGCAAGGCTCTAGATGGCCTACAAAGATACTTTTTCCTCTTGTGCTTTTCAGCTTATGTGAATGAATCCACCAGTACAAAATTCGAAGCACGGTTTTCTTCTTGGATCAAAGCACGTACCGAAATTTGGGCAATGCTTCAAAACATGCGTCGTAAGGGTCCTCGTCCTTACTTTTTCCGTCCTGTAGAAGATTTGCACTTGTTGAATCCCGGTGCTAATCATGGGCAAAAGCGTACAAACAACGCTTTAAGCAAAACGACAGGCCACCATGCTCTTACTCAAGGCATGTTTGATATGACAGGTGCTGGTCCTCAATCAAGTTCTGGAATTACTGTTGAAATGGAAGAATTTGTGATTAATGTAATGTAGGCATATGCATTGATCTGATATCTAACTGTATGTACATAGTCTCGCAAAGGCGTGGTACTTACTTCTCAAACGATCCTCAAAGTCGATTTCTGGCATTTTGGCTATTTGAATGATAACCATCAAGATAATGAAGAACATCAAAATACATCTGAGAGACATCATAGTTTTGTCATTGATGGTGCTTCTAACTTTAGACGGATTGAAAACACACATGTGTATGGTGTAGCTCAACCTACTGTCAATGGACTTCGCCAAGTGATCCGCAATTTGCTACAAGATAGACCCAAAAACGAACGTATCTTATGGATTAATCTGCGTGAGGAACCCATCATCTACATCAATGGCATTCCTTATGTACTTCGTGATCGAGCTTTTACTTTACGTAACTTGCGTGCCTATAAGGGCATCACAGGCACTCGTATGGAGCAATTGGAAGACAGACTAAAAGAAGATGTAGTTCGAGAAGTGCTCCAATGCGGTGGTCGTATTTTATTGCATGGTGAAGACAATGAAGGAAACGTTCTTTCATCCTGGGAAGAAGTGGATATTCAAGATATTATGACCGTGCGTGAAGTCATGGAGTTTGCTGCTGTGGAAATCCAACAAGAACTTTCCCTACGTGATTCTTCGGATGAAGAGGATCAACGCAAGAACCTTGCAGAAGAAAATAGACTTTTAGAATATCACCGTGTGCCCATCACAGCTGAAAAGGCACCCGAATGGAGAGATTTAGATGATTTGACTAGTTTAGTCACTGGGGTTGATCTATCCAAGACAGCCATCATTATGTAAACACCACTTCGTTTTTTTCTCAGTCTAACATAAATACTGTAGGAATTGTCAAGTTGGTCTCGGTAGATCGACCACAGGTACCATCATTGCCAGTTTACTCACACGCTGGATTCGTCCCAGAAACAAAGCCACTTGTCTCCCACGCTATCCCAACTATCAAATCATCAACAGTTTGCTTCGTGTCATTAAGAGAGGTTTAGAAAACAAGCAAGTAGTTGATGCAGTCATTGAACAATGTAGTATCAGTGGCAGTCATCTGATCAAGACAATTGAATCCGCTCGTATTCAGGCCGAAAAAGAAAAAGAAAATCCTGCTGAATTTAAGCGTACTGTGAAGCGAGGCATTACATCACTTGAACGCTATTTCATGTTCATTTGCTTTCAGGCCTATTTAGATAGTACTTCACCCTCCCTCGTCCGAGACACGGAGAGCTTTGGGCGCTGGATGAAGCGCCTTCCTGAACTCGCTACTATCTTGCAAGACTTACTCCATACTAAAGATGAATTCAGTGCTTTAGTGCCTGTTGAACAATCACTCGGTGGTGGTGATGGTATGGCTTTATCCAGTGAAGTCATGCGTGTGGTCCATTCTCGCCATGGTCAAGTTCTTGCACAACAAACGATTCTAAAACATGATGCTTTCCCTGGTTGTCAAAAGATGAGCCTTAAAGAGAAAATCCCTGGTGCTTACAATTTTAGACGTGTAGAGATCAGTCAGGTGAAATATGCTGTAAAAGAAGGAGGTCTTGCTGCTAATTTGAGTGGCCTTGCTGCTGATATGGAGCGTGATGACGAAAAGCCTTTGGCTGCTCCTTTTATTGCAGGCTGTGCTATGCCTAATAAAGATGCCATTAAATCTATCTTGAAAGCTATGCAGGCTGGTCCTGGAGGTCGTCGTTGGGTTTACTGGACCTGTCTTCGAGAAGAACCTGTGCTTTATGTCAACAAGAACCCTTATGTGCTACGTTTGTTTATTGATCCACTCAAAAATCTCGAAACAACTGGTATCTCACGCGAAAGAGTAGAAAGCATGGAAGATCGAATGAAACTGGATGTAGTACAAGAACTGGACGAATACGATAATCGGATGCTGTTACACGACGAGGACAGTGGTTTCAATTTATTGGTAAGAGGTCAATCATTTGAGATTCTAACTAACTTTATCGCAAATTCTGTGTTACGATAGCCTTTGTGGGAAACTGTACCAAAAGATCAAGTAGAAACACCTCGTCAAGTATTTGAATCCATTCGTGCTGAGGGTTATCAAGTAGACTATCTTAGAATTCCAATGTAAGCATACTATTTCTTGAAGCTATTTACTTATCAATGTTATAGTACGGATGAACAAGCACCTATACCTGATGTATTTGACCAGTTAATCCAAAGAATGCATACAGCGAATCAGGGTGTGGACGTAATCTTCAATTGCCAAATGGGGTAGGTTTTTTTTCCTCGTTATCATATCGCTAAATACGTATAGCCGTGGACGTACCACAACCGGGATGATTGTAGCTTCTCTCTTATCTATGGTATTGAGTAATGATGCTTTTGATTTGACTACTGATATAATTCAAGACAATGATGGCCCACACGACGAAAGAGAACGTTATCAAAATGGTGAATACAGAGTTATTCTCCAACTCGTGACCGTTCTCACCTTTGGAAAACTAGCAAAGCGTCTTACAGATCAAGCTATTAATATGTGTGACCATATGCAAAACTTAAGAAAAGCAATTTATGATTATAAGCTACGTTTCGAGGCAATGACAGATCAAGGCTCTAAGAAATGGAAAGCAACACGTGAGGTCGCATTGAATTATTTGGTGCGATATTTCTATCTTATTGTGTTTGCCAACTATCTTTTAGAAGAAATGCGCATTACACACAAAGACGAGAGTGCTTTCAAAGAAGCAAGAAAGCTGCCTACTTTTAAAGAATGGCTCAAAGGACGCAGAGAAATTGTTAATATTATTTCATTACAAATGCTAGAATTATCCTAATAAAAAAATCACACATTTTGTTTGGGAAAATTGGGGCACATGATCCGGTTAGAGAAGGCTACAAGATAACATTTGGGATTTAATTTTGTGTATCGGAGCAGTGTAACACATTGTGAAAAAAAACTTTATTTTCCTTTTCTTGATCTGTGTATAAACTCTGATTGACTATAAAAAGGAGACAAAAGATAGTTCATTTTTTTTCTCATTCTGTTTGTAACAGTGAAGAATACCCGTAAGTAAAATCATTTAAAAATATCGATGTGTTATTTAGCAATGGTTGTATAGATGGACGAAATTACTTCTCACAAGCACAATCGACGCGATTCCTTAAATGAAAAAATAGAAGCTGGTTCTTTTATTGAAAATGTTCATGTTATTCAGAATGATGACACATCTTCCATTCGTCGTAGAGATCAAGGCCGTGATGAAAACAGAAGACATATACCCGAGCATCTCCGTATTCCTGCAGTGGAAAATGTGGGATACTCGCCTCGTGTGGCTTACCTCAGTAAGAAAATCAAGCAAGGCTTTATGGCAGCCCTTTCACCTTTTATCAAAGTCTTGCGTTTCTTAAACAGAAGAACAAGTTTAAGTTTCTGGATTATTGTGGCCATGGTTATTGGTATCTTAATTGGTCATTTCGCTCCTGCCGCTGGTAAAGAAATCAAGCCTTTGGGTGACGCCTTTATTTTGATGATCAAGATCATCATTGTTCCTCTTGTCTTTAGTGTATTGGTGATTGGTATTGCTGGTCATGGTGATGATATTGCCAAAGTGGGCAAATTAGCTATCAAAACAATTATCGTAAGTCATTATTTTCACTATTATATTATATCTAACATTTTTTGACAGTATTTCGAAGTCGTTACAACACTTGCTCTTGCTGTCGGTCTAATCATGGCTAATGTTGTGAAGCCTGGAAAGGGTGTTATTCTGCCTACTGGCTCAGACACTTCATCAGTCGAAGAATTGGCCAACAAAGAAAAGACATCTATCACTTGGGCAAACGAACTCTTTTTGATTATTCCCGAGAGTTTCTTTAAGGCAGCTGTTGAAAACAAAGTACTTTCTATCGTATTTTGTGCTGTCTTGTTTGCCTGCGCCATGATGAAAGCTGACAAGTCCAGCAAGAGATTCATGCTTGAATTGAATGAATCTCTTTCTCAAGTGATGTTCCAATATGTCGCATTGATCATGCGATATGCTCCCATTGGTATTGGTGCTGCTTTGGCTGCCACTGTAGGCGCTAATGGCGTTAGCGTCTTGGCCAACTTGGGTAAACTCATTGGCTGCGTATATGCTTCTCTCGTTATCTTTTTGATTGTTGTCTTGATTCCTATTATGCTGCTTGCTAAAATCCCAATTATTGGTTTCTTTAAAGCCATTGCTCAACCCTGGTTGCTTGCTTTTAGTTCTGCTTCTAGTGAATCTGCTCTTCCTTTAGCATTTGAAAGAATGCGTGAATTTGGTTGTCCCAACTCACTCACTGGTTTTGTTATTCCTTGTGGTTACTCTTTCAACTTGGATGGTACTACCCTCTATCTTTCATTAGCTACCATTTTCTCTGCACAAGCTGCTGGTTTGGATTTACCTCTCTCTACACAAATGTCTATCATGGGTACATTGATGCTTTCTTCCAAAGGTGTTGCTGCTATTCCCCGTGCCTCTCTTGTTGTCCTGTCTGGTACCTTGTCTCAATACAACATTCCTTTAGAAGCCGTCTTAATGATTATGGGTGTTGATGCTATTATGGATATGGCTAGAACAAGTTTAAACGTCTTTGGTAACTGCCTTGGCTGTTGCGTTATGGCTCGAATTGAAGGTTCTTTCCGAGGCGAAGAATGGCGTGAAGAAGAAGAAGATCGTCGCTACAAGAAGTGGATTGACGAGCAAGACAAAGCTGGTCTTTTGGATAAAAAAGATGAAGGAGATGAGCTCTCTGATGTTTTAGTGATTCATGACAATAAGAAAACCAACAATTGATCTGTAAAAAAACAAACATACTCTTTGTATTATATATATTTCTTTTTTCTATTAAATAAACAATTACAATTAAATTTAAGTACACTGGAATAAACCCATTATATTTTAGAGGCTTCATCTGACTAATTATTCAACAAAACTTCAGCAACCAAACTGAACAAGACGTTGTGATATAAAAGAAAATAGAAAATAGCTGATGAATCTTTAGAAGCCTACTTTGCAACTTAGTAAGTAATATGCTTCTGAGATTGCATAATTAAATCTTAGATTTGTTCGGCAGAAGGTCGAAATTGGTAATACGAGTTCATTCAAGTAGTATTAAGCGGACACAGTAGACAGTCAGTGGCCCTGGTGTATTGTATACACGGTTTGACCTCATATAGTTTTTCAAATTAGCTAATATAATGATAAGCAAGCACCTACTATCAATTATCCAAAACGATTGACATGGATCTGTTTACTTTCAGAAACATCAAATTTTCCAATTTTGCTAACATTTATGCCGACTTACAAGTATGCCACTTGTGTACTCAAAAAAATATTTTTTGAAAAATAATAAAAATCACTATCTTAAAATAAGACCATTAATTTAAAATAAATCAAAAATACTTTCTGCAATGACGAAAATAAAAAAAAGAAACGAATTTTTGAGTTCTTCGCTTAAAGTTAAAAAAAAAAGTTTGTTTCTTAATTTTTCTGTTTTAAATAAATAAACGAATCTGCCAGTAATCTCTTTAAGCTAGAACAGTGAAATTGTCATCTGGCAGATTCGTTTATTTATTTAAAACAGAAAAATTAAGAAACAAACTTTTTTTTTTAACTTTAAGCGAAGAACTCAAAAATTCGTTTCTTTTTTTTATTTTCGTCATTGCAGAAAGTATTTTTGATTTATTTTAAATTAATGGTCTTATTTTAAGATAGTGATTTTTATTATTTTTCAAAAAATATTTTTTTGAGTACACAAGTGGCATACTTGTAAGTCGGCATAAATGTTAATGGAGCTTGAACATCCATATCTATTTTTTTTTTTTTGTAAATCCATTACATTCATGAGAGATTCTTGATATCTACGGCTATTAACGTAATTCTTTATAGCTTCCTGACTTTTCATGCTTTTGATTTATGTTGGCGTTGGCCATACACGCCTCATTGTTGATGAGTCACACAAGTAGTCTCAATTCATGACAAGGGCAGCCCGACTGATCTAGTCAACTACTGCCTAATTAGTTTGGCTAATTCCCTCAGAAGAACCCTCAAACATGCATAAAGGGGCTTCTTCAAGGCCAAACATTGCCCTTAGATACTGCTCAAAGTGGCTTTAGAGAATGCAAAAGTGTTCTTGACCAAGCTCATAAAAACACTCAAGACTGCCCGCTCTGTACTTTATTGGAGTACCAAATGGACCTCTATAGATTTTCTTTTATCCCAAATCACCTTTATGTAATGTGCTATCGCAAACAATCTACTCCTTTCAACGTCCAACTAAATCTTTCTATTTATTCTCTGGCTACAAAACCACGCCCAGACGCAACATTAGATCAGCACTCTCCTCTCTATTCCTCTTTTGCTCTTGTTTTCTTAAAGCAACTTTGGCTTAGTATAGTCATTCTTATTGATTGTTTGAGTTCAAACAGCTAAAGGCCACATTGAACCATGTGTTCAAAGAAAAAAATTTTTTTTCCATGAATTTGACAAAACTAATATCAATACGCAAGTATACTATTTATGTCAACAAACAAACATTTCTGGAAAGCAATTATTTTTAAGCTGAAAAAATATACTCTCACCACAGCGTGATCGATTGCGTTCTTCTTCCATCAATGGAGGAAATCTTTCATACTTGATTGAAGATTTGGTCAAAACTTTCCTTCAATGAGTGAAGAATTTTTCATCTTTTGATGAAATTTTTTTCTATCGCTTACGTTGTAGTGCCTTTAACTTTAAAAGAATCAGATTAAATTAAAAAAAAATTAAAAACGAAAGATGTTGTCAAAAATTTGCATAAATTTTTCATAAATTTTTCATAAAATTTTTCATAAAATTTGCATAAAATTTACAAATATTATCAACAAAGAGTTGTCTTTTTTTAAGTCTATTACGTTGAGGAGCAAAACAGTTCCGAAAATCCAAAACACATATATTTTTTTCTCCATTATTTTGCTATTCCTTGCTATTCCTTGCTATTAAATGGCATCTGATGTGAGTAGCAGGCCTTGAGTAACTTTCAGTCCTAAAGCTTTGTACTTAAGGTAGACTTGTGCTGATTTCAGACATATTATAGCTTCAAATATAATTGTATGTTGGATTTTCATCTTTGTAGTCTATCCGATGTCGTGGTTGTCAATCTCGTAGATATACATATATATCTCAATAAATTTGAAAATCGAGTTAAGTGTATACATGTGCATTGATGATTAGTGTTTCTTTCAAGACAACATGCCATTAATTTTATTAGATTATGCAAATGACAATGTAGCTTTTACTATAGAAAAAGTCAGTAACCAAATTAGAGTTGTGAGTATATGGCAACCTATACCATATCTAATACATTTACCAAAAGCCATTTTTCATATGTCGTGCATCATAAAGTTAAAGTAAGTTTCTCGACACTTTTTCATTTTTTATAAGCAAACATTCCTTTTCTTTGGTTTAGGGGGGATCAAGGGTCTATTTAATAATGCACTGTAGGAAACGATAGAAAATTCATACAATTTAAAAAATTCAATGAATTTGATTGAGTACGCATTTGGTTAAATGTGGATATTCACTTGTAATTTGAAAGCATATATATGTTACAATGAGAGACAGACTTAAATTTTCCTTGTTCTTTTTGCTTGTTTCTTTTATATAATATTAGTAGTTTAAAAAAAAAACTCTATGTTTTTCGAAGAAACGACCAAAATAATCGAAGCTGCCAAGCAAGAAGTTTAGAAATGGTTGCTAATGATTTCAACAGATTACAATAAGAAATTCATAGATTTAGAATCCATCAATTGTCCTTCTATGAATACAAATTTTAATATACTAGAGCCCGTAAAAGAGATGAGGCCATTCAAAAAAATTACTTTAAACTCTTTTTTAAGCTCTTGTGGAAGACATTAATGAAGGCAAAAAACTTCAGCTTTGATTTTATGATATCTCAGCAGCTGCCTTTTTTATTTTTACCAAAGACACGCGAAACATTACCTGTAGCTGAGACTGATTGAGCAAAAAAGATAAAGGACAGCTTCTTCCAAAGTAAGCAAGCATAGCAGCATACTTTTTTGTCATTAAAAATAAACCAAAGTGATAAATTATGATTCGAATGAAAAATGAATGAATATTATTGAGCATTAAAATTATGTAGATTCCATATTGCATGAGATTCATAGAATATGTATTTTGACGCTTTCTATCAAATCAATGCTATATAGATATTAAATAAGTCATATAGAATATCTATATTGCATGGGTATTGCATGAAACAGATCAAGGTATTTTGGTAGGTTCATTTTTGAATTATTTGGCTAAAAAGGCTCATACAGTACTAGATCTTTGCCCTATCATTGACATGACTCCTGCTTTGTCATGTGCTAGTTCCATTCCTTCACAAATGTCTACAGCTCTAAAATAGTTGCAGTTCATTATCATCTTGATAAAAGTAAACTATTTCTTGTCCAATACTTTAAACCAGTTTGCGATCACCCGACTCTTATGCCTCCTCCTAGAGGTCATAACCTATCTGTAAAGTCTGCAATATTCATCAGCCGTTGTCATCCTCTTAGCTCTCCAACTGTCTACATGGTAACATTATGTCTATGTGTAGAAATAGATCTGATGTCTCTGTTTGGTCTTTGCATTCTTCTGGGACATTGGATATAAGTGCATCTGGGCAGCATAATGTGGCCCCGTATAACTGGAAGCCTTCCTGCACTTTCTTCAACTTTTACCTATGAAATTGGATGGTAAGTGTTAACTCTATTTCCGCAGTTCTTTCGAGTCTTGTTCAAGATGACGCATTCAAATTTTTCTTTCTTGATTAGCAGAACAACGCTTACTTCTTTGCTTCAATGGGTTTCAAGAATCCTAACAAAGATATTTTTGCGGATTTCGCCATTATTTTTTTTTTAGTTCTCTAGCTATCTTTCTCACTGACATGAATTGTAATCTTAAGCACTTCTTTCTAAAAGTCATGATAATTCTACAGGCCTATATGGCTGAGACAGTACGAAAAATTATGGCAGTAGTGGCAAACGTCAGGAGCTTCTTATGAACGTGATAGACTCACATGAAAAAAATGTTTTTAAAATGAAAGATGAGAATTCATTTTATCAGAAATATCTTCTTTTCGACATTAACGTGCTTGTATATCGGCATAAATTCCAGTGCTTTTTATGAAGAAATTAGACTAAAAACATAGAGTATAGTGAAAAACAGAATACGGTTAAAATAGGCTACTGACAAACGCTACAGATGAAATTACAATATTATTCTTTTAAGTATCGATATGTATCAAACCATTTGAAATAACTTTATTATATCTACGACTTTTTGCCTTTCATAGTGTTTTAAAGCTATTGTATGCAATAAAAGTGTAGAAATAGCTTTTCATACGATACTCTTTTTGTTACATAATACATGACAAGACATTTATTATGTTTGACAATTTTACTTAAAATAACCAATCAAATCAAGTTTTTTTAGCATGCAATGTTTTATTGAATAGAATGACAGGAAGGTAATCTAAATCTTAGAAGGTTTTGAATGACGGAATGCTTTAAAGAAGTTTAAGTCAACTTGCTCTCATGGTTTGGAGCATGTAGAAGGGTAGTTTATTTTATTTGACGTTGACAAAAAAAAGACAATCTTTTTCAGAAACGCATTTGAGACTTTTATGTATTTATTCAAAGCAACATAGTTATAGTGGTGTTCATCGAGATTTTCTAGCTTTATTGCGATGCATCTAAATCCTTTGTTTATTGCTTGTGACCTTTTCCCGTTCATGTACCTGATATTTATTGATCAAGTGATTTTGTGTCTTTTGATAATATAAATGTCTAGAGAGTATGTACACTGATATTTATTTACAAAGAGAGAAAGGGGTGTCTCTATACAAAATAAAACTCTATTCCATTGGATTCGTTTTTCCATCTTGTGGTTTCTTTTCTCGACGTCTTTCTTTTCTTGTTAACCAAGAGGTCTTTGCATTTTTCAAGGAAATATACATTTGATCAAGCTGCGAATGTCTTTGCACTTTGGACCGAATCACCGAGCGAGAATAACTAGGGTGAGTTTGCATGATGATAATAAAAAATAATAAAGCAAAAGAAAAATACAAAAAACAGAGTCTATTTATACGCTTTTTTTTTTGGGTGTGTATGATATCATGTGAGATATCTTGGCAAAACAAATGCAAGAGCTATCGAACACGAAGTTTTCTGAATTAAAAAAAAAAAAAAGTAAGAAATTTGAAATCTGGATTTTATTTTACCTTCTGCGCTTTACGCCTTTAGGCCTAAAGAGTTGTGCAATATCCTCTTCATCATTGAAGGAGGAGGTGTCCTAAAAATAGAGTTTATACTATGTCTTGTGCATAAACCTATATATTACCTCATTCTCCTTTTCATCGTCATCTTCCATCATAGCAGGAGTTTCATCCAGTTCTTCTTGAAGGCGTCTTTGATTGTATTGTAACAACTAGAGGATGTGAGATAAATATCTTGTGCAGGGTTTTTTACCTTAATTTTTTGTTTCAATCTGACATTTTCTGCCTCTAAATCATTGGCGGATTCATTGTCATACAGGGGTTGTTTAGGGCAAGGCAATTGAGCATATCGTTTAAATAACCGAATAGCTCTATTTTTAATATAAAAAGGATCACTTTTGAACTCTTCTTGTGCAATCAATTTTAGCAATTTACCCATCTTTGTTTCCTATCAAACTATAAGTAGCCGATATAATTTTTTTCCTTCTCGCTTTACCTTAGCCATTTGAAAAGTAACGCCTTCAAATTGTTCTACTTGCTTCATAACAAGGTCTGCATCTTTACAAAGTTCTTCTTTTTTGAATATCAGCCGACGTAACTGTTTCCGTAAATCAAGGAATTGATGATAGGTGGGTAAATCTTGATTTTCCTTGTGTTCTGGTTCTTGTTCATCCTCGGATGGATTATATGCACGTTGCTTTGGGTGTTCAAGGAGTAAATTGCGCTCTTTTTCTAGTTGGTTTATTCTGTCTCGCATGGTATCTTGTTGCTGCTTTATTTTGATGTTGATGTCATCTAACTCCTTGGATAATACTGTCTGTCTTTCTTGAAGCTAATTAAAACAATCAGTGTATTGTACTAATCATGTGTACTTACCATTGTTAAGAAAGTATCGTCTGGTGTATCCTGTAGTCGGTCATTTATGTGCGATTGCATCATATCCGTCTATAGGGATCAATATCGTTGGATATATACATATTTTTTTTTACCTCTCTTTTGAGTGCTGCTAAATAAAGATCGTGTGTCTTTTTCAATTCTGTTTCCATTTGCTCTCGAACCTCATGTTCTATTGTACTTGCTCTTGTTTCTGCATCAGCCCATTTATCCCATAAATCTTCTAATTGAGCCATTAAGTCCTTTTGCTTTTTGGATGGTTGTAAAGAAGTCATGACATCTTTGGCAACAGCAGCAAATCTCATCACATGAATGTTTTCATCATAACCTGTATCAAATGGGTTGACATTCACTACAATGACTGCTTTTCCATCTCCTTCAAATGTACTCTTGAATAACTCTGTTAGTTTACTATGTCGGAAGGGTACTAAGGCTGCATTCTAGGATTGTATTAAACATAAGCTACCCAACTATAGACTTACCTTGCCCATGTCTGCTTTGATCTGATTGATTCTAAGCACTTCCATACATTGTCCCAATACCATCAGAGATTTATTAATATTGCCTGCTTCTTTTAACCGTTGTCCTGTGCTGTTTGTGTTACGATATCGTTCTGATCCTGCTAAATCAACTAAAGAAAATTTGGAGAGACTAGCACCCTCTTCGTTTGATTTTATGAGATGTACCGTAAAGATACTATGGCTTCGACTGCTGGACTGATTCATAAGAGTGGAGAATACTTGTCTGTTCTTTTGTCCCTGTTGAATAATACCGTATGCTTCTTGTACTGTATTTATCTTGATCAGATTAGCGTCTGCTGCATATTTATGCCCTGTGCGTTGATCGTATTTTAACACCAAAGGTTGCCGCTTGGTTTGTTTCGGTTGATTAGGTAATAAATCGAATACTTGTTCATTGTAAATTTCTACAAAGGACACCCATACTGCATACTTAGAGTGGGTATCTACTTGTAACTTGGTAGATTCTGATGGTATCTTTTCTTCTAGTGTTTGACATAGATGTCTATTTTCTTCATTTGGATCTGTATAAGATTGTAAGGAACAATGCATGACTGGCTTGATCTGATATAGATATGAGTATGAAATGAACGCGTATGTTTATTGTTCTTACTTTAACTTCACTCTCAAGTCCTTGAATACTATGAAAAAGAGTACTTAATGCTCTAGGCAAAAGACCAGCATCGGAGCCTTCTTTTCCTAGCATTGTAAAGGTCTTGCCAGAATTAGTAACACCATAGGCAAATACTAGCGTATTTTTGCCATTCAATACGTCCTCTACTAGGTTTAAACATGTCTCATCGAAAAATGTGCTTTGATCCGCATCTCTGAATACTCGAGTAAATCGATATCTTTCAGGTGTTTTGTTTCGAGTGCGAGAATCCTAAGTTGATGAGTATTCAATTACTTAAAGTGATAGTACCTTGGGAGGAGTCATGATTACTTCATGATCGTCGAGGATATCGATATAGGGTTGTTCAACAAGACCTTGGTGATGATCAGGTTTAGGCCGTATACGCAAATAAGCCTAAGTAGAATGTTCAATAAAAGGAACAGGTTCCCCCTCTCTTTTTCTTTACCTTGATAGGTTCTTTCTCGGAATCATAACTCTTGTATCTTTGTGATTCACTCAGCCTCTTTTGTTTTTTATGATGATCTATCTTAATCATGATCGAGTCGAGTAGAAAAATAAATAAATAAATAAAAATAAAGGCTACACGAAAGCAATTAAGACGCGAAAAGCGTTTATGACGCGTTGACAGTCATTATTCATACGAATATGCATCTCGAGCCTATCTTTATAAAGATTTTTGAGATCTCATGATAAAGTTTATTGCTAAGAACAAATACAGCATGATTCTATTCACCGAGGAAGTAAATCTTTATTCAATGTAATGATCATCTTATTCTGCCTAAAATTCTGGAATGTTGCTGGTCCATAAGACAGATCAGATAGATCAAATGAGACTCTTAAAAGAAGGAGATTATGCTACCAAAGTATTGATTCCCTCCCCTCCCTTTTTTGCTATAGAAAGAGAAGGAGTGTCTTGTGCTCCCATCATTTTGACAGCGCAATTTCTGCATATGAACCAAAAAAAAATTTCATTTTTTTTTTATCAAACTCTACAATGGACTTTACATCAGTCCCATTTCAAGATCTGCTGTTACAGAATGCAGGCCACGATCAGCTTGTTGGCTTCTTGAAGCAGCTAGATCAGCAGTACATCAATACCACTGATGAACAGTCTCGATTTGGCACTCTGCAGATCCTGGCTGCTGTCCTAAAAGCCCATGTCCTCGGTTTAGATGACATTAAAGCAGAGGAAGAATGCTTGACTCAATATTTAAAGCCACACATGATAGCCAGTTTTGCTCAAGATTCAACGACATCTACAGAAAGTGTGCATGTGTTGGAAAAGACAGTAGCATTCTTTATGGCACGCTCCATGGTGCTGTATAATGAACAAGCAACATTTGGTCAAAGTACACTCTTGACTGTATTGAAACAACTTGTTCATGCTATGGAATCCGAACCTGACTTTGTGGATCTTAAGCCACTTGCTTTTATTCAGTCCCATGCTCAAGATCAAGAAATATGGGATCAAGCTCAACAAACAACAATTACACCTCTGCTTGATCTTGAGTGTTGCCTCAATCTATTGAACTTATTTGTACGTGATTTAAATGAAAATGAAGAGATCAAGGCATTCATGTCTGAAGAAACAGACGAACAGTTATGCGCTTGGATGCATTTGATCTTTACAGTTGCAGTAGCCATGGTACCTTGTACAGATATCGCTGTCCGCAACAAGCTGGGACACGATCTATTGCCTAATTTACTTCGTTGGCAACAAACCTGTCAAAAAGTCGAATGGGATCAACAAGTCTATTGGTGTACAGTAAGTGATATAGCCGTATCTCTCTACGTAAGCTCATTGTCGATAGATGCTCTGGGATCGTACGCTTGAAATTTATGCTTTGCCCGCTACAAATCTTTTAAGACTCGAGATCTATGGCTTAATTGCTCGCTTCTTTGATTCTTATTTTGGTACGGGTCAAGTACGTAAAGATCTTCGATTTGATGCTCGTTTCTTCAAAATATTACAAAGCGGTCTTCAAAGCAACGATTCTCTTGCTCGTAAATATGCTACTTATATCTTGAAGCGTATAATTGATTTCACGGACAAGAATCCCTGCGAGAATGTCGAATGGACACCTTATTTTAGCTGGGATTACACTCAATCTCAGACCTATTTAGAACATTGGGACGATTGGTTCTTGCTGTATGATATCATGCATGAAAGCGTCATTCATTTGGTTGAGCCTGTCTTGCCTCGGTTTGAGTCTTTGCTTCATGCTGACTTATTAGATCCTTCTTGGTGGATCTTGCTACTCTACAGAGGTTTCCAGAACGATGTCGCTTCTGTTAAAAAGGGCCTGCTGGAATTTATTTTTTCAAGACAAGACAAGTTTGTGTTGAACAAGATGTGTGTTCAACACATGTTTGTATTCGGTGCTCTTTTCAAGACATTAGATGTGGCTTCTTTGTTCCAAGTACCTACGCAGGGTACTTTGGTAAGTCCGTTTGGTGAGCATTTCAAGACGTTTTTAGTGAACGCTATCCGTGCATTTGAAAAAGACCATGACCGAATAGGATTTCTAAGACAATTGATGCATCATATCTCGCATGTTGTGAGTAGCTATGTGCCTATTCTGTATTCCATGGAAGCATTGGCCCAGACAGAAGAAATGAACGCATGGGGACCTGATGAACTCAAGTCGCTTCGTGTCTTGGTTGATCGTCATCGAAACTTCAAGCAAGTATCGCTTTACTGTATGCTATCCAACTAATTGATGTCTATAGTATTCCTGCTACAAAGCAATTTTTGAGAAAGTTGGGTATTACTGCTGTTGTCAAGCTTGCCAATACGTCTGTTCTTTCTTTTTCAGATGTTGCAAAGTAAAACATACGCTATGATAGACTGAATCGCTTATGTGTGTTTTTTTTAGGACTATATCTTCTCTTGTGAATGAATATCCTCTCAAGACAGACTCACACGAATTCAAATTGATTCATTATTGGTTAGAGAACAAGGTCTCTAAAGACATGGTAAAGCCATCGTGTATACGACAAAATATCTTTTTTACACTGTATATAGTCTTTTGAAAGTATGTTGCATGGTTTAAAAGATCGCCTCAAGACGTATGTCGTTGATTTGAAGTCAGAAGGTAAGCATACAGTACCAACAACGCTTGTTTAATTAGAGAAATTAGATATTCCTGAAGCTGTCTTATGTACACAAGCAAATGTACTTGCTCGCACCTCTGTCTTTGTTGTTTCTGATATCCATGGTCAATTGTTGGACACACACATAACTGAGCTCTTTGCTGTATTTTCTGAATACTTGAAAAAACAGACAGATGACATCTTGTTTTCTCGGTTATTAACTTTGCTTGATGCCCTATGGGAAAATATTCAAGTATCATTTGAAGACAAAGCACATATGACAACTCTACTTGGACTTGATCAGCAACATTACATTGAACTACTAAACAGAATTGATAAAAAGTATTTGAATATAGGTCAAGAAAATGTTGTTGGTAAGTGTGTATCTATTGAATATATTTATTCACAGAGAGTATGCTATAGATGAAGATTTGGTTGGCTTGTACTTGTCCTTGACCCGAAGAATGTTATTGAATCAAGATACATTTGAACAGGAACAAAGATATCATCTTATCAAGCAATATTATGAAAAGTCTCTTGAACTCATCAAATACCGTAACCCTTGTAAGTTTCGACAATGATCACATAGATGTCTTACTGTATCGTAGCTGTAGATGCTAGTCATGAAATGTCTAAGCCTGCCTACCTTTCTTTGTTGAATATTGTATATACTGCTGCAAGAAAATACGACTATTTCGAACTTGACTGTGATGATACACTTGTTTCTTTAGTCTATGGTCTTCAAATGAAGAGAACACAAGAAGCTTTGCGTGAAAGGTAGTCCCGTTCTGCTTGTAGACACCGTATTAATCTTCAAATTAGATCTTGGGGTGATTCCTTGTCTACTTTTATTCGATGTAAATGGGAATGCATTGAAAACATTGTCCATTATGCCTCAGAGGTAAAAAAAAAAACCCCCCTTCGTGATTTTGAATCATACATAAGACTCATTCAACATATTTCAGGTTCAATCAAGAAAGATACAAAAATCATTGTTTGATCCAGCCAGTCTTTATGAAGAAGCCATTGACCAACTCGAAAGCGGTTCTGAAATGTGCGGTGAAGCCATCATTCGTAGTTTTGGTCCTTTGCTTGCACTTCCTTGGACAAAGACACCTGATATGGTGATGCGTTGTGTAGATTATTCTGTTGCTTTGATGAAAGAAAATGCTGCTCAATCACGTACTTATCCTCTATTGATGCGTGCCTTTATTGATGTGATCTTTCAGCCTGCCTTATTGGCTGTTCCTGAACTAAACCAAGCAGACGGCCCTATCAAAAAAGCACTTCAGATGGTATTACAAACAGGCGAATTAAAGCCTTACATTGTCACTCAAGCAGCCAAGTTGTTACACGCCTATTGGTCTACATTTACTCCAGAAGCAGATCAATCCATGAGTCAATATGCTTCTGAAATTGCTGCTTTGGCTGTGTTTGGTCCTTTGAGAGACAGAGAAGATCAAAAGTTAGAAGCTGCATTTGCTGCTAAATTAGCTACACCTGCTGAAATATTAGATGCTGAAGGGTAACGTATACAAAGTTTTGTTTGTTTATTGACTTGTTTTAGTACTGCACAAACTGTATTTAGTCAGAACGATTACTTGGTGCGTGTCTATGTGAATGATATCTTACTTCGACTGGATCTAAACAATCAGAACCATATTGAACTGGCTAATTTGTTGATGGATCATTTGTTCCGTATTGTAAACGAAGATATTTTGTATGAATTCATGTACATGTCTACCATCGAGCACCGTCTCAAACTCCGTGTATGTTGCTCCATTATGCTCATCATTGATTTTGCTACCAAAGACAAACTCAAACACTACTTTGATCAATATTTTGAATTGATGCGCAAGGAAACAGTAACTTCTGTCCGTTGTTATGTTGAATGGGCCCTTGTGCGCTTGTTGGCTCGTTATCCTGACCATCTGCCTGTGTTTTACGAACGCCTGACAGACTCTAGCCACAAACCCAACTTTGTCATCTCACTTCTGACCGTCACATTCACATTATGCGACATAGTGCCTGATGCTTATGCCAAAGCATACTTTGATGACATTTTTAAGCGTTTGATGCCTTGGTTGATTACCAACCACTTTACTATTCGATTGTTTAGTTATTGTGCATGGCAAAGAAACTACAAGGCATGCATGGATCGTGGCTATAGTGAAGGTATTGTGGACAACAAGTATATCCAAAGCATGAATGCCTTTATGGATTCGTATGTGGACTGTATCAAGTATTGGGATAAACTTCAACAACAGTTCTACATGACCAAGTTTGATCCTGTAGCTGATTATAATGTCGAGTTTATCTTCAGACAAATGTTGGCAGAATTTGATGTGATTGAAAATGAGCGTATTGGATCTGTAAGTACTTATGTTTGATCGTATCATGATATTCACTCAAAACTAGAAATCATTTCTACGCTTAAATCCTACACCTGTAGCTCGTTGTCCATTTGACAACCCTGCTCGTCGTTCAGTCTATACTTCTGCTGATCCTAGTGAAATGATTGCTGTTGTTACCGTGCCAACACAGACTACTAATGAAGATGTATTCCAGAAGAAGATCACGCCTTGGGAAATGATGTTGGAAACCGACATGGACTTGACCAAGCATCTTGTCCAAAAGAATCGTAAGCGCAACGATTTGATTGTCGTAGCCAGCCTAATTGATCGTTTGCCCAACCTTGCTGGTCTTTGCCGAACGTGTGAAATTTTCAATGCCTCTACTTTGATTGTTCCCTCTCTTAAAATCAAAGACGATATTGGATTTACCACAGTCAGTGTTGCTTCTGAAAAATGGATGCCTATGGAAGAAGTGACTGAGGTTGACTTACCCGAGTTCTTACAGAAAAAGAAAGATGAAGGTTATACGTTATGTGGTCTTGAACAAACCACTACAAGTGCTACCTTGGGTAGTTATGAGTTCCCCGAGAAATGTGTCTTATTGCTCGGTAAAGAACGACAAGGCGTACCTGCTCATTTATTACAAATGTTGGATGTCACGATTGAAATTCCTCAATACGGCATCACCCGCTCATTGAATGTTCATGTCAGTGGTGCTATCTGTATTTATGAATACACAAAACAAATGCAATGGCGTCAACAAACAATTCTTTAGACCTTTTATTTTTGACTATGCCATAAACCATCAAATAATTTACTATCCATAAAAGAACCTTTTCTGTCTAACATATAGGCCATTTTCTCTCCTCGAACATTAAGGAAGATATGGGATGAATTGGTTTTGGTACCAATGGCATCTGTGCCGTTCTTTCCAACACCTGTAAATACTTTTTGTCTGCAGTAGAGTTGTTCAAGGGGATATTCCTTGTATTTCTGTGAATCAAATAAGCGAGCATGTGTGACTAATCTGACTCTTTGAGCTCCTTTAAGTAGAATCAATCTGTCTATATATCTATTTCAAGGTTTAGCCAAATTCATTTTAGACGACATTGTACCTCCAAGGATAGAGACACATAAAAGAAGCAATACCAACACCTGCTGCTACTAATCCACCTGCAATAGCCAAACGTTTCCCTTGAGGTGCAAGTACAGCAGGAGCATCTTCACTATAAAGTTATGTTCATTTCATTGTTATTTATGGTATCACTTTTTTTTTTTTTTTTTTTTTTACTTTTCTTTGACAGCATAAGATACATAAGCCAAATTAGCTAAATTACCCCTAATTAAAATTTAGCTTTTTATTTTGACAGCTAGGTTAATGTATACCAAAACAAAAGTTGAACACCAGCAGAAATATACATCCAAAAAAAGGTACGTTTGACACCTCGAGGTGCTTCATAAAACACTACGTCTTTACGATCGAGTGCTTGTTTCAAGTGTTTACTTGTAAACTGAATCGACTTTTTGTCTAAAGCAGACTTGAATGTCTGTGTGCTGTAGACTGTCGTTTGTTAGTCATGATTGCGATCTATTGGTATTTACATGAGCGCTGAGTCAAGCAAGTCTTGAAAGATCGTAGAAGCATAGTATAAAGGAAGAAAAAAAAGTTCAAAAAGAGGACAGTCCCAGCCTTTTTTTTTATTATTATTGTTATTATTATTATTTTCTATAGAACTGACGTTTGAAATGGAACCATAGACTAAGTACACCTCTATCAAAACTACAACGGAATCCCTTTTTATGCGAGTATTCCCATTCACGATTCACAATACGAAAAGCAATGTCTTCATAAGGTGGACCAGCATGAAATCGAATCAAGACTGTATCGGGTGATTCTGGGTCTTTGGTAATAAAATAAGTAGGTGCTACTGAAGGATCAATTAGGTCAGGATAAAAGATATTAAATTTGTATCCTTGGACCACCTTGGGTGGTGGATTATCGAGGTCATAGTGTGTTTGATTGTATTTGTTCCATTCATAGCCTGTGTGAACACGGTTAAAGTACCTTGGTTTACGAGGACGGTATTTGTCTTGCCAATTATAGGTTTGTTGGGCTAATTCAACGTCTACATTAAATAGATCTTCATCTTCATCCACTCCCTTGGCTGCTTCTTGTTCAAACAAGACAGAAGAAGCAATACTTTCATCTTTGGGATGTTCTACTACAGGTTCAGGCTGTTCTTCTTGTTTATGTTGCTTAGGAATGATTTTGCTGCTAAGGACAACACGGCGCTTTTCCATCAATTCTTTCAGGTCTTGCACTGGATCTATCACTTCTAACTCTTGGTCGTCTTTACTCAAGGACAACATGGGTTCTGGACTCATGCCACGTTGATAGGCTTCTAGTAATAAGCCCTTAGAGGAGGGCCCTGTACTGAATGAAGCATCTTGTGCCTCCATTAATTCTTGATCCACTGGCTCTACTTGAATGCCTTCTCCAGCCATAACACCTTGACCATGTACTTGTTGTTGTTGCATTGACAGTACACGCTCCAGTTCTTCTTGTACCTTAAGGGCTTCTTCTCTCTGTTTGTTTCTTAATTGTTCTAGACGGGCAGCCAGGATTTCTTGATGCATTTCATCCAGCCTTGCTTTTGCTTTGTAAATCACCAATTCTTTAAGCAAGTTCTCCCAATACTCGACATCAATCGGCTCATTTGAGTTGAGTTTCTTGAATATTTGTGTCTGAAGAACAGACAATTGAGAGACTGTCTTGCCAGACAAAACACGGTGTATGTCTTTATTGACTGTGAGTGCAACACCACCAGACTGAATACGCTCATTGCTTTCACGCATCTTGGTTAGACAATCTTCTGCAACGACAATCATGGCTCGCCAGAACTCCAATGTTTTGACATTCTTTTCAAGTGCCAAGTGCATCTGAATGTCTTTATGAAGTTCGTCTGTTTCATCCAAGGTGAGATTATCGAATATGGTATAAGGCTCGTCTAAATCAATTTCGAGGTCTACATCTTCTTCTACTTTATCCGGTTCATAGGCCAATCTCAAATTCATCGCCAGAATATCAATGGGTTTGGCACGTCCATCACGAATACGAATGGCTGCTCTTTGTTTAGCCTGTTCAAGGTGAAATTCTTCTTCTTTTGTTTCCCAATCACCCATCTGAGCTAGTTCAGCATCACGCTGCATACGTGCATATTCCTCTTCACGTAATTCCATTTCTCGCTCGCGTTCTGCTCTTCGCTTATTAAGTTTGGCGAGTTCTTCATCAGCTTCTCGTTTCCTTTCACGCTCACGTCGTTCAAGCTCTGCTTCAGATAGTCCAAGTTCTTTCTTTTCACGCTGTTTCTTTTTACCCCAGACAAACTTGGATTCGAGATTGACATCATTAAAAGGATTGCTTACGTTGGAATAACCAAGTGATTCCAATGAAGGCCTTCCACTGGCTGCAGCACGCTTTTTTTCTTCTTCTTCATTGTCTTCCAAGTCAGAATAATCATGCCTTTTTGACGATTTCTTTTCTTTTTTATGTTTAAGGCGATGTCTATCTCTTGAATCAGAACGATTACGACGACTATGGTATGGATGAGTTTTTTTTTTTTTATTTTTTATTTTTTTAGCTTGTTGACAAGACAAATAACTTACCTCTTCTTTTTTTCACTTCTTTCAGGCGTGCGTGATCGATGTCTTTTACTTGATTTATGTCTTTTGTGTCGATCTGGTGAACGGGAACGAGGCATAATGAGTGAGAGAAAGTGAGAGAAAGAGGGAATAACTGACTTTGAACCCAATTGAATGTCTTTTTTCACGCTCAGTGGTGTCAAAAAAAAACTTCAAGACTGTAATTTATCATTCATATCACTTGTAAAGTATGTTTTAAACCATGCTTTCAATTCATTGCTTATACTGTAGCTTTGATTATTCATGTTAGTCAATTCAATACAGGTCTAAATGGAAGCTATTCTTCCAATCAAATTGGAATATGTGATGATGACGTTGAACTACAAATTTTTTTTTTTTATTCTTCCTATATATTTTTTCTCTTTTTCCTTCTTTTTCTCCTCTCTCTCTCTTTTTTTTAGTTCATAGTCATGTCAGATTACGATAGACCTGCTAGTCCAATGGTAAATTAAAACGCGGTCAAGATCATACTAAGTCATGAATAGGACGGTTATGAAAAGTTAGAACCTCGTTCTGCTTCTCGCTCTCGATCTAGATCACCCAGACGCCAGTCTCGTTCGCGTTCTCCTGTCCGTCGCGACTCTTCTCGTCGTCGTAGTCGATCTAGATCTAAAAGTAGAGAATACAGAAGAAGAAGAAGGTAAATAAACACGATGAGACCACACTTGTTCATTCTTGATAGTATTTCTCCTCGTCGTCGTAGTCGTAGCCCTCGTCGTAGAAGTCGTAGTCCTCGTCGTAGAAGCCGTAGTCCTCGTCAACGTCGTCGTTCTCCTCCTCGCGGTAGAAAGTAAGTTGTATGTGTTGCATTGATGGACCTAATTTTTTTCTTTTGCTTCTAGTGAACCCAATAAAGAATTCCATGGTACAAGAGAAGCCCCTGAAATGTCCAATATTTTGGGTGTCTTTGGTTTGAGTCTAAGAACACGCGAAGTAGATATTGAAGAGGTCTTTAGTAAATATGGTACACTTGAAAAAGTCACCATTGTGTACGACCACCGAGTAAGTTTTTTTTTAAATGATGTGTGATGGCTAATTGTTTGAACAGAGCAACAGATCCAGAGGCTTTGGTTTTGTCTATTTTAAAGATCAAAATGATGCTACTCGTGCCCGTGAAGCTTTGAATGGTATGGAAATTGATGACAGACAAATCCGTGTTGATTACTCTGTCACACACCGCCCTCATACACCTACACCTGGTGAATATATGGGTGAGCGCAAATCAACAGGTCGATATGACCGTGATCGTCGTGGTGGTGACTACAGACGCCGTAGAAGTCGCTCTCCTCCCCGCAGAAGATATTATCGCTCAAGAAGCCGTAGCCGATCCTGGTCTCGTTAAATAAATGGACAAGAATGACAAGTTTTTTTTCTTTTAATAAAAATATCAAGAAGTAGTCAAGTTTACACAAGTTATTGTTGTTGTTTAATTTTTTTTTTAAAGAAACATGTATAAACCACAAGAGGTAAGTAAAAAAAAAAAAAAACAAGTGTGTCTATATATAAAAAAAAGGTATCCATAACAATACAGCACTAATGACAGGAATAGTCAAATTATCATCTAAACCAAACGAATTACTGACACCTTCCGAGAATCCGGCCACGAGACCACCATAAAGAGATACGAGCCATAAGGGATACTGGTAGTGGTAGGACAAAGGCTGCTGATAATAAAAGGCCAAGGGACCAAAGAACACATAGGTCACAAGGGAGCCCATTACCACAGCACCCAGGGAACCAGCCAAACTCTTACCTTTGTATTGAGGAGTATATTTACCCCATAAACGACCACAGATACTTGCTGTAGGGTCTGTCCATGATAAATAAATAATGGAGAGTGCAGCTAAATCTAAGGGAAACCAATAGAGAACAATAATACAGCCTAATATAGTTTCAGTTTTGAATCCTGTCTTTGCAATAGCTTACCTAACAAGTAATAGACAACACCATTGAATCGAGATTGAACCTCGGTTGGTCTCATGAGTGGGCCTACAACAGAGCAATAGAGTCTATTGAACCAGTCGAAATTGAACCGAAGCAATTCCAAAGAAGCCACAAATACTAAGAATACTGTAAGGAAAGGATAGACATCTTGTGCTCTTCCGTCGTTCACATAAAGATAAAGTACAACGAAGCCTATTTGTGTTAATCAGGGCCGATCTCTTTTTGATTCTTACCAATCGAGTAGTGAAATATCTTGCGAGGTATTTCCCAACTCCCTTTCTCGGGTATGTTGAATAAAATAGCCTTTGACGTGTTGGAAGCCATACAAGAAAAAGAAGAAAAAATATAAAAAAACAGTTGAAAATGTAGACTACTTGAATGGTATTTAAAGACCGATGGTTTAGGTGTGTCGCATGAGCTCATTCCTTTTTTTTCGTTTCTTTTTTTTTTTATCTCCATGAACAAGTTTGTCAATCTTTCATTGTTTACAAGCAAGACTCTCACAAGACGCGTCTGTGCACAGTGTCATGGTAATACGACGACGTAAATGAAACAATGGCTGATATGGACACTAAAATTCTAGTTCGCTTACTCAGCACGATGGATAGTCAAGCACAAATGGAAGCTACCATGAACAAAATTGAAGACCTATTCAGTGCTGCCAAAGACGAGGTACATGTAACTTCTTGTGATTATCATATGCTAATTGTGTTAGTTGGAATATGCCGAGGAGTCACAAGGCACAACCTATTATGAAGAAGATCGTTCTACAGCTAAAAAAGCTGTGGAAGATGTTCTTCAAGCGTATGATCAATTCTTACAAGATTTACCTACTCAAGACATGAAGACTGAAGTCAATACAAAAGTGGGCATGAAGATCAAGGAGCTAAAAATGACCTTTGAGGCACTTCCCGAAGTAGGACATTAAGTCGCTTGCTTTTTTTTTTATTTGCTTGCAGGAACATGACCTGCCTTTAATAAACGTTCTAATCTTGAAATTTCATCAAGTGATGTTGCTTGTTTAAGTGCCTCCTGCAAGAATAAATTAGAAAACAGCATTAGATGCCAGTCATCTTACCTTGATCTTCAATTGTTCTTCAGGTGTCAATCCATGGCCTTGTTGTTCTTTAGCAAGTCCTTCTCCAGGCTCAAATGTCTTTGTTTTGTTGTCTGCAATAGATCGAGCCAAATCGTTCTCTACCCCATCCTTAGTAAACATAGCAGCTGCTTCTTTTCTTTCAGTCAATTTGACCTTGTTAAAGTCCAGTACTCGTAACTGAGGTAATTTATGAATCACATAGAGACGATAGTATTGCTTCTTGGTGACAGGATTGTCCAACACACTCAGATGCGTGAGTTTCTTACACTCGACAAGAGGTGCCAAATCGCCTAATTCAGTAATAGAATTGTTGGTCAATATAATGGTTTGCAGATTGGGCACATAGTTATTCAATCCACTTTCAATTTTGCTGATACGGTTATTGTTCAAAAGCAAATGTTGTAAACGATTTAAACGAGGAAAGTTGCCAAGAACGCGCAAGTCATTGTTTGTAAAATCAATCGTGTCATTGAGATCCTGTCAAGCATGTAAGAGACGTTGCGTTTATCCCATGGCGTACTTACCTTGGATGCACCAAGATTTTCAATCACAGGTATCTTTAAGTCTTGAAAAAAAAAAGTAAATAACGCGTCGTTCTTAGGGTTTGTCTTTACCTCGAAGTACAAGCTCACGTTCTCCAAGAGGGTTGATGTGTGATAAACTGTTGGCAAGTAACTCTGCTGTCAACTTCATGATGAATATAGAAATATATAAAAGGACGTAAAAAGAAAGAACAAGAGATTGGATTTAAATGTGTGTTACTTGCTTGTGGCTTGTAGAATTAAATGCTGCTGATGTCAAGTCAAACAACTTGAGCAGTACACTCTGATAGCTTCATGATAGGATTGCCAGTAAAGACTCTTTATGAGATAGGATGATGTTAAAGAATAAAACAGAATGCTATTTATTTTACTTTTATTTTAATGCTACAGTATTTACACATAATATTACAATTTAAGAGCTTGAAGAAGCTCTTTTCTGGGTATGAGAAGCAGCGCGTACAGCATCTTCCAAGTCCCAATGGAAGAAAGGATAACGATCAATAGGCACGCCACGATTTAAGCGAGGATAATACTTTGCTTGGCCTTCACCATCAATATTGATGATATAAGACATACGGCTACAGTCAGATATACTGGTAGGGTGCTGGTTATCCATCTGAGAAGGTAGCTTACTGATAGACAGGTCGACTTCAGAAGAAGTTTGGATTTTTTCATTCGAGACTGGCACATTCTCTGTTGAAGAACCTTGCAGGGTATTTAATTTCTCGTCCTTGTTGTTCAAGTCGCATTGAGGACCATCGCGGTAAGCAGGAACTACAGGTAATAACTCGCCTGTACGTGGACCACGACCTGCTTGACTACCAAAGCCACCTGCAATCAAGGCATTGCGAATGGTGGGACTACCAATACTAGCAAAATGCCACTCGACTTCATAGCCTGAAAATCGATTGATAGCAAGCTTAAGATCAAGAAGCGTTTGTACACCAGTAGAATCCAGATGGTTAATGGCAGAGCAGTCTAAGACAATAGCACGAAGCTTGAGACTTTCATCTTCGTCTTGCATGGTATTTTCGTCCGATTCGTCAAGTGTGTCCTTTTTGGTTAAAGGACGACGATCGTTCCAGGCTCTCTCGCCTTTGGTCTTGGGAGGAGGAGCACTGGAAACAAAGTTGTCTTGAATATAGTGCATGATCTTGTCAGAGATAAAACTGGCGTTGGGGTAAGTCAAGGATTCATCAAAACGAAAGATGACAACGCCTGAAGGAGGAGGCTGAACAAGATGGTTGAGGGTTTGATGGTCTTGTCGGACATAGATGTAATGAGTGTCTTCGTCATGGGTCGTGGTTGTGTTGCTGTTGTCTGTTTCAGTGTGCGTATCTTCAATAATGATCTGTCCCTTTTCGCTATGAGGGTCGTTGGGGTTATAGTAATTGGTGGTGGGCTGAATAGGAATGCGGCCCAAGACAGCATAACGAGGTCGAGCGATACGAAGCAACATGACAGCAATAGACAAACAGACAGAGACGTAAATACCATATTCAACCGTGGTAAAAAAAGTGATCAAGACAGCAGCAACAAAAGTGAAGAGTTCAAAGGGATTGACTTTCCATAACTGATGAAGGAATTTGGGCCCTGAAACAAGGTCTGCAACAGCATGAATCTAAGTGAATGGGTAAGTAAATAGTACATTAGGGATAGTAAACGACATTACAATAATAGCTGACAAGGTAGCATCTGGGATGTAATAAAATGCAGGAGTTAAGGCATAGAGACAGAGTAAGACAACCAAGGCAGAAAAGACGCCAGTCAAAGGAGTTCTGGCACCACTACGAGCAGTGATAGCTGTTCTTGAGAAACTACCTGTGTTAGGGTATGCACCTATGAATTCAGATATTAGTTTTTCTATTGTAGAGATTAAATACAACTTTACCAAAGAAGCTACCAATAACGTTGGCTGCACCAATGGCAATGATTTCTTGATCAGCATCGATCTTGTAATTGTTAATACGACCAAAAGATTTGGCAATAGCAACATGTTCAAGAATCAGAATAATAACGACAGAAGGAAGTGTGCTTGAGACTTGCGACAAGAGACCAAGGTCTATATGAGGTACACCCATAGCAGTGAAACCAGAAGGTACATCTTTCAGGATACTAATGGGACTTGAACTCTTGCCGATGTTGATCAAGAAAGCAATCAATGTGCTAAAGATGACAAGTACACCATTTCGCATGATATTGACAAAAAAGAAGAGCTTCTCGTAACGAGGGTATTTCTTTGTAAGATGACCAGTTGCCCAACGCACACTATAAAGCCAAAGTAAACCAACGAGACCAAAGGCAACATCTAATCTTGTTTCGGGCAAGTACTTGAAGAAATGGCCAAAGATGAGATAGGCAGAGTCATGTGTGTTGACAGATTTCATGCCAAATAGTTTGGGCCATTGGCCGATAGAGATGGTGATACTACTACCTGTCATGAAACCTGCAATAGCAGGGCCAGGAATAAAATCGACCAAAATACCGAGACGTACGAGGCCAATAAATAATGCAATGAATCCACCAAATAAGGCGAGCGTCACAGCGACTTGAGGGCCTGTGTATTCGCCTGTTGCTGTGACTCGTGCGATCGTTTGGCCAACAAGTAAAGACATGACAGCTGTAGGGCCTATACTGATATCTTTGGATGTGCCGAAAAAGCAATAAAGACATAGACCTATAAATGAAGAATACAGACCATATTGCTATGATTTGTTAGTCGATATGAAATTAAAAAAAAATGTTTGTTGACATACAGGAGGTAAGTTGGCAATTTTGGCATATCCCATGCCTTGAGGTACTGCAACAATACCCACAGTGACGCCGGCAATGATGTCGGATACCAGCCAAGTGAGATTGTATCGATGAATCCAATAAATAATAGGCAGTAAATTCGACATGTATCGCTTCAAATATCGTGGCACACCATTGAAGAATTTTATTAATTCATTTTTGTATGAGATTGGTTCGTAATCGAGTAGAATTGGGCTGTTGGGCATTTCTGGTATATTATGCCTCGAAAGGAAATGTATATATTTGGTAAAATAAATAAACAGAAAAAAATGAAAGAGAAACAAAAAAGAAACTGGACAGAACAGTGTATTTAAATTTGGAGGATTATTAATGCCTGTGTTACTGATCTATGATGTTTCGCAACTAGACGTCAAAGCACGCAATCGCCAACTTACTCTATTTGAGTATTTATCCTTTCCCGGCAGCCAATAGCATTAAGTCGGATTCAAATTGTTCCAATGCCGTCTGTCCTTCTCACATTTGATTGTTTTCTTTCTCTTTTATTTTAGGTGATTGAAGGAGTCTTTCTTCTTGATTGTGCAGTGTTTTGATTGTTTTAATTGATTGAAAAGCATTGATGCGTTGAGTCAACAGCAACATATACTAACAAACATTTTAACTGGTCTAATGAGTTTCATGACAAAAAAGAAAAACTGACATTGAGTTCCCTGTTGAGTTTTAATCCATGGTTAATTTGCTTCATCATCATCGCATACCTTTTATTAAATGAAGAAATAAAGAAAAAAAAAAGATTATGAATAAATAATGTACAGCGATTTATTAGAATATGTATATGTGTATTTAAAGTATGGTACATGCACACACTTTAAAGAGTGAAAGAAGCAGATTGACGGATATCACGACTAGAAGCACCAACATGAAGAGTGAATTTACCGCTAGGAATAACCCAAGAGTTAGACTTGACATCCCAGATACTAAGTTCAGTCTTGGAGAGTTCAAAATTGACAGTTTCCTTCTTGCCCTTCTTCAAGTAGACCTTTTCGAAACCACGAAGAAGCTTGGGAGGTTCACCAGCGCTTTTAGGGAAAGAAAGGTAGGCTTGGACAACTTCAGCACCATCGACCTTACCAGAGTTTTGAATAGAAATAGAAGCCTTGACAGTAGCGCTCTTCTTGCCAGAGTTAGAGGCCTTGACCTTCAAGTTACTGTATTTGAAAGTAGTGTAAGAGAGACCGTGACCGAAGGGGAACAAGGGTTCAATGTTAGCATGATCAAACCATTTGTAACCCATCAATAACTTTTCACTGTAAGGAATGTGGTAGTTGGGATCAGGCTTGGCATTGTAATCAGAGGCTTCTTTAGCGATGGTGTAAGGAAGACGAGCAGAAGGGTTAACTTTACCAAGCATAACGTCAGCAAGAGCATTACCAGATTCTTGGCCTTGGAGACCGGGCCAGACAACAGCCTTGATGTTGGGGTGGTTAATCCAGGGCATAAGAACAGCACCAACAGCGTGAATGACAACAATGGTGTTCTTGTTAGCATCAGCAACAGCCTTGATCAAGTTATCACCGTTGTGCCACAAAGAAAGGTTGTTACGGTCACCGGCGTTGCCATCAACAGTAATGTATTCTTCACCAGAGTCAGAGTTGGAGAACACAATAGCATAGTCAGCATCCTTGGCAGTCTTGGCAGCCTTTTCGAGGTCCCAGTCATCCAAAGAAGTAGCAATCTTGACCTTCTTACCCAAAGCATCAGAAAGACCGGTAAGGGGATCAACCAAGTAAGGGTAGTAGGCAGTACCAGAACCCCAACCTTGGGCAAGAGTACCATTGCTATTTACAAAAGGTAAGTATACATGTTGTATTTATATTTTTCTATATTACCTGCAGCCATGATCAACACAGTTAAGACCAGAAGGGTCACGTCCAGCATCAGAACCAACAATAGCAATCTTGTCAAGCTTCTTGCGGTCAAGAGGAAGAACGCCAGAGTTTTTGAGAAGAACAGTTGAAGCAGCACCAAGTTCGCGAACTAACTCTTTGTGGTTGGCTTGAACATTAACATAGGGAGCCTTGGTCATGTTGAAAGATTCAATGGTAGTCTTGGGGAAGTTAGTGTCTTGACGCATCTTGTACCAGGAAGCAACAATACGCATAGCCATATCAGTAACTCTGCTTTCCTTGACTTCATCATTCTTAACAGCCTTAGTCAAATTAGCACCGAAATAAGACAAACCATCACCCATAATGATATCACCAGGCATAGTCATATCAAGACCACTGTTAGCGGACTTAACAGTAGAGTGAGTAGCTTCCCAATCAGATTGAACAAAGCCCTTGAAACCAAGTTCACCCTTCAAGACAGTGTTTAAAGTATAGTCATCTTCACAAGCATAAGTACCGTTAACCAAGTTGTAAGAGCACATGACAGAAGCAACACCAGCTTCAATAGAACGGGCAAAGGGCCACAAGTAAACTTCATGCAAAGTCCTAGAGTCAACTTCAGAAGAAGAAGTGTGTCTGTTCAATTCTTGATCGTTGAGAATGTAGTGCTTGGCAGTAGCAATGACACCTTGCTCTTGAATACCCTTGATAGTTTCAGCAGAGACAACACCAGTCAAGAAAGGATCTTCACCTTCTGATTCCCAACCACGACCACCTTCGGGAGATCTCATAAAGTTCATGGCAGGACCTAATTGAACATGAACACCTTTACCACGGAATTCTTGACCCATGTATTGGCCACGAGCATAAATAGCCTTCTTGTCAAAAGAAGCAGCGGCATTGATACCAGCAACACCAGAAGTAACATTGTTAGCAAAACGAATACCAAGAGGAGAATCTTGTAAACAGAGAGAAGGGAAACCAAGTTCCTCAACGCCATAGATGTTACCAACACAGGGACCTCTTTCCCATCCGACACCAGTAGCAAGGCCAACCTTTTGCTCCAATGTCATCTTGTCAACAAGGACCTTAGCTTTGTCATATGCATCATCCCAAGAAAGAGGAGTGATCTTTGCTTCAACGAGACTGCTAACAGTGTTGATAGCAAACAAGAGAGTAATAGCAGTAGTAGAAAGAGATGGGATATGCATTGCTGCGATGATGATTTTTCAGTTACGATCAAATTTAACCCCTTTTTATATAAAAAGTTGATCTTGACATTTTTCAGTTACTTACAGGCTTTTTCCTGATCGCATTACATGACTAATAACATCAAGATAAAACTAGGAACATCCGAGGATTTATGTCAATTCTTACAGAAAGCATGTACTGTATGACAGGTTTTACAGTTTGACCACCAGTTGCTTTTTCTCATCGGGCTTTAATATTCTGTCTTGTAAGCTTTTGCTTTATGACTTTTAGTTGATTTAGATCAACAAAAGCAAGAAAAAGTAAAGATTAACAAATATGTTATTGAACACAACCTGACTATGTAGAATGCTATTATTTTATGAAAAACTTTTTCTCTTTTTCTGTTATTAAAGCTGAAAGAATGACAGCATGCGTAACAAGAGGGAGAATTTGACGTAATTGTTCAGGTTAAAAAATCGTGTGAGTCTCTGTTTCTTTTACAAAGTATATTCTGTGGATTTCTGTTCCCTATATTTTACAAATAAATTTAGGTTCTTAATTAGGAATAGTGTACTTGACACACTTAATTTTAAAGTTGGGAATATTAGATTATGATCATCTATGCCTATACATTCGACCATGCATAGCCAACAATAGGAACAAATAATTGGGTCAGTTATATCTTTATAAATTACATTTGACATAGTAAGTGCAAGTTAATCTTTATTAATGCAATATTCTTTTTGATGTTTCGGATGAACTTTTAATCTATTTTGTGCAACTTTATGAACTCCACATCTAAAGTATTGCTAGAAAATTTTTCATGAAAATCCCGTATCTTGATCCTCTGGGCGCTAACTTTCGAGCATCGTGAGATTATTAGGTTCTGAAAAATTGCTCCCTTGCGCACTATTAGATAAGACTCTGAATAAATTAAAGTTTCCAGCAGGAATTGGAAAAAGCAGAAAAGCACAAGGTTTTTTTTTTTTCTTTCAATACCAACAGGTTTTAGATCAGGGCTAAAAGTACCATGCTTATAAATGTAACTATTAACGAGAAACATAAAGGTAATGATTGGTAGGTCATATACATATAGTTACAACATGCCCATACAGATTGGAAGCTGAGTCGCTTTTTAAATTGAAAACCAAGGTACTCTTTTTATCTCTGAATTTTTGAATTAGAGTGAATAGGTATTCTCCTTTATTTTACATGAATACATTTGTGCTCTCAGAATTATGTATTTTTTCGTGGTTTCTGTTAGACATATAGTTTAGCACTCCTCGGTACAAACGACATAGATTTAGGGTGTACAACCATCTGGAATGAAAAATGCAAACGGGAAAAAAAGCGACCCTTTTTTTTGTGGATTCAGAAGTATTAGTCTCTATCGATAAGAAAACAAGCAAATGCATATATTAAACTATGCAGAGAGAAAAAAGAAACTAAAGAATATTTTATGTATTTCAGGAGGCTCATTTTGATTGAGATTATGAGTTGACAACATACAATACTATAAATTCCTGTTAAAGGAATAGTTTGAAAACACTTCCAAAATAGGTAGATTGTTCCTTATGGATCAAGCTGTAGTATTGGTTCTTTTTTTTATGTGAGAAGAGTGCGTACTAACATCACAGCATGGTTTTTGTAGAATTTCTTAACTATTTTGCTTTATTTATCTCATAATTCTTAGTTCTTTATCTGAATAGTGTATAGAAAAATGACTAAAAAAATACGGATAATTGGCGAGTTTTGTTACGACTGTTTTTCTTTCAAAATCAGAAATCAAGTTAAACAAACAGGTATGCATAATTTCTTGTCGTTATAGTCATATCTATTTCACACGCAAGGCATGATCTACTTGGAATAGCTGAGAATATCTATGGGTGCTCTTTAAAACTGACATCCAATTCATTTCAATACATGCCAGGAGTTTACTTTTTCTAATGCGTCTTGACACTAATTTTACCAGCAATCTTCAGTACACATCATCCTCGCTGTCATTATGAAAACGCTTGTCTTATCTTGGGTCTTGACCTCTAACGACTCTGCGGAAATTTTTTTTACAGAAAATAGCCGTATGATAAAGGCTGGCTTAAATGTATTAAACAATAGCTAAACTCAATTGAACGATTTTTGGAGAAATACAAAAGATATTTTGATTATTTCTTTTAAAGAGTTAGATCAACTGCTCTAATTCCTTAAGCAAGCAAGTTCCTTTAATTACCGAAACTGAAATCATGGACTAGATAAAAGAACTACCTAGTGTGCTTTAGACTATCAATATATTAAGATCTGTATATAAGAAACGTGCATACTTTGCGACTATTAAACAATGCTTAATTCCATTTGACATAACAAAATCAATTATGCATATTATCCACTATTTCTTTTCTTGTGATTTAGCACACTTTTAATTTTAAGTTCAGCACAAATAAAAAAATATTCTGGCACAGGTTATTTGGCAAAAAGTGTGCCAAACTTAAAGAGGTTCTTTCTTGAGACAAGTTTCAAATTTTGAAGCTAGATGCAGACCAAAAACCTCTTAAAACCAAGGGGCACTACTCACGAAAATCCTTCATTTGGCAACTTCTAACCCTCTTTTATATGCTATATCGTGTCATTGATTGTCTTCCTCAATCATTTGCTAATGCTAGCCTTAATACTGCTACCGCTATGGTCCTACCTTTGCAAGCTGTGCTTTACATTCCTCCTTCTTCGTCCTTCGTTGTCCCCTACGTGTCAAGAAAATGATGGTATCAGATGTCTTTCAAGTTAATACTAGACTCAACTTTGTTCACTGGAAAGATACTCGTGATCCTTCATTACTTCATTGGAAGCGTACTCCTTCTATATTGTTTAGAGGTCTTGTGTCAGGAAATTTGAAGCTCCAACCGTTTTTGAGTTCTGTCTGTAGTCCTGCCCCACTTGAGGACTCGGTGGTCTTATTTGTGACCTTGGATAAGCAACTTCGTTTTCAGGATAATCAATTGATTGCCAATGTCCAAGCTTTGGCTAAGGCATTTCGTCTATCAGTTCTCTCGTCTGTAGTTCCTCCGTTGGCCTTGAGAAATACTGCAGACGCGCAGTGGAAACTCTTTTGGTCCCTGTCACTTACCTCTGTCCAACGTAATGTGATATACCGGTTTATCTTGGGATGTATTCCTCATTGTAGATTTTTGCATTTTTTCATGCTTCGAGTTTTTGATTCCCCTCTTTGTCCGCTGTGCTTGACTAGAAATGACTCAGTTAACCATCTGCTCTTTCACTGTCCAACTAAAGAGAAGGTATGGCAGGAAATCATCTTTGAGTTTCTTTGGCCTACCACCTCAATATCTGATATCAAAGAGGCTCTTCTGTCCCTGGACTTCTCGTACATCTGGTACTGCCAACGGAAAGGAATCAAACTATACAGAACCCTCATAATTACTCTTTCACAAATCTGGCTTGCTCATATGAGATTTATCTTTGACAAGACCCCCATTGTACCCACGGCCATAGCAGCAAGCATCCGATTCAATGTTCGTCAGACCATTGAAGAGGATCAATGCCATTCAATCATGTAACTTTTTTTTTCTTTCTTTCTATATATTTTATTTTAGTTTAGTTTATTTTGTCTAGTATATTTCGTTTTATTTTATTAAATTTCATTTTAATTGCACCCGCCTCTTCACTTTGACTATTACTCTTAGTGTACGTGGCTCAATCAATGAACATATTTTTTTTTAAAAAAAAAACCTCTTTTTGACGTTACAAGACGGGAAATAGAGCTGTTGACAAGCTTAAATATCCAAAGTGAGCGTCAAAAGCTGTGGTTTCTAGTGCTTATGTTTGCTTGCCAAGTGTACTATAGAAATGATGAGATATGGTTGAGAAACCTTACAAACATCTTTGCCTATTTTCTCAGAAGTTTAACAGCAAATTTGGAGTATTTCCTGTGTTAATATACTCAAAAAGTAAAGATGTACAATGTTTGTCACTACACCAAAGCCATAAAACTGCGTCTTTATGCAGTTCTAAGCAATGGCTTGATTTTTTTTAATGATTTTATTTGCCGCACGTATTAGTGGTCTCGAGAGGGACCCACTAAAAGAGGTGCTCGTCAATTATTTATTATAGGAGGATTAAAAGAAACAAAAAGGGTACTACAATTTCAAAAAAAAAAAAAAAACAAAGAAATCAAGAAAAAAAAAGAGCAGCTACTGCGAGAAAAGACCTCTCAAGAATGGCTTGATTTTTTATGAGGCTAGATGAAGAAGTAGGGTTGTTTTACTTTAATCTCCGCATCGCTGCTAAATTATATGTTCTATGCTCGTTTGCTCTACATTTACATTATGCAATACATGTATCTCTATTCTCTATGTTTCTTTGAGTGTCAAAGAAACATAAGTTGCTTCAAATAGATCAGTATCTAACAAGTTTTGTGATACATATAGAGCAAAAACGCTCAAAACACAGCTTAAATGCACTATTCTTTGATCCGCCATTGCTCGACAACTATGCTATCAAAATAGTCTGTTCTTTTTGTTTAAAACATGTTCTCTCGAGCCCAGCAATCGGGCAGTACCATTAGTCTGGCACTTGTGTGAAATTTATTTTTTTTGACCCAGGGAGGATCACGGAGGTCCGTGAAGATGAAAAAACAAAACTCTAATAGAAATTTTTTTGGAATGACCTAATGTAGGTCTGATCCAACCGAAATGAGGAAAGGTCATGTCTAGGTACTTCTGATAAAAATAAAGTGAGTTTGCTAAGATGAAAATATTGATACCATTTGAACATTGCCTTCGAATCTACATTCAAAGTTCATTGTATACTGTAGTTGGTAGAAAAATGGCCTTTTCAGTAGATATTAACTAGTAAGTAGGCCTAGAATCTAGCATTGTTTGATCTGAAAGATACAGAAGCTAATTTATGGCTATCAAAACTCAATATTCTTGCTAAACAATCAATCTAAAGAGTCTTTGTTTACATGGCGTAAAATCTAGAAAATTCTCACGATACAGCAGATCAATGCTTTGATCCAACTGTGCCTACAAAAACAAAGTGTGACCGGACATAAACAGTGGCTTTTTTGTATAGACACTAAATGTGACGTATCGAGCCTTTGCGGTGTGCTGGAAAGTCCCAGAAACCGAAAGAAGGTTTTTATCGACATTTGATTGGGCAAGAGGAAAGGTAAGGCTTTTTTAGGTTGAAAAGGGCTCGCTAAAAAATTGTTTTTTCTAGTATTCTTTACTAAATAATACATAATGTCTGTTGTTGTAAGTATTGCTTGATGTCTTTGTTTTATGCTTACTTAACGTGTCTTTTAGGGTATTGATCTTGGTAACCTTCAAACTGTCATTGCCGTTGCCCGTAACCGTGGTATTGATGTCATCTGTAATGAAGTCTCAAACCGTGCTACTCCGTAAGTATATTTGCTCTAAGAAAAGACAAAGAGAGAAAATAAAAATGAAAGCGTATCATGTACTCATGTTTCTATAGTACCATTGTCTCTTTCGGTCCCAAGCAAAGATACCTTGGTGAAGCTGCAAAGACTCAAGAAATCAGTAACGCTAAAAACACCATTGTCAGCTTAAAGCGTCTTGCAGGTCGTAAGTCTGAAGATGTTGAAGTTCAAGAAACTGAAAAGAAGTACATCATGGCTGAGTTGGCTGACGCTAACACTCAATCTGGTGTCAAGGTAAGATAACAGAAAAAAAAAAAGGCGAAGAATGATATACTGATTGTGCATTGATGCAATTCTAGGTTAACTACCTCGGTGAAGAACAAGTCTTCTCCAATGTTCAACTTTTGGCCATGTACCTCCACAAGATCAAGGACATCACTTCCGCTGAAATCAACGGTCCTGTTTCTGACTGTGTTATCACTGTCCCCGTTTGGTTCACTGAAGTTCAACGTCGTGCTGTCCTTACCGCTTCTGAAATTGTTGGTTTGAACTGTTTGCGTTTGGTCAATGACTTGACTGCCGCTGCTCTTGGTTACGGTATCACCAAGCTTGATCTCCCTGAAGAAAAGCCTAGAAATGTCACTTTTGTTGATATCGGTCACTCTTCTTACTCTGTTCAAGTTGTCTCTTTCATCAAGGGTCAATTGACTGTTCGTGGTACTGCTTACGATGAACAGTTCGGTGGTCGTGAATTTGATGCTGTCATTGTTGACAAGCTCGCTGAACAATTCAAGGAAAAGTATAAGATCGACGTCTTCTCCAACAAGAAGGCTCTCTTGCGTCTCCGTGTCGCTGCTGAACGTTGTAAGAAGATCCTTTCTGCCAACCCTCAAGCCCCCGTCAACATCGAATCCATCATGGAAGACCGTGATGTCTCTGCCATGGTCAGCCGTGAAGAATTCGAACAATGGGCTTCTCACTTGTTCACTCGTACTGAAGGTGTCTTGGCTAAGGCTCTCGAAAACGCTGGTTTGAAGGTTGACGAAATTGACTCTGTTGAAATCGTTGGTGGTACTACTCGTATCCCTGCCATCAAGGCCACTATTTCCAAGTTCTTCAGTAAAGATATCTCTACCACACTTAACCAAGATGAAGCTATGGCTCGTGGTGCTGCTCTTCAATGTGCCATGTTGTCCCCTGTCTTCAAGGTCCGTGACTTCCGTGTTAACGATGTTGTCACCTACCCTATCAAGCTTACTTGGGAAGCTACTCCCGAAGAAGAAGAAACCGAAATTGTTGTCTTTGATAACAACAACTCCGTTCCTTCTACCAAGATCTTGACTTTCTTCCGTCGTGAACCTTTCACTTTGGAAGCTTTCTATGCTCAACCCGATGCTTTGCCTCGTGGTGTCAACCCCTGGATCGGCCGTTTCGATATCAAGAACGTTGCCCCCGTCAACAATGAACCTGCTCAAATTAAGGTCAAGGTCAGACTCAACATTCACGGTATCTTGTCTGTTGAATCTGCTTACACTGTCGAAGAAAAGATGGTTGAAGAAGAAGTTAAGAACAAGGATGGTGAAAAGGAAGTCAAGAAGGTCAAGAAGCTCGTCAAGACTGCCGATCTTCCTGTTGTTGCTTTCACCACTGCTCTTCCCAAGGAAGTTGTCAATGAATACACTGAAAAGGAAAGCCAAATGTACGCTAATGACAAGCTTATTGCTGCTACTGAAGCTGCCAAGAACTCTCTTGAAGAATATGGTTATGAAATGCGTGACAAGATTCTCGGTCCTCTTTCCGAATACATTGATCCCAGCGTCAAGGACAAGTTTGCTGAAGACTTGAACGCTATTGTTGACTGGATCTATGATGAAGGATACGATGCTCCCAAGTCCGTCTATGTTGAAAAGCTTGATGAACTTAAGAAGATTGGTAACCCTGTCGTTGAACGTTTCCGTGAATCTGAAGAACGTCCTCACGCCGAACGTTCTCTTCGTGAAACCATGCACCGTTTGACTCAAGAAGCCATGAGCAGTGATGAAAAGTATGCTCACATTGCTCCTCATGAAAAGCAAGACATTGTTGAACGTTGTGAACGTGCTGGTAGATGGATGGACGAACAAAACGCTAAGCAAGCCAAGTTGGCTAAGAACGAAACTCCCATCTTGTTCGCCCGTGATATCAAGAAGGAAGAAGAAGCTATTATTTACTTCGCCAACCCTATCTTGAACAAGCCCAAGCCTGCTCCCAAGCCTGAGGAGCCTGCTGCTACTTCTGATGCTGCCCCTAATGCTGATGCTGATACCCCTATGGATGATGCTTCAGACAACAAGAAGAAGGAAGATATGGACATTGACTAAGTTGTGTATATTTATTAGAGAAAACAAAATGCAAATTATACATTCCATTTATTTAGCTCTTGTATAAAAAAAATTAAAAAAAGAAGGAAGAGTAAAAGCTCTTTTTTTTTTTGTTAATAAACATTTCAAATGTATAAACATATTTTTTATTGTTCAGCCTGTTGTTTTTCCATGAGAGGTTGCTTTTGTTCTTTTTCAGCATAAGCAGGAGGTTCTTCAACAACAACGGCTACAGCTTCATATTCTCCTGATGGTCTTGAAGCAAACAATCGATGAAGAGCGAATAAAAGACCAGCAAAGAAAGTAACAAAGAAACCACAAGTAAATGCTTGAACAAAGTTGGAAGATTCATCCCACCACTTTTCGAAATCAAAACTCTCACAGCCAGGGCATTCCAAAACGTTCATGACTATAATATATGTTAAAAGAGAAATGAGGCACTAATATATAAATTTACCATCATTGCTATCGTTTTCCATCATGGCAGGACCAGGAAGCATGAAGCCAGTAAGAGGGTCGACAGCCCACTTGACAAGTGAACCATTATCATAGACATCAAGAATCTGTTGGCCAGCTTCTGTTTGGACTACCTTTTGGCCATTGACTTCAGTGATCAATTCTTGTACACCAATTCTGCGTAAGACCAAGCCGTCTTCTGTCTTGATTTCTTCAAGTAAATTAGCAGTGACTTGTACAGTAACGAGTCCAACATCAAAGCTGTCAGCTAATAATGCAGCATCTTCTTCTGAAGCAATGATGAGTTTGGCTGGATTGGATGCCATCTGAGCCTCAACTTGGATATTAGACACGCCAATATCGACAGGTCTACCGTTACACATCAACTAAATAGAAGTGAGTTTAGGGGAAAAAATTGGGTCAAGATTAATTAAATATACCTGATTTTCAACAACATCAAAAGTGACTTGAACTGCCATCACACGTTCAGCCAAAAGTGAGCCATCATCATCAAGAAGATCATCAACTCTAGTGACTGTAACATAAAGGTGTTCATCACCCTTTTTATTGTAGGTGTTTTCAGCAAGGTCAATTGATGTTACAGAGACATCTTTGAGTGGTGCTGCGACAGCATATGCTACATGATACAAATGAGTATGTTTTCTATTATTATTATTATTATTATTCCTATTTGCTGCATACCTAATAAAGCAGAAAAAGAGAGTATTTTGATTAAACTAAACTTCATTCTGTTCAAAGAATAAAATAAAGAAAAAAAAGAGAGAAAAAAAAGAGAAAAAAAAAGCAAACGAGGGAGTTTTTTTGTTGCTTTTTAGCATTAAAAAGGAGAGAGAACAAGTGATTTTTATCCAATAAAAATTCATTCTTAATCAAGTGAGGCTGAAGAGACTAGAACCAGGAAAAACAAGTGGTTTCTTGGCGGTTTCTAGTGGTCAATAGTGATAAGATCATAGCCAAAATCCAACACCATAATTCTTTTGTCTTGACCAGCACTAGTCATTATAAGAAAAAGTCGTTTTGGGTTATTTGTTTACCTGATGATTTTTGTTCTGTTTAGCAAACTATTGAATATCCAACTCGAATGACCACTTTGGAAACTCAACAAACATTTGTTTTCCTTCATGTCCCACACTCTTAGTGTTTTATCATAACTACCACTCACAACAATGTTCTTCGCAATATTAATATCATGATTTGAGTTGCAAAACTAGTACCTCAAAGCTATCGATGGTTCGAATCAAATCTGAATGTCCAGTCAGTGTAGATATACAGTTTCCTGAACTTGCATCCCACACCTTAAGCTTATTGTCTTGTCCGCCACTATAAATAAATTTACCATCAAAACGAACACAGGCTAATCCTCGAGTATGTCCAATAAAAGTACGAAGACAATGTCCTGTATCTACATCCCATAGTCTTAATGTTGTATCACCTGAGGCAGACACAACAAGGCGCTTAAAAGATCCCAAAGCATTCACTGGTCCAGCATGACCCTCTAACCGCCTTATCTCTTGTCCAGTGGCAGTATCCCATACACGTATACTCGCATCACGTGATGAACTTACAATCAAACTCTCTAGAATACATACATCCAATACACCACCACTATGGCCGATCAGCCTTTTTCGAGGCACAAATTCAGGCAAAGACCAGATTAAACAAGTGGTATCGGAAGACCCAGATACCATAAATGTCATATCGCTTGAGATACGCAAACAGAGCACACTCCCATCATGATGTGTCTTGGTCAACAGCAATGACTCTTGTGGGCGACTGAGATCCCACACTTTGACTGAACGGTCTCTGCTGCCACTCACAATTTGGTTAGATCCAAACCATACTAAGCAGTACACACTGTCTTCATGTCCTGTAAGATACCGTGTATGCACATTTCCTCTCTTCCATCGCTGATTGAGCCTGTAGTGATTCTTGTAGAGATCATAGTAATCATCATCTGTCAATAACCGTTTTTGGCAATAATTCGTACGAAACAACGTCTGCCATAAATAGTGATGGTTCCGATGACAAATACGATGCAAATGTTTGCATGTTTCTGATAGCCTCAATAAGCTCAAACAGTCTAGGTAGAGCATTGTTTTGACCATGAGTTCAATCGGTAGTCGTTGAATAAAAGCTGCTTAAAAGAATGTAAATCATCAATTGGTTTGATGTGATCCTTACTTTGTGACCGCTCAGCAGTTACTACTATTTGATCATTATCGCCGCATAATTGTATGTCAATACTATTTCTCTTACAAGCCTGAAAACGGGGTATAAAGGAAGGAATGAGTCGGCGTTGTTTAGGCGGCGAAGAGGAAGGACATTGTAAAGATAAAAATGAACGACGACGACGGGTTAACAAAGTACTTGAACGAGCCTGTGGCTGCTGTTGCTGTGTATCATTCAAGCATTTTGTGGTTAGTGTACCATCCTTACGCATCACAATCGTAATAAAAGTCGGCATATCGGGTGATTTTGATGAAGAAGGTTGGGTATAGGGTTTATTGAAAGATAGATAAGATAACAGCTTGGATGTACTTGGTGTGATTAAGGAGGGCGCCATCAAAGTCATTCTATAAATATTCAAAAAAAGAAAAAGAAAAGGGAGAAGAAAAAAAAACGATGAGAATGATGATGTTAAAGAGTTTTTCGGGTACAAAATCAAGTAACCATTGTGTTATGCATGATGTGCGTAGTACAATCAAAAACTGTCCAATTGTCAAATCATTACATTCTTGCAAGTCATTCTGCTTACTGCTAAATTTCCGAGCATATAGGATAATTCTAGCAATAAAGGATTCTTCGCTCTTTTGGTGCCTTTGTAAGTAACCTGCTTATTTCTCGCATTTAGTATAGTAAGGTCATGTGACGTTGCATTGGCTATGGTGAGATTTTTTTCATCATCCACACTTTTTTCTTTTTCTTTTTCTTTTTCTCGATAATGATAGACGAACTTGATTATGCCGAGATTCTTCCTCAAGTAGAAGCTTTACATGCGCGCTGTGTTTCTATCTTGCGTGAATGTAAAATGTGGAATGATGAAAGGCCTATTGAAGGTTTGCACAGATACACGAATTCCTTGACGGCGGAAATGCACTTTATTGAAAAAGTAAACGCAAATATACTAGTTAATTTTTATCTAAAACAAATAAAAAAAATCATATTTCAACATCTATAGCTTTTAGAAAATCCATCGCTTATTAAGAAAGAACACATTCAAAGTACCAACCTAAGCTATCTTGAAGCAGTATACGAAGCTTTGTCAGGCGTAGGAAAATACAAAAATGAAGTGATGCGTATGGTTAGTGGCCCTTTGGATAATAATGTATGGATGCCTCGAGCTGCTATGCTCAAGAACAGTAGTGTCAAGGTAGATATTGTGTCAGAAAACGGGCTTGTCTGGGTCAAGGTCATTGCACGTAATGCAAAGGCATTTCGGCACGAAATTATGGGCTTAGAATGGGATGATAGTGACTCTTCAGACGACGACGATGATGAAGAATATCAAGATGGCCCGAAAAAAGCATCCGCAGTAGGCGATTTTGATAGCTTGCCGATCTTTAAAAAGGCACACGAATATTTAAGAACAGCTCGAGCCCATCATGTTCAGTTCCATACGCCTATTGTTGTGTTTGCCTTCATGCGTATTCAGCCTGAACAAGATGTTTTTGTACAAAAAATCATGGATAGATTGACTGAAATTGGTATCGTTGTTCACATGCAGCAACCTATAAAAAGCCCTCTTCAGCTTCGTTCGACTTATATGCCGTTCCTTAAAGACATTCAAGACATAGACCACATCACAACACCTTCTATCAATGTTGACGTCAGTTCTGCTTTGGCCATTCTTTCTGAACTATCACATCATGTTTGTTCTCCTGAACAAATATCCGCCATGCCACTCCAAGTCCAAGCAGAACGTGAGGCTCGGATACCTGCCCTGCCTCAAATTCGCCATTATATCACCGGAAAAAAGCTTTGTATCATCACCAGTGCTTATGAACGACTCAAGGAAATTGTAGATATTGTGGGTGGTGACAATGAAAAAGCTCGGTTCAGGTATTTATTTCGAAGTCATCTCCATTTGGATTTAGAATTCGACGCTGAGCTTTGGACGATTTTACCATCTTTGTCTATTGAAATCATACCAGACGCTTTATCGGAGGCTTTTACAAAGCTGTTGGAACCCCCTTTTGATCACAAGAGCAAGTTAAATAATGGACGCAAGATCCGCACACGTTTTTCTGAATTTCATGCCAAGATTTTTGGAAGTGGGGCGCATTATAAGATGACAACACTCACAGCAATTCAATGGATGGAAACAGCACTTAAAGATGCTGGTCTAGAAGGACAGTTTTTAGTATCGCATGAACCTAGATCTTTAGCAGAAAGGAAAATGCATATCATAAAAGAATGACAATAAGTTTTTTTTATTGTTATTTTTACATGGCATGTGAATATATGTATTCAAACATAAAGAGAGAAAATATGTATTATTAAGAAGGCCAATAAATTACATATACGAAAGAGGAGACACCTTTAGAGAGACAGAGGAAAAGAGAGATAATTCATGTTGGTATAATGGCGTTAACCGAAGATTTGTACATATGAAGGAGCATAGTCATTAAATACAGAGAATATACATAGGAAGAAAGAAAAAAAAAGAGAGAGAGAGAGAAAGAGAGAAAAAAAGAAAGAGGAGGAAAAGAGTAATGAAAGACAAGGCACAATGATAAATTCCTTTCTTAGTCAAAAGAGAAATCGAATTCTTTGTCTTTGGCTGTTCTTATGCACTCTTGATGGTGCTCAAACTCATCTAATAAAGAGACTTCTTCCTGCTCCTCATTACTGATATCGAATTTCCATTGAGATGGATGAACACCATTTCTTGGACAAGCAGACTATAAAAAGGTTAATAAGCAACATAACTAAAAAAAAAGGGACTTACAGAGTGGCTAGGTAACCAACAACCGCATAATTCACATGAAGCAGGGGCAGTAATCATAATTCAAAATTGGAGAGCAAAAGGAAAAAAAAGAAAGAGAAGAGAAATAAAAGAAAGGAAGCAGCTTAAATGATTGATAATTTAGGGTTATCACTTGATATGCCCCGTGCTTGACTATTATTTGTATGTCACTATATACGCCTAAAGTGATACGGTGACCCTTTCTTTTTTGCTTGTGCAATTGATGTATTTAATGCTGTCATTTCCATTATCATAATTAAATTAGCAATATAAAATTCATGTTACACTAGTAAAGTTTTCATAAAGTCACGTTCTTGATTGTTTATTATTTTGTTGTTTTTTTTCATTGATATATACAAATCAATATATATAAAGTAAAGTTTTATAAAAAGATATTTACGTAGTTTACGATGCATTAGGTAGACAAATTAGAGTAAAAAAGAATACTAATTTAGTGGAAAACACGCATCCAAATTCAAGTTTCTTCGTTCCTCTCAACTTGTAATCCTTAAAAAGATATTAATTGCAATTGATCAACAAGGTACTTTTACTTATTAAATAAGCTATATTCTTCTTTTAAATCATGGTTCTTTGGAATGTTTACATGTCACGAGTTATCATGTAGCTTATCTTTTAGAAATTCCTTCACTTAGTGCAGACGCATTTATGTTTATGTGCCACGTATCTGCAAGCGAAATTCTAATTCACACATAGAATGGGAATAAAATCAATGTGACACTTATACAGTCATGGGTAAGTATAATTCTGTAATAAGTGAACAGAATGTTGAATTCACATTTGGGTTTACCTTATCCGCGGTAACTCACTTCCTGACTTACGCAGCACTTACATAATGAGTAATTCAATAGACCCTTTTCAAAGTGACGAATGAATGTGTAAAATAGGGTTTTATTTACTGAATATATTCTAAAGTATATATATGTATTTACAAAATGAGTGTTTACATATGTATAATATGTGATTAAAGGAAACAAAAGATAGAGAGGATATGATGGTATCGAAAAAAAAAAGAGTTTTACGTGAAGGTATTTAACTATTGAAATCTCTGATAAGGGCCTTGATAGCATCAATAGAACCAAAAATACAACCAATGATACCCAAAAAGAGAGTAAGAGCACAGAAAGCAAGCTCGTACCAAGGCTTGTTACGAATACCAGTAAGCTTCAAGTAACAAGAAACAGGCAAAAGGAACACAAGACCACAGTTGGCAAGAGCACCAATCAAACTCATAAAGTCATCAAAGTAAGGAACAAAGATAGCCAACACGACAAGAATAGCCATGGTGGCAGTACGAACAATAGAGCGAACGGCCCAAGCACCAAACTTGCCATACTTTTCATCAGAACACTTGATCCATTCTTCAAATTCCAAAGAAAAGGAGATAGTATAGATAGGGATAGCCAAGATAACATGCACAGTCATGACAATGACAGCAACCATACGGGCAGCTTCATTTTCCAAGGAGTTATAGACAGGAGACTGGGTTTCACGACCATAGGCCCAGTAGCCAGGAACAGCTGTCAAGAGGTAGAGACCAGTACAGGTACTCAAACCAGCAAAAACGGCCCATTTCCATTGGTGAGGCTTCTTCAAAGCATGTTCAGCGTGAGGATATGTGTTAATACCACCGTAAGAAAAAGCAATGGTAGCAAGAGCAGAAGGGAAACCAGTCCAAATAACACCGTCGGTGATAACAGAACCAGCGGGCTTTGCGTTACGTTCAAGAGGACCTTGAATAGCAACAGCAAAAACGGCAATCATGGTACTGAGGACAGCAACGACAGAAAGGGCGGTGATTTCTTTTAATGTTCTGGCGACGAGACCGGGAATCAACAAAATAGCACCAATGATACAGTTCCAGGTCTTGAGATCAAGGGCACCGCTTGTATTACGAAGCAAATAGTTCAAGTTGCTACTAGCAAGAACCATATAAAGAGCAGGACAACCGAAAATGTTGAGAAGGTGAAGAACACTAGCAATGATATAACCAGGAATACCAAATGCAGCAACACCGACAGATTTGTAGTTGTGAAGACGGTGGCCGGGCTTATAATACAAACAGCGAATCAAGATGATACCACTGTAAACAGACATGAAGTAGGCCAAGAACATGATTAAAACACCTAACCAACCACCTGATTTTTAAACACGTTAGTACAAAAAGCAGTAAAATCATATGATATTACCTATGGCAAAGGCTTTGGGAAGACCAAGGGTACCTGTACCTGCAACTACGCAGACGACACTGAAATAAGCAGTAAAAAAAGAACCATCACCATGGCCAAATTCATTGATAACAGATGATTCATCTTCTTCGATAGCATTGTCAATTGCAGTTTCTTCAATTTTGAACGATTGGGTGAAGCTGTTTCTAGGGGAAACAGAAATTTTTTCGGATTCTTGAATGGTCATGAAATCGAACGATATATGTGTTATTTATTATACAAAAGGAAAGAAAAAACAGTTGATGTTTTATAAAAAAAAAAAAAAAAAAAAAAAAGCGGGTTGACAAGAAAAAAATAAAACTGTAATTAGCAACAACAGCCCTTTTTATATACGTGTGATTTAGCCGAAAAAAAATTTTTTTTGAAAACCAAATCAGGGAAACTAGTTGGAGTTTTGTTCGCCGATTCACATATGTATATTGGTTCTATTTGTTCGTTCTAATATAAAGAAGTAAGTTTTCTCTATCTTTTATAAGTTGAATTTTTTGATGAATGGTTTGCAGAAAAGACCTGAATTCTGAATTATACTTATTCGAGAGAAATAAGCCAAATATAGGCCCAAAATTCCCACATTCTTTATAATTGAAGCAAGATTAAGTTCATTGAAAAGATCTTTGTGTAACCAGATACACTGTCAATTCCGAGAGCATTCATCACTAATAGTCACTTTTCACACACTTGTATGAATGGAATAGATCATGACAAAGTGTTATTTCTGTAGATGCATTCATACACTGCTTTAGCATGCATGTATTGCTCTAAATTCACCAAAAGATCTCTTGAATCAACATCTTTCTTAAAATGGTAATTTCTTTATCTTTTCCGAATTTCTTTGGTTGACGAATCTCTGTCAAAACTTTTTTTGCTCCGTCTAAAGCCAAAAATAATGATAATTAAAAAAGATGATACGTGCATCACATTTCTCGACCAGTCAACATAATAGCTTATGTTTAAGTATAATACAAGTTAGTGAAAACTTGACTAAATTATTACATTATTTTTACCTATTTAGTCCCATACATCAAGATGTCTAAAAGATTCGGAATCAAATTCTTCTTAAAATGTTTTCATTCCCCACAAAACAATAGGCAGTAACAAACCCTATAATGTAAAGCAGCACTTTAAAGCACATTTATGTCTCAGTAAGCCTTTTTTCCTTATAACCGAGCCAGCAGTTCCTTTACAGGATACCACTATATCATTTGAGCTGCATACTCAAAGATTGACTTGTATGTTTCTTCTCACGTACTTCTCTTACAACATTAAAAAAGACAGCTGTTTAATTTCTTGCCTTGCGTAACATCCTGGCTTCCTCTTATCTAGACCAATAAAATAAACGCAGTCTTTATCTTATCATAGATATAATCTTGGCCTCCGAATGCGCAGATATTTCTTTGTATACATTTAGCCTATTGCTGAAGCATATATAGATATCTCACTGCTTGTATTCACCTGTTTCCATACATTTCTTTTCATACTAATACTTGAAGAGAGAGAAAGGGAGAGTGAAGCACAAAAAATATTATCGAACTTCAAATGAACCCTACAACTGAATAATTTAAATAGCACCTACATCTCTTTCTCTTGCCGTAATACATGTAGAAGAGCAGGGATTCTGCCAAAGAGGAAAAGGGGTGCAGGAAGCAAGTACTTACATTTGTACCAGGCTGCCTCGTAAAAAAAAGCACACGATAATAAAATAACCTCGAAAAATGATGACTATGAAGATCATGGTCAATCTTGATGATGGCTGAAATAGGGTTTGTTTTGACATCAATCTTGTCAAAAAGAGTTGATGCGCATCATAATTGTTTCGCACAGTCAGATAATTACACTGGGTGTTTTGAAAAAAAAAAAAAGCATGATTTATAAAAGACTGCAAGAACAATTTATATGCTAAAGATGATACATATTACCTGATATTCAATAAAATGATTGCTGCTTTAAGAAGCTCATGAGATTGTCCTCCATTGAGTTAATTAACGAGTTGTATTATCAGACAAACTATTTGTAGTTAAATTAATAAAATGGTAGTAATGGGATGGCATGATTGTTGAAATACTGAGCTATATGAGTATAGATAAGAGAACATTGTGTCATAAAACATAAGTGTTTGCGTAGCAATTAGGCGTACATGCATATCTAACCTGTTGATTGTTTATAAACCTTATAGTACAGCAGAGGTTTTAATTTGTCTATTCAAGGAAGAGAGGGTATATATTCTGTATAGGCAATAACAAATGCGATACATATTAAAATACATTATTAGATTATAAACCGTACTATGTTTCTATTTCAAAAGATTATTGAAGTCTTGATCCTTTAAGTTCAAACGACATCTTCAATTCCTGCTTTTCTAAATAAAAGCTAAGTTGTTCGTAGACATGAAGCTCTATAAGCCCTCTTTTTACTCTTTTAAGCTTTTTTCATCCCATCAACAGTGCTGATGCTTGACTATTCCTTCAATGTCAATGATGTTTGGTTATTTCCATTCTTTCTTTTCCCATTGTTAGTTTGCATCCTCAGTTGATCTAACAAACTCCGTATTATACTTACCTTCTTTGTGACTTTTGAATTAAATTTGGAGCTTGTTCTTTTATAAAAGCTGCTAATTTGTAGCGCTCAAGATATATACAAGGAACGCTCAACAAGACGCAAACCACCTTTGAGGTTGCCCTATTATCAAGGAACCAGCATAATCGAGACATTTAAAAAACCACAATTGAATAACAAGAAAAAGAATCACAGCAAACCAAAAGAAACAGATAAATGTATTAGTACCTTCTTGTAAAAGAGCCAACCTATAAGCATTTTTTTAGTAACAATATTTCATTCAAATTTAAGTTGTGTGCAACAAAAAATCTCGATCCTATGGTAAAGGCATGCAAGTCTTTCGCAGCTTTTACTTTTGGGCGCTTTTTCACACCTGATTTAGCTAATTTAGATGATGTTTGGGTAAACTCACATGGTAATTATTTTATCCGGAACAACATATAATATCTTTGTCTTAAATCCCGATATAGACATAGGTTTTGTACGAGAAGATCCAAATAAACAAAATATATTGATATTTGTTGTTTTTTTTACCAAATGTCATGTAAAAGACTTTTTGTCTTTCTTCTTTCTAGTCTAAACTATACTTGGGGAAACACAAAGGTGTAACCTGTAAATGGAAAAGCTTGGAAAGTACCGTTATTTTTCCCTCACAAAAAATCTTTAATACATTTGAGACCATCTGCGAACAGACCACTCATTTGTTAAGTTTTAGATAAGAGAACACATCAAAGCTTATTCTCTCCAGGACATTTTTATTCTCCCTAAGCAGTCGATAGAACATCAAGAATGTGTCATATTAAAATGAATTCTCAAAAAAGGTTTCATGTGCCTTGAATATCAAATCTATAACTGAATGCTGAGCCTTTACTTGTCATTGTTTTTGCTGCGTGGATAAGAATAGTTTTGATCCGAGGTAGGGTTGTACGAATTAAAAAGAGGATGTGCCTTGGCCATATTTGGTTTTGGAGAGATGATGAAGAAACACGCCACTTATGAAATACTGAAGAAAAAAATATTTTCTTTCTTTATTCTACAAACTGACATTTCATGGCGTGATGCAATAAACACAACCTTGTTTCATTTATACAAGCAATAGCCAAATGGTAAGAGTATCTAGCTGAGTTTATTTCTTACAGTCATATTGCCTGTTATAGATAATCGTTAATTGGTTTCCCTGTGAAAGTGTATCAGTTTTGTTAGTGAATAGCTTACTTCTTCGGTTGAAAACGTCAAAGAAATATATCGTTACTATAAAAAAGCATGGCTTTTGTATAGATATCTTAAAAAAATCAGTTTGTTACACAGTGCGAAGCGTATAGCTTTTACCCCACAATTTACCATCCCTTCCATCCCCTGAGAAAATCAATTTTTCTCTATAATAGGAAGTTGCCGATTTTCCCAGCTAAAATTTCGAGTGCAAAGTTACAACAAAAACTTGTTCAAAAACAAAAATGATATTCATAAAATGACGAATATGAGTATTACTTCTTTCTTTTTTTTTTTTTTTGCTTTAAATCTGACTTTTCCATTCTTTTCTTTTTTTCAATGCTTTTGAGTTTATAAATCTTTAGAGGTTTCAACACTTCAACAATACTATACTTTACTACTTATAACATTAAAAACAAAAACAACAGAAATAATAATAATTTGCAGTAATGATACAGCTATCGGAATACGGCGAGACTGTCGTTGATAATTTCAATTTGATTGGCATGTGGATAGCTGTTCTCATTTGCTGTCGAAACTTTTCAGTATGCTATCATCAATACAGAAGAACAAGAGGAATAATGTAAGCGAAACAGAGAAAAAAATCAGAAAAGATACTAACCAACTGCAGCCATCTTGTTAATCTTGCACAAGTAACTGTGTTCCTTGTACACCGTATCTTGTACGGTATCATCCCTTTATTCGAGATACAGACTTGTGCTTACTTTCCTTTGCTTGTCTCGTAAGTACCTTATACTAGAATGTAAACATATAAATGACGTTTTTGTTTAGTCTTTGGCACATGAGTAATTACACAATTGTTAAACATGATCACAAGCTAACAATATATGTTACATAGCGTATATTTTATTTTATGTTGTAATGTTTATGAGACTCATTATTCTTGAACATGATAAATATTCACGCTGGATCAAAATAGTCGGCATTCTCTTGATCACTCTACGTGCTGCTGATTGGCCTTATGAATTAGCATTTCATACAATTCAAGAAAAATTGAGTCATCAATCGGGCTCTCAATGCTGGGCAGAATGGTAAAGTATCTTGAAACACCAGCCTAACCTAACCGCTTTTCATGTAATTTTATAGGGGAGCTGGAGTTATCATCTTGAATTTTGTAGGGGACGCTTTAGCAAATCTGTTTCTTAGTGGCATGTTCGTTCGAAGGTAATTTCAAACAATTCATGAAGTTTATTGCTTATATTACTTTTTAAAAGACTTCGAAGCCATATAAGTTTATCTAAAAACTTGATGAGTCATCAGAACAAAATTATTGAACGAATTGCCATCAAGTCGCTACTTTGTTTGACTTTGACTTTTGTTGTCAATTTAGCAATGAATTTACTTAAGGTTACAAATTTCCTTGGGAATCGTTCAGATGTATGTATTACATAAACATTTGTAAAACATTGCCATGCATATCTTGAGTTTAAATATAACTAATTTTTTTTTAGGCATTCACTGTGTACTTTGAAATCATTGAATCCACGCTGTTGGTCGAGGCTCTTCGTAATGATAGAAGTCAAGGAAACGGTCCTCAAAATTCTTTCTGTGAAAGTTGCCATAAGGTACGTTCAACTCATTGTATATTTAGTATCGCTTATAGTTGCTTTTTCTTCTTTAGGAATTCAGCCACGGTACAACCAAAGCACCCAACAGCGAGGACCAATTGCATAGTCAGATGCTTGTGAAGTCTGGCATCAATAATCCAAAATATAACACTGATTTTAATGAAAGCAATTTCGACGAAAACGCAATGCATTCAGTCGCTTCTTTGGAGCCCGCCCTATTCTTTGATAGAACAAAGTCTCCTGCCAAATACGCCAATGAACACAAACTAGATACGTTTTTGCAGAATAGAACTGCAGCTCTCACACACGAGACTTCACTTTCTCCTCCACCTATCGTAAGTAGAATTCCACTAGGCGAATCTTTTGCAATGACAAAGAATCCTTCTGAACGATCTACCACTTCGTCAACAATTGACAACAATACTGATGAAGATAATGAAAATAAGCCATCTTCCCCCTATCGTAAAGGATAATTAGTTTTACAGCTATATATAGATTGTGTAGTGTTTATGCCATAATAGCTTAATTGTCTTAATGAACCCAAACTGTACTTGATGTACAGGTTTTTCTTGTCTTTGTCAATTAATTTTTTTAAAATTATCGAAGCTTGATATATTACAAAAATAAAGAGCCACTGTGCGCAATTATGTAACGTTGATTTTAATACTACTAGAGACTCTGGTTTGAACTAGCTTCAAGTTCTTTCCACTGCAAAAAAAAGGTACCCAAGATTTGTACCATTTGATAAAGAGAGACTTGAATGATAGCGGAAGTAGAGGATTTTATTTTCCTCGTATCCTCTTGCAAAAAGAAACACATCCGCTTTCTTTTATTCAGCGCATTTGGATATATACGTAATCCCTGTAGCGTATTTATTTAAGTTGCACTAATATATCTGAAGCTGCATTTGTATGCAGTGTTTCTATTTACACATGATATTTGTGCAAAGAACATTTTATTTTCTTCATTTAAGTTTATATGACTGTCGAAGGTCGTGGTAACGAAAGCAAATTATCAGATATTTATATCGAAATTTAGGTTAATCCATCTAAAGCATTAAGAGGTTTAATCTAGAGTCTTAAACCTTATCAATACTATCATTGCTATTATGTTACAAGCACAGATACATAGTATGTTCTTCATTAATTTGCAATTATATGATTTATTTGATGTCTATGTACTTCTTAGTCTGCCTGACTTGGAAGAAAGCTGTTCACTTTTTTTTAAAGAGAAATAGTAATTATATCGTATGTATTTCAGCCTATTGTCAACAGTTTGTCTTTTGTGCACATTTTTTTTTGTATAAGACTGAGAAACAAAGTTATACATTATTAGCTTTTTTTTCTTGAACATGAACACCGGTGTTCTTTTAAACTTGAAGAAAGCAACATAATTTAATTAAAAAGTATTGTACCAAATGTCGAGTGGCTAGTAAGTACGACTCAAATAAGTACTGCAGTTTCCCACATCTTCCCTTCAAAAACAATGCTTTGAGCTGCTATTGTCTTGAATTATAGCTATTAGTAAGTGATTACAAATCTCTTACAAATATTACAAATTGACCTTTGATGGCGGTATTTGACAATCTAATCGTGTTTACAAAGTTTGCTTTTCTGGTGTGGCATCTCAAGGGTTCTAGCTACTCCGATTTAATAAAAAATTTCTGACACCTTTATCCTTCAGAAAGATAGATAAACAATGTGTAACTCTATACGAAAACGTATCGTTTGAATAAAAGTCACGGCGAGTAGAGCTTGGAAACATGTCAAGATCTTCAGAGATTTGCCTGACAACTGGCTTCCTCAATCTTAGATAGAACAATTGCGAATCTCCAACAGAAAGAGAAAAACAAAACTCTAGAAAAAATATTCTTTACTGATCTCTTATCTAATGTTCGGATTCATACTCAAACTGTCAGACCTAATAAATTGAAACCGAATTAAGTTTAGTTTATTTGAAAAGTACTGATTGTCAATAACCATTTTATCAGTAATCAATCACGAATTAATTACAAATATATTCATTGAGATCGAAGGGGGATCCCAACCATACTTTGAACTGAAACGATAATTATAAGGACCGCAAATCGATGTCAAATGTATATATATATATATACTTGGGTTTTTTCGCTTTCTTTCACTCGTCATTCAGTCAAGTATTCCTTTTTTCTCTCAATGAAGATCTCAGCTACCATTTTTACTGCTATAGCTACTCTTGCTTCATTTGCTTATGCTCAAAAAAACACAACTGACATTTACGATTATGTCATTGTTGGTGGCGGTGTAGCTGGTAATAAAGTAAACAAGGAAATGATCAACTGCTTACAATATACATATATAGGTCTTGCTTTAGCAAACCGTCTTTCCGAAAACAAACATGTCACTGTTGCCGTCTTAGAGTCTGGTCCTAATGCTGAAGATCAATTCGTTATCTACGCTCCCGGAATGTAAGGGAAATGCCTTGTTATACAAGACAGTTAACTCAATTGATAGGTATGGTCAAGCTGTTGGTTCAGAACTTTGCCCTCTCCTGCCTACTGTTCCTCAAGAAAAAATGAACAATAGAACAATCACTCTTGCCACTGGTAGATTATTAGGTGGCGGCAGTGCCATCAATGGTCTGGTTTGGGTAAGACTTGCCAACTTGGTAAAATTATAAAACTAAACTAATACTTCTTAGACTCGTGGTGCCTTGAAAGATTACGATGCCTGGGAAGAACTTGGTAATCCCGGATGGAATGGTAATGAACTATTCAAGTACTTTAAGAAAGTCGAAAAATTTACTCCTCCTACTCCTGCTCAAGCTGAATACGGTGCTACTTCTGTAAAAAACATTCATGGTACAAATGGCCATGTCGATATCTCATTCACCAATTTTGAATTCCCTCAATCTCGTTATTGGAATGCCTCTCTTGATGCCCTTGAATTTGAAGCTGTTCCTGATCTCCTGAATGGATCTCTTCACGGCTATTCTACTACTCCTAACACTTTAGACCCTCAAAGTGTTCGTCGTACTGATGCATATGCTAGCTATATCGCTCCTTATGCCGACAACCGCAAAAACTTGTTTGTCTTGGCTAACCACACCGTGTCTCGTGTTGAATTCGATCCACACAGTTCTGGTCAATTGAAGGCTACTGGTGTTGAATGGTACCCTACTGGTGACAAGACTAAGAAACAAGTCCTTAAGGCACGTTTAGAAGTCATCATCTCTGCTGGTGCTATTGGTAGTCCTAAACTTCTTGAAGTTTCTGGTGTTGGTAACAAAGACATTCTAACTGCTGCAGGCGTCAAGTCCTTGCTTGATTTACCTGGCGTTGGTTCTAACTTGCAAGATCATGTCCATGCTGTTATCGTTTCTACTACAAATATCACTGGCTATACTACCAACAGTGTCTTCTCTAACGATACTCTTGCTGAAAAAATGAGAAAGGAATACGTCAACAATAAGACTGGTATCTGGACTACAACACCCAATAATTTGGGTTATCCTAGTCCTAGTCAGCTTTTCAAGGACACTAGCTACAAGTCTGGCAAAGCATTTGGTGCCAAGATTCGTGAAAACGCCAGTAAATATGCCGATTACTACGTTTCTACCAACTCAACCAATGCCAAGTTAATTAAGAAACAATATGAAATTATCGCTGATCGCTACGAAACTGATTACTTGTCTCCTATTGAAGTCAACCTTACTCCTGGTTATGGTGGCACTGGTAGCGCTGATATTCAACACAAAAAGTATCAAACTGTCAATCACGTCATGGTTTCTCCTTTGAGTCGTGGTCGCACTCATATTGCTTCTGCTGATATTGAAGATGCTGTTGTCATTGATCCTCAGTACTACTCTCATCCTCTTGATCTCGAACTTCACCTTGCCTCCTTCAAGCTTGCTCGGAAGATTATTAATGCTCCTACAGGTCTTGGTCAATTGAATAATGGTGAAGCTGAACCTGGAAGCAACATTACTAGTGATGAAGATCTCAAGACATGGTTGTCTAACAATGTTCGTTCTGACTGGCACCCTGTTGGTACTTGTGCTATGCTTCCTAAAGAACTCGGTGGTGTTGTTGATTCCAATCTTAAGGTTTATGGTACCTCCAACTTGAGAGTTGTTGATGCTTCTATTATTCCTCTTGAAGTCTCTTCTCATTTGATGCAACCTGTCTATGGTGTTGCAGAAAAGGCTGCTGATATCATTAAGACAGCTAACAAAAAGCATTAATCATAACATTCTTCATTTTCATACTTTTAACATCTCATAATTGCAATAAAAATAACCTTATTCTTTAGAACTTTCACACATCTAAACGGTCTCTTGTTTTGATAGTTTTTTTTTAGGTTGAGTTGTACAAATGCCATTGACGTTAACTGTTCTTTCAGGAGGTTCCACAAGGGCAAGATGTCTTCTCTTTTTTTTTTTTCGCCTCATGAATCCAACTTTTTTGTTTGTAACACGCAAACTATTTGACTTGCTGAGAGTTTCAAAGATAAACACTCGGAATAAAAGGGTTTCAAATATTACTTGTGCAAAAGAAGAAAAAAACAAAGCTGCTACTAGAGCTTGACTCGAAAAAATTTCTACTCGACCTCTGTTTTTATGACTAGTTCCATCCCCTTAGAAAGTTATTCTAAAAATGCATCCAGTTAGAGAAATAACCTTTTTCTTTCGGTACATATTCCGGGAACTGTATTTCCCGAAGGCAAAACAAAAAACGTTGCTTCGTGTAACAATGTGTAAAACTGACTTTTTTGTTTGCTACAGTAAATCCGTGTTGAAATGAAGCCTCTTTTTTTAAAAAAAGGGTTAGGATTAATCATCGATTTAATTTCATTTAAATTACAAGACAATGGACCATATAAGTTAAGCATCTAAATATAATTAACAGCGTATAAAGAGCATGTAGATGTTCTTATATTTAAAGACAGGCTGTAAAAGGGAGTCTTCTTCTCCCTTTTTTCTCTCTCTCTTGTTCTTTTTCTTAACTTTACTTACATATTATTTGACATCAAAATATCAGGGGCAAGCTTTTAGAAAGGAATTACTACCAGTTTAAACAACAAAAGAAACAAAAAAAAAAAAGGAGCTTGTCAAAGTGAAGGCAAAACAGAGAGAGAGAGGGTGAGTGAGTGAAAAATAATAACTTGATGTGCAACAATAAAACTCGTGCATACTTGACTTTTCGTTATTTTTTTACTTTCTTTCCTTTTTTCTACTCTGTATATTCCAAATCTCAAAACATAAACCAAATGACTTTTTCACCTTTACAGCAACGAGACTCGGTTATTATACCACCTGATAATGAGCCGCCACGGTTCAGTGTCAACTCTAACCTTATGAACTATTCGATACCCAAGCATGATTCTAGTACATTACCACTTAAAAAGCCATTACTTCATAATAAACCTCCAAATAACGATAAACGAGAAATACAAAGAGGTGATTCAGATACACGCACACGACAATTAGAAGCACAGATAGAACAATTAACACTTCAAAATGTAAAGCTACAAAGAACCAATCGACTATTAAAAGTGGATACAGATAACTTAATTGAACAAAGAACAAGTCCACTGGAAAAGACAATACAAGAACTTACAATAGCTAATGTAAAACTACAGCGAGCTTCTCGGTTATTACAACAAGAATTAGACGAAAAAACCCAACAGCTCAATATGCTAAAGCAAAATCAAATCCTTCAAATGAAAAGTGTGGGCCCCGAGTATGAGTTTTTAGTACAGAACATAAATCTACTTCAGAGACAGGTTAGTAAGGTATGCATTGTGTGTATGTGCTCAACTTGTTTGTTAGATTGCAGGGCATCCAACTTGTGACGAGACATGTTGCTTTACAATGAAACCTATTGATCAATCCACTATGGTAATGACATTGCCTTCAAATGAAGGAGACGATGACGATGAAGAAGTTGAAGCACAGCATATTTGTCGACCTGTCATTCACTCGAAGATTTCACAAGGTTCTTATGCCATTGAGCTTGAAAACAAGATATGTCGATTAGAACAACTACTAGAGGAACTTGATCAAGAAAAAGAGCAGATTATAAGACAACATGGCTTAAAGGATAATGATGTCGAAACACTCAAGAAGGAACTTCGAATCAAGGACGAAATTGTATCACAGCTAGAGCAAGATTTCATGGGTTTAGAAGACCAGATAGAACACCTTCAAAAGGTATAGCATTTGTTTTTTTTTTTTTTTACCCTTTACATAAAAAAAAGAGCTCCCCTCCATTGTCCATATCAACATTACTGTATATTCATAATAAAAATCAATCCATCCTGTCTATCTAGGAACTGCAAGATCAAGCCATGTATCCTAACAGCGGTAACCCTCTTATCAACCGAATCTTGACACCACCACCTATGCATAACGACCCCAAAAGACAATCTCATTTGTTAATGGAATCAAAGCGTCGATCTTTAGCACTCAAAGATACAGATTTAATGGAACAAATACTTCGAGGTGACTTGGAAAGTTTTGACCAGCAACAAAGACACCATTTATATCAGCCTTCTGAAGGGGAGGAAGAGGAAGAGTCAGAAGAAGATGATGTAAACAACAGTAAAGCAACTTTATTAGAAAGATCAGTAAGATCTTCAAGCCCTACAGTAATGATCATAGAGGAAGAAAGAGTGACAAAGAATAAAGGTATTGACAATAATAATACGACTTCATGTTGCTTAACGTGTGACGGATTTTCGTGTACCTTTCCCTGCAAACACTCACTACATCACACCGACAGTAAAGCGGATGACCCATTTGCGCTATTTACGTGTGTTGCCATAGTTCTAGGAATTGCTTCTCAACTAGGCGTCACTGATGACTGGACTGTACCTATTACATTGGCTACTTTGGTTTCAAGCTTCTTATGGTCTGGAAACAAGCGCATACATAAATAAATGTTTGTATATTTTATTTTACATGAAATCATCAAAGTCATCATAAGTAGTTGAGTATTCTCTTGAAGAAGCAGGAGCAGGCTTAGCAGGTTGAGTCTTACCCTTTGTCTTTTTGTTGCTCTTGAGTGCTTCCTTTTGTTGACGTTGTTTATCATTAGCAAGAGCTGTCAAACTAGAAGCAGCTTTACGGACATCCATGTCTTTCATAGGTTGAGCAACATCTTTGGCAAATTGATCAAGAAACGTAGCGTAGTTGGGATGATCCTAGACAAATGTAAATAAAATGGCTTACCTACACATATGTTTTACCTTTTGTTGAAGAATCAAATCAGTCAATAATTTCTTGAATTCTTCAAAATCAGCGCGAGTTCTGGGCTTAACAGATTCAACAGGCTTAGCAGGCACTTTCTTGGCTACATAGGTTTGCATGAATACACTGGAACTATTCTGTTCGTTTTGACTTACGAGCATCAGCTTCAAGACCAGTAAATTCGGCCTTCTTGACACCGGCTTCTTGTTGGGCACGCTCAAAGCGCTCTTCTTCAGTTTCACCTTCCATGAAGCGACTAGCCTAAAAGATAGTGAGCATCTTTGTTTTACAAGCAACTCATATATTACCAAAGCAATCTTTTTTGCTTTTTGTTCCTTCAATAAAGCTTCTTTTTCAGCAATTTTTTGCTTCAAAGTTAAGTTTTTCTTGACAGGAGCCTTAGCAGCTTCAGTCTTCTTTTCTTCGGCCTTCTTTGGGACTTGTTCTTCTTCCTCTTCGGAGTCGTCCCAAGATTCCCTTACATTGTTTGTGTTGTCATCACTGTCTTCTTCGTCGTCCCAGGCCATTTTAGGCTTGCTGTTAACGACAACATCATTATCGAATTCTTCTTCTATCATCGATATCGTCAGCTTCCATGTTTGTGTATACTTTTTCGCGTATTCTCGTTACCCCAATCACTCATTGTATGTTTATATCAAAGTAAAAAAAAAAAAGGTCTTGTATATCTGATTGGCAGAATTTAGTGTAAGCAAAAAAAATAGTTGTGCTAACTAAGCCTCCATTGCCTCATTATAGTGCAAAGTGACGCGCTTTCCTCCTCGAAACCTGCGATCCTTTTTTTTTCCCTCTTGTGTGCATACACTCCTTGCTTTCTTAAGGTTTAAACATGACTGAAGACTCATCCAAATTACTGTTGAAGACTAGGTAATTTTAAAACATTAAAAAGTCGTTTGCGTGATGCTAACATTAAATAGCTTCAAATCGATCAAGACGATCGAGTCTATTTATACTGGTGGCAAAGTAGTTATTACAAAAGATGCCAAATATTTAATCAGTACACTCAATGAAGACATCATTGTCACTGAACTCGACACTGGCAAGCAAGTGTTTGAATTAGAAGGTGTATGTATGCAAGACATCATATCAGTATATATTGAATGTATTTGTTAGGATACCGAAATCATTACTACTATGGCTGTCAAGCCTGACAGTAAACACCTTGTCAGTGCTAGTCGTAGTCTATTCCTTCGTGTTTGGGATCTCGAAAAGGGAGAAAGCATCCGTACACTCAAAGCACACGAAGCACCCATCATTGTAATGGATATCGATCCTACTTCAACTTTAGTCGCCACAGGTTCTGCAGACGCCACAATCAAAGTATGGAATATTGACAAAGGCTTTTGTACACACAACTTAAAGGGACACGGTGGTGTTATTTCTGCTGTCAAGTTCCACAACTATCAAGGCAAATGGTACCTTGCCTCTGGTGCTGATGACTGTCAAATTCGTATCTGGGATCTTCAATCTCGTAGTTGTATTGCTGTATTACAAAGCCATGTCAGTGTCATTCGTGGCCTTGATTTCTCAGCAGACGGTAAATATTTAATTTCAGGCTCCCGTGATAAAGTAGTAAACGTATGGGACTGGCAAGCAAAGACACTAAGAGCAACCTATCCTATTTTTGAAACGATTGAAACTGTTGGATTCTTGGAAAAGAACGTTAAGTTGGCTGCCAAGTTTGGCAAGAACTGGCAAGATGCTGATATTTTTTACACTGCTGGTGATTCTGGTCTTATTAAGTTATGGGATCTTAAGAGTGGCAAATTAATCAAGGCCCAAGAACCTGAAAAGAACAGCAAGCATACTATTTCAGATGTAGTTTATATCGAGAAGACACAAACATTGGCAGCAGTGACCAACGACCAAAATATCTTGATGTATTCTTTAGAGAACAAACTAGAGCGTGTAAAGCAAATTGTTGGTTACAACGATGAAGTAGTGGATGTTGTCTATTTAGGTGAAAACGATACGCATTTAGCTGCTGCTACCAACAGTGCACAACTTCGAGTTTACAACGTGGAAACACAAGATTGTGATCTTTTGTATGGACATGACGATATGATTCTTTCTATTGACAGATCGAAAGACGGTTTATTGATTGCAACAGCATCAAAAGACAAAACAGCACGCTTGTGGAAGATAGACATGGCCAATCCAGATAAGTCCATGCGCTTCCAAGCTGCTGGTCTTTGTGTTGGTCATACAGAATCTGTTGGTGCTGTTGCCCTTTCCCGTAAATCTAATTCATTCATGATTACTGGTAGTCAAGACAGAACTATCAAATACTGGAATTTAAGAGATTTTGATCTTGAAGACCTCGATGAAGATTACAGACCCAAATCACTCTATACACATCAAGCACATGAAAAAGACATCAATACCATTTGCGTCGCACCTAATGATAAATTCTTTGCTACAGGTTCTCAAGACAAAACTGCTAAATTATGGAATGTGGATACTGGTGAATTAATAGGTACTATGAAAGGTCACAAGCGTGGTGTATGGAGCGCACAATTTTCCCCTGTTGATCAAGTCTTGGCCACTAGTTCTGGTGACAAGACAGTCAAGATCTGGAGTCTCAAGGACTTCACATGTCTTAAGACATTTGAAGGCCACACTAATTCTGTCTTGCGTGTCAATTTCTTGTCTGCTGGTATGCAATTAGTGTCAGCGGGTTCTGATGGCCTTGTTAAAGTATGGACTATCAAGACAAATGAATGTGCTTCTACGCTTGACAACCATACACAGAAAGTTTGGGCTTTATCTGTTCGTAAAGATGAAAAGTTTATTGTCTCTGCTGGTGCTGATTCTGTTATCAACTTCTGGGAAGATGTTACTTTGCAGGAACAAGAAGAAGATCTGAAGGAGAAAGAACAATTGATTATCAAGTAAATGTGTGCTTCATCTAGAAACTTTACTAATTGAACTCTAGGGAACAAGAATTACAAAACTTTATGCGTAAAAAAGATTATTTAAACGCTATCTTATTGGCATTGTCGTTAGAGCAACCATTCCGCTTATTAGGATTATTTAGAGAAGTGTATGAATCCAGACCTGAAGGAGACAAAAGCATTACTGGTTCTGAAAACATAGACATCATTCTTGCCGAATTATCACTAGAAAACACTGGCAAATTATTGACTTACGCAAGAGATTGGAACACAAATGCAAAGCATTCTGACATTGCACAGGTTGTGATCTATGCTATTCTTTCATCTCGTACATCAGAAGAATTGGTTGAGATTCCTACTGCAAAAGAGGTAAGCAAGAATGCATTTACATCAGAAAAACTAATTGTTACATAGTTGATTGATGGCTTATTACCCTATACTGATCGTCATTATCAACGTATTGATGATCTTATCACACAATCCTTCATTATTGATTATACACTTCAAGCACAAAAATAATCTCCATGTCATATTTCATCATGTACTGTATAATAGACTTAAACATTAGCAAGCAAGCTCTTGCGTTTCAAATTATTTGGCACATTAAACAGTTTGTGTCTTACTTGATTTAGAAAAACATCAAGCAACTATGTCATGTGAGGAGGAGTGAATGGATTTCAAAGGAATGATTGACACTGCAGAGGTTGGCTGTATCATTCTGTTGGAACTTGATTGAGCAAGAATCAATGTAGCCTATTGATATTTAGAGCTATGTTCTAATACATAATATATCTATCAAATTGAGCCATTACTAGCCAAAACATTCTGAAAATATCACCAAAGCATCTCTTTTGAGTTTCCTATGTATCAGTATACATGAACAGACATTTCTATGCAAAAAATAGATAGTGACAACATGTCCAAAATATCGTCAAATGCCCCTACTACCCCCCTGATTTTCACAATATTGGGATTTGATGGCGATAGAGCAATATTTTACTATGATTTGTATTAGTAGAAAATGCTTGTCTGAGGCTGCAGAATACACTGAAAGTATCAGATTTACAAAAGTCATATAAAAAGTGTATGCTAGAGCGCAAAGACGTTAAACACTTTTTTGAAAGATTGCTCAGAATCCAGATAGCTGACCTACAGTTCTTTTTTGCATCGTTAGATGCGCCTTGTTTATATCTGTAGATTTTGTTATTGCCATATTTTGGTAGCGTTTTTGAGCCGCGTATACTAAGGGTAATGGTCATAGTGAAGAGGCGGGTGCGATTGAGATAAAAGTAATAACAAACTGATACGGCATATCATAACTAAAATAATATAATATAATATAATATAAAACAAAATAAGCTATATAGCATTTACAGGTTTGAATGACGTTAATCCTCTTCAATGGTCTGACGAACTTTGGATCAGATGCATGCCAATATCGCTGTAGGTACAATTGGTGTTTTGTCAAAGATAAACCTCATGCGAGCAAGCCAAATTTGAGAGAGAGAGAGAGAGAGAGAGAGAGAGAGAGAGAGAGAGAGAGAGAGAGAGAGAGATAATGAGGATTCTATATGGTTTGATTCCTTTCCATTGGCAGTACCAGATGTGCGAGAAGTTCAGGGACAGAAGAGCCTCTTTGATATCACAGTTGGAGGTGGTAGGCTACAGGAACTCGAAGATGATTTCTTGCCATACCTTCTCTTTAGTTGGACAGTGAAAGAGTAGATGGTTAACTGAGTCATTTCTAGTCAAGCACAGCGGACAAAGAGGGGAATCAAAAACTCGAAGCATGAAAAAATGCAAAAATCTACAATGAGGAATACATCCCAAGATAAACCGGTATATCACATTACGTTGGACAGAGGTAAGTGACAGGGACCAAAAGAGTTTCCACTGCGCGTCTGCAGTATTTCTCAAGGCCAACGGAGGAACTACAGACGAGAGAACTGATAGACGAAATGCCTTAGCCAAAGCTTGGACATTGGCAATCAATTGATTATCCTGAAAACGAAGTTGCTTATCCAAGGTCACAAATAAGACCACCGAGTCCTCAAGTGGGGCAGGACTACAGACAGAACTCAAAAACGGTTGGAGCTTCAAATTTCCTGACACAAGACCTCTAAACAATATAGAAGGAGTACGCTTCCAATGAAGTAATGAAGGATCACGAGTATCTTTCCAGTGAACAAAGTTGAGTCTAGTATTAACTTGAAAGACATCTGATACCATTATTTTTTAAAACGGAGGGGAACAACGAAGGTCGCATAAGGATGAACGTAAAGCACAGCTTGCAAAAGTAGGATCATAGCGGTAGCAGTATAAAGACGAGCAGTAGCAAACGATCGAGGAAGGCAATCTACGGCGCGATAAAGCATATCAACAGTACCAATTCTTTGTTTTTTCAGCCTTTAAACGAGAAGAAGGAAATAATAATAAAATCTGATGATATTTACAGCTATTGATATTACGAATACGGAAGCTAAGCATATATGAGACAGGATGAGATTCAATAATATTTTGATCATGAATTAGCAAAGGGCGTAGCCAGCGAAAGTACAGAGCCGAGGCTTGAACCTAAATATCTATTACACCTAGTCCACCTGTTTCTTTTGGCAGAGTCCATACTTTCCAAGGAATAACAAGGAATATATTTTTGTACAAGAATTGAATGGCTAAAGATCTCAACTGTTGGAAATCAGTAAGCGTCAAAGGAGTAACCCGTAAGATACACCATATTTTTGACAAGTAGAGAATTCAAGACAGTAGCTCAGCCAATAACAGACAATGAACGTGCAGAGTGGATTTGGATTGCGGTCTTGAGCTTTGTTATCATAGAACCCATAAAATTGACTTGTTAAATACGACTTTGTATCAAGGGAAATCCCAAGTAGATCAAGGGTTCATCGTCTTCGACAGAGTGTAAATGTTTGATAGCCATTTGAAATAGAGAAGCTTCCCCCATTCCATGTATTTCTACCAGACACTGAGAAGGTTTCCACCTTATCATGGTTGGACTTTGCATTTGAGGCCTCACAATACTGAGACATATGCAATTGTAACCAAGCGAGGTCATTGGCGTCATGTACAAAAACCAAAGCATCATCAGAATAACATAGAAGCTTCGTCCGTTCAGTGCCCATTAAGTAGCCTTGATATTAACGATCGTAGAGTATTGAGAGCAAAAAAAAGTTCGAAGGCCAAATTATACAGTGTTGTGAGATGAAGAGAGAATAGATATAAAATAAGAGAAAAAGGTGAGAACACAGAGAAAGTCCGTTAGAACTTGTATAGGTTTTTATTTCTCCAAGAAAATGTTATCCTTCAATTGCTATAAAATGTTAAGGTATTTATACTTTTTCTTCTCGGTCAAAATATTGACTACGGATTGATTTGTTAGATCAGGAGCAATGAAGAGAAATGCCTTTAGAGGAAGTTGTCAGCTCAGCCAATAGTACATGATCTGACCTGAACTTGAATAAATTATTACATATTTGCCAAATGCCAATAACAATGTATTTGTCAGCTCTAACCGTCACTTTATGAGGGCCATTGATAATAACAGAGTTACTAGGTTCATATCTCTGACTATGAAGACGATGTAGTACTTCTAGTAGAATGGGTGAATGTCAGTGACTATAGATCCATTGCAATTGCCATAGATGTGATCTGGTCTTTTGCCATGATCATCATTTATTGATCTATGCATATGAACTCGTATATGTTCACAAAAGTCCTATAAAGCAAAATTCATGTTGTTTTCAAGTTCTTGCGTAAAAATATACTTCAAAAGTGCATAAGTATGTGTTACGAGAGTATGTACTTTAAGTACAAGAGATTTGAGACTTGGAATGTATCTCGTTTTCCGCTCAATGCCAGTAATAGAACTTTTAACTGTAGTTATCTTTAGAGGAGGTTCCATAAGGAAAAAAAGAAGAAAGAGTAAAGCTGGCAGCTTTTTATCTTTTTATTTAGAGTTTCAATCACTGATGTATTATTTTTATTTGAGGCCCTACAGATATTTGTCTATTTAATTGTGCGTATTTTATAATAATTGAAAATAACTCTGGCTTTTGTCCAGTACCTGAAGAATACAAACATGCTTTGCTCAGTAAAAAAAAAACAGCCTGAGTCACTAAAAGTATGATTTGACGTGTATTCAAATTTTTGTGTTCACCTCTCTGCTAATAATCATCCTGCATCGTTATTTAAAAGAGGAAGTAACTTTTAATTTCCTTTTTCGTTTTGTCCAAAAAAGGTAAGCTAAAAGTCAAAAGATTAATTTTGATTCGTCTAGAAGAAACTAACATCGTCTGATTTTAGTGTAAAAACTGTATAGATCACATTTGTCTTATTGGTACCAAAAAATGTTTCCTAATTGGCAATAGTAATAATTAAGCTCTTGGTTTATGAAAAAAGGCAGAGATCCTCATGAGTAGCTCATTACATCTTCAAGTGCTTGATTTATGCATATTCATTATTTTATAACACAAGTGTCACCATGAAAATCAGTTCATAAATCATTTACTTAAGAATATTTAGCAGGTCAAAGAATACTATTCATCTAAATAAAATACACTACTGGTACAATGGGCAAATCTATTGCTTGGTCTTGTAAGCAGAACCCTTGGTTTTGCCAATACATTCAGCAACACTGACAAACTTATAATTCTTCTTGCTCTTGATGTAAGAAATAACCCAGGGAACTAACTTATCAACAGTCTTCTTGTGAACGTCGTGTTGAAGAGAGATGTGGCCATGAGGCTTAGACTTGCTGTCAGCTTCAATGACATCCTTGTAGTTCTTTTGTTCGACTGAGAGGCTGGTCTCTGTGGAGTGGGCCCAATCTTGAGAATCAATATCCCACAAAATAACCTTGTAACCAAGCTTGCCGAGAGTAGAGAGGGTGTTGGAGTCATGAGCTCCCAAAGGAGGTCTCATATACAAGGGGTTCTTGCCAATAACAGAACGGAAGATTTTTTCGAGCTTTTGCATTTCAGTGGTGATAGCAGAAGCAGATTTGGAGCTAAGATCGACATGGCTGTAGGTGTGACTACCGAGTTGGTGACCTTGATCATAAACATGCTTAATGACTTGCTTGTAAGTCTTGGTACCAGCACTAGTCTGGACAGATTGCTTTTCAACATCGCTATAAAAAAATTAGTATTTATGTCAATTGTTATAGAGAGAATGCTTACACCCAGTTCTTGCCGTTCATGAAAAAGGTAGCAGTAACACCTTCTTTCTTAAGAGTATCGGCCAAAGCCCAAGTGTATTCGTAAGGTCCATCATCGAAAGTCAAGGCAATGGTGCCGGGAACAGAACAGGTGGTGATGACTTGAGCGGTGGCTCTCTTTTCGAGAGGGACAGCAGAAACAGCAGTAGCAGCTACAGCCAAAGTAAGAAGGAGTGTGGATTTCATTGAGTAGAATAAAAGAATATGGAAGAGATAATGACGAAAAAAAAAAGGGCTCACAATGATCTTTGTATTTATATGTTTTACAGGTTTTGGTTTGAGTAACATGCAAGTTTTTTGCTTTCCGTTTTCAGCTTTATTGTAACACGCGCAATGAAATCCAAACTGTAAGCGAGGATAATAGCGAGAATAACCTCCTTATTTTTCATTTAACGGACGATTCCGATAAATATGAACTAGACATGTAAAGAAACATTGCATCATTACAGCTGGAAGGCAACAGAACAGTCTCATAAATTATTTGCCTTTTCTCTCTCAATTCAAGCTTTTCGATAACCGCCTTTTTTTTGCCTACAAGCAATGATTTTCTCCTTGATAAATCCTCCCCTCCCCTCCTCACGGCAGTAATAATCAACTGCGACTTAATATTGTTTCAACCGCAATTAGAGGATAAGCAAAAGACTATTTTTAATTAACAAAGCTGACAAAGGTAACAAGTCAATGCACTTTTAGAGTAATAATAAACGTTTTTTTTTGCGCTGTCCCTGGTAAAGTAAAAGTGTATATTTCTTTATTAGGAATTCTCAAGCATCTCTGTGGTACGATAGAAGTCGTGTCGCCAAGCATAATTAAGACAGAAGATTTCTTGGTCTAATTCTGTTACACACGCAATGATAAATATAAACATTCACCATCAATTCTTGTTTTCATTTAACTCGTTGTAGTTTCTTAAATAAAGGCATTCAGCATAGAAATTCTTCTTTTCTTTTTCTGTATTCTACCTGTCGCCTGCAGCGGTAAAATGGCAATATGAAATAGAATGTGCAGAAAAAGAAACCCATTCACTCCTGATGCAAATCTATGGAAAAGTCAAGGCAACACATTTTTTGTTCAAAAGTGTGGCTTTGTATTTCGGCTCATCAATTCAATAATAGTGATATTAGAACAAAAGTTGCAAAGCATCCTCTTTCGATCTGTCAAAAAGAAGCTTCTATATGCAATAGGTACAATGGAAATTCTATACAGTCTATATGTTTATATGGACTTTAAAAACATGTGTGCTAGTTTTGAAACTATCCACTAATAATGTTTGATTTATTCAAATGCTCTTGATAAGATGTAACTGACGAAACAGTTTCATTTTGTTTGTACCTTTGAATTGTATACTGAAATAGACTCAAACATATTCAGTGAAATATTCATATTTTGTCTTTGTATTAATGCATTTCTTTCAGTTCAAAGCTACAAAGAAATAACATGGCTCTAAGCTCAAAATACTTAACAGAGAAAAACAAACATGTCACCAAGGATCTGGTAAACAAAACTCTTTTTTTTTTCAATGCTGTCAATGAAACATACAAAGTAACACTCTCAGAAGAACTCTCAGAAAATCAATACATGAATGAAACACTGAATTTAGTCTAATATCGACTTAAAGCGATTATTTTTAGACGACTTTGTGACAAGAAATGATGAAATTTTTAGCAAATTTTTCTTGTATTTTATTTGATATCCATTCTTTTAGTATAATCACAGATGTGATGAACATATACTGAGAGGGTATATACACAATTTGTCTCTTACCCATCACTTTGCACCAATACTTCATGAATTATGTCATTTTTCGAGTGGACGGGGCAGAAGGCTACAAATGATGGGAGATTACTTCCATCATGCAGGAAAGGCTTATGATAGCAGCAGACATCACATCTATGTTGTCAAGGCGTGGCCGCATTTGACTACTGGGCATTTAGGGTTTAGGCAATGAGAGTTACCGAAAGTGTTATAATTGAGGTGTCATATACTTGTTGGTAGTGATGGTGGCGGTTTTGTTTATGCCAATTGCTTCCTCTTCTATCATACCCCTTAGCAGTGCTCCCAACTCCTTTATCTTGATTGCCTATCCCTTTGACGAGTTGACATTGCTTGTTTCCTTTCAAAGAAAATATAGCTCATTTGATATCAAACGATCTTTGATAGTTCTTGTTTCACTACATCATGATAAAAGACATAGTAATTACCCAAGAGGCTTTAGTGACCAAATATATTCACTTGACTGTCACCCAAAGAATAATTGCTCTTAAGTAAAGCGCTTTTTGATAGTAATTCGATTATCAGACAAACCTGATAGATCTGTCATGAAAGATCACTAATGCACAAAAACGTTTAAGACATGAGTGTTTTTACATTCATTAAAATTTTTTCAAAATATGCAACAGACTTTGCATATATTAGATAGTGAAGAACTGCCTCCTTTCTATATCAATAAAGCATCCGAGGTCTAAAAATGATTATGCAAAAAACTCGCTTAAATACAAAGTCAAGTTAAATTTGTACTTTAAGCCAAGACTCATTTAAAAAATGTTTTCTAATCAATTATTACTTGTATTGCACGCTTTTTTTTTTTTTTTTTTTTTTTACAGTTATAGAGTAATCTCAATTATAACAGTTTCTCATCCAAGACTCGACAAATGCACTAACATGAGATATCTTTAGGTTTCCAAATTTGCTCAAAATCAACTTTTAACTTTTGATAACACAAAAAAAAAGAGTGTGTCTGTTTGTAATAATATTTAATAATTAAGCTTAATTAGCAGTTTAAATGGATACGATAAAAAAGAATTGAAAAAACATCTGATTTCTTGATTTAAACATGGCATAAGATTTACAGACATGTGCAAAAAGGTCGGTGTGATCATATTTAAGGAAATGAACGTCAGTTTCAATAAAGCCAAACAAATAAATGTCTCTAATGAAATTTCGCTACGGCAGCTTCTTTGTACACAACATACCTGAAAGATTTTTTTATCAGCTTATCACCAAATATTGCATTGATTTTTACAAATAGGTTCTTTCAAATAAATACAACTCTATTTCTGTTTGTAGGTAAACACTAACGTTAAAGAACTTGTAAGATCCGGAAAATTGTCTAGATGATAAACGATTGACTGCCAAATAAAAAGAAAAAACTCAGGACAACGGGAATTAAGCTATCATGAACACAAGTAACAAAAAAGAAAAGAAAAATCTCTTTCAATTCTTCCGACTATTTTGTTATGATTATTGTTTTTAGAACTGGCTTTACTTAGAATTTCGGGGAAATATGTCCCCACATATATAAAAGAATTCATTTGAAATCAACTTCTTTTCATCATTACATCTTTCTATATTTTTATATATTTATTTAAATGAAATCTCTTGCTCTTTTAGCTGTCACTGCTGCTTTGGCAACTGCTACTTGTAAGAAAACGAATTGAATCATTACCTGATCTAACCTATTTTTATTGTAGCTGCCAATGAAGTTGAAAACATCAAGGAATTTAATAGCATCAAGAAGATCTTTGGCGGCAAACAATCTGGTCAAGAAGGAAGGGCTCCTGTAGTTCAATTGCCTGAAATGAACACTGCTATTGCCTTGGATGATGCTATTTTCCCTATTGTTATTGATAACATCGAGATTCAAAACAAGCCTCCTGTTATTATTGCATTAACTACCACTCTTTTTGCTGCTCCTAGTGTGAGTCATTGGCATTTAATATACCATATACTTACTTTTTTTTGTAGGTCCTCCCCTTTGAAAACACGGGCCTCAGTGGCACGAACGAACAATTTGGTTCTGAAAATGAACTCATTGTCGGTGAACAAAAGGGTGGCAAAGAACTCAATGTCGGTGAACAAAAGGGTGGCAAAGAACTCAATGGCGGTAAACAAAAGGATGGCAAAGAACTCAATGGCGATAAACAAAAGGGTGGTAAAGAAGACCACGATGGCAAAAAACACTACGAGGGCAAAAAACACTACGAGGGCAAAGAACACCACGGTCGCAAAGAAGACTACGGTCGCAAAGAAGACTACAATGGCAAAAAACACTACGAGGGCAAAGAAGACTACGGTCGCAAAGAAGACTACGGTCGCAAAGAAGACTACGGTCGCAAAGAAGACTACGGTCGCAAAGAAGACTACGGTCGCAAAGAAGACTACGGTCGCAAAGAAGACTACGGTCGCAAAGAAGACTACGGTCGCAAAGAACACTACGGTGTCAAAGAACACTACGGTGATCGCAAGGGCGGTGAAAAATACTACGGTGATCGCAAGGGCGGTGAAAAATACTACGGTGATCGCAAGGGCGGTGAAAAATACTACGGTGATCGCAAGGGCGGTGAAAAATACTACGGTGATCGCAAGGGTGGTGAAGAACGCTACGGTGATCGCAAGGGCGGTGAAAAATACTACGGTGATCGCAAGGGTGGTGAAGAACGCTACGGTGATCGCAAGGGCGGTGAAAAATACTACGGTGATCGCAAGGGCGGTGAAGAACGCTACGGTGATCGCAAGGGCGGTGAAAAATACTACGGTGATCGCAAGGGTGGTGAAGAACGCTACGGTGATCGCAAGGGCGGTGAAAAATACTACGGTGATCGCAAGGGCGGTGAAGAACGCTACGGTGATCGCAAGGGCGGTGAAAAATACTACGGTGATCGCAAGGGTGGTGAAGAACGCTACGGTGATCGCAAGGGCGGTGAAAAATACTACGGTGATCGCAAGGGCGGTGAAGAACGCTACGGTGATCGCAAGGGCGATGAAAAATACTATGGTGGTAACCAAAAGGATGTCAAAGAACACTACGGTGATCGCAAGGAACACAATGGTGCTGAACGTTACAAGGGTCATGGTGAAGAAGGTTACAACCATTTCGGTGGTCACAAGCAATTCAAGCATGATGACAAAGAAGAAGACAAGGATGACGATCACAAGCACAAAAATAAGCACGATGATGATGAAGATGATGAAGATGATAAGAAGCATGGTGGCAAATCTGGTGACAACAAGTTTGGCAAGAAGAAGAATGGCAAGAACTTTCACGCTAACTCTCTTGAAGCCGAAGCTACTGCTGCCACCGAAGTAGGTGCTGCTCAAGCCACTTCTTTCCTCAGCTCAGTCTCTAGCCTTCTCTCTCCTGGCTCTTCTTCCGGCTCTTCTTCCGGTTCTGTTTCCGCTTCTTCTACTAGTGGTAGCCGTACATCTTCTATTGCCTCTAGAGTCAGCAGTGCTATTTCTTCCGCTACTGCTTCTTCTACTAGAACCTCCAGTGGTGCCGGAAATGTTCGTGTTGGTGGTACTCTTGTTGCTGCTGCTGCTGGTATTGCTGCCTACTTACTTCTCTAAGCAGGTTTATATATTTCCCAATCGTATACTCCAAAAAAAGAGACATTTTCATAGATCATCTACTTTTATTCTTTTTTTTTAACTTATTATTTAGAATAATTATTTATTTCTCAACAATCCATATATTTCAATTAAAAACCAAGTAGATATTTATATGTTGGAATGTCTTTAGTGTATGCATAATTTATATTTCACCTGTCATTAGTCAACTTGTAAACTACGAACTACTTTGAGTGACTGTTATGTGGGGGATTGCGAAAACAAAAAAAAACAAAAAAAAAACAATTCTCAACTTTTCATATTCTTAACTTGACAAACTGTAAATAGCATGGAAAACCAGTCCAGTTCAAGATCTCCAACAGACTTTTTGAGTACAGTATTGGGACAAACTGTCAGAGTGAAGTTGAACTCAGGAATAGACTATAAAGGTAGTTATTTAGAAAGAGTTTATCGATAAGGCTTATACGTTGGATAGGAACTTTGGCTTGTTTAGATGGTTATATGAATATTGCGTTGGAAAACACAAAGGAATATGTCGATGGTAGATTGAAGAATACGTATGGAGATACCTTTATCAGAGGAAACAATGGTATGTATAGCAAAAAGAAATACAAGCAACTCACGTGTATTGTATCAGTTTTATATATTAGTGCAGATAAATCATAAATTGTTTGTTTTTTACGCGACGATTGCTTTTTATAAGTGTGTTTATCAGTGTGGAAGATTTTTGTTATTTAGGAAAACGCTTTTAACAGGTGCGGGCAGTCTTCCTCTATCATTAGAAAGAGAAAGGCCTACGGAATTACATTTATTCTGTCCGCGTATATTAAAGCGAAGATTCATCATATTATTCCTTTCCTCCTTTTCTCCTTTTTTCCATAATAAAAACCTATATATGGCGTAAATATTCAGTTGTAGATTAGTACCCGTAGCAAACATGTATGAATATTATCACTGTTGAATATGCAATATCGATGTTAAACAGTAGACCGTATAATCATTTTAGTAATGAGTGCAATTCGCTTATTATTATTCAGTTATTCCGCCATTTTATTTTAACAAACACTACTATTTCACTTGCAAAGACTTACTACTGAATTGGGTCTAACGATTGCTAAATAATACCACTCATTTTCAATAGTAAATCCGGTGATACTTGTTTTCCCCGTTTCTTTCGTCCTTTTTCCTCTGAGACTTCTCGATTTTGGCTAGGAACTACGACTTTAAGTGACAATTGCCTTTTGAATGTTTTCAAAGACTTCTTTACTTTAAAAATTAAACCAGTCCACCTAGCAATTCCAAGTTTTGTGATTGCAATGTGATAATTAGGCGAGTGCCATAAACGGACCCGTATAGTTCTTGATATGATTCTAGACTGGCTCTGCAGAAGCAAAGCTTGTCGAATTGTCTAGTACTTGCAGTAAATATTCAACGTGATACGAACCCCAAGAAGCCATCCTTAAGTGTGGCTAAAAGCGTATTTTACTTCTCTTTCCGCTTTCAAGTTCAATTAAATTGCGTTGTTTTAAATACAAAGCAAGTGTAGAAAGAAACTGCTAGACTTTAGATGGCAATCTGGTTTAAAGAATAGCAGGGTCAGTCAGAAAAGTAATTTTTAATTTCAAGTCTACAATGCAAAAGTCAATGCGCAAAAACAAAAAACCTGATGCGTAAGAATTAAAATACCGTACGTGTTTTTTCAAATTTTCATAAGTTAAAACGGAAATCCCCGGATCATTTTATGGAGCTCAAAGAGACTTTTCCCAGGACAAAGTCGGAGGACACAAATAGTTGCATCATCCGAATAATAACAAAGAGTGTGTAAATAGAAGGGATGAGAAAGAAGTTTAAATTGATTCGAGTAAACTTGGTCTTTTATTTCTCTTTCTTTCTTTCTTTCAATCTTTTTTTTTTTCAATTTAAAAATGGGTCTTCTCGATATTGTTCCTACTGGTGTCATTACTGGTCAAGATGTCTTAAAGGTTTTCGAATATGGTAAGCTTAAATCATACCTAATCACTTGTTACTGACTATTCATCAGCTCGTGAACATAACTTTGCTATTCCTGCCATCAACTGTACTTCTACTAGGTAAGTCACGTACAATAAGCGCGTTTTTACCCCGCATCAATAACCCCAGATTATGCGGTTCTTTAAAATAACTCGAGCACCTGTACTAATTCTCTTCTAGTACCGTTAACGCTGCTCTTGAAGCTGCTCGTGATATTAAGTCCCCCCTTATCATCCAATTTTCTCAAGGTGGTTCTGCCTACTTTGCTGGTAAGGCATTAGACAACAAGAATCAAGAAGCTTCCATTATTGGTGCTGTTGCTGGTGCCCAGGTAAATTGATAAATGCGCCCTTTTATAAACTCACCAATGATTTGTGTTATTTATGTGTGTAGTACGTTCGTTCTGTTGCTAAAGCCTATGGTATTCCAGTTATTGTTCACTCTGATCACTGTGCCAAGAAGCTCTTGCCTTGGTTCGATGGTATGCTCGCTGCTGATGAAGACTACTTCAAGGCACACGGTGAACCTCTCTTCTCTTCTCACATGTTGGATCTCTCTGAAGAATCTAAGGAAGAAAACATTGAAATCTGTCTCAAGTACCTTAAGCGTATGGCTGCCATTAACTGCTGGCTTGAAATGGAAATTGGTATCACAGGTGGTGAAGAAGATGGTGTCGACAACTCTGGTGTCGACAATGCTGCTCTCTATACCCAACCCGAAGATATCTGGGATATTTACAAGGCTTTCAAGGAAGTTTCTAACCTTTTCTCCATTGCTGCTGGTTTCGGTAACGTTCATGGTGTCTATGCTCCTGGTAATGTCAAGCTTCACCCTGAACTTTTGGGTAAGCACCAAGCTTACGTCAAGGAACAACTCAAGAACGATGATGTTAAGCCCGTCTTCTTTGTCTTCCATGGTGGTTCTGGCTCCACTGAACAAGATATTGCTGAAGCTGTACATAATGGTGTTGTCAAGATGAACGTTGACACTGATACTCAATGGGCTTACTGGGAAGGTCTCAAAAATTACTATGAAAGCAAGAGGGATTATCTTCAAACTCAAGTTGGTAACCCCGAAGGTGAAGGCAAGCCCAACAAGAAGTTCTATGATCCCCGTGTCTTTGTCCGTGAAGCCGAAAAGAGCATGGTTAAGAGAGTTCAACAAGCATGCAAGGACTTGGGTAATGTCAACAGATTGTAAATAAATTCCTTTTTTTAAACTAAAATATTGTGCTAAAATGGCGTTCATTCTAATGAAAAAAAAAATTCACACATGTGTATTAGTTCTTTTAAGCGTAAACAGAGTGAGCATATGATGCATATATATTTAGAATAAAGAAAAACTTGTTTATCCATTTATCAGTATATTTGTCATTTTATTGTCCAGATAAGAAAGAGTAATTACAATAGAATAAATTAGTTTACATGGTTGTGTGTGTGTGTGTTTTCTAGCAAATAATGCAACAACATCCTTCTTTTGGTGCTGGCTTTTTTTCTTGTTTAAAAGAAGATCGTATATGTCTTTTACTATCATCTGTATTGGATTCAATGATGGTCATACTTGCATACTCGTCTTCAGCATAATTGAGTTGTTCTGGTATATGATTTGACGTCATTCTATTGCTTTTGTAGGGTGAAATGCTTGACCTTGAAACAGCTGATGGCGGCAATTGAATGACTGACTCTTCTTTTTCTGATGTCGCATTAGGATGTGAAGAAAGATCCGTAGTTGGAGAAGAAATAGGCGATCGAATAGATGCAGAATTAGTATTGTTAATAGAAATAGGAGTAGATTGAGGTAAAATATTAGATGAATCCATAGGTAAGTTAACAGGCAAGTCAACAGACAAGTGTTTAGTTGACCTAATTGATGAATTAATAGTTGACTTATCAAGTGAGCGTTTGATTGACTCAGTAATCGAGTCAATAGGTGAACTGTCAAATGAGTGTTTAGTTGGCGAATTAATAAGTGAATCAACATGCGAGTGTCTGTTCAACTCAATAGATGAATGGGTAGAGGAGTAAGCAAGTGAGTGTCGAGCTGATTCAATAAGTGAGTGAGTAGGCGAGTCTTTAGTTAATTCAATTGGCGAGTTAATAGGTGAGTGAACAGGTGAATGTATAGGTGACTGGATCGACAAGTTTAGTTGATTGGTTTTAGATGAGTCTTGTTGTGATACAGAATGCATATCTTTTTCTTCAGCCTTTAGAAGCAGTCAGTACATGTAAGGAGTAATCAAATTTGTTTGTTACCAATTCATCATCAAAGTCATAATAACTTCCTCCTCCTCCTCCTCCTCCCATACCGAAAAAAGTATGTCGTTGAGTAGACTTCCTATCTTTACTTCTTTTTGTCACTACAATGTGTTGATAAGGCTCTCCACTGTCTTCTTGTCCAAAAGGGTCTTTTGGATGGCTAGAAGGTGTACTTCCAACTAATTTTGAATATCGAAGTTGGCCCTTAATAACATCCTCCTCTTTATATTCTGTTGGTAGTAGAGCAGCCGCATCTACTTGTTGTTGTCTTTTTGCTGCAATATCGTAAATTTGGACTACCTAATCATATGCATGAATAAAAGCATATTTAATATTTCTTCCTTACCTTATCATCTAGAAATCGTATCTCATAAGCAAAGTTATTCTTGTTAGTCATTTCTTTGTCAAGAAGAAAAAAAAGAGAGAAAGACAGAGAGAGAAAGAAAGAGAGAAAAAAGGGCCCTACCAGTCTCCACGTTTTTCTTGATTTAAATTTGGCAACTCATTAAAGTATTCTTTTTTGCTATTATCTTGTTCAGAAAAGGCTCAGGGATAACACTGTACACAAGATTAAAAGCCAGATATGTTTCATGGGGCGGCTTTTGGAAGTATTCATTTTTGCTTTATGACTACTAAAGTTTCAGATGTTTTATGAATTTTGACAGCTTTCAACATATGTAATTTAACGCATTTCTTAAAGCAATCAGAACAAATACATATCTAAACTAACTAATTGTTTTTTTCTACCTCCTCATTGTCCATTTCCTTGCATTTTTTTCACGATTTGACGTATGCTGAGATTAAACAAAGGTACAGCCTAACAAAAAGGGTTTAAATGGTGGCTTACATCAAAAAATTCTTTTCTTATTTTTTTCTCTTTATTTTCCATCACACTATGACTGACTTTGCCAACGTTGACTATAGCCGCCTTGAAGCTTCTCTCTGCAACACTTCTGGCAACGTTCAACTTGCTGAACGTTTTAGAACACTTTTTACCCTCAAAAACATTGCCACCGAACAAGCTATCGATATTATTGCTAAAGGTAGCTAATTTTCTATTTCGAGCTTATGATTAATTGTTGTTTAGCCTTTAGCGACGAGTCTGAACTTTTGAAGCATGAACTTGCTTATTGTCTCGGTCAAATTGGTAATCCTCGTGCCAACCCTATTCTTCAAAAAGTGTTAGAAAATATGAATGAAGCCGAAATGGTTCGTCATGAAGCTGCTGAAGCTTTAGGTGCCATTGGTTCTTTAGAATCCCTCGATGTGCTTGAAAAATACTTGGAGGATAAAAACGAGTCTGTTGTTCAAACTTGTGAGCTAGCTATTGACAAAATCAAGTATGACAACGATCCCAACAATAAAGCTGAAAGAGAAGCCAATAAGAGTCTTTATAGCTCGGTTGATCCAGCTCCCCCTACTGCCGATACTAAATCCATCAAAGAATTGGGTGAGCAACTCATGAATGCTGACCTTAAGTTGTTCAAGCGTTATAGAGCTATGTTTGCCTTGCGTGAAATTGGTAATGAAGAAGCTGTATTGGAATTGGCAAAGGGCTTGAAAGACAAAAGTGCCTTGTTCCGTCATGAAGTTGCCTATGTTTTTGGTCAATTGCAACACCCTGCTTCTGTTCCTGCTTTGACGGAATGTCTTCAAGATAAGGAGGAAGCTCATATGGTCCGTCATGAAGCTGCTGAAGCTTTAGGTTCTATCGCTACACCTGATGTTCTTAAGGTATTGGATTCTTTCAAGCAAGACAATGAGCGTGTTGTCCGTGATAGTTGCGCCGTTGCTCTTGATATGTATGAATACGAGACTAGGTAAGTCAAAATGTAAATGTAGATTCAATGCTCATTTGTTTTACAGTGGTCAATTACAATATGCCAACAGTCTTGAAACTCAACCTCAAAACATGCATTCTCTTAAGCTTGCCTAAGCACGTTCACATTTAGACATCATTACATTTGTATATAATATTGATAACCAACCCAAACCCCCCCCCCACTCTTTTTTATTTTTTGTATTTTAATAATTGAAAGAAATGAAATACTATTTATTTAAATAGTTTAATGAAGGTAGTACAGGAAGCACAGAGCCTTTTTTTTGGTTTTTTTCGATTTAAATGATACCTTTTCATTTCTTTTTTCCTCTTCCTTTTTATCTTTTTTGTTTTTCAAATGTCTTTTTCGCGCTCGCCACCTCAGTCGCCTTCTTCACATGACGACTGGTTATCGCGTGGACCTCATTCAGCAAAGACATACTCTTCGGGCTCATCACGACATGCTTCTCGAACACAATCATTTGGCTCTGCTTCGAGTCGCGCCCAATCTATCGGCAATATCGAAGCTACCGCTAAAATTTATTATGCTGAACTTAAGGCTTATTTAAAGGAGCTGTTAGCCCAAGGTAGGCTAGAGGAGGGGGAAGGATAAAAATAAGATTTCTTATTGTTATTAATTTATAATTCAAGAGGCTATTGAAGGCCCTCATCCACAGCGAGTGGCTGCACGTCAGAAGCTAACTCGATTAAGTAACCTTCAATTTCATGAACTTGCAATGGATGTCTATGATGAAGTTGTCCGTAGAAACAAAAACGATAAATTTCGTATGTATTAGTGCCATCGTGTTGTGTATGCTTATGTTGCCTAGTTCCCTTCCTGCCCGTAAAGGAAGAGTTCCACCCCAAAAGAAATCAAGCAAGGCAAAAACTAGCCACATTGCCTGTACCTCGTTTCCAAGATTTAGCGAGTGATGTATATAGTGAATTGACGAGACGATTTTCTAGTTTAGTTGAAAGCGATCCACCTGTGCCTCAAATGCCTGGGAAATCTACCAATATCATACCAGTCAAAGGAACAATCAGCGTAGAAAACTTGGATCGATTTTCTGGAGATGAAAGCACAATGGCTTATCATAAAAAATCAAGCTCAAAAACACCTATTTCACCGAGTGAATCTAAAGACTATTTTAGCCGATCCTCAGTAAGTCTTTTTTACAATAGAAAACTTTAATTTATTGTTTGTACAACCATAATAGAACACTGAAGTGGAGAAAATAAAATCAGATTATGAATACCAAATCAATATCATGACAAATAGAATCAAAGAGTTACAACATCAAGTAGATGTAAGTTGAATTCTTTTATACTATAATGAATTTACTTTGTTTTAGCAGCATAATTCAAACAAATCAAGCAGGGAATTAGAGTCGCTGAAAATGGTAATTTTGTCTATAACAGTATTCATTAATTCATTGTTAAACAGAAAGAGCAAGATGATCAACGCATGCTGAACCAAATACAAGATCAATATCAGTCACTTAAAGAAAAATACGATAAACTCAACCAAGAATACAGTCAACAACAAGAGGCTGTGCGTGAAGTCAAGAGAGAAACAAAACAAATGTTGGATGAGCTCAAAAAACTTGCTCAAATGAATGAGGAGCTTTTAAGCGAAAAAGAAAAAAAGAAAATGTGATACAAGAGCTAAGAAAAGAGATTAAAGATTGGCATATGAAATATGATAAAGCGAGAATTGAATTACGAAGCATGAAAGGTAAAAAAAAAAAAAAAATTTGAAAAAGAAATAAGGTTGACACTAGTGTAGCTGCTTCTGTTATAGAATCAGGTTATTCTCAAAATATTATCAAAGAAAACTACTTGCAGCCAACTAGAGATGGTGTCATTGCTCAAGACGCTATCTTGACATATCAAGCACATATTGATGATCTATTGTTTTCAGCTAGGTAGCTATAAGTAGAGAAAATGAACGTTCACCTAAACCAAACTATTAGATCCAGAGATCCTTCTCAAGTCATTCACATCATGAAGAATATTGTGTCTGTATGTAGATCTATTACAGAAGAAATTGAAAGCAAAGAGACAAAATTATCGCCCAACACTAAGCATTCACTCTATGAGTTAAAGACTCGCTTTTCAACATCCTTGTCTGATTTGTTAGTATCAGCTAAATATCATGCGAACGGAATGGGCATTTCTCCTGTTAGTCTATTAGATCGCTCAGCAAGTCATTTGACAGCTGTAATAGTTGACTTGGCAAAATTGCTTGGTATGCATGATACTCCTACTATAGAAGGCAGAAGCTCCCCTCCTCCTCTTCCCCTGTAATGCCTGATAATAACAGAATGAGAGCAAATAGTGGACCAAAACGAGATACAGATTCAATTGGATTCAACAGTCCTTTTCTAAGTAATAAACAGCAAGAAAATGGACAAACGCCTGCTGCTTTAGCGGTAAGCTGATGCTTAGGATAAGCAACTTGCGCTAATGTGTATTGTAGAAATATCTCAAAACAGAAACAGATTTGATTGTACAAACTATTCAAAATTTGCTTGCAGCACTTCGTCTGCCACAGCAAAATGGTGAAGCACACATGATTATCACAGAACTCGTCAAGATTGTTACAACAATCATTGAACTTGCCAAAGCTACATGTAAAACATCTCTTGGCTATCCTTACCGTTCAGCATGTGATCCTATATTGGATCAGCTCTTTTCATGTTCACGACGTATTGGCGTGATTCAGCAGCAATACTTTGGACGAGGCGCTAGCGCAACTGCTATTGCTAAAAGAGATCTTGCAAGGGAGTCTTACGAAATTGCTAAATTTACCAAAGAATTAATTGCATTATTTGAAGATGAATCAAAATAATTCTGTACTATATAATTTATTAATAATTAATGCATGTATATTTTGCCTATTAAACATAGTTTTTTTGTTTTTTTAAGAAACGTACTATCTACCGAATTAAGCATATCTATAGACATTTGCTTATGTGAGGGCTCATTATTGGCAGAATTTATAACAAGAACACTATATCGTAACCATAATTCAGATAATCCAAGTTAGGTCTTGTATAAAGACGTGTATTATAGGAAATATTCAATCATCTTTCATGCAAAACTTAGATTTGTTATTGGCATAAAAAGTATTGAATAAAAGCAATGCGTGTAACCTACTTGTACAACGGCTTTATCCATTCAAGTTTGTTGTTTTATTGTTGTGAAGTTCACCGAACATACTACAATGATGACGCTTTCAATACGATATGATATTACATTTCGTTTCTGTACATTTGATGTCTGGTTTTTTTAACAACTGGATCAAAGCGCGGCTACGGCTGGTAAGTGCCAGCAAAGATAAAAAAGAAAATTCATTGAAGGGAAGAGTGTAGTTGACTTGTGAGCCCGAATCCAAATAAAGTATAGCAACTATAGAGAACCATGTGCCACAATGTAAGCGATTGCATTTTTTCTCCATTAGTGGAAAGAAACTTTCATTTTCGATAGAAGCTCTCTGCGTTCAATGGAAAAATCTTCCATCGCTTACGCTGTAGTGATGATTCTATAAAAAACAGCTAGAGAAATGAGAAAAAAAATATGGAAAGACTCGTACATCTCAGACCTTCATGGTCAATGTGATGGACTTACAAAAAAAAACAATTTTGAAAATAATGAAAATATCAACAGTTATGTCGAGATTACAAGTATGCCTATGGTAATCTGAGCACTTTTCAATACGAAATATAATAAATAGTCTTTCATCATATAAATGAATAATCACTTATAGCACTATACATCATAAATATAAAGGAAGCATTGTATAATGACAGTAAATAACGATAAATGGGATAATATGGATATTTACAAATAACGAAACCATAGTAGTCATTTCCCAGGCACAAGCTGTCAAAGTATAAAGTAATCAATAATCAGCAACCACAATTAGTCAATAAATCAGGTAGTATAAAAGACAAGCTGAAAAGATATCTTTTAGAGGATTATCATTATTTTTGTAATAAAGAAGTACTGAACAGTGTCACTGTATTTGTTTGTTTTCTTTCTATTTTCTATTCTATTTCATTTTACAACCTAAACACCACAATGCCATTTGCGTACTCGAAAAAATATATTTTGAAAAATAATAAAAAACCACTATTTTAGAATAAATTAAAAGCATTTTCTGCAATACAAAAAAAATAAAAAGAAGTTTTCTAATTTTTCTGCTTAAAATTAGAAAAAAAAGCTTGCTTTTCAGTTTTTCAATTTTAAATTAAAAAACGAATCTACCAGATGATGATTTTGTTGTTTAGTTTAAAAAGGGTATTACTGCCTGGTAGATTCGTTTTTTAATTTAAAATTGAAAATCTGAAAAGCAAGCTTTTTTTTTAATTTTAAGCAAAAAAAATAAGGATTTTTCTATTTTTTATATTTTTATCATTGCAGAAAGTTTTTTGATTTATTATTTTTCAAAAAATATTTTTTTGAGTACGCAAATGGCATACTTGCAATGTCGGCATAAATGATGCCGGAGTTGTAAACTATTTTTATGAATTCATTACATTCATTAGAGTTCTGATATTTACGAGGTTTGCCGAAACGAAATCGAAGCGAAATCAATGTGCTGAGTATAGTCTCACACTAGGCTATAGATGGGACTCCAATAAATGTACCTGAGAAAGACATCATCGAGCATGCTCTCTCTGGTTCAGTCACTTACGACATGACACCTTTTCTTCTGAATTCTTTTTAGAAGCAGAGGCATCTAGCCTGAAGTGCTTTGTAAATTGGTTCTAATCAGGTTCGCTCAGTATTGTATACATACAGCTCCTGTATAACTCAGTCAATGATATTAAGGATACAACAACATTACAGAATAAGCCTAATTTGGGTGTGGCGGATTTATACCGCAGACAACACTGTAGATATTTGTCCCCTGTGTATACATACCAACAGTAAACAATCTTAGTTGTTGTCACTGTTCATTCTAGTACACTCTGCTTTATACCACACTCAAAGAATGTCTATCAGGACATTCCAGTCATGAATAACTCACACAATATATAAAGAGTGTAAGCTATAATAAATCAGTCTTTTTAAGCCTTGTTTGGTTCTGATTAACTTTTATTCTCTCAATCGTTGCTCATATATAACACTCAACTATGACCATGCTAATCTCTATTGGTGTCAAAACACTCGTTTCCCTAACTTCCTAGAACCAATCTCGAGCGTATCCGTCTAATTTACTGACGAATTGTTTGACTATCTGGAAATAATCCTAAGTCGTGTTCTTGTGCCGCATGCCTCTTTCACTCGCATGTAACCCAGTGCTTTAATATACATACTAGGTTGAAATAGCTCACAGCGTGTGTCGAATAGAGCTCTACATATTTCTTCCTGTCAAGGATGGTCTTTACAAAGCATGATATCATGTGAACTCTGCTATTTTCAATAATCAGTCAGCTCTCTCTCTTCTTTTTTTTGGCTACAGGCACACGCCAACAAACATTATTAGATCAACATTTTTTTCTCTATGCATTTCTTATCCTTGTTCCCTTGAGAAAAAATTATTCTACTTATATGGTACTTTTAGAGCCTATTTGGACAAAAAAAAAGGAGACATCCAAAACTTGGTCAAAAGCCTTTTTTGACCAAAGGGTATTGCTTGTAGAAATCTTGAATTTGACAGCTTTTTGAGCTTCTTTTTGACGTTACAAGACGGAAAATAGAGCTATTGACAAGCTTAAATATTCAAAGTGAATGTAAAAAGCTGCAGTTTCTAGTGCATATGTTTGCTTGTCAGGTGTACTGTAGAAATAATGAGATATGGGTGAGAAACCTTACAAACATTTTTGCCTATTTCCTCAAAACTTTAGCAGCAAACTTGGTGTATTTCCTGTGTCAATATACTCAAAAAGTAAAGATCTACAATGTTTGTCACTGGATCAAAGTCATAAAACTGCGTCTTTATGTAGTTCTAAGCAAAGGCTTGGTTTTTTTTTAATGATTTTATTTGCCGCACGTATTAGTGGTCTCGAGAGGGGCCCAAGAAAAGAGGTGTTCGACAATTATTTATTGTAAGAGAATATAAAGAAAAACAAAATTGGTACGATAATAAGAAAGTAGAAAAATATAAAAGGAAAGAAGAACAGCTATTGCGAGAAAAGACTTCTCAAGATGAAAGGTCATTTTTAGCAGCTATACGCTTAATTTGATAGCGAGTGCTGCGAAAAACAGAGAGATAATGGAATGGCTGGTTCTGCATGGTATGAGCCCAATGGGCCTTCCAGATTTCAGAGAGACAGATCAAGGTTACCATGGCTACTGAAAGAGGACAGTTGGTTTGAGACCGAATCCGAGAAAAATTGAAAGATGCAAGTGCATCAGAGACTAGATCCAGAGAGGTGCCTGGCCACAAAAATTCCCTGATCAAGGCATCCCAGAACGGAAGTTTTTGGAGGCAGCGAAAGAAGAAATGGTACGCAGTCTCCTGATCGCCACACAAAATGCAGGTAGCAGTAGGGAAGCGAGCAGGAAAAACCTTGGATAGAAGTAAGCGAGTGCGAATCTTGTGAGTCAGAAATCGATACATCACATTTCTCTGCAATGTTGTGATAGGTATACACCAAAAGTACTTCCAAGCAGCAGAAGAAACTTCTTGCCGGGCAATGATATCAGACAAGTCAGCTTGCGTGATGACCTTACGGAAAGTATAGCCACCATTCTTGAGGGCAATGAAATTTTCATTGTCAAAAGGCAGTTTCAACATACGCACAAAAGAAAAGAAACCAAGAGACCGCTGGATTGCAGGAATATGCACAGGATTGTATAAGTCTAATGAAGTACGAGCAAGGCATTGACCAAAGAATGGCTCCAGTTGACAATGATTTTGATTCACTGCTTGAATATATTTTCTGACACTACGACGGATATCCAGGGGAAAGGAAGAAACTGGTATTGGTGCCAAATAGTGACCCTGTGGATGGTACTCATATAGATAGGAAACTGTTACTGTGCGTAGCTTGAGAGGCAAGTCAAAGGTGTCAGATGGTAAAACAATTGAGCGTAATGGTAGTAGAAGGCATTCGATAGGGTTTGGCATGTATGAGTATTGTTTCCTAGGAATAGCATTCATCGTCTGGCAGCACATTGTGACAGTGTTACTTGCCAATTGCCTGAGTTGGCCTGGGCGAGAACGAGGAAAGAGCAGACCCAAGAGCAGATGTTCAGTCTGAAGCAAAGCACGGGTATGTGCTGCTAGAAAGTCTTGTATCAGAGAACGTTCAGCTTGAGGACACAAAAAAGGATGAAGCCAATGGTAATATAGTGATTTCTGCTGAGAAAACAAGTCAAGAATGCCAAGGGCTTGATTTTTTATGCGGCTGGATGAAGTGGAATTGTTTTACTTCAATCTCCGCATCGCTGCTAAATCGTATGCTCTATGCTCATTTGCTCTACATTTACATTATGAAATGCATGTATCTCTATTCTCTATGTTTTTGAGTGTCAAAAAACATAAGACGCTTCAAATGGGTCAGTATCTAACAAGTTTTGTGATAAATATAGAGCAAAAACGTTCAAAACACTGCTTAAATGCACTATTCTTTGATCCACCATTGCTCGACAACCAGACTATTGAAATGATTTTTTTGAACCCAGAAATTAAATAGTACCATTGGTATGGCAGCTAGATGAGCTTCATTCTTGACCCATGGAGGTTTTGTGAAGAGAGAATGAAAAAACTTTGATCAAGAGCTCTTTGGATCTTGGGATAGCGATTTTTGAAAACATTCCAGGGAGTTTCAGAAAATAGCATTTTTAGGTACTTCTAACAAAAAAAAAACGAGTTTGTTACGATGAAAAGGACGACTCGATTTGAACATTGCCTTCAAATCTGCATTCAAAGTTCGTTGCACACTGTAGTTGGTAGAAAAACGGCCTTTTCAGTGAATATCGACTAGTAAAATGGTACCTCTTCTTACATTATTTGATGCACAAAATGTGCACGAGTAAGATTCACAATAGTACATAATACTTCTGAGGCCAAAGAGGGTATGTTTAAGCATCACTGTCTGTGGATGTCTTTTATCATGAGATTATGTAGTCCATTTAAGGCATATCTAACCACACAGAGTTTGAGTTTATAGTTATAATATTTATTCAACTCATCTATCCTAGCATATGCATATATTTACAGCAGTTTCTCGTTATTGCGTTCTGCATATTGTTAATATTAAATACGATACTTATTTAAAAAAGAGAGTACCGTTGTATTTATTCTAAAAAATAAATAGTGCCGATCTTTGATTTTACTTCATTTAGAAGTTATTCGCAGGAACAGCTGTGTGAAGGCAATCGAATTGCACTTCTATACCCTATCAAACTTCTGCAATTTGACAGTTTTGTCAGATCTCCAGAGACACCCCCGTTACAAAAACGAACAGTCATTGTCACTGCTAACTGGCGACAACATCTATACAATTCCTCATCGAAATGCCATAACATCTGACAAAAAAGCGTAGTCTTTAATTGTAACAAGCACACAGGATCCAGTGCATACACTTATATACATAAAGGGAAAACTTACCTCAAAAACATCAAGTTAGAACACGGCATCAGAACACAACAATACAGGGCCACCACCAAAGAAACAAGAGAACAATACTAACAAGCTAGCAACTCAACTAAGATTATGAAGGAGCAGTTGAAAGCAAAAAAAAAAAAAAAAAAAAAAAAAAAAAAGTGTTTTATAATCTTATATGCCATCTGCTTTTTCTTTTTTCACACTCATCTCCTTTTTTTTTCTTTTGATAAGGATCAGTTTATGGTGAGAGGAAAGAAAGAGCATCTGATTCTATACTACAACAAAAGCTGTTTGTTTGCATAAACAATGCAATTGACACTGCACTTTTCAGTTTTTTAGACGTAAAAATATCCCTTTTTCTCTCCTTTCTCTTCTATAACATGAGCTGATCATCTATGATTGAACTAAATGCTTCTCTCTTTATGTTTGATAATAATAATAATAATAATAAAACTCGTCCATGATATCAATTGATACAGAATTCATTCTGGGACAGAGGACTTAAACTATAATCATTCTCCGCTTTTTTCTTTCATGTGAAGATAAAAATAACACCAACAATGAAAAGAGCACAAAAAGGAGGCTTATTTCTCACACAAATCATAATTGATTATTATTGATTTTTGATGATTAAATATCTCTTTTCGTCTCTCTTATTACGTTTAGCATGAGCTTGAAAAGTATTACCATAGCTTTTCCCTAAAAATAAAACCTTGATAAACTCAAAACTTTCTTTTGTAACAAAACTCGTATTCATTGATGTAAACAGATCATAGACTGGTCCTAGGCGTTACTTTCGACTATCAGTTTAGTAATCAACATAATGTAAACAAACGATTTACTTTGCGATACAAGTAAGGACAAAGTATCCGCTATGTTCTCTTTAGAACAATATTTTCAGATAGTGATAAATGATAGATTCTATCTTGTCTGTGTGCCATAATACATTGTCAATAAGCATATAGACTTGTATAGTTTTTACATACTTGAGAGCAAATTGATCTTTGAAAGTTACACAAATCAACAAAGTTGTTTATGCCATCGAAAGTTCTTTTCATCATAATGAAGCCAATATAAACAAAAAGATCTCATCTCTAAAGCATGGGAACAAAGCAAGTGTAAATGATAAAAAGCGAGTCTAGAAAAAAACCTTTTTTTTTTGTCTTTCTTTCATCTTATTTCTCATTCTCAAGACTTAAATGCAAAACAAAAAAAAAGGTATTATGTAGCATTAAATTTATGTAGCTAATATTGTTAGTCTCTGTCTCCGCGTCTCTTCAAATCAAGCAATACTATGGTGTCTCTTCTTTACAAATCAAAAGGCTGAGACTATTTAGCATACATTTCAATACTTGATCCATCTGATTCTCTTTTGTCTATCTGTCTTCTGGGTACTCTACAAGAACACACAAGCAAAAAAGAAAAAAAAAGAACGTCCTTATTGACAAGAACCTTCTCTCTGATTTTATCTCTGTGAGTAACTGGCTGGTAGAAGGAAGACTGATGCCGCTTATTGAATCGCGTAAAACAAGGGTATCTGTTGTTGGCCAACTTCCGCGAACGTCTACTCCTGATAGGCAAAGTACCGAAAGAGGGAAACGCACTATGCATTGTCTTGAAGGATACATAGTAGACCTGTAGGGATTATTGGTAGAAGGGTTCACAAACATTACCTGTGCTTCCCTTTGTCAACACTGATAGGTTTGTTGTGAGGAAAGAGCCAACAGAACTAAGCTTTAGCAATAAGGCTTATCCTCTGAATTCTACCACAAAGTTGCTTGCGCTATATACGAACTTGCTCTCTTTACTGCTTACTGCTTACTGCTTACTGCTTACTGTCTACTGTCTACTGTCTACTGTATATCAACTGATATTTGATATCAAAAGCATAACTAATACCACAAAACTACTATTGTTACTTTACTGAACCAAGTCTCTTAATGCAACAAATTAATAAACCTCTTCACAGTCCACAGCATACTAGAAATAATTGTCTTGTAAACATTTTCAATAAATCTCAATTAGCATAAAATAATAGCTGCTGTGCTTCTTGCTTTAAATTCAAAACATTAAGTTGTAAAAGTAACTTCAGACCCCTTATGTCTTAGGATATCCTGCAAATATCACATTTAAGGCGAAAAGAAACACTTTTAGCTTATAATACACGCGGTTTACCATTATGCTGTGTAGTAAGTAGTGTTTCTTTTAATAGATATAGTTCAAGTTTTGAACCTGGAAAAGCTATATATATATATATACTATTCTGTACCTTATATTGCAATCAGTCTTAGTAAACCATATATTTTTCTTGTAGCTTTAATTACTAAAGCATATTAATCTCACTTGATGCACCATGGTAACCTGACTTGATTTTAAACAAGTTCCTATCAGTTATTTGATCCAAGTACCAAACTGAGTCATTTACAACATATATTTTGGATTAGAAAATGCTATAAAAGTGATATCTGAATACATAATAAACTCTAGATACAATACACGAATCACTTACTCTAAGCAATAGCAACCTCTATTTCAATTGAAGTTATATCAACACTGCTATATATGTGGCATTTGTAACCATAAACTTCGTCTTTTTTTTTCTTGTTGACTTTTTCTCTGATGCTTTTACAATATGTCGTGCCTTTTAAACATTGATCTCATATCAGGTACTGAAGAACCATCGATAAACAATAACTTGTAATAAAATAAACAGTGTAAATTCATCAAAACTATAATTTAACTTTATTATTGTGTGATTTACAAATAAACACTGCATTTATCCATAACTGTCGAAATAAAAAGAAAATGGCGGCGATTAAACTACGGCTAAAAAAAACACAGAGGCCCTTTCCATATTTTGTTTTTGTTTTTCCTTCTCCCCCTATCTTTTACAGACACACGTTCCATCTTGTTTAGTTTGACTGAGCATAACTTTGACTAGAGAGCACAAAACAAAAAGTATCTATAGAAAATGTCTGTTTATAACCATCGACCCATGGGGCCACCTACGTCTAGTCGTTTGATTGAATTACTGGATGCCGTCAAAAACGAATATGATCAACTTGCTCAAGAAGTCATTGTCTGTAAGAACCAAAGAGATGAATATGAGCACAAGAGTAAGTGGTACTTATAGAAGCGCGTCATTAACCATCTCTTAGTGAATAATCAAATACAAGAGATGAGTCTCTTTCAACAAAACTTGATTGATCTCGAAAGAACTCAACAAATGATAAAGAAACAGTAAGATATATACTGTATTAAATTCATAACTCATGGTCTATATAGATATGAAGAAGAAATTGCAAGACTTCGTCAACAGTTGGATCAACAAGTAAAGTATGATAAGAGAAAAATAGTGAGTTTTAAATTATTTACATAGGCACAACATGTTCAACAACATGGAAATGCTCCTGGTCCTACCGCTGCTACTGCTGCTGTTTCTGCTCCTCCTCCTCCACCTCCTGTCGCAGGTGGTGGTTATGTTGGTAAGTGATTGAATTTCAACATGGTCTTTTTTTTTAAAAAAAAGATGATAATTAGGTCCCTCTGGTTACCAACAACCACCTCAAGTACCACCATCTTCTTTAATGGAAGCTAAACCTCCTGTTCATCATCCCAATTACCCTCCAGCTGGTCCCCCTCCACCCAGTGGCCCACCTCATCCTTCTTCTGGTGTTTCTGGCCATCCCTCTTCAGGTACACCTTATATCAATGGTGGTTCCCCTCTTCCTTCTAATGCTCCACCACCACCACCGCCATCACAGCGTAAGTTATCAGATCGCGATAATCAAGCTAAATCTTGTTTAGTCACTGCTACTCGAGCTGGTGTCAATCCTGTCAAGTCCGGGGCTGGTCCTCACAATACTGGAGCTTCAGAAGCCCTTGGTGACATTAACCCTGAAAGTGTTCCTCCTAATATGAAGGTGGAAGGACAAGACTGGTTTGCATTGTATGTGTATTATTATTTAAGAATTTATTTACTTATATGACCATCATAGGTTCAATCCTAAAGCTACCCGTTATCTTAAAGTAGACCTTGTTCATACTTTTGAACATGGTAGTGTTGTCTGTTGCGTTAAATTTAGTGCTGATGGTCGTTTCCTTGCTGCTGGTTGTAATCAAGCCACTTATATTTACGATACTATGTCTGCTACTCGTGTTGCGTAAGTCTGCTTCCTCATATAAACGTTTTATTTACTTTAGATAGTGTTCTTCAAGATGAAAATGCTGGTCGTGACGGTGATCTTTATATTCGTTCAGTTAGTTTCAGTCCTGATGGCAAATTCTTGGCTACAGGTGCTGAAGACAAACAAATCAGAGTAAGTCAATAGAGAAAAGAATCTTACATTAACAACTTGTTTAGATTTGGGATATTGCAAAGAAGCGTATTCGTGGTATCTTGTCCGGTCATGAACAAGACATTTACTCACTTGAGTTCAGTCGTGATGGTCGTATTCTTGTTTCTGGTTCAGGTGACCGAACAGCCCGTATCTGGGACTGGCAAAGCATTCGTTGCTTACATGAGCTCCGCATTAATGATGTAGAGCAACAAGATTTGGGTGTGACCAGTGTTGCCATTTCCCCTGACAGCCGTCTTGTTGCTGCTGGTAGTCTGGACAAAGTGGTTCGTGTTTGGGATGCTGTTACAGGCCAACTGTTGGAGCGTTTAGAAGGACATAAGGATAGTGTGTATTCTGTTGCTTTTATGCCAGATGGAAAGACATTAGTGAGTGGTAGTTTAGATAAGACGTTGAGAATGTGGCAATTGGGCGGTGAAAGATCAAATGGAGGATATGATCGCAAGAGTGCCTGTATTCAAGTATTCACTGGTCACAAAGTAAGATGTTGTGTATGTGTATGTATGTATGTACTTATGATAACAGGACTTTGTTTTATCTGTCGCTACTACACCTGATGGTAATTGGATTGTCTCTGGCTCAAAGGACCGTGGCGTTCAATTTTGGGATCCTCGTACAGGACAAACACAGTTTATGCTTCAAGGTCACAAAAATTCTGGTAAGGGGAAGAGAAATTGTATTTCATCAGGCTTATCTTGTTATTTTAGTGATTTCTGTTGCCACAAGTCCTGGTCATAAGCCTATGTTTGCTACTGGTTCCGGTGATAATCGTGCTCGTATTTGGAGTTACGAACCATTAGGACCCAACTAAACTGCATATCACCAATTCAAACACTTGTATATTATACATCCCTTTTTTTTCGTTTTTTTTTTTTTTTAAATCTTTCTAGGAATATACGCGTATATACAAATACAAACACACACACACACACACACACAAATATACATACATAAAGAGTTTGTTTCCCAAGACAACTGTTTCAGTGAGAAAATAATCTGGGGTAAAATTAAAACTTGGGATTGATGTGGCACATTCAAAGTGGGTGTGTGTGAATCTTGTCATTGTCTCACAATGGGGTTTGTTTAGCTTATGTCATCTAAGATCACACACACACACACAGTGCAGGTACCTCTATTAATATAAAAATAAACCTTTTTTGTTATTGTTTTTTTCTCAAAAGCTATTCATAATGACTGTTGGAGCTACTGATGCTGTATTCCCTGTTCCTTCTCGACTACTAAATGGAAATGATATTCCAAAGCCTTATATTTCTAGTTTTGAAGACTACAAAACCAAATGGGAAGAGAGTGTAAAAGACCCGAAGAAGTTCTTTGGCAATGTATGTCAAGATATCGATACAACACATAACTCATTTCTGTTAGCTTGCACGAGACTTATTGAATTGGTCAAAACCTTTTGAAACTGTTCAAAGCGGTAGTTTTGAACAAGGAGATATTGCTTGGTTCTTGGAAGGCGAATTAAATGTTTCAGTCAATTGTGTTGACCGCCATGCATTAGTGACACCAGACAAGGTGAGTCATGTTTTGAAGAATGCATCAACAGCTCATGTTTCTATAGATTGCTATTATTCATGAAGGTGATGAACCTGAAAATGTACGCAACATTACCTATCGTGAATTATTACAGCAAGTATGTCGTGTAGCAAATACGCTCAAGGCATTGGATGTACGCAAAGGTGATAATGTGGCTATTTATATGCCTATGGTGCCTGAAGCTGTTTATGCCATGTTGGCTTGTGCACGTATTGGTGCTGTTCATTCAGTGGTGTTTGCTGGATTCTCTTCGGATTCCTTACGTGACCGTATCAATGATTGTGGTGCTCGCGTTGTCTTGACAGCTGATGAGGGTCGTCGTGGGGGTAAAAACATTGCTACCAAACGCATTGTCGATGAAGCATTGAAGTCAACACCTACCGTTGAACATGTTTTGGTGTTGCGTCGTACGGGATCCGATGTGCCTTTTACCTCAGGTCGCGATCTTTGGTGGCACGAAGAAATGGCAAAAGCACGCCCTTATTGCGCTCCAGTCAATGTCAATGCTGAAGACCCTTTGTTCTTACTCTACACTTCAGGATCCACAGGTACGCCTAAGGGTGTGGTGCACACGACAGGCGGTTATCTTTTGGGTGCCGCTGCTACTGTTAAATACGTCTTTGATTATCATGAAGGAGATATTCATGCTTGTATGGCTGATATTGGCTGGATTACTGTAAGTCGCTATACATTGATAGATGCATAGGTCAACTTTTTTGTGTGTATATATATATATAGGGTCATACCTACATTGTTTATGGTCCTCTTGCACTAGGTGCCACAACAGTTTTGTTTGAATCGACTCCTACTTATCCAAGCCCATCTCGTTTCTGGCAATTAATAGCCAAACACAAGGTCACTCAATTCTACACAGCGCCCACGGCCATTCGAGCTCTTCGTCGTTTAGGCGATAAATGGATCGATGGCGTTGATCTCAGCTCACTTCGTGTCATTGGTTCTGTAGGTGAACCCATCAATCCCGAAGCATGGTTATGGTACAATGAAAAAGTTGGTAAAGGCCAATGTGCTGTGGTCGATACCTATTGGCAAACAGAAACCGGCTCTATCATCGTCACGCCTTTACCTGGAGCCACAGCAACCAAGCCAGGAAGTGCTACTTTCCCCTTTTTTGGTGTTCAGCCTGTCATTTTGGATCCTGTCAGTGGTCAAGAACTTAAAGGAAATGATGTGAGTGGTGTCTTGGCTATCAGTCAACCTTGGCCCTCGATTGCTCGTAGTGTTTATAACAATCATTATCGTTACCTTGATACCTATCTCAAGCCCTACAAAGGATATTACTTTACAGGCGATGGCGCTCGTCGTGATAAAGATGGCTATATCTTTATTGAAGGACGTGTGGATGGTAAGTGCAACTTTTTGTCCTATTAGATGCTGAATCAATCATAGATGTCATTAATGTATCGGGTCATCGACTGTCGACTGCCGAAATTGAATCTGCTTTAATCCTGCATCATTCTGTTGCTGAGGCAGCCGTTGTAGGTGGCCAAGACGATTTAACAGGTCAATGTATCCACGCTTATTGTACATTGAAGCCCAACATTGAAGATTCAGAGGGCCTTGATAAAGAGTTAGCTTTGCAAGTCAGAAAAGTGATTGGTCCATTTGCCACGCCTAAACGTATTTATGTTGTGAATGATTTGCCCAAGACACGGTCTGGCAAGATTATGCGTCGTATTCTTCGAAAGATTGTGAACGGCGAACAGGATTCGTTAGGTGATACTTCTACTTTGGCAGAACCTGCAGTTGTGACTCAATTGATTGAGCGTGTCCATGGAAAAAAGCAGTAACGCCATATCTTGTTAATAAAGGCGATTGTATAAAGATATATATCTTTGATATGTGTATTTTTTTTATGTTGCTCAATAACACTTCGAACATAATTCAAGCTGAACAATGATTATATTCTGAAGCTAACAATATATTCGATCGCCCCATTTTGGATTCTGCTCTTCACTAAACAGAATAAAGATTACATTATTCAGGGAAGCTAATAGATCAGTTCTTGCCAAAAATATATGCCATTGGCCTTATTAAGTTGTCTAGAAATCATATAATTCTCTTTCAGAGAATACCCTCTTTAAATGCAGCTACATCTTTCTTCAGCTATCCATCAATCTTCACTTTAGACAGTACTGTCACGTGACTTGTGTGACCAGGAAAACCAAGAAAGAACATCATGACAGGACCAAAAAAGACGTTTGCTATTAAGAGTACACAAAAGAGGGGAGCAATCAAAAAGACTCCTCAAGTAAAGTTGTAGATATAGACACGAAAAGTTAAATGGTATAAAGAGAAAATATGTTTACTACCAGGATAAACAGCAAAAGTCAAGAAACGTATTTTTGTTTTTTGGCTGTAGCGTACAATATTTATATATCTTTTGAGAAATGAACATTTGGAAGCTATTCAAGTACATTATACTCACATATAGGCTATATATTAACATAAAAAATTCATCTGCAACCCTGCCAAAATCACATTTCTTCGATTTCGACAATTTTCGAAAAGGTAGTATCCGTTATTTTTTTTATGATATCTACGGAGTTTTAAAAAACTCACAACCTAGTTTTGAAAGTAGTTCCAAGTTGACAAGTCATGATTCCCATCCCCAGCTCCATCTTCAACTAAACGCATTTCAGAGAACGATCAAAGGTTTATGAGCACTATATAAGCTTAAAAATCTACTGTTCCTCAGTAAAAGGCCAAGTCATAATGGCTCATAGGTACACTTTATTACCCTAAGTTTTAAAAGTAGAATCCTTTGGTCTTTTCTTAGTCATTTTAAATAAATAACACAGCATACAAGTTACTTCTAGTACTGATGATACATGAAAAACAGATATGCAGTGTATTTAAAACTTGCATAATCATATCAAGAGTAATTCTTCAACATGCATCAACAAGAAAACGTAGGTAAAGAATGACAAAAGCAATGCTACAATTGCAAAATAGAACAAAGACATCCCTTTTTCTGTAAACAAATGATGGAATAGATTCACCAATTATGCTTACTCATGCGGTGTATAAAAGAAAACTCCTCCTCCACCACCTCCTCCTCCATTGTTACCTAAATCACATCACCTGTGTGTTGTTTTTTTTCCATTTATTTCTTTCTATACAGTAGAGATGCAAGCCATACCATCTGGCCATCTTTCTAATACTCTGAATCACCAAGACTATGTTCCTGTTGAGGGTATACTTTGCCCTATATGCCAAATAAACTGCCATTCTTTACAGAACCTGAATAGAGTAAGCGTATATTGTTATTTATTCATTGTTTATACAAAAAGCATAGCATCTCGATATTGAACACAATGAGGAAGAATCAAAAGGTGCTTTAATGTCTTGGCTTCGCAATGCACAAAAAAAAATGCAGACTTCACTCAAGTCGGGCACTTCACCCCCTTCCAACGACACCAAGTTCAAGCCATGGATAGAACCTTCGTTTATCCACAGTTTGTCACTGAACAACAGTCCCAGCTTTTTTGTATCAGATACAGATAAGCAAAGTGAGTTTGTCACACGGGACCACTGGCAGCGTGGGACAGGCAATGATAAATGTCATATTTCCGAATGCCGCGAAAAGCAAGTGAGACAACACTGTCGCAAGTAAGTTGGACTCGATCAAGCTGATAGGGTGCTTATGTGTCTCTGTAGATGTGGCAAGTTGTTTTGTGATACACATACACAGTATGAAATCAAACTTGATCGAATGGCACGTCATGATCCTCAACACGGTGTGTGGTCTAAAGTATGTGTGGAATGTTATACTAGTCGACCAGGATATAGGGATCATCAGGGCACAACACGTAGTAAGACAGCCTTGTTTCTTAAGCAGAGAGAAAAGACCATTGATTGTGTGCATTTGGAGAGTAACAGGCTGGAAAAGAGACTAGAGAAATTGGCAAGGATACATCAATCGACGGATCTCCCCAAAAAACCACCCATGTCGCACCATAACTCTGGCTTACTCTCCCCGTCCAGTGCATCTCTCAATAGTCTATCACTTGACAGATCAGATTCAACTTCCTCCAGAGATAGTTTGGGTAGTATGTTGTCCCCCAAGTCCTCTTTTGTATCGAACAGCAACAGTATCTTAAGCATGAAACTAAAGTATAGAGGTAATATGGAAACAAAAAACTCAAATGACTTAACAAAGGGATAGATGGTGAACAATCAGTGACAAAATGGGAAGATGATCGCCTAGTAAAAGCATGTCCATTATGCGAGTAAGTTGTGCATACATCACTTATATAGACTTATGTTTGGTTAGAATACCATTCACATTGATCAACCGCAAACACCATTGTCGACTATGTGGAAAAGTAGTGTGTGGCAATTCAAAATGTTCTAAAATGATACCTTTATTTACAGACATGTCTTCAGGTAGACTATCCTCACTTACTTTGTTGTTGTTTCCTTACGCTTGATAGACACATTTGATGATGAACCTGTGGGAGACACAAGAGCTTGTCGTGATTGTCAACGCTATGTCTTTAGACGCAAATTAAGAAACGAAGAAGCATCTAAACCTTTACCTATCATCCAACTCTATAACCAACTATCAATCACTCGAAAGAACATTGAAAAGCTTTTACCCAAATTCCATGAAACCATTCTTATGTTAGAGTAAGTGTGTGTATTACAACAAACTATGGATTGATATCGTCATAGAAAAGAAAACATCACTGCTCATACACATGAAAGCTTCATTATGGCTGCCAAGATCCGAAAATCACTTTTGGATAATTTTACTTTGTATGATACACTAGCTAAAAGTATCCATACTTTACCTGTGAGATCTCCTTGCATGAAGCGTCTTCAAGCCAATATTTGCAATGCAGCCAATATGTATTTACAGCAAAACATGTTGCCACTGCAAATGCTACCTCGTATTCTAAAACCAGACCATGCAACAAAGAAAAAGACAAGTCCAGAGAGAAAAGAACTAGAGACCCAACTTCAAGCTTATCTCGAGCAATATGAACTTGTTGGAGGGTTTATTCGAGAAGCCAATGCTGACAGAAAATACGACGATGTTAAGACATTAAAGATAAGCTTGGAAGAGCTTGATTTAGAAATCAAACGCTTAAAATCACTCTTGAGTGAATAGGTAATAAAGATATCTTTTTTTTTTCTTTTCATAATGATTAAGGTAGACCTTCTCTCTGCGTACCTGATGTCCAGGCGTAAATGCACTTAAACTCCGAAACGCGACTCTACCGCGTCTTATTTATTTTTATTTTCTTTCTTTCTTTCTTTCTTTTTAGCGTGTATGATGGCAAGTCAACAAGAAGAGGTAAATTCAATATGAAATCATGGCCTATGCTCATTCCTTTCTCCCTCCTTAAAGTGGGATGCTGACGTTATTAAGTTTTGGAGTGCAGCCGTGACAAGTTACCAAGTAAGATCTAACTCAGTCCTACTATATACTCATCTCAGCTAGACATGCCATGAACCAACCACTGAACTTCGAGATCCAGAACAAATCGCAGCTGATCTCGTCAAGGACTTGCCCTTTAAATCTCAGTAAATACAATGCGTTTCATGTCCTCTCTCGATAGCTCATCAATCTCTTTCTCTCTATTAGACTTAATGCCACTGTACTTGATCATGAACACGACTTTGTTTCGAAGGAAGAAACACAGTCTGAAACACCACATACGGAGCCAGTCATCCATACACCATCCAAAGACATATTAGAGCCTAGTGAGCCTATGTTTGAAGAACCAAATCCTGTCTATGAAGCACCAGAAGAACAGGCGATGGATACCAATGCTTATGAGCAGTACTATACAGATCAGTCATTTATGCAGCCACCTCCAATGCCACCGCCTACCACATCAGAAGAAAACGAATTATTTTCCAATGTGATCATGTCATGGTATTACGCTGGATACTATACTGCTTTATATCAGGCAAGTGTTGATATCTTTTCTTAAAACTTATTATTCTTTAATAGGCTCAACAGCGAAACCATTAACAGCATATACCTCATATCATAAGCATGTAATAAATGGATGCCCTATAAATTAACTTGACTGAATTTCAAGTTCCTTTATTTCCTTTTCTTTTCTTTCTCTTTCTTTTTCTTTTTTTTTTTCTTTATTGAAAACCATGGAAGACAATAAGAGCAGCAACAGTGAAAAAGCACCTATTCTTTGTACAGCAGGGTGTGGCTTTTATGGCAGTGAAGCCTTTAATAACATGTGTAGTCAGTGCTTTAAGGCCAAGAACAAAGAGCCTTCTGAAAAGGTCAAGTCACCATCTCTTGACGATACCACCATCGTAACCAACATTGAAAAGTCAAGAAAGCACCTTCGAAGTCCCTCCCCCGACGATCCGAGAATAAGCAGTGCACCTGGTTCTTCAATAGCTTCGCCATCTATTCAAGAGAACGATAGCAACCAAAAACCCGTTCAGTCAAATAAAGGAAGATGCTTTAAATGTCGATTAAAGGTAAAGTTCAATTCAAGGAAAGTGTAGATATTCATAAGTACAATAGGTTCCTTTAGCTAAACAAGCAGCTAACAAATGTAGATGTGGATATGTATTTTGTGATAGTCATCGTTACCCTGACCGACATGACTGCGATGTCGATTATGCAAAGCTAGATAGAGGTAGATATAGATATAGATATATGTGCGTTTTAAAATTTAATTGATCAATGTTTCTTTAGAAATCCTAGCAAAAAACAATCCTAAATTACATGAGCGTCCAAAAGGTGGTAGATCATTTCAACGCATTGATAGTTTATAATCACTTTTTTTTTTATCCCTCAAATAAAGCATGAGTGAAATATCTATATATAAAAAAAAAATGACGTGTATGGGACTTTGTTTTTTAATATAAAAAGAAATTTATTTTATTTTTTTCTTTTCTTTTCTTTTCTTTTTTGTATATACTATCTGACACTATGAGCACTGTAGAAAAAGAACAAGCAACTAAACCAGTTGAAGAGACTGTTACGCAAAATGAAACTACAGAAGACCCTTCTGAAGTCGACAAGGTAATAATGACTTGGTTTATTTCATTGTGTTTTCTTACATCTATCATAGGAACTTGAAGATATGAAGAAGCGCGTCAAGGATATGGAAGATGAAGCAGCCAAGTTACGTGAAATGCAGGCTGAAGTAGAGAAATCCATGCATCCTGAAGAAGGTAAATTGGAGGAAAATTTAAAGAGAGAGAGAGAGAGAAAGAGATAAAAAAAAAGAGAGAAAGAAAAAAGAAAGAAAATAGACATATAAAAAAAATATGTAGATAAAGAAACAGTTGACAGTCGTTCTGTTTATGTTGGCAATGTAAGAAGGGAGAAAAAAAAAAGAAACGACCAAAAAAGAGGCTACTTTTTTTTTTTTTTTTTTTTTTTTTTTTTGGTTATCAAGAATAGAAAGTATATTTAACTCGATTATCATAGGTTGATTATGGTGCTTCTCCAGAAGAACTTCAAGCTCATTTCCAATCTTGCGGTACAATTAACCGAGTGACTATTTTGTGCGATAAATTCACAGGCCATCCTAAAGGGTAAATCGATTCTATACATCTTATTCTCGTCTAATTCACCCATTGAATTTTAGTTATGCCTATGTTGAATTTGCTGAACCTAGTTTTGTAAACGCAGCAGTCGCATTAAATGAAAGTTTATTCCGTGCTCGTTTGCTGAAGGTCACACCCAAACGTACAAATGTTCCAGGCTTCTCTGCTCGTGGAAGAGGAAGAGGTCGTGGTGGTTTCCGTGGTATGCCTTATTATGGTCATTCTCCTATGTATGGTTATCGTGGTAGAGGGTAATGTAGAGTTGCATTCTTGAAGCACATCATTAACACTATCTTTTATAGTCGTGGAAGAGGCGGTTATTATGCCCCTTATTAACTTTCTATTCTATAAAACAACTAATAAAAAAAAAAAACTCTTTTTTCTATCATCACTGACATGCAAGCATTTTTTTTTTTTATCTGATTTCTTAATTTGATTTTTTTATTTAAACCGTCTCATTTTGAGTGTGTAGATTATAAATAAATTAAAATTTTAAAACCTTGCTCCTTCTCTTATTTTTATTATTATTCACTCTACCAATAATATACCCCATTTCCTTCCTTATTAAACTGTCTCTTTTTTGTTTATAATGGACGTTTATAACAATACCTTTTCACAACAACCACAAAAAAGTAAGTTATTAGAGTCAAACTAGAGATGACTGACCAAGATGATGATGTTAGGTTTGTCATCTAAGCGCTCAAATATGAATAACAAATACCGTTCATCTACTTCTTCTTCCATCTTGCAACAACAACAGCAACAAGAGCTTTTGATTGAACCTAGCGTATCTACTAGCTCACTGAACAAGAGAAGTTCGATGGGCTATCGTAGACCTCTTTCTACCGCCTCCACAAATAACAGATACAGTCGCAACAGTTTCCTTGGTGACGATGATTTGGATTATGTAAGTGCATATAATCCCTCCCCTTGGATAGCATGGTAACTAAATGGTGCTTTAGGACAAGAGGGACTATACCGTTGATTATGATCATAATGAACCACAAGAAGATTGGGAGAACATTTTGAGACAATATGACAGATATAGTACCAATGATGATGACAGAAGAAAGAGCAAGCGAGCCAGTCGTATCATGGAATCTTATCAAGATATGCCTGGTAAGTGTAGATACGCAATGATGATGGGCTCATACGTTTCTGTTAGTGGAAGTACCTATTGTTGATGAACCTACTACTGTATTGGACTGCTATGACTTCCCTCCTGCTTTTAAAACCCATCATTTACATGATATTTTCAGAAGTTATGAAACGAGTCGTGGTGGATATCGAATTAAGTGGTTGTCTGATACCCGAGCTTTGATTATTTTCGATCATCCAGCTACAGGTAAAAAGGGAGTGAATTTAAGCGCGTATTTGTTTATTTATTTTATTTTCGCATATAGCCAAAAAGGCCTATATTGATAATGTAACACATGCATTAGCCAAGATTCGTCCCTATGATGGTCCTATTGATTTCTTGAAAGACAATCAACAAAACCAGCAACCTCAGCAAAGAAGACCCATGTCGATGGACAATAAAAGACAATCCTTTAATGCCTACAACAATAACGGTAATGGAAGAAATTCCAACAGAAACTCAATGAGAAGTAAGTTACTTTCTTTTTCATTATTCTATAAAACTCACGCTTTTGCTAGTGGATGAAAATGACATTAAAAGATTAAGTGTTGCACTTTAAACGGAATTTTAAATTTAAATAAACCAAAAAAAAAAAAAAAAAAAAAAAAAGAATTTCTCAAATAGACAAGGGGATGTAAGTTTTTGATTTGTTCAATTTATACATGAAACACAACCAGACAAGAAAAAAGAAAAAAAAAAAAACTAGGTTTAGAATGAATAATATATTTCTAAGTCTTTTGGTTACTATTACAATCATAAAAAAAGAATGATTTAACAAGATTCCTAACATGAACAATAAGTACAAGCTAAACAAAGTTATCATTTTTTTCCCTCTTACCTTCAAATAAGCAACAACGTCGGCACGGTCCTTGGGCTTCTTGAAACCAGCGAAAGCCATCTTGGTACCAGGGATATACTTCTTGGGGTTTTCAAGGTACTGTTTTTTTAAAAAAAAAAGGGGGGAGGGGTGAGATAAGAACCTTTCATTTCCTTCCTCTCGCTCATGATACTTACATCAAAGAGGGTTTGTTCATCCCAGACAACACCCTTATCAATGTTGGCTTGAGTGTAAGAGTAACCAGCAGCTTGACCAGACTTACGGCCAAACAAACCATGAAGGTTGGGACCAACCTTGTGAGCACCAGACTATAGAGAGCGATGAATATATAATGATTTCATTATGATCATGTTTGACTTACTTCTTCGACAGTGTGACATTGGGCACAACGAGTCTTGAAAAGCTTAGCACCAGCAGTAGCGTTACCTGAACCGGGAGTGGACATAATGTATGAGTGGGGGGGTTTAAAGTTAATACAAGTAAGAAAAAAAAAGAAAAAAGAAAAAAAAGGATGAACAATTTTTTTATATCTTTTTTTGAAATGACAAGCCCCCACGCCATTATGGCCCTGATATAATAAAACACCGCTTTAACCCGTTCAATCCGAATCGAAATGTGTCAAACATTACGTAGTCAACACTAAATTAAATTTAAAAAAGGTCTATATACATTGAGTCTATAAACAAATAAAAGAAGAAAAGAAAAGAGGATAGAGAGAAAGAAAGATATCAGAATTCATGGGAGGAAAGATCATAAAAGGGAGGAATCAACATAGGATTTGTATTGTTCAAAAGAGGATTTTTTTTTTTTTACCAATTGAACTGTTTAAAACACAGGCTTGATTGTCTGAGATTCAAATGATGAATGCATCACAAAATAGAGACGACTTTGCTCGCATAAGTTGTCACATGTATCAGTGCATCATTTTACCGTATTTCTCACCTCTTTGAAAATGCAAATAACCAAGCAAAATTTGATTGATATCCCACAACCACAACCACAACAGTCAAAGACGTTGGCTTGTCATATTAAGAAGGATGAACTGGTGAGGCTGATGCTTCAAACACTTTATGATCTTGGCTATAGGTAATTCACAAGGCGTTTTATAAGTATTGATAAAGTCAATAGTGATGCTGCCAATGCATTAGAAACAGAGTCAGGTATTTCTCTAGAGTCAGATATCATATTGCAATTCAGAACTAGCATCCTTCAAGGTCAGTGGCAGATTGCAGAAAGCCTTTTACCTCAGATTCCTTTTCTATTCCCTACCCATGTTCCCAAAGTACAGTTCTTGATTCGTCAACAAAAGTTCTTGGAGCTTTTAGAGCAGTCAGAAACCATGAAAGCATTGCATGTTCTTCGCACTGAGATAACACCCTTAGGACAGAATACAGACAGACTTCACTTACTTACCAGTTTGGTGCTCTGTAGTTCTATTGAAGACGTGATGCAACAAGCCTCTTGGGATGGCACAAAGGGTACTTCTCGAGAACAATTACTGAACCAGATACAGCACCACATTGATCCAGCTGCCATGATACCAAAACAAAGACTGCTTGAACTGATCAATCAATCTCTTGAATGGCAAAAACGATCTTGTCTCTACCATAATCCTAGGCAAGGCACTGAATTCTCCTTGTTCTCTGACCATATGTGCGACAAATCATTATTTCCTACACATACGATCCATGTCTTGCGTGGACATACAGACGAAATCTGGCATGTTGCTTATTCTCATGACGGCAAGCATTTGGCCAGTGTGTCTAAAGACAAGACATGCATCATATGGAACATGGAGACATTTTGCCAAGTTCAGTCTTTCAAGAGTGAAGTCAGTGGCTCTTATTGTGCTTGGTCTCCTGATGATTCACGCTTGCTTGTGTGCGGTACTGATTTTGCACTTCGGTTATGGGATCCTTTTAGCGGTATTTTATTACACACATTTTCATTCCATAAGGACCAAGTGACAAGTTGTGTGTGGATAGATCACCAGCATTTTATCTCGGGTGCTTGTGATAAAGTACTCTGTCTCTGGAACAGTAATTCAACTGCACCTCATGCTCAGCCTATCACTCGCTGGCCAGTACACAGAACAACAGATATGAAATTATCTACAGATGGCAAGCGATTTGTGACCATTGGACTTGACAAGACCATCAGTATTTATGAGGTAGAAGGATTGCGTATCTTAGAGACAGCCAAGATCCAAGAAGAAGGTGTGATTACTTCATTGACATTGACCAAAGACGGGAAATATGCTCTTGTCAATGTTCAGGATGTGCAGGAGTTGCATTTATGGGATTTAGATAAACAACAAATTGTTCACAAATATTCAGGACAGAAGCAAATCACTTATATTATTCGATCGACTTTAGGTGGTCATAATGAATCCTTTGTGTTAAGTGGCAGTGAAGGTAAATAAGCAAACCAAGACGACTTGACTTATTGAATAGACAACCGTGTCTATATCTGGAGTCGAGATCATGAAACTCTATTAGAAGAATTAGAAGGTCATGAAAATACAGTCAATTGTGTCAGTTGGTGTCCAATTGAACCTATGCAGTTTGTTTCTGCTAGTGATGACCATACCATTCGAGTGTAAGTATTCTTATTAAAAAAGACTCATGATTTACTTGTCTATATAATTAGGTGGGGAGCAGCAGATAGTCTCCAAGACGATATAGTGATGGAATAAGCGTCTCTAATAAACAGCATCTGGCTTGAGCATTTTGCCTCATCGACTGGGTTTTAATTACCTTGAGACTTCGTTTTTCTTTTTTTTTTTTTTTTTCGTTTCTTTCTTGTTTCTTTCTTTTTCGTGATAGTGTATACAAGATGTCTTCCAAAGTGCAAAAGATTATGGTTCAACCCATTGTGAGTTGAAATGAATAACGCGTTCATAAAAACTAACACTGTACTCATAGAATCTGATTTTCAGATACCTTCAAAACGTAATGTCAAGTATTGGTATTCACATACTTACACTTTCTCTATAGAAATCCAGAGTTCAGATTTGGTTGTTTGACAAGAGTGATTTGAGAATTGAAGGACAAATTATTGTAAGCCAAAAAAAAAAAAAAGAAAAAAAAAGTTTATGGCTTACGCGTTAATTATAGGGTTTTGATGAATTCATGAACTTGGTTCTTGAAAGTGCTGAAGAAGTCGACATCAAGAACAATACGCGCGTCAAAGTTGGTAAGTCAGAAAGGCAGTATAAATCATGTGTTGATGATCTGTTTTTTTTTGTTAGGCCGTCTCTTGTTAAAGGGTGATAACATTACTCTGATACAAGGTGTTGAAAACTAAAAGAAAAAAAAAGAGCAGATTTATATACGGAAATGACCAGCCAACACAACATTGTATTTAGATCAAAGCACAGTGTATGTGTATATATATATCTATTTACAGACGCCAGATTGTTGATCGAATAAATCATTGTTCTCTTTTATTTATAAATTGTCATTAAGCCTTGTAGAGTAAATCCAAGAAACCAGCAGCTACATCATCCACAATAGTTTTATCAGGAACACTAGCAGCTGTACCATAAATAGCAGCAGTAGAACCACTGCCAGAAGAAGGATCTTCCACAAGGCCCTGAACACATGCTTTCAAATCTTGAACAAACAATTCAGCACTCTTGGCCCAAGGTAAAGTGACCGAGATATGGAGACCAGAAGGGTTTTGAAGTGCGCTTAGATTCCATCCACGGGCGGAGAGTTTATCGCCTACATCGTAAATGTTGAGTGGTTCATTCGCACCAAAGGCAAGCACAGGGCCAATGGGTTCACCCTTGACATGGAGTTGAGGAATGGAACGCACACCAGCTTCCATGATGCGACGAGCACCAATTATTTTCTTACAGGCATCAAGATAACCATCATGGCCCATATGCATAAGAGCAGCCCAACAGCCTGCAATAAGAGCACCAGGACGTGAGCCAGCAATACTAGGGGAAGCATAAATGCCACCTGTCCATTGAGAGTACAAAAAGTATTGGTATTTTCTGATTTGACTGTTGCGATACATGATAATAGAAGAACCTTTGGCTGCAAATCCATACTTGTGTGTATCACAAGAAATAGAAGTGACACCTTCAACACGGAAATCAAAATCCGTCGTAGGGAAACCAGCCTTTTCAAGGAAAGGCATAATAAAACTGCCGAGACAGCAGTCCACATGAAGGCCAATGTTATATTTTTTGGCTATTTTACCCAATGCAACAATGTCATCCGCAATACCATGAGGGAAGTTCACTGCTGAACCTGCAATCTAGAGAAGAGAGAGCACACAGTCAGTTAGTTGTTGTTAACATAAAGACGCGTTGTTTACCATCACTGTGTTCTTTGTGATAGCTCTTTCTAGTTTCTTGATATCCACTTTCAATGTTACTGGGTCAATAGGAACAGTAACAAGTTTGATTTTGAAATAATAAGCTGCCTTCATAAAGGCCGCATGAATAGTTTCAGGAACAACCCTATACGTTGTAAATACAATCGAAAAGATGGTTCATACACTTACATTTCAGGGTGATGAATACTCTTCAGGTCTTTATACATGTCACGATACGTTTTACAGGCCATTAAAATACTTTCTGTGCCGCCACTTGTCATGGTACCACAGCCTGTAGCGGGTGCATGATACATGTTGAGCACCATGGCTACTGATTCAGCTTCCATACGACGAATGCCAGGGAAGATTTCGGGATGAAGAGGATTTGCAATAGCAAAGATCTTGTAGGCTTCAGCCAAAATACGAGTCAAGTCTTCACCTCCATGGTAAATCGAACCAGACACTTTTCCTCCTGCCCAGTCAGCAGCCTTAAGGGAGTGGAATCTAGACCCAACATTTCAGTTTGACACATTCTTTAGAACAACTTACTTTTTCAGGGATGCCATAACTTGTTCCTCGGTCAAACCTTTGGAGGGCAGTACAGTATGATGATCAAGTCCGACTTCTTTCGACATCATGGATTGTTCCATCTCTGTCAAGACAGATCCTAATTCCTTATTGATTTTCTCTTGAACAGCAGGAATACGGCGTAGTTGTTTGAATACCATCTATTCATTTTAAGACGACCATGCTAATGTATACCCTCTCAAGACTTACCTTCAGAATGTGTGCCTTGAGGTCCATCAAGGCTCGAGAAGGACCACCTACCAAGACATGATTGTATAGCTTTGACCAATAGTTGAACAAGACACAGACAAACACAATGTTTTTAATATGCTTGAGATAACGACTATCCAACACATGAGTCGTCAATTGAGTGAACTTTATTAAGGCAGCAGAAGAGTTTGAAGACATGATAAAGAGAAAGAGAAAAGAAGAAAAAAAAAGAATGAAAAGGGTTTATAATGATGGAGGATCTATTTAAACTTCCGCTCAGATGTTTTTTTTCTGTAAGCTTTTTTTTCACCTAATATGGACAATACAATGTAGTTTATTAAAGCCATTTTTTCCCCTTTTAAAGAACATCCACATTTGAGATCCTTAAAACGGTATGTGTTTGCTTGTGTTCAATCGTACGCTTGTAGTTCTTTCTTCTCTTCTTCTTTACAATTTGGATGAGTTTGCTCTTGGTATGTTCAATGACTGTAGCACTTATGTCAAATACGTTCTCGGGATATAGGGTGATCCCTTTAAGGTGTAATCTTTGGATCCAAGCTCACGGACCTTGTCTAATTTAAGCACATCGCCTACTTTAACGTCCTTTAAGCGGTTGACAATCACTTTATCATTTTTTGTAATCAAAAAGGGGCGACCGGCAATCTCGGCAACTGCATAGTAACGCAACTGGTCACGAAGTTTTTGAATATTAGCTGAATCTACTGCTGAGGTTTGAACTTGGCGTACGCTATCTAAAAGAAGATGTCAATGTCATTCTTTTTGATATATACTTTACTTGTGTTCAAAGTAGACACTATCATAGAAAGAATAAGTACATTTGTGTTTGATTTTTTGTTGATAGTTACCTCCAACTGATCGAAACCCTCTTAATAAAGTGGAGAACATGGTGTTGATGGAGAAAAAAAAAGAACAGGGTAATTTTTTCTTACTTTAGAGCTGAGACAAACAAACAGGGCAGCTGTGTGACTCTATTTTTTGTCGTCACAAAAGGGTAGAGCATGTCATGATAAATTCATGCAATCAATGTCTTTATTTTGGTTTATACAGATACACACGTCTTTTTTCATTATTGACAGCAACAATGTTTGAATAAGGGTGGCTTGATAGACCAATAACTTCTTCCTCGCATACTTTTGTTTGACCAATCCATTGACCTGAAGCCAAGCTAAAGCAATACAGGATAGAGTCTTCAGATACCATATAGAGTAAGCCACCTTGATGGGAGAGGGTACCTGCAATAAACTTGGTAGATTCAGTAGTCTGAATTGATTTGATGGTCTCCCCTTGCATGTTCAATACGTGTGCTTTATGGCCTGCATGTATCACCATAAATTCTAGAGGACTGTTTGGTATAGACAATGCTTGTTGTACTTTCATGCCTTCTTCTGGTTTGACACTATAGAGACAAGCACCTGTTGTAACATCCCAAATCTAAAGAAATCAATACTTTGGATATTGAACACTGCCTTACCTTGACTGTTTCATCACTACTAGCACTGATGATTTGTGTATTGTCTAGATTGTACATGACTGAATTGACAAAAGAAGTATGTCCTTCAAACGATTGGACCATGTTTCCAGATTTAATATGGTGGATCTTGATGGAACTGTCAAAACTACAGCTGAGGATATGGCTTGCATCTTTATTGAAACTGACACAGGTGACACCTTGACTATGAGCAGGGGAAAATCGCCTTGTACAGAATCCTGTCTGTAGTTTCCAAATGGCTATTTTACCATCTGTAGAGCCTGAAGCTAATGATTCACTGTCTGTGCTAAACGCTAAACAAAGCACAGCTTGATCCATGGTCATCAGGTTTTCTTCTGCTTGATATTTTAGGTCTTTTCTTAGTTTGCCATTTGTATAGTTCCAGACTTCAATAAACCCATCCACTGAGCCAGACACGAGATATAATCCATTGGGTGAAAATGCAGTACATTCAGCATACGTGTTCTTGCCTGGTAACTAAAGATAGACACATTAAGCGATACAATCTTTACTAAGCATATGTATACCTTGATTTGCAAATAAGCTTCATCAGCATAAGCTTCTTCTTCTGTAGGTTGTAATTGATCTGCATTACGAAACAGATCAAATGTGGCATCCATCGGCAATAAACCTTGATGTTGTTGCCATTTCACACAATCTTCCAACAAATGCATTAAGCGAGAAGGTTCTACAACAGTGACTTCACTAGCAAGACCTATCGTGGTTTAATCAACCATCTAAACAGATCATCTTCTTACCTGCAGCAATCATGTTTCGTTTTTTTTCTTTTGTCATGCCTTGCGGATAGTTATCTCTAGGATCAAAAGCAGATCGCGACAAGACATGTTCTAATCTCAAATAGCGTTCAGGATATCTTTGTTTGAGTAGAAACATGGGTTCTGTTTGTCGAAGCAGTGTGCGTGCAGCACCTAGTTCACGCATCTCGGCTAATTCCAGTACTATCTGTTCATAGAGATCCATCAGTTTTCGCGGTGGAATTCGTAAATCAGCGACGCGTTTCAACACAATATCCCATGCACCTCGTTTGATCTCTTGAATAAACGCTTCTTTGTTTTCAAGTGTGTTTATTTTGATGGTTGTTTCCGATTCCAACGTAGAAGCTGCTTCATTATAGTCGTTTTCTTTAAGAAACTGGAGTATAAGACGAATCACGCTATCAGAAGCATGAGTGTAAAAAAGACGCGACACAAGTGGCTTACTCTTCAGACTCTATCTCGATAGACATGATGAAAAAGAAGGGATGTGTGTATTCAAACACAGCTTATGTTGAGTTTTTTTTTTTTTTATATGAAAGTCTATTGTTTGCCGCACGAACGAATAATGATACACTATTTAGTGAAAATAGACATGAGGCACGTTTCTTTTTTAGTTTCAATGACCGAAACTACTAAAAAAAAAATAGACAATAAGGATCGGTATCGATTGCAATTGCAAGCGATACGACTTGTAATCATCTCCAAGACAATTGTTATAGGCTTATTTATATGTTCACTTATAAAAAAAGGAGGTAGTTCAGCCTATGGTTTAAAAGAGATACGGTCATTGAATATCTTGTACGTGTTGAGGAAGGGCCACATTGTTAATTGATGTCATGATGATCCTGTGTTATCTTCTTTTTTCTCATTCAATTTTGGCCAAGAAATTTTGTGTTTCCCCTTTAGAGATGGACAATAAAAAAGGTAGCACAGAAACTAGTTCACCAATTAAGAAGGATGGGAAAACCATGTATCACTTGCACACAAAAAAAAAAGAAAAAACACAATGCATATAATATATGGTATGGTTTCAGAAAAAAATAAGATTACATTACAGGAGAGAATATACTAACAAAATAATAAATTATATAAATTTTTGTGTCTAAAAATGATATCATCTTTAGATCAAGGCAGCAACGACGGCACCGGCGACAGCGGCAACACCAACAGCAGCAACGTTCTTGTTACCAGCAGAGGTGTTGGAGGCAGCAGGGGAGACAGCGGAAGAAGCAGCGGAAGAAGCAGCGGAAGAAGCAGCAGAGGCAGCGCTAGAAGCAGCAGCAGAGGCAGAAGAAGCGACTGAAGTGGCGGCAGAGGCGGCAGAAGAAGCAGCGGAAGAAGCAGAAGTGGCAATGCTGGAAGCAGAAGTAGCGGCTTCAGAGGAAGCAGCGGCACTGGAGGAAGCAGCAGCAGAGCTGGAACCAGCAGCAGAGGAAGAAGCTATACACATAAAGTATAAGTTACCTTTGGCAATGACACCATTCAAGTCAACTTACCACCACCAGTAGCGGCTTGGATAGTGAAGAAGGGAGTGTAAGAAACGTTAGGGGATTGACCGAAAGAGAGAGCATCTATACAATGCCATTTTAGAGATCCAATTGATAAACGCACAATCTATACTTACAGTCAGTACCGGCAGGGATGGAAGCATCGACATTCCAGGCATAAGAACCCTTGGAAGCATCAACATTGGTGGCAATGTTAGCAACAGTGGTAAGGGCAGAAGCTTGACCCTTACGGAGGTCAATGGTAGAGATAGTGCCAGAGACAGGAGCCCAGACAATTTGAGTGGTGCTACCAGCAGTAACAACTTGGTTAGTGGTAGGTTGGCTAGAGACAATGTTTTGAGCAGAGACAACAGAGGCAGCAATGGCAGCAATGGCAGCAATGACGGACTTCATTTTGTTAGAATTGAAAGATAAACAAAGAAAAAAGTTTTCAATTGCGCGAATTTTGAAAGGTTTATATACCTTGATGAGAAATCGTGTACAACAATAGAAAGTGCCACCCTAGTCAAGAAAAAAAGAAAGTGGAGCTTCAAGTTCTTCCCGGAAAATCGTAACACAAAAAGGTATTTTTAAAATCAAGAAAGTTGCCTAATGATGATAGGGAAAACAACCAATCAATTGTGTAATGTGATTTTAAAGACACACAAAATACATTTCTTGTGGCTCTATTTAACATTTACTTATTTTAATAAATAAACATCAGTTCTATATACTTTTATGTCATTTGAAGGTATTACATATTTCATGTGCACCTTAATGCCCTGAGAAAGGCCTTTTTTTTTCGAGAATGCAAAAAAAAAAAGTTTGGTCTTCCGCCGCAAGTTAGATTTAAAATGGCAAGTTAATTTTTCATCAGAGCGTTTGCCTTAGGTTGATAAAAAAAAAAAGAAAAAGGTAAGCACTGCTTTTTTTGATATATATATATATATATATATCTCAAACAAGTTCCCTTCAGTTACAGATGCATGAAAAGATAAACATAAATGCACACTTTCTTACATGCACGCACACCATTCTTTTTTTTTTTTTTTTTTTTTTTTTTTTTTTTTTCAAGAAAAACTAGGGCGGGGCAAGTTTTTTTATATTAATTTTTCATAAGCCCACCTTGTAACCCACCTTTTTCTTTCTTTTTTTTTCTCTTTTTTTTTTTTTTTTCTTATAGATACTTGCTCTCTGTATAATGGGCACAGATATATTAGCAGAAGTACTGACCACCCACTTACCTCAGGCAGAGGGTACTATGCAAACACAATATGAAGAAACAGCTAGTTTATTTGAACAAGAATTTACAGAACAAGATGTCTTGCCTTTCCTATTACAGGCACAAGACATGGTAGCCAAACTAGAATCTAGAGTAGTTGAACTAGAAAACGATTTATCTGTAAGTCTTATTTTTACTTTTGAACAAAGCTAAATGTTGATAGACAATTCACCGTAAATACGAACACGATAGAAGGGAATGGCTTGTCGGTCTATCTCAAAAAGATCAATATATTGCATACCTTTCTAGTAAACTTCAAAAAGCAGAATTCAATAACAAAGAAACCATCGTTTTACTTTCTGATTTTATGACAACAAACACACTTGATGAGAACATCAAATCCACCATCACTTTATGCTTAAATTACCTTAGACAAACAGAACCTTCTGAACCACAGCATAAAATAACAGTCGACAGCAGCGATGATGATCTGGAAGAAGGAGAGCTTGAACGCCGGCAAGCTGCCGTGACTGAGTGGAGACGTGCTGACATACCAGACAGTTCTTCAACAGCATGTGATCATGAAGAAGAGCCTCTCAATCTGATGGATGGACTCTCTTCACTCTCTTCTTCTTCCACTACTTCTTCTCATGTGGTTCATACAAAATCTGTATCTTCCATGACTTCACCACCTACTACATATGCTGTTCATGATGAAGATACTAGTTTTTGCTCCAATTGTAAACAACTTTTGTCTCAGCTTGATTCTCAAGTCGAGAGACAGGCTTATTTGAAACGAGATCTTAGTTCACTCGCTTCCGCTTTAGCAGAAGAAGAAGACATGAGGGCCTCTGTTGAACAGGACAAAGAAGCTTTAGAGGAAGATGTTGCTGATATTACATCTGCTTTATTCTCCGCTCTGAATCAAATCTTAATGGACGAAGTAACAGACAGAGATGGACTGGTCCAAATCAATCGTGAAACCAATGGCAAGTTGGTCCAAGTCTTGGATGCTTGGGATACCCGAGACGCAAGATTAAAGCAGGTCAAGGGTTTATTGGTCGAACTTGATTCTGCAGTCCATACGAGTGCCCATGTAAGCCATACCATGTCACATCGTTACTCTCAACCACCGATGAATGCCACTCTTTCTCGCTTCACTTCCCGATCCAGTACCAGCAGTGGAAGCCACCCCTTACGGTACTCAATAGACCAGCCCTCTCCAGTCGACACCAACACGATCCGTATTGATGGCTTTATTCTATCCGAGTTCCAGCAGCACATGAAGGCAGTAACTGAAAGCAAAACGCTCTCCATTCCCGCCACACCTTTCGTGAAACGTGTGATGACTGAAGATGTTGAGCCTTGTTTGTTTTTTCAACAATCTCAAGGTTGGTGGAAATCGCCTTGGTTTAAAAAGAAGCTTTTGGATGCTATCTCGAAAAACAAGTGCGAGATTCAAGGATGGCATGATGCTTATTCAACCTATACTTCTTCCTCCACATCGCCTTCTGCCAGTCATATCTCTACCAGCTCTCAACAGAGTAGCAGTGCTCCTATGCCACCCAAGGTCAAGTGCGCCTGTTGTAATATTCTTCGTGTCTGTGAATTCAAAATGCGTCTGCCTATTCCAAATACAGCAAGACCTCAACAACAACAACAACAACAACAAAAGCAACAGCCTTGGTTGCCTATCGATCGATTCTGTCGTGACAGATTGATTGCTGTTTGTGGATACTTTAGTTTCATGTCCCATCTGAAACTATTGACCTCCTCTCCCTTATTAAGCATTTTTAAACAAGTCATGCAGCATAGAAGAAAAATGACATTGGCCAGAGTAGGCTCAATTGGTCTATTTGAAGAAGACGAAGAAGTCGATACCAGAAGACTGAGTTCTTCCTCAACTTGTTCATCCAAACGAAGATCTTATCAACAACAAAGACGTTCAAGAAGAAATAGAGAAAGTCTTGTTTTGGATCATTCAGGTAGTGGCAGCGATACTGCAAGTGTCGTCAGTGTCAGTGATTTACAAGGTTTGGAAGGTTCTCAAGCTCAGATTGTGATTGTCCATTAATCGGATGACTTCCGGTTTTCTCGAAATATATATATATATACCAAAACATACATTCATTATACATAGTCACTCCTTTCTTTCTCTCTTCTTCTTCTTTTTTTTTCATATTCCCAAATACAAACATATATGAATTCCCCCTCCCCTTTTTTTATAAATATACCACCTTAATGTGATAGAAATAAAACAAGAAAAAGAAATTACGAAGCTATGTGATCATGTTTCTGTAATGCAACGATACACAGCAATAGTCTGATGTGCAACCATCCACAGGAAGAGAAAGAGAGCGTAGTTTGAATGATGTGTATGTCATTTCAAATGGGTGAATAGATAAATGGTATTTCTTAAATGTTACACTTTTTTTTTTCTGTATCATATACACACATAAACCTGTTTATCAGGTCATATGCATATTAAACACAAGTCCCAAAAATAATAGACAATGGATTTTATTTTATCTATTCTATTCTTATTCGAGAGTAAAAAGACATAAACAACCCCTTTGGGCATAAGAACTCTATTGTATTTTGCATAAGAACCGAGTTAGAGATAAAAGCGTTTGTTACTCTTTAGATACAATATTTTGAATGAATAGCTTAGTATTATACGATACACTCCAAGTTCTTATTTATGCCCTGTCTCAATAAAAATAAAAATAAAAACCCAGCCATGTTTAATAATAAAGGGATTTTATTTTTATATATATATATATATATATCTTTTTTTAAACATGAGTTCCTTTGCTGTGCCTCAACCAACTTCAAGTCGTAAACTATCAAAAAGAAAAAGACATCTCGAAGAAATTTCTGATGGACCCGATGATCAACCTACATCACGCGATGCATCTGGTAAAGAAAAAAAAAAAAAGAAAATTTACTTGTCCCATTCATATCCTGTAGACGAAGATAACACAGATACTTCTATTCCAGTCGCAAAAATCAAGGACGAATTTGCCCTTAATGTCAAAAGACAACGTCAAACAGGCCCTACTATTTCTTCTACCAGTGATGAAGAATATGATATGGTTGCTCTTCCTGAAGGTATTGAAGAACAATATGGCTTCAAAATCAATCCTGTTAGTATGTGTTGTTGGTATATGTGTTGTACTCATTCACGCCAATAGCCTCCTGTTGGAAGACCTGTTCGTATTTACTGTGATGGTATTTATGACTTATTTCATTTTGGACATGCCAAAGCATTAGAACAAGCCAAGAAGGCTTTTCCTAATGTCTATTTACTTGTTGGAGGTAAGTCTATTAAGATAAGCCTATGTTCTTAAGGTGTATAGTCTGTAGTGATCTAGAAACCCATAAGCGTAAAGGAAAGACAGTCATGACTGATGTTGAACGATATGAAGCTGTTCGCCACTGTAAATGGGTTGATCAAGTCATTGAATCAGCACCTTGGACTGTCACAAAAGAATTCCTTGATCTTCACCAAATAGATTATGTTGCGCATGATGCAGAACCCTACCAGTCAACTGAATCAGGTGATGTCTATGCCTTTGTCAAACAACAAGGTCGTTTCTTCCCTACAGAGCGAACAGAGGGTATCTCTACCTCAGACTTGATTACTCGTATTGTGCGTGATTACGATGCTTATTTAAGAAGAAATCTAGAAAGAGGTGTGACAGCAAAAGAACTGAATATTTCATTCTTAAAAGAAAGAAAGATCAAGACCAAGAAATCCATTCAGGATTTAAGAAAGACTATCAAGACAGCCATCAATGACACCATGCTTTTATGGGAAGACAAGAGTCATGATTTTATTCGAGGATTTAGTGGTGTGTTTGGAGCTGAAGATGTGGTAGATAAAATATGGAAATATCGCAACCGTAACAGGTTGATGTCAGATAGTGTTGAAAGCAGTCGTGCCAGTAGTCGAATTCAATCTGAAGAAGAAGAAAATGATGATGAAGAAGAAGAACATAGTCAAAAAAACAAAGTATAAATAAACAATAGCCCTCTTTTTCTTTTTCTTTCTCTTTTTTATGTTTGATTACTACTATTATTATAGACAACCATATACTTGGTGGAATGGTCCATACAGACAAGAACATACTGGTGTCTATCACAACCCAGTCTATGGTCCTTTACAAGATACAGCATTAAGAGCATCTTATAAACAATCATCCGTGCCATTACCCTTCAATCAGCCATGGCCATCTCAACCCTTGATGATGTTCGATCCCATGATGTACCATATTCTAGGCACTTGTACAACAGATCCAGTCCCCATGATACAACCTTATTTAAAGCCTACTGCTCTAGATTCTAAGCAGAATATAGCAGAACAAGAACCTAAGGAACAAGAACCTAAGGAACAAGAACCTAAGGAACAAGAACCTAAGGAACAAGAAGAACAAAAAGTACCTATTCAATGGATAAGAAAAAGACGTTCTTTGATGGAAAATGTACTGGACTCATTTTCGCTCTTCAATGATCAGCATGTATCATTTTTATTGAATACATCATCGTCTATATCAGATGAAACTAAATCATTGGATCAAAAGCTGCCTAAAAGACTGTCTAGAAAAGCAACTGTACTACGCAATCGTCAATACATTTGGTGCTATCGACCTCAAAAAGAAGAAAATACATCATGGACAGCATTTGATATCAAAAATCAGACAAAACTGGATAAGCAGCATGCTTTACTTGTATCAAAAGTACAGCAGAATGAACAAACTATAGATCCAGGCATTATTCTTAGTAAACAATCTCCATTGGCTGGACAAGTCATGATTTCCTTAAGCACAGGGAAAGCATACTGTATGAATGATAGTAGTGTGATTTATGATGTTGCTTATTTACCTTCTCAATCAAATGCCTTGGTTGCCTCAACCTACATGGTTAAATAGCTTATGGAAGCGACAATTTATTTCCTTTTTTTTTTTTTTAATAAAAAATGAAAGATCTCGTAGTCACTGAAGGTATCTTCCTTTCTTGATTCTTACTGTATAACTTAGACATCTAGATGACTCCAATTTGCTTGTGATTGTACTCGACACAAATCCTTTTGCTTGGAATGAATCCTCGAAAGCACAAGTCCCACTCTCACTTGATAACGCGTTAAATCAGATCTTGATCTTTATCAACGCTCATTTAGCACTTAAATACAATAACAAAGTAGCTGTGATTGCAAGTCATGTAGGGCAAAGGTAAGTGATAGATCATTGACGGATGATTGAGATGATTAGTAAAATAGTCTATCCTTTACCTGACAATCAAGAACCCACCATGAGTGTGAATGGCAATAAGCGTAATGCCAATGTCTATCCACACTTTCAAGTAGTGACAGATCAAATCGTATCGAATCTACAGAAACTATTGTCAGACACAGATACAGAATTCTTAAAGCAAGATATGGGTCTATCTACAGCCATGACAGGTGCATTGTCTGTTGCCCTCTGTTATATTCATCGTGTGATGAAGATGGATGATGAAGGTCATATTAAACCAAGAATACTTGTGTTGTCTGTATCGTCTGATTCAGCCTATCAGTATATTCCATTGATGAACTGTATTTTCTCTGCTCAAAAGGCAGCCATTCCTTTAGATGTGTGTAAAATATATGGAGAAGAAACAGCTTTTCTTCAACAGGCATCGAATATTACGGGTGGTGTCTATATCAAAGTAGAGAATCCACAGGCACTACTGGAGTATTTGATGATGGCATTCTTACCAGATAGGCATGCACGTCACTATTTAAATTTACCTAGTCAAGATCAAGTAGATTATCGAGCTGCTTGTTTCTGTCATAAGAAGATTGTGGATATTGGTTATGTGTGTTCAGTGTGTTTATCAAGTAAGTCACATCATATATATTGGCTAATCACATCAGTCTTTTGTAAATGGTCCCCTGTATGTTCTACTTGCAAGTAAGTACTATCATCATCATCACCTATTCTCTAACAATAATCCTAGAACCAAGTTTGCTTTTAGACCAATGGCTGCATCGAATTCAAAATTGACAAGGAAATAGGTTTGGCTAGATATGATTGGCTAGAATAAGCATATGAATATAAAATAAAAATTTATCTTTTTTTTTTTTTTTTCTCTCTCTCTTTTTTTTTTTAAATTCAAGATGAGTCACCAACATGGACCTGGATGTAATCATGGACCTCAAGAAGGCCAAAGAACAATTCAAGTGAATGATGCTAATAAGGCAGAAGAAATCTACAAGCTTACAGCCAACTACTTGAAGAATGAAAAACAATCTGGTCTGAAAGCAAGAAATGGTGTATTTAATGGCAAACGATTTGATTATTTTAAGGGTAAAAGAGGTATTGATGCCTTATTAAAAGAGAACTATGCCAAAATCACCAAACATCCTCAACCACCTACCACACGCGAAGAAGCATTCCAGTTGTTCAATGATATGGGTAAATATGGGTTTGTTTTACGTGTTGATCGTGGTGAGTCAATAGGTGGTAAAGGCTCACCTCGTATTCTTCAACCCAACCCTGTTCAGGAAGTACAAGAAGATGGATACTACATGTGGATCTGGGAAGGTTCTCAAGTCAAGAATTACTTGGGTGCTATTGGTCTTGTGTCTGTCATTTTGGCTGGTGTCTTGTTTCCTCTATGGCCCAACTTTTTAAGAATGGGGGTATGGTACCTTAGTGTGGCTGTTCTTTGTTTGATTGGTTTGTTCTTTGCTATTGCCCTTGTCCGTCTTGTTCTTTATATCATTACCTATCCTGTGTTGCCACGTGGATTTTGGTTATTCCCTAATTTGTTTGAAGATGTTGGTATTATTGAAAGCTTCATTCCGTTATATGGATTTGACCCTATTAAAGAAGACAAAAAGAAGTCTAAAAAGAGTAAATCAAAGGAAACTGCATCTACATCAAAAGAATAATAAAAAGATTTTGGCATAAATAATGAATATCTTGTGCTACCAACCAATCATGAGCAATAAAGAGTGAATAGACACTGTGTCGTTGACGTCATTTTCCACGTTGATGATTATTATTATTTTTTTTTTTTTTTTTTTTGAAACGCACTCCTCTTTTTTTTTTACGTATATTAGATGGGAAATTCTTGTAGTTGTTGCTCCAGTTGCTGTGGAAGTAAGCAGACGATACTTACTTTTGTTATGCTGACACTATTTAGAGCGCAGTAGAACAGGTCTTTATGAACCACTTTTACAAGAGAATGAACGTGAAGCTATTGCTGAACTATTACAATATCTTGAGAGTAAGTGATTACAACACAACACAACACAATTCAACAAACTCAACAAACTCTTTATAGATCGAAGCGATACCAACTTTTTTGAAGGAGACCCTTTAAAAGCACTTTCAACACTGGCTTATTCTGATAATATTGACTTGCAACGATCAGCTGCACTTGCGTTTGCTGAAATCACCGAAAAAGATGTTAGACAAGTAGGACGCGATACACTGGACCCTATTCTGTTCTTGTTACAATCACATGATGTAGAAGTGCAGAGAGCAGCGAGTGCAGCACTAGGTAACCTGGCTGTCAACAGTAAGTAACATGCTTCAGTTTACTTTCTATGTTGATATATATATATATATATATTTATAGCTGAAAATAAATTATTGATTGTCAAGTTGAATGGTTTGGATCAACTTATTCGTCAAATGGGTTCTCCTAATGTAGAAGTACAATGTAATGCTGTTGGTTGTATTACCAACCTTGCCACACACGGTAAGTCATCAAGAAAAAAAAAAAGAGAGACAAATAAATGAATTCATGGTGTTTCTATAGATGAAAACAAGACAAAGATTGCCAAATCAGATGCTTTACGCTTATTAGTTGATTTGGCTAAATCAAAAGATCAGCGAGTCCAAAGAAATGCTACTGGTGCCTTACTTAACATGACACATACACGTAAGTAAACACAACTTGGGATGGTTCAAGCACTGACATATTTGTTTAGAGGAAAATCGTCAACAATTGGTCAATGCAGGTGCTATTCCTGTCTTGATTGGCTTATTGAGTTCCCCCGATGCTGATGTTCAATACTATTGCACAACAGCATTATCGAATATTGCTGTAGATGGTAATGTACTTATTCTCGTATGTATCTCATATGTTTGATAGCCAGCAACCGTAAGAAACTAGCACAGACAGATTCAAGGCTCGTCAATTACCTGATTGCATTAATGGACACAAAAAGCCTTAAGGTGCAATGTCAAGCTGCTCTTGCTTTAAGAAACCTTGCGAGTGATGAAAAATACCAGCTTGAGATTGTTCGATGCAAAGGTCTTCCTCCTCTACTTCGACTGTTAAAATCTTCGTTTTTACCTCTCATTTTATCCTCTGTTGCATGCATTCGAAACATATCTATTCACCCTTCTAATGAATCACCGATTATTGATGGTGGCTTTGTGAACCCTTTGATTGAGTTGTTGGCCTATGATGATAATGAAGAGATCCAATGCCATGCAATTTCAACACTGCGCAATTTGGCGGCTAGTGCTGAACGCAACAAACGTGCGATTGTAGAAGCAGGTGCTGTGGAGCGTATCAAGACATTGATCAACAAAGTACCTGCTAGTGTACAGACTGAAATGACAGCAGCAATTGCTGTACTTGCCCTGAGTGATGAATTAAAGCAGAGGTTACTAGGCATGGGTATATTGGATGTCTTGGTTGAGTTGACTTCAAATAAGAATCTGGAAGTAGAAGGCAATTCAGCAGCAGCCATTGGTAATCTCAGTTCAAAAGGTAAACATCTCTTGTGTGAATGCTGTAGGCTGATTCGTTCTTAGTGAATGATTATACACCCTTTGTGAATGCTTGGAATACACCTTCGGGTGGTCTGGAAAAGTTCTTGATTCAGTTTTTATCAGACCAACAAGACATTGCTTTTCAACATATTGGTATATGGACCATTGAACAGTTTTTGGATGGCAAAGGCAAGTAAAGTCAAATAGACATTGATACTGATAGGCTTTAGATGAACGCCTTATGTCTTTGATTGCTCATTCAACTGCTATTACACATTCAGTAGAAAGAATAGTCAAAGAAGGACAGTCACCCAAAGCAGAACAGGGTGCAGATGATGGTGATGATGGTGATATTTATGGATTAGCCAAAAGAGTCTTGAATACCTTGAATGAAATTAAAACCAACAACTAATATAATAACTAAAGACTTTATATGTAGCACTATAAAATAAATATATCTATTTCTTTTCAAGCGAAAAAGTTCTATTTGCCCTTTGAGAAGAAAGCAGAAGGACGGCGGTATAAGGTTAATGGGTCTTCTAAGGACACAGGCTTCTTGATTTCTTGCATATCATAAATTTAGATGACTTTACCTTTAACTGTACAAAGGCTTGTATAATATTCACAATCATGCTTGAGCGTTGTCATGAAATATGACTTCAATTCTTTTTTTTTTTTTTGAAATTGCAGAGGAAGCGGCAGAAGACGCAGTTTCATTATCAAGAACAGATCATTCTCTCTTCACGAACCCTCCCTGGGTCAAAAAAAATAAATTTCACACAAGTGCCAGACTAATGGTACTGCCCGATTGCTGGGCTCGAAAGAACATGTTTTAAACAAAAAGAACAGACTATTTTGATAGCATAGTTGTCGAGCAATGGCGGATCAAAGAATAGTGCATTTAAGCTGTGTTTTGAGCGTTTTTGCTCTATATGTATCACAAAACTTGTTAGATACTGATCTATCTAAAGCAACTTATGTTTCTTTGAGTGTCAAAGAAACATAGAGAATAGAGATACATGTATTGCATAATGTAAATGTAGAGCAAACGAGCATAGAACATATAATTTAGCAGCGATGCGGAGATTAAAGTAAAACAACCCTACTTCTTCATCTAGCCTCATAAAAAATCAAGCCATTCTTGAGAGGTCTTTTCTCGCAGTAGCTGCTCTTTTTTTTTCTTGATTTCTTTGTTTTTTTTTTTGAAATTGTAGTACCCTTTTTGTTTCTTTTAATCCTCCTATAATAAATAATTGTCGAGCACCTCTTTTAGTGGGTCCCTCTCGAGACCACTAATACGTGCGGCAAATAAAATCATTAAAAAAAATCAAGCCATTGCTTAGAACTGCATAAAGACGCAGTTTTATGGCTTTGGTGTAGTGAAGAAGTCAAACGAAAAGGGCAACTAGCCTATCAATGACAAGAGCAAGCTGGCTATGAAAATGAAGCTTACCATAGACAAGCAAGTTAGTGTGGGTGTTAAAAATCCCTATGTGCTGTGCTTTGCTTGTTGAAGGTAATTGATAACGTTAGAGTTTTTCCTGATCTCATGCTTTTCTTCAATTCTAGGCTATCGCTTCTCTTCTTTTTGCTGTCTTCTCAACAATGAAGCAGTTTATCCATTCATTGAACTTCAGCAGTTCAACCTTATTCGTAATGAAAATGATGCACCTTTGCTTGTAGGCATTATACAAGACTTTGTACAGTTAAAAAAAAAAAAAAAAAAAAAAAAAAAAAAACTCTATGCAAGAAATCAAGAAGCCCGTCTTTATTGGGAACCAATTGCTCTTGTTTATGATGAAAACAATAAAATCATTTTGTCCTTTTATAATCTTTTACTTATTCTCTTTTCTTGCAATTGTTTCAACTACAACATAATCAACAACATTTCTTTTCCACATATTGTTTGTATGAGCATTACTGGTTATGCGCAATGCGCAATTGTGTCATGAACAAGTCTGTTTGTCATTAAATATTGACAAATCATTTTATCAGAATGACAATGTCATTTAGCAGCAAGTACAATTAGAAAATGGCTTAATTTTGTTAAAGAGTAAATTATTGAAAAGGCCGTTTTTCTACCAATTACAGTGTGCAACGAACTTTGAATGCAGATTTGTAAATTGATTTCAAACTGGACTTAAATTCAGCTGAGCAAAGCTGCTGATGAAGATGTATATTTTGGGTATCAATGTTCGTTTATTTCTCTCAAAAGATGTATTTCCGAATAACAAGAGTAACAACAAACGAAAGCAACCCAGCAATCAAAGCATCTAGCCACAAAGGAGGAGCAATAGTTGTACTGGTTCCCATGCTCGTATCCATGGCTATTGGTTCAGGTACGATTTGGGCTCCTTGTACTTGAACATATTGAATGGACGAACTGTTCTCAACTTGATCCAAATTATTCAGTAAACTACTGCATGGGCTACTCTTTGGAGCATGAGTGTTAATTGTATGAGGATTAAAAGAGTAATGTAACAAGTCATACCTGTTATTCGAAATCTTAGAAATTCTTGTTCTGAAACACTTATTGATGTGTTTGATTGAAAAAATCGACTTAGATGAGCTTGTACTAGTTGCTACAATAAGTTTATTATAAATATGATGATGGGTAGACAATGGGCAGGCAATAGACGGCCAAACAGGTAAAGAATAGACCCATAAAAAACATTTGGTCTGCAGTATATACGCCTGTCCTTTTTGTTTGTTCCTATACTCACAGTCGACCTCTAAAGCTGAAATTCTCAAACCATTTTAGGCGGTACCGATAGAGTTAATCTGATAGCCAAATAGTGCCTCATATGGCTCGTATTTAATTTGTCCTCTTCCATATTTGTCTTTCATGTATATTCCCTTGCACCAATCTGTTTTTATCTCGAGCTCAACGATCAATGGCCTCCTGTCCTGATCTCTCCATAGATAAACTAATTTGTTCATACTTTTTTTTTCATTGCGCTGCTACGGCGATGACTCTTATTAAAGCTTCCAACCAACCTCTATGCTTCTGAAGTCATGTTTTATAGTTATCATATTAATCAAGCTTTTGTAGGAGGTTTCCTACACTTAGTGTGTGGCCATTGCATTATAAAAAGCGCTTCGTTCTCTAAATTTTCTATTGACATAGTTTCGATTTAAGATCCTGCGTGAGCCATTCAATTAAGTGGTCAAAGAGCTATCAAATTGAACTATGCTGATAGATTTTAATTTGAGTTGTATATTAAACATAGATCACCTACTATATACAGTATACATACTTTTCATGCCGATAAATAGTATTTGAATTTTGATTTCTCGATTAATACTGATCTAAATTTATTTATATTGAGGTCGTCAAATACAGTGTTATCAGTATTTATGCTTTTGACTGGAGCAAAAGATTCTGCTATTTGGGGAAAATAAATCATTTCGACATCTCAAAAGCTATGGGTTTAATCTTTAAAATGACAATCGTACATTGTAAGTTTGATGCAAAAACCGCATGCTACCATAAGGTATAATGTGCTTCATTTTTAATAGCCCAGACAGGTCTTTTAGTGTTTGCTGATACTACAAGACATAAATTGTGGACTAGTGCTAGCTTGATTCTTTCAAAAGTGAATTTTATAGTCTTTTATCTCAATTACGCCGGCAACGTATGGTGATGTCTTGAATTTATAGCAACTATTGATTATGTTGATTGAGATTTATTGAAAATGTTTACAAGACAATTATTTCTAGTATGCTGTGAACTGTGAAGAGGTTTATTAATTTGTTGCATTAAGAGACTTGGTTCAGTAAAGTAACAATAGTAGTTTTGTGGTATTAGTTATGCTTTTGATATCAAATATCAGTTGATATACAGTAGACAGTAGACAGTAGACAGTAAGCAGTAAGCAGTAAGCAGTAAGCAGTAAGCAGTAAGCAGTAAAGAGAGAAAATTCGTATATAGCACAAGTAACTTTGTGGTAGAATTCAGAGGATAAGCCTTATTGCTAAAACTTAGTTCTGTTGGCTCTTTCCTCACAACAAACCTATCAGTGTTGACAAAGGGAAGCACAGGTAATGTTTGTGAACCCTTCTACCAATAATCCCTACAGGTCTACTATGTATCCTTCAAGACAATGCATAGTGCGTTTCCCTCTTTCGGTACTTTGCCTATCAGGAGTAGACGTTCGCGGAAGTTGGCCAACAACAGATACCCTTGTTTTACGCGATTCAATAAGCGGCATCAGTCTTCCTTCTACCAGCCAGTTACTCACAGAGATAAAATCAGAGAGAAGGTTCTTGTCAATAAGGACGTTCTTTTTTTTTCTTTTTTGCTTGTGTGTTCTTGTAGAGTACCCAGAAGACAGATAGACAAAAGAGAATCAGATGGATCAAGTATTGAAATGTATGCTAAATAGTCTCAGCCTTTTGATTTGTAAAGAAGAGACACCATAGTATTGCTTGATTTGAAGAGACGCGGAGACAGAGACTAACAATATTAGCTACATAAATTTAATGCTACATAATACCTTTTTTTTGTTTTGCATTTAAGTCTTGAGAATGAGAAATAAGATGAAAGAAAGACAAAAAAAAAAGGTTTTTTTCTAGACTCGCTTTTTATCATTTACACTTGCTTTGTTCCCATGCTTTAGAGATGAGATCTTTTTGTTTATATTGGCTTCATTATGATGAAAAGAACTTTCGATGGCATAAACAACTTTGTTGATTTGTGTAACTTTCAAAGATCAATTTGCTCTCAAGTATGTAAAAACTATACAAGTCTATATGCTTATTGACAATGTATTATGGCACACAGACAAGATAGAATCTATCATTTATCACTATCTGAAAATATTGTTCTAAAGAGAACATAGCGGATACTTTGTCCTTACTTGTATCGCAAAGTAAATCGTTTGTTTACATTATGTTGATTACTAAACTGATAGTCGAAAGTAACGCCTAGGACCAGTCTATGATCTGTTTACATCAATGAATACGAGTTTTGTTACAAAAGAAAGTTTTGAGTTTATCAAGGTTTTATTTTTAGGGAAAAGCTATGGTAATACTTTTCAAGCTCATGCTAAACGTAATAAGAGAGACGAAAAGAGATATTTAATCATCAAAAATCAATAATAATCAATTATGATTTGTGTGAGAAATAAGCCTCCTTTTTGTGCTCTTTTCATTGTTGGTGTTATTTTTATCTTCACATGAAAGAAAAAAGCGGAGAATGATTATAGTTTAAGTCCTCTGTCCCAGAATGAATTCTGTATCAATTGATATCATGGACGAGTTTTATTATTATTATTATTATTATCAAACATAAAGAGAGAAACATTTAGTTCAATCATAGATGATCAGCTCATGTTATAGAAGAGAAAGGAGAGAAAAAGGGATATTTTTACGTCTAAAAAACTGAAAAGTGCAGTGTCAATTGCATTGTTTATGCAAACAAACAGCTTTTGTTGTAGTATAGAATCAGATGCTCTTTCTTTCCTCTCACCATAAACTGATCCTTATCAAAAGAAAAAAAAAAGGAGATGAGTGTGAAAAAAGAAAAAGCAGATGGCATATAAGATTATAAAACACTTTTTTTTTTTTTTTTTTTTTTTTGCTTTCAACTGCTCCTTCATAATCTTAGTTGAGTTGCTAGCTTGTTAGTATTGTTCTCTTGTTTCTTTGGTGGTGGCCCTGTATTGTTGTGTTCTGATGCCGTGTTCTAACTTGATGTTTTTGAGGTAAGTTTTCCCTTTATGTATATAAGTGTATGCACTGGATCCTGTGTGCTTGTTACAATTAAAGACTACGCTTTTTTGTCAGATGTTATGGCATTTCGATGAGGAATTGTATAGATGTTGTCGCCAGTTAGCAATGACAATGACTGTTCGTTTTTGTAACGGGGGTGTCTCTGGAGATCTGAGAAAACTGTCAAATTGCAGAAGTTTGATAGGGTATAGAAGTGCAATTCGATTGCCTTCACACAGCTGTTCCTGAGAATAACTTCTAAATGAAGTGAAATCAAAGATCGGCACTATTTATTTTTTAGAATGAATACAACGGTACTCTCTTTTTTAAATAAGTATCGTATTTAATATTAACAATATGCAGAACGCAATAACGAGAAACTGCTGTAAATATATGCATATGCTAGGATAGATGAGTTGAATAAATATTATAACTATAAACTCAAACTCTGTGTGGTTAGATATGCCTTAAATGGACTACATAATCTCATGATAAAAGACATCCACAGACAGTGATGCTTAAACATACCCTCTTTGGCCTCAGAAGTATTATGTACTATTGTGAATCTTACTCGTGCACATCTTGTGCATCAAATAATGTAAGAAGAGGTACCATTTTACTAGTCGATATTCACAGACTACTTGAATAATGATTCTCAGGAATGAGCGTCTTTTTTTCAAAAATTAGAGTATGAATGGTTGATTGGAAATCATTGGAGAACAATTAGTTTTATTTTGGGATGATTCTGCTTCGTGTTGATATCGCAATATGCGAATATATACTCTTGTGAAGCTTACTAATATGTATAGCACACACATAGGCGATGCTATTGCTGAATTTGCCTCTAATTTGTCGTGAATGCATTGCAGGATCATAGTTAACTAAAGTAATTTTAGATGAAAGCATCCTGTTACAGAGCTATTGATATCTTGTCAGATATATCAAGTTTCTAGCCGATGGGTCAATTTCAGGAGAGATGCCATTACGATCTGTCCAAACATTACAAGAGGCTACGTTATTAAAAGTTCCAGTACTAATGATAAGGGAGACAATGAACACATTTTTTACTGCCTTAGAATAAAGTATGAGTTTATTAAGCACTGTTTTGAGACTCTTGGCTGTTTATTTATCCAAACCAGTGTAAAGAGTTTGGCATCATTGAAGCGATATCACAAACAATAGCCAAGACATTCATCCTTTATTTAAATAGCTCATGGTCAAATAATAGAAAAATAAGCAAATCAAACCAGATGAGCCATTGCACCTGATAAATGATTTCCTTCCTTACAATTTAGCTTCAAAATGTCTTATTACCATTGAAAGCATTGGCTGCAGATAATAAAGGCACCCCCTCTTTTGACTAGAGATCATCTCCGGGAAATCAAAAAAAATTTTTTTCTTTTACCGAATGACAAAGTTGATTGTGTAACTTAAAAGAAGATTTGTCTATTTTTTTTCTTTTTCTTTTTCTTATCACTACTTACATTAAAATGTCCACTCCTCAAGAAACCAAAGCCCCTGAACCCACTTTTGTTCAAGCCAAGCCTTACAAAGTTGATCTCGAACCTGGAAAGGTAACAATATATATATATATATATATATAAAACGAATGCTCCTATCTGTTTGAAACTAACGCGCCTTTTTATAGGAATACTACTGGTAAGCTTTTTTTTTTTTTTTTTTTTTTTTTTTTTTTGTAGTCTATTTCAGCCTTAACATAAAATAAAAGGTGTACCTGTGGTGAATCTAAAAACCAACCCTTTTGTGATGGATCTGTAAGTAATAGTTTTGTTGCTGCTTTTGTGATTGATGTCTTGATTAGCACAGAGAAGCAGGTCTTTTCAAACCCAAGAAGATCACTGTAGATGAAGCCAAGACTTATTACTTATGTGGATGCAAATATACCCATAACGAACAAGGTTTCTGTGATGGTACTCATCGTAAAGAAGAAGGCATCAAGAAATACAATGAATTTTTGCTCAAGGCCAACAGTAAGCTCAAGACAGAATACCAACATGTCCTTGATGCTCAAAACGAATTACAAGCTCAATTGCATGCTTCTCAACGTAAGCAAAAGATTGCCAATGTCATTGCTGGATTGTCTGCTGCTTTAGTCGTCGTTGGCCTTGCTATGAAATACAAGAAATAAATAGTTTATTTTGTAACATGATGAGACCCCAATAACTGGTAGACATAGGCTGTCTTGTTAGGCAATAATAAAAATGTATAATCGTTTTCTCCATTTAAATAATGATAGTGAGGACCCATTTGACTCCATGTAAAAGGCGAGTCTTGATAACCCCAGCAAGTGATAGAGGCCCATTCTGATGTTACACCAGATACCATCAATTTTCTATTCAACATGTAAGCCTTCCATTTGATCTGTAGTACACTTGCCTCACAATGGTCATGATATTGTGTATATTTGTGGTGGGCAAAAGACCTTTGAAATGGATTAATGTGCCTATTTGACTGTCTAATAAAGAAGCAGGCGTTTGGTATACAGACACAAATGGATCAATTTGGTCATTCTTTTTGATTCGACTGGCTTTCATATGCGCCAAGCCAAGCCATTCTAATGCTTCATTTGCTCTTGTGTCCCAATGTTCTACGGGTGTATTTACATCATGCATTAAATCAGAAAAGGAGGGAATGTTGATATCTGTCAATGTATCGAATTCAGCTGTCATTTCCTTCTTCTCGATATACGTGATGTTCGACATGGACCATTCCATATCCACCATGGCTCCTGTTACTGTATGGATTCAGCTATACTGTATGAGACAAAAAGCACTTACATATGTCTGTTGCACAAAATACCATTTTGAATTGACATGTCAATGTATTCTTAAGACACCATTCGAGTCGATTGAATTCCTTACTACCTGGCTTAAAACGATCTTTTTTGAGATCAATCATCACGACTAACAAACAAGTAAATAAGGTTGTTCAGTAGACCAAGACATACTGTGCTTATCATGCTTCATATCTGCCTTTGTTCTCTTGATGGCTTCAATACCAAATGTTTCGTAGGTTTGTTTCACTAGACTTAGACATAGTTTTCCATCTGGAGTTAATACGACCACATTATCTGTATTCAGGCGAGTGTCTAAACTGTGCATGGTCAATGCGTATTTGCCTATGTATGTATTTACTTATTTATTTATTATAGATTTCTATCTATTTACCTGACTTGAAATATGTTTGAAAAAAATCAGGTTCTAATAAAATACTTAAAGGGGCTTGTATTTCATAAAAACTACCCAATGTTTGTTCCAAGTGTTGTCTTGCTTTGTTTGCAGGAACACAAGGTAAAAAGACAGTCAACTAAACAAGTTAAATATATGTGTGTAAATTAGTCTACTTTACTGCTCGATTTAAAGGGTGTCCGTCAATAACAGGTTTCCATGTCTTTTCATGTTGTTCTAAATCAACATAACTTAGGTTAGTATAAGACCTTAATGTATCTATATGAGTAAAGTAGGTCTTTTCAGCCATAGTGGAAACAAGAAAAAGTGAAAAAATAAAAAAAAAAAATAAAAAAAAAAAGGATAGGACTGGTTTTTTTTTTTTCTGACTAAAGAACAACATTAGCTGTTTAAAGCAAATCAGCCAATTTTTTTTTTCCACTTCTATCTTCTTTTTTCCTTCTTTCAACCTTATGCATATTGAAATAGCTCAAGCAGTTGACTTTTTAGGCAGACTCTTACAGTCCAAAGTAGAGCAGGACATTATTAGTCGCTTTAAAGACATGTTGACTAAATTGCTTGTGGTTCGTTTTCAAGATCACTGGGACACACATCAACCTTATAGAGGTAATGGCTTTAGAGCCCTTTCCAACTTTAATGGACAACTAGACCCTATTCTTGCTCAAGGTAATCTTATATTCAATAAGGCATAATACTTATATCTATGTTTAGCTGCTATGAATGCTCATATTCAGCCTAATACGATCCATGTCCATCTTCCCCGTGATTTTGTGTTGTGGATTGACCCATTTAGTGTATCTTACCGAGTAGGAGATCATGGTAATATCATGACTCTATTTGAAGATCGCTCTCGTGGCAGAGTGACCTTAAAATTAGATCCTGCCATTGTCACCTCTTCTTTGTCTCCTTCTATTCAGCCTAGAACATCCACACCCATTCGTATCTCTCCACCCAATAGCCCTGATACTATTGCTTTGCTTAATAAGCCCCAAAAAAAGAAGGATGAAAAGCACAAGGTGATTTTGGCGAACTAGTTTCATTTTTCTTTTGCATTTCTTTATTATTCTCATTCTCATTATTGTACATGTTCATTTCTTTTGTTTATAAGTTTTTCATTCAAATAAAACATCTTTGTTTCTCTAAAAACTACCTCTTCTCTGTAGATGTTCACGAGCAGATGTACGTAGATTCGTCATGGGATTCTAAGCATGTCAACAAGTAATGTTACAGGATGCGAACTTACCTGAGTTGATTCGTGTTGAGCAATGAAGTCAAGTGGAAAATAGATCAATAAGAAACAAATACAAAGACTGGATAGGATATAAAGTACTGTTTTCTATGGTTCAGTTAACCACCTTTGTCATACAGAGTTGATTACCTCTTGTAACAAATAATTCACAAGTCTAGTAGAAGCTGTCATATAGCCTAATCCAAAAGCCAAGATAGACCATTTCAGCATTGAAGAAAATAAGAAAAAAAAAAAAAAAAAAAGGGGGTGGAAAAATTTATTCTAATAAGATTTAAAGAATACCTTGTCGCTTAAGGTCTTCATATGTCTTTTTGTTATAGACATTGCCTTCTGCATCTTCAAATTCTTCAACTGTGTCTGCTCTCATTTCTTCAGTAATACCTTCTCTCTTTTGTTTTTCATATACTGTCATTTTATGAGTAACAGAGATAGCTAGATCAGTTTTTACTTACAAGCATAAGCATCTTCAATCTTGGTAATTTCATGAAAGGATCGTGTATTGGGTATGCCTAAACAACGCATACCGTGTGCATGTCTCCATTCTTGAAAGTGCTTATCAAACGCCTTTCTGCCCATATATACATAATTACCACAAATCTCACAGGGATATTCAACACCTAAACCATGTAGTTTATATAACCAATAAGGAATAGGTTTGCCATCCCAACCAAGTGGTAACTTGAGAGGATTATAGATTCTTTCATCATCTTCATCTTCTGATTCTTGATCTACAATCTCTACTTGTTCTTGTTCTTGTTCAAGCTTTGTTTGGGGTGAGTTATTGTACTGTATCAAACATGTAACTTACCGTTCTTTCTTTGTCTGTCAAGGCTTGCTTTCTTTCCACATTAGCCTTTGTTTCTTGTCTAAAGTCATCCAATGTCTGAGCATAAATCGAAATCAATCGTTCAGTCCATGCAATCATCTTTCGCTTATCATCTCTATCACTTCCTTCTTGTAATTTCTGTTGTGCCTTGATATGCTTTTTAGCAGTCAAATGAGCATCATACACACTCTGTTTGGTAAATTGCTTTTGACAGGCTTCACAGAACAAGCCATGACGTGTCTCCCATCCCTTGACTTGTCCTTGTTGCCATTCCTGATCAAACGTTTCCCATGCCTTTTGTTCTAAAGACTTGAGATCAAACAATGGTTTTGCACGACGAAAGAATCCATACAAATAGTCTTTGAGTTGATTCAAATAAGACTTGTATTCTTCTGTTGTCTTGATAGATTTGGGATACATGCCAAACTCATCAAATTCATCCAAGTATTGAAGATAGTCTAACTTTTTAACGCCCTTCAAGTTGATATAGATCGTATGCAGTTCATTCAAGTCCAAGTATCTGCCTGTACTTTCTTCACCAGAAAACATCTTTTCGAGTTCTAATCTTATGAGTTCATGTGTTTCGACATGTACTTTACCTTCAAAGTCATCTTCTTCTTTTCGTTGTGTAAGATAGATAAACTCAACTTCTGGTGGATCAACAGGTTCATGAGGGTATTTACGATGATGTTCTTTAATCACTTTAAGACGTTCATAGAATTCAGTAAATTCAGAAGATCCTGATAGTGCTTCCATTTCTGATTGACGTAGTCTGTAAATCAATGAGTTTGAGAAGAACGCGTCTTTGTAGTTACCCATCCTTGTCTTGATAGAGTTCAGCAAGATAAGCACTCTTTTCAGCAATACGCGTCAAGAATTTATCGACAATGTGTTCGCTATATAATCTTTCTCGATGTGTCTTTGCATCATCCATGTATTGGCTGACAATAGCTTGTTCAAGACGCTCAATATCTTCATGCGCACTATATGAATATGAGTTTGTGTGTGTGTGTGTGTGTGTGTTTTATCTCATTCTTACCTTCTCTGCTTTTCAAGAATGTTATCCATAATGGTGCTAAAGAGAGAGAAAGAAAAAGAAATTAAGAAAAAAAAAAATAACAAATACGCTATGGATAAAACTCAGCCACCTTGCTTTTCAAGCATATCCTTCCCCTTTCTTTTCTTTTTTTTTTTCTTTTCTTTTCTTGTTCTTACGCGTATTTACCTTCCGTACTCATGCAACAGCCAATAGGCAAGATTGAAGGTATGATAATCCCTTATCAGTATGGACTAAACAGGATTAGAAGCATTGACTGATTTGAACATTGATGTACCTCATCAAGACAACTATTTATTACCTCAATGGAAAGACATTACTGCTTTTCTAGATAAAGCAACCCAAGGTAATAATAACAATAGTAGTAGTAAACATGAATGCATGAGACTTACCTTCATAACTAGATTTTGAAGTGGGTCAGTTAGTTCATTTACAGTCATTCACATTGTTTGATGCTATGAGTGCTATTGAAATCATGGATCCTCGTATGGACACAGGCATGGCTGTTGCAGAACCATACCGTGCATTTGACATCACGCAACAATTCTCTGCTGAACAAATATTGAGTATTATGGATAAACTCGTCACTCGTGAAATGGCATGGATATCAGGTCATTCTCTATCTCAAACTGTCTATACATGCATTTATTTTCACCATATCCAAAGTTTGAATGAATTCAGTATGCCTACATTAACCTCGCCCGTGCCTGATATAATCTATGGTGTATTGAGGACGTATATTCTTGCCACAGTGAAATGTTGTCATTATATCTGGATGGAAATGACACAAGGCAACATTTATGAAGTAAGTCCCCTCTAAACAGACAAAAAAAAAAAAGCTGACTCGAGATCAGGAAGAAGACTTTACTACCAATCTGTTTGGCTTATCGTTTGATCATCAACATCCAGATATTGTGATTTTCAATGACCTTGATTCTTCCATTATGCTCTTGAACCATTTACTCAACAATAAGCATAAAGAGAAAAGTAGTTTGGAAGCCTTATTGAATCGCATTGAAATCCGTAAATCCTTCTTACTTTCGCTTATCTATCTTTCACAACAGGAAGGATCTCATTTGCCACAAGCCAAAAAGGAATTGGAGACCATCATGAAATTGTTAGACAAGGTGGATTTATCACTTGCTCAAGATGTGCCTGAAGCATTTGATCCTAACATCAGTCGAAAACTAACAACACAAACACCCCCTCGACCTGTTGAATTGGCAACAGAATCTGAATCATTCAAAGAATATGGCTTGTTGATCAAGCGACTAAGGTCCATTTGTGATGTGGTTGATTTTACTTCAGTCACTAGTTTAATGGTAGGTTGTGTTCAGCAAGAAAATGCAGAGCTAATCATGGATAGAACTACTTTCTTGCCTTTGCTTCTCAAGTACCTTATCCTGATGCATTTACAAGATCCAAACTGAATGTAAGTGTTGACTCGATTCCATCAAGCACTCATGTTGGTTAGACACTGTTCTTTCATAATCAACGTATTTTTGGTACATTGCCTGTACCTACACTCATGATTCGTTCCATTCGAGAAATGGTCCAACCCCCTTCCTGGTGGCTCTCTTCCAGTAAAATACCTCCTGCTATCAATCCAGCCGAATTCTTAAATGCACATGACACACTCAAGTCCTTTTTGGACCGAGTCGCCATGGTCTTTGTTGAATTCTTCAAGATCAACTGCCACAATCGATCTCGACAACAGCGTATGTTGCGTAAAGTGGTGTCTGAATGGGAAATATTACAAGAAGAAGCAGCAGGCGTAGATGAGATATTTCATGCGCTTCAGAAGCAAAAAGAAGAAACCCCTTATTACTTTTCTTCTTGGGCCTACAATCTCAAGTTGGGCATGATGGAAAAGATCTTGTTTCTTGGGTTTGAACTGGATCTGTATGGTGCGCATGAATACATCATGATTTACTGGTACACTCAATGTGTTCTCAGTAGTCGTGCTTTCTTACTGGATAGAATATCGACCTTTGTAGACCAACCTTCTTATTATATACACACACAACAGCTATTGAATCATGTCAAAAAGACACTGTCTGAAGCCATTCTCAAGCTACTCTTGACAGCCAAACACACACACCAATTTGATCAACGTCCATTGATATTTGATGATGAAGAGACACGCTATCATCAACGATTCAAGTCATTTATGCCTTTGATATCTCCACCTCACCCAAGTTATGCTGTTTATCGAGAAAATATAGAGATACAAGGATTTGATGTGGCCAGAATGACAGAGATTATCAAGAGTGATTTATTAGAAGCCAAAAAAGCACTCGAGCATCTTTTGAGTCTTTCGCCTGAAGAGACCTCGACAGACATGTGTCCTGATCAATCTCGACTTGAACTGAAAGACATTTTACGTGTGGTGGTTGCCAACACAATTGGTCTTCGTTTTATCAATAATCAAACATCGATTGATTGTCTGTTTAAATATCATCCTTGGTTTGCTCATCCAGTTCAATAATAATAATAATAATAATAATAATAAAATAAGTGTTTATTTTAAAGATTTCCTAGCCATGTCTCCAATTTGATCAATTTGCTGTTTATCCACACCAGACCGTAATAAGGATTTCATGAGGTATCGCCAAGTAACAGCATTGGGTTCTATTTTTCTTGAGCACATATGATTAAATACAGTGAGAGCCATTTGGCTATTTCTAAAGATGGCACAGCCTTGTAAAAGAGCAGTGTAGGTTTCTACAGTAGGCATTACTTGTTGAGTGCACATGTGGTCAAATATGCTGATAGCCCGTGGCAAGTTTTGTTTAGCAAAACAGGATATCAGCGTGGTATAGGTATAGACGTGTGGTTGTTCAAACCCAGTCATGCGACGAAAAAGATCTAATGCTTCTGTCGTTGTCCTGGCTGGATCAATATTCGATGGAGAAAGAATACCTGCAGACGCAAGTGTGTGAGGGTCAAGCGAGAGTGGGCGCTTCTTTTTAAAAGAGACATAGTGACCTAACCCCTTGATCATGCTTGTGTAGGCACGTATACTGGGTTCAATGCCATCGTGTTGTAGTGTCTTAAACAGTCGCCAGGCCAAGTTGGCTTCTTTGTTCATCACCAGACCTTGAATCACCATAGCCAGTGTGATATCATCAGGTACGGATTGAGATCGCATCGCAATCAACACATTAAGAGCAGCAGGCACATCCCGGCATTGAAATAGAGCATGGGCCAGGACATGCTTGGATCGTCGTGATTCAGTCCCTAATGGACCAAGATATTCATAGCTCTTGATCACTTGGGCCTTGTCTCGTTTATGGCCATAGGCTGTGATGAGATGATGGACCATGATCGGATTCACCCGGCCTTGTTGATAAAGTACTTCAAATTCTTTTCTCGCCTTATCCACGTCCCGTTTTGTAGATAGCCACAACAAAGCTGTTTGAAGCATGCTGTCCATATTGCCTGACGTTCTGACCAACTTTTCCATCTTTTCAGCGACATTCAGGTTACCATGTCGAATGGCATTGACCAAGATGGAAGTATAGATCACATGCGTTGATTTTCGATATCGTTTCCGATAGACGCCCAACAGCTGCTGTGCTTTATCAAAATCGCCTGCTCGACTATAGGCCTCAATCAAGGCAGCAAACGTGACCTGACTTGGCTTGACTTTGTGTTTCCGCATTTCATCAAACAATTGCTGTGCGCTCGCAACATCACCTTTTCTTGCAAATCCAGCCATCAGCGACGTGTAGATATATACATTGTAGTTGTGATGATGCGACTGATTCATAGCTTTTAAAAAGTAAAGCGTCTGTTGCCTTGAATGAGCCAGCATAGTGATCATGGTCGAGAGAGTGGTATTGTCAAGCTGGATCTTTCGTGTCTGCATGCTTTCGAGCATCAGTTGAGTAACTTGCTCAATCAAGACTGGGTCACGCTCAGGTGCGTTCTTTAAGGCAATGGCAAGTGAATGATAGTGGTTGGCTGTGGGCCATAAGTCGGGATGATGAGTAGCCCATTGTGTTGTGTTCTTGATGAGTTCATAGGCTTCTTTGGCTCTTCCTGTTCGACTCATGGCAAACAAGACTTGAGATACATGATACCCATTCAACAAACCGTAGGATCGGATATGGTCCAATAAAGTCAACATGTTGTCTACATGGTTACCGTATTTCAATATACCGAGCAAATAGCCATAATGATTTGACTTGAGGTGTTTGTCTACATGGTAACTGATCATCGTGTTATAAATCAGCCATGCCTTGTCGGCATCGTATTGGATAGTGTTGTAAAGTGCTGTACGTAACGATTTAAAGATCTCTTTTTGTGTGAGTGTGTGTTGGGATAAGAATGTCAAGAGACTATCGAGGTCGACATCTTTGTTCATGGTGCGAGGGTGGAATGGACGATCCCATGTATGATCTTCTTTTGTCTGTAATGCTTGTGTGGACATGGACTTTTGCATCAAGAACCAAAACAGTGGTCGAGGTTGTGGTGCCATGGGTAATCGTGAACAACATTGTCGAAAAACGCATGATTTCGTTTTTCTCGTAAGACTGAAAGCAGGACGCATCGAAGGTGGGTCACTTTCGTCAATGTCGCCCTTTGAGGTAGAGAAGTATATATAAAAAAAAAAAAAGAGTTGGCCCTTTTTTTTTATATTTTACGAGAGTGATTTGCCATAATAAGCCCCAGGCCTAATGGAGTTTTAAAAATATCAAGAAAAAAAAAAAACGGACGACAATGTTGATGTCGTCACACACTCACAGCCAAAAAAAAAAAAAAAAAGTATCGTCTATCAAGTTATGTTGATAGAAATAGTTTCCTTACGAGTTCACTTTTTATCATGATCTTTGTTTGGCAAAGCCGTTTTACCTGTTTGATAGACAATTGTCGTATTTTATCTGTTCAAAAGTCTATTCAAACTTTTGATGTGGGGAAGCACCCATATGCGGATTTTGAATCTACCTTCATTTCTTTAGAAAAAAAAAAAACAAAGCATCGTCCACAAGTCCATTAAAGAGCGTTATAGGTTGATTAATAAGAATTTAAGCAATCCCTCAAAAACTTGTTTTACGTTTTTGAGTCATATCGTACGCTTTTCATATGACTATTTCAAATCTGAGACTTCCAGTGTATTCTACAACCTTCAACGAACATTTTTCTCTGATATATATCATAGTGAAATGTTACTGTATCGCTCACAAATCGCAATAATGTGAAAATGAAGAAAATCCTCAGGGGGGGGGTAGAGTAAGGGCTTTTAACGATATTCTGGTCATTTCACAACTTGTCATATTCTTGCATAGCAACGTCTGTTGATGTAGCTGATACATAGTAAACTCAAAAAAGATGGTTTTGGTGATATGTTTTCTTTCAATATGAGCCAGAAACAGATCATTTCTGATAGAAAAGCACTTTATTTTGTCTAAGCAGTTGCTTTCCAAGCAGAATAGATTTGAAAGATAGAAGCAAATCCACCAAATACACCCACCAAAACATCAGGGAAACTGGATCTTTCCAGGGACCAATGAACAGTCAAAGGTAAATAGCTAATAACAGGGCATGAGTCTTCCCCCCCTCCCACGATTAAAAAAAGAGACTTACCCAGTATTAATACATGTGTTGACAATCATGGTTGTTCTTTCTGCCTTGATAGCAGCCATCTCTGCTTCAGGATCTTCGTGTGTTTCAATATCCCCTGCCTTGATACGTCTTAACAAACCAGTTTCTTTTAGCTTCAATTGTTTGTATTGTTCAGCCAATCGACCGTATTCCAATACAACATAAGCAGCCCAGAATCGACAACTCCACATACCAATCTTGTTGGTTTTTTCTTCACTGAGAGGAATGACTTGATGAGCGCCTAACCAATAAATATGTTCTAAGGGATAATAAATCACATTAGCCCAGTTTTGAAGGCGTTCAATGGTGAGTGCCAAAGGACTGGAAGGCGGGTTGTATTCGATATAGTTCATGTATTGGACCATGGGCAATAGACCATAGTAACGCAATAAGATACGGAAATCACTGACAGGTCCTGATAGGTTTTGAATGCGTTGAATGACAGAGAGGGTTGACTTGAGAGGAACAGCATGACGCTTTTGAAGGAACCAAATAATCACTTTGGACCAATATTGAATGAACTAATACACGATGAATGAAAGCAGTTTTTTTTTTTAAGAAAAGAAAATGAAATACCATCAACACTTTATCTGTGCCTCGAACAGAGTTTAAGAAACGGATCAAGTGATCCAACTTGGGATTAGAAGGACCAAGAAGTTTAGCTACTGCTAAAGGGTTAAGTGTGTCCTTTTTGTGTTGTTTTTCAGACATGTTGAAAGAGAGAAAAAAGAAAAAGAAAGAAAGGGCTTTTATTCTCTTTTCACATGCTATTTTCCCACTTGATTTATTTTGCTGAATAACCCCCTTTCTTCCCCCCAAAAATCAAGTAATTTTGGTGTAACCAAAATAATTATAGAAAAAAGCCCGTTTCTTGTTTATTTACTTCTTTTTCTTTTTTCAATACTACTGAGATGCCACTTTATTCTCATTCCTCGACAAGTGTCTTGAGCGACACGAATGGAAAAGAGATAAAGTTGGAAAGACAGAATACAAATGCTCTTTATGTGCGTATATACATATATATATATATATAAACAAACAATATAGAAATTGATTTCATCTTAGTCTATATGGGATACAAAAAACTCCCTTTACCTTATCTTATTGACTGTGTTGGAGGCTATTGCTGTGATTTTATTAGAGTCTGTCTTGTTAGCTAAATTTCAACGAGAGTATGTTCATCTGTATCAACAATGGATTAATGACCTATATAGTGCTCATGTCAATATTGAAGAAGGCCTTACCAAGGGCATTCCAGTCTATTTAGTGATCTTTATTTTCTCGCTTGTTTTTCAAGTTGCACTTGCTTGGGATGCAGTAAGTATATGGTGAATCTTACTGATAATAAGAAGAGATAGGTTCGACATAAAAACACTATCCAAATCATTGCTTTCAACTTGTTTAATCTGTGTTGTTTTGCTTATGCTGTTTTTCAGTTCAAACAGATTTTTGAAGCACTAAAACAAAGATTAGGTGACAATGGTCTCTCTTGGGAATTACAGAAATTGATGATAGCCAATCCTGTCATTATTGGTGTGTGTCAGTTGGCTTATTTCTATCTTGGCGCAAGACTCTACCTTGAATTTGGGTAACATCATCACTCTTTGAATAGGGGGCGGGGAGTTGCTTATTTTTTTTTTTTTTTTTTTTGTTAGTTGGCGAATTTATAAAAAGATTGGGGCTGATCCAGACATAAGAAGTAAGAAAGTAAAGAGAAATAGACAGAGTTATTTATAGAATGTAGACATGTATCGCTGGTATCAAATCTTCTTGACTTTACTGAAGATTGACTTCTTTTTCTTTTTGGGGTTCTCGATTCAATACCTTGTGCTTGTACTTCAACGAGGCGACGTGGAATATCCATTGACGATCATTGCCTTACCTTTGACCTGTGTTGTGTTGGTACTGGCTGTGTATGCCGTAAGTAAGACAATCAATCACATGATATTGACAGTATTAGATCAAGCATGAATCAAAAAAGATGATTACCCTATTTTTTATTGGATTAGCTGCTGGTATAGCTTATTTCATATTCAAGATTTACCGTATTTATGACTATTCACAACAAGCAAAATACGAGTTTGTCAAGGAATTTCTTACTTTTTTTGGTAGTTGTCTATATTTAACCTATGCCTTATTTTTTTTTTTTTTAATTTTTCATCTTATAGCATGTGTGACATTGGTCTTGATTATTTTGACAATCATCAATGCGGCTATTTGTTGTTATAACTTTGACAAGGGACTTAAGGCACACTGTAAGTATTATCATTGGCATTTGAATCGACTCATTTCAATTAGTACTTTGTGATATGACTGAGCCTTGTATTCATTCAGAAGAGAATAACCATGGTCGTACATTATCTTTAGACTAGCATACCCTCTTTTTTCTTCTTCTACTTGTAAATATATATATAAGAATGGCTTATGTTTAGACATTCCACGTTCTATAAATTGGGCTGAGTTACCAAATAAAGCACAGGGCGATCACTCAAAAATTAAAAGAAAAAAAATTATTTCCCTCCCCCCCCTTTCTTTCTTTTACACATTTCTCGGCTTAACAAAACAGAGAGAAAAGAGAGTGAAAGAGAGAGATATGCAAGATTCTCTATTTAAACTGTTTGGCTCTGTCAAACTGATACAAGAAGTGACAAGGTCAAACCAGTCTAATACGACGTCTGTCTCTATAGACACTGAAGCAAACACTACACCTATACCAACCTCATCTCCAACAACTCGATCCACAACAGAACAAAAGCCACTCATCCCAACACCTATACCCAGCCTACTTCCCAGCAAATCCCGAGCCAAGTCTTATACTCGAAAAAATGCTAAATACATGCGTCATCATCGCACTCGCTCCTTTAGCACCAAAATGTCAAAGAGTAAATCACAAAAATTATTGTGTTTATGGCCATTGCCTCTTGTCACTCGCTATATGATTGGAATGGCTTTGTGTATCTCCACACTTCATTTTTTTGATTTACTCAGCCTGTCTTGTGCTGCACCTTCGTATGTCATCCATCGTCTGGATATCAAAAACTTGGTCCTTTCACCCTTTTTGTTTGATTGGACAGTGCCAAGTATGGTCCTGTATGGTTGGAACATGTTGATCTTGGGATTATTTGAAGAATCCTTGGCTCATATGGTGGGTGGTTCTTGTCGATTTGTTGGCCTCTTGGGCTTTTTGTTCTCTGTCGTCTCTGGCTTGCGTATCTTGTTAGGTTTCATTTTCTCTAAATCTACAGGTTGGGCTGTTCCTTCTTTGTTCTTTAGTAATTCAATGCATGAGTGTAGTCAAGGTAACCTTACAATTTTTTTTTTATAGAAATGACCTAATTATGGCGTAGGACTTTCTCCGTTTTTGTTTGCGCTACTTGTTGTTCAATCACTCAGCATAGAGGATAAATATATATTGATCTATGGACAAGAAGAATCAAACAACAAAATCACAGTTCGAAAAGTGACATTGCAACTCTTGATGTGTTTAGCCAATTACATGACCAAGAATATCTTGTGGTGGTCCATGTCTGGCCTTATCACTGGCTTCATCACCACAGTCTTACTTCAGACCATCTTGGTGTTTGAAAAACGGACAGATTCGACCAAAGTGAAAGATGTTGCTGAATTTGTAGCATTAGAACGGTACCGTCGTACACCCCTTTGGCGATTGATTTGGGGGGCTGTTCAAAAGGGCATCTGGGTTGTTGGACTCACGGTGCCTATCTTGTTAGCCTGCAATGCCTATTACACCCGCGAGTTTAAAGTAACTTCAGCAGAACTCAACAGTATCTCACAAGATCCGTATTTGTTTACTTTTGTGTTCATGACAGCCCCTCGACGTGGTGATCCTGCTTATCTGGCAAGAACGATTGAATCCTATTTAGCCAACTGGCCTGAATATCCTGCAGCTGATTCACCTTATCGTCGTATGCAAGCCATGATTTATACTCATTTCTCTCATCATGCACAGTATGATATTGCCCAAGCTTATTTCTCCAAGACAGTTAAAGGTCAACGGTACTTAAGATGGGTGCGTGAAGAAGGCGAAGAGTTAAACCAACGCCTTCATGTCTCGAAAGCTTTGGATTATGTTGGACAGCATTTTCAAAGTACTTATTATGCCTTAATGGAAGATGATTTCCCTGTATGTGGGTTACAAGAATGGCATGAAATTGAAAATGTGATCTATAAATCAGAAAAAAATGTACCTCATCATTGTGGTGTCTTTGTGGGTACAGGTGGAAGGTAAGAAAGAAGAAGTGAGAGAGTATCATGATATTGACCTTTTTAATGTAGTGGTCTTTTCTTGAAACCTGAATTGGCTCGTTTGACTTCTGAATTACTCTTGACTTATGTAGATATACCACCCGATATTATTATTCAAAAGTGCTTAATGGGCCAATTGCCCGAATGTACTCGTTGTACTGATTCTTTAGTGACAAGCAAGACATTGCTCATGTATCATATTGGTTATAATACCTCTACAAGTCAAGATAGAGTGTACAAAAAAAACGAATTTCAATGTGGATGGCGTCACCCATTTGTAAGTAGTAATAGTAGACTCTATGTCATGATATACTGATTGCTTCATTCTAGAATGGTGATCCCAGTGTCATTACACTTTAATATATATTTATCATAGACTTATTATTTACTATTGTACAGTTTAATCTAATAAAGTTGTTTAGTTATTGAGACACATTGTTCATCCATGCACTCAATTGATCCCAATCGAAATTAATAGGTAAATCCCAAAAGACATTATTAGGATCATTTCGAAAACCATGATGATCTTGAGGTTGATTATCTGCTGTGGGTTCTAATGTATTTAGATTCTGAAGGATGTAATCTAAAGCACTTGTCTCATTCGTGGTATCAAAGCCAAATTGAGTTAATGTAAAGGCCTCTTGATGCACATTGGACAGTCTATGATCTGGTTTTTGCAGCAAGATAGACTCAACCAAGGCCATGGTTTGTTGGTGTCGATGAATCTTTTCTTCTATACGCGATTCTTGATCTGCTAAACTTTTATCGGCATGATCATCTTCTGCATGCAGATCTGCATTTTCTGTAATACTCTTAAAGACTTGGTAGAGTCGATAAGCTGTTTTGGACATATGTTGTAGTGTTTGCAAGAGTTCTGTTCCCTTTTTTAAATCAAGCTTGGCTGCCATAGATACGTGTGGATCAGGATGCTTGCCATTGTACATGTGAATCAGTCCAAATTGCATGATGGGATACAATGTAAAGGAATAAGGACACATGAGAAAATTCCTGAGTGTCAATCCAGACGCAATACGCATGCCTCGAGTGGCCGCACTGGTACAGATCTGTAAAGACGTACAAGAAGATCGCGATTGCGTTTTACAAATAAAGGGTTGGTGCAGCAAGACTAACGTACTGAAATAAAACAAGAGCATGGACGCAATCACAGGTGCAAAATGGCCTGTGTCTTCATTAAAATCAGGCAGTTGAATGCTTTTCAAGGCTGCCGGAAATGCATAACGCCATGCTGTCAATTCAAAATCAAGTCGTGTCACTAGACCATGGCTACCGTGTTCTGAACTATATTTTTTAGCTCTAGGTGTATGTAAGCCCTGTAATACTCTGCCAAGTATCTCTGCGAGTTTGATGAATTGAACAAAAAGTTCGTAGATTTGAGGTCGAGGATTATGGTTATCATTGAGGCTGTAAGGAGTCGTCAGGGAAGGAAAGCGAGGAAAGACGTGTGCATGTATGATTTTGTCTTTATCAGCTTCATAAGCATCCATGACTTCTTCTATATCTGCACCTGAGTCAGGATAAGATACATTGATGTCCTTTTGTGATGAGTTTTAAAAGAGGTGGGGGAGGACTTTCTTTAGACTTACTTCATCTCTCAGGTTAATAGGACGCCCTAGAATGGCTGTCTGAAATCTATCGGTGATATATAATGCCCACCAAATCCTTTTACGAGTTTCCTTTTCGTTTCTTGGTACATCCCAATCATCACAATTCCTATGCAAACCTAATAAATGGGCTAATCGTATTGCCTTAAAGCATGTTGATGAGCCCCATTTGATCCTTATGTTTATCTACTTACAAAGCCTCCCAATTGCCAACAAGCAGATGATTTAGAGTCTCGATCACCCCTATGGTTTAGAATCAGAACAATGGCTTGAATCATAGACACAGTAGGTGTAGTGGACCATTTAGAAATAATGTATTCTGCTTGATCAAAGAATTGATTCGACCATCCTACAGGCACATCCCAAACAGCATCAGAAGGCAGCCTTCTTTTTCTTGCAGGCTCTAGGCTTTCACATTCGACAAAACGAGCAGCAGCACCAAACATGGCATTCAGTAATTCGCCTGAAGGAAACGTATTGACTCGGTCTCGGTATTGTTTCAGAAACTCAGTTTTGTCAATGACAGGTAGAATTGGATGAATATGAGAGAAATAACTAAGAATCAATAAGGCATCTACTATTACTTTGACTTACATCTTGAGCAATCGCACAGTTGTATATTGATCTAGTCCAGTCACTGTATAAATGTACTTGTGAATATCTTCACCTGCTGCATGGATATTCTTTGGCCATTGAAACACTGGTATTTTACTCCTTGGTTTTTCATTCTTGACTTCTGCTGCCAATACAATACCATCACCAAACCGCTTAATTGTATGGCCTTGCCATTGTTTATTATCAGACAAATTGAGCTTGTTTGAAAAGAACTGGAGTGTTGCTGAATCACCCAAGTAGTGTATACTGTCATAAGTAACGCCTTCTGGCCATTGTCTAGGATCCAATACACCATATTCTTCAAGAATGTTGGATAAAAGTATATCTTGTTTCTTTTTGTGAGTCTTCAGTTTGGGTGATACACTCTTTTGGTGTATTGCTTGTTGCACCATGGTTTCCATAGTGTGAATACGTTCTTCAAGATCTTCAGCATATCTTTTCAAAAAATTAGCATCTATTCAACTTATTTTAGGTGTTACCCTTTCTGTGGACCTCGCTTTTTGGCCCTAAATAGACAATGAACAAGCTTCTCAAACCTAGTTGTTGCTTACGTTCTTGTGAACTGACACTTTTGATGGTAAGCTTGACAATTTAGGCAGACATCGCCTTCAAGAAAAGTACATTTGGCTTTCTTTCTTCTACACAAATCACTTTTTTCTGTATCAATAGACAATAGTCAGATCAGACATACCATGCTCGAGTAACGCGATGTACTTGGCTCGAAACAGCTTGGTCACTCATGGTTTAAAATAATAATAATAATAATAATAATAATAATAATAATAAATAAGAGAACAGTCTCTTTGCATAAATCACATTTATTGAGTTATAAACGAGACCAAATCCATCCGGAAAACCATGAATTGTTCTTTGGATTAGCCAAACGAGGCACATTGGTTTCTACTTCTTGTGCTTCATACACAGGTCCTACATTATCATAGACAGGGCTTGCGTCTGTGGTATCCAATTCAATCACTGTGACTGTGATATCATCACGATAGTTTCTTGAAGGCTTTCGAGTCAATCGCTTCGAAAGTTCTAATGTCTCGTCTTCAACAGGTTCTTTGACATGCACATTTTTGTATACTGCATCTAACAATAGAGCCTGACGCACAAGATGGGTTGCAGGATTGACGTCCTTTTTCCAGGTACTCATGATACGAGCCGCTTCTTGATCTCCTTCTGTGCTACGACAATCATCCCAACTCAATTCATCCCAAAGACCATCTGTAGCCAAAATCACAAAACGGTCATCTTTTTTTATCTTGTGCTTGGACACCAGAGGCTTGGATTGAAGGTAAGGTGGTGTACGGTAATGGACGACAATGCGGTGATGGTAACGAGCAAATGTCTTGTAACTATCATAAGGGATAAAGGGCAAGACCTTCATTTGATATTCAACAGGTACTTTGTACATGATATCACCAAAAGCTAAATCATAATAAGATATATATATATATATATATATATTGAAGTCTACTTACAACCACCAACAGCAATAAGGCCGAAAATACGGTTTCTCATCACAATTACATCAGATTCTTTAGGAGGATGTTGGGATAGTAAGTGTGCTTTCCATTTAGGATCAGCTGGGGATTGTTCTTCTACAAGACGCCTGCCTTTCCATGTACCATCTTGATCTTGACTTACGACTAGACAAGACAGATGAGCGTTCTATACTTCTTTTTTTTGGATATAGAGGTAACTTACTAACAACACGCGAATCACCTGTATTGGCTGAATAGATATAACCGTCTTTAAGATAGACAGTACAAGCACATGAACCATTGATGGCTTCATTGATAATGGCTTCAGCAGCTGCTCTATCGGGTTGACGGGCCACTGCTGCCTGGATGTCCTTTTCGGTGGTTCGTTTCAAGTTTTTGGGAAATATGTCATAAAAGCGTTGTTGGATATCTTGATCCAAGTCTTCAAAGGCTGTAGAAATAGCTGATTCGACATCTTTTTTGTTTGAACCAAGTTCTCGAGCCATGTAAATCGGCAATTGTTTCTTGATCAATCGCGAACAATGAGGGCCAATGTGTCCTAGTGACAAAGTCAAACTTCGATACACGCTATAAATATTTACTTACCGTCATAAACGCCTGCTATCAAACCTTGTTGGAACGTATTGATACTATAGTTATCTTCTACAGGATCATTGGAAGGAAGTTGGTTGGTGTAGATAGCCTTGATTTTATTTGTTTGAGGTTTGGTAACAAACTGTCCTGAATAAAGACGTTGGTCAATATCTTGACTAGAGAGTAAAGTAAAAGGACGGTGGTCATAGTGCTTGGGAGTAGAAGGCTGAGTTGAGATAGTCACTGCTTCATTGGGCAGTTTTTTATTGACAGCATAATAATAGCCACCAGCACCTGTAAGACTGAGGCCTGCAATAGTAGTGATGGTACGTACGGGAATAGACATGAAAGAAAAAAGAGAAAAATAAATAAAGAGACTGTGGCCATATTTCTTGATTTTTAATGTCAGTTTATTTTGTGCTAAATTCAATTTGTTTATATCTGTCTCTGTGTTCAATGGTTGAGGTACAAGAAAAGACTCACCAAAAAGGCGGTTAAAAAATTGAACAAGACCAACAGAGCTTTTTCCTAAAGAAAAGACTCTAAAAAAGTACATTTTTATAACAAAGTATATGGATGCATTTCAAAAAAAAAAAAAAAAAAAAAAAAAAAAAGTTGACCATGACAAACAGACTGAAGTGATTAGTGAGAAGATGTTTATTAAATTAAATGGGGATAATAAATATAGACAAGCAAATATAGATATAAAATACACACTAGTAAGTTGATTTTGATGCCTGAGGCTTCTTCATTTTAAGATAAATTTGGTCTCCAACTTCGCTAATGGCTTCTAGAGCAAAATCTATTTTCAAGAATAATAAGTTATTTGTCTTTTGTTTTGCTTTATTTACCTAAATCTTTCTTTGTATGGGCTGCTGAGATACAGAATCTAGCTCTTGCTTCTGCAATTGGAGTTGCTGGATAACCAACAACGACTATAGCAATCCCTCTTTTTAGTAGTTCTCTAGAGAACAATCTATGTCAATAATATTTACATGAGTCCAAGGGTCTAAAGTACACATGCATATAGATACTTACGGTATTTTAGCAGGTTGGAAAAGAAGCAAAGGAACGACTGGACTACCTTTATCACCATAGACAATAAAGCCCATTTCACGCAAGCGAGCAGAAAAATAAGCGCTGTTTCTGGCAAGTTGCTCTATTCTCTTGGCTCCTTCGCTTGTTCCATCTTCGCCTCTAATATAAAGCACATAAATAAGATACGCTTTTTCTTTGAATTTACTTACGCAACAATCTTCATACTTGTTATCACTTGTTGTGTAACGGGTACAGACATGGGCTCTGCATAATTGTAGGCATGGTTGTGTAATTTTAAATGATCAATGATTTTTTTATCAGCAGCAATGTAGCCACCAGCAGAGCCAAATGATTTAGTAAATGTACCCATCAAAATATCAACCTCAGCAGGGTCGATATGGTAGAAATCACAAACACCACCGCCATGTTCACCAAGAGCACCGATAGAGTGTGCTTCATCGACGTATAAATAGAATTTGTACTTCTTCTTGAGTTCAATCAGTTCAGGCAGGTTAACAATGGTTGCCTCCATGCTATAAATGCCTTCGACAATCACCAAAATTTTTTTCCATCGACGATGTGTTCTTGGCTGTCCTTTAGAAATGGCTTGTTTTAAAACATCACGTAAATGGTTCATATCATTGTGCTTGAACGTTTTTACAGTAGCACCTGATAATCGCACACCGAAAATGATAGAAGAATGGTTAAGTTCATCAGAGATAACAAGGCAACCCTAGAATGTCATCGACATTTACCAACCCGCTCGATTTTTTTTTCTGTCTTACCTCATTGACTAAAGCAGGAATCGTAGTTGAATTTGTAGCAAACCCCATACTGACCACCATAGCAGCTTCTTTTCCAACAAATCTTGCTACCGTTCTCTCTAATTCAAGATGTAATTCGGATGTACCTGATTCAGCTCGAGGGTTACAATGAGAAATACCATTTTGTCGAGTGGACAATTCAACGTCATCCGCGCACGGACCAGAACTTTGTGCGAAACCCAAGTAGTTGTAAGAAGAAAAATTGAGATTCTCGGTCACTTTGCCTGTCAGCCTTCCAAAAACTGATGAGATTCTAATAAATGTATACATATATTCGCTGTTCAACTTACTTGAAGGTCTTGTTATAATCGGGACTGTATCTTTCTAGTAAATGAACTTGACGGCCCGCAACACCCGTGATTGGTCGATTCCAACAATCACTAACAAGGCACAAATAAACAAAACAAGGTCGAATGATAAGATAACTTACCGAATGCGCATATACATGCGTCTTGTGTAGAATGAGTCGTAATCAGAAAGTAAAGGGGCCATGCCCTATGATACAATCAGAGATGAGTCATTTGTATACATGCATAGAAGAACTTACGTTTTGAAGCATTAGATGAGCATATGCTTTGGGCTTACAAATCTTTCCAAAAAAGTCTCTCAGATGGCCAAATAGAATAAGCAAAAGGATATTCAGGTATGTCACAATCACAATGTTGAATGGTGCAGGCTCCATTGTCTGTTGGAATTCCTTGTATGACTTTCTTGATGTTGTCTTCCAACGACAATGGCTGTTGTTGGGCAAGTGAATGCTTCCCACTGTTTTAGACGTGGTACTCAAAACAGAAGGCAATGCCTCTAGTTTTTGTGTGGATAACAGTCCATTGTCAAGCAATGATCGAGAGAAACTATTAATTGAAAGTGAGCGCTTGCCTTTGCCCATGTTAAGTGATAATATGAAAGAAAGAAAGAACAAAAAGGAAGAGATATCAATCAAATGTCTATGACACCAGTCAAATAAAATCCCTCTCTACTGTTACTATCATTGTCATCATCGGTTCAAGATTTATCCCATATTTTTAATTTCGATATAATTGACAATAGGTTTGCCGAAACAGCCATTGCGACTCGAATATACCCTTGAAAAACATAACATTAGCAGAGCCTATGTGTCGGATTAGAAGAGAAATGATCATGCCATTCTATTTGAATGAACAAGGAGATTAAAAAAGAGGGAAAAACTTTCATGCTGATATGAACATGAAAAGAACAAAATAGAAAGTGACACTATGTTTTGAAGTGGTATTTATGTTACACATTTTGACATAATACGAGAGATATCTGCATTTTTTGTACAACAATTGCGGGAATTCAATTCACATGGCCCAGACATTGATAAACAGAATCATTATACCAAGCAATTGCATGGCGAAGGCTGTATATTTGAAGCAGATACATAGTCTGTGTACCTTTAAAAAGTAGTAAAAAAGTATTGTTTTGTCTGCTGTTATCGCTCGAGACAAAAGTATACAAATCGGATAAATTTTTTTTTCAAAGGCACCGGATAAAACGGGTGTATTCCAACGGATGTAACTGGAGTTTAAATTTTCCTAAAGAAGCCACAGAGACACTTTTTACTTTACAGTATTTCTACTTCAAATTCAGACGATGTTAAATTTTTTTTGGACGAATAGAAATTTATGTTTAGACTTTTTACCTGTAATGATCTTCATCCTTTCCGAAGAAAAGAAAGCCGTGTTTGCTACGGCGATACTTCAGCAGAAATTTGAATAAGAATAACTTTAATGCTCTCATAAAAGGCTCTTACCAAATTTATAATATTTTTTAAGCATTGGTTTTCTCTCGCTTAAATGGTTCTGGTCTTCCTTCTCCCATCCAAGCGGCCTTCGATATTTTCATCATATTTGTGGCAGCATTTACATCTCTCTGCCAAACTTTGTTACAATTTTGGCAAGCAAGAACGGAATTGCCTTTGAAATGCGTTATTTTCACCACTCCCAAGTTGCTATAAAAACACGAGCTGCACGTTTTAGATGTTTTAAATTCGTCAATCGTTAAAACGATCAACGCACCAGCAGTTTCGCGTTTTTTCAGTGTCTGAAACAGTTTCCCTACCACCCCACATCGAAGATTTTTCAACTTGACCATGTCTTTACCAAAGACACCATCGCCAAAAACGACCAAAGGGCACTTTTCTTTTTCTTCGCGAAAAGGAAGGGGTTTCCACTTTAACCTATTAAAATAAAAAACTTAGAAACTTCTATTAGAGAAAGGCTGATTACTTACTTCTTTGCGGTTGTATCAAGTTTTGATTTTAACCCTTCATTTTCTTTGCCACCATCTATCTTGGGCTTTTTCTTCTTCTTTTTTCCTCGCTTGACATTCTTCTTTCCTTTTTTCTTCCTCTGAAATTTGTTGTACTTGGCAGTACCGTGAGTTAACATATTAACCATCATTTCTGGTGCCCGTTGCCTGCCTTGATACAGCTGGAAATGACACTTTGCGGTTTCCTTGCCGTAAAATGTCAGTAGCCTGTTAAGATGTGCTAATATGTATGTAGCATAATTTTCATATGAGTCTGGTTCTGTTGTTTTTGACGTGGGAATTTGGGACTCGAGTGTAAGGATACCAGAGCGTTGTTTCTTTGACTCAAGTTTTTTGCTATACACAGTACTACCTGTCAAATGGTAGTATTCCTTGGCGGACGACTTCCGAATTTGCTTAGCTGACTCTACGCCTACAACAGCTGTAAATAATGATTTATGTCCTGGATCAAGGAAAACCGGTTGATACTGATTGATGACCTCTTCGTAATTGAAGTCTTCAAGAGCTAATTCAACACCAGTGCCATCCTTCTTTTTTTCCCTTCGATAGAACAGAAGGTCAACAGAAAAACCGTCGGATTTGAATGTGTTTCCAAACAATATCTTGTTATTTCCGTTGGGTGTGAGATCATCCATCCTAGATATATTATAATTATCAGAAAGAAAAGAATATATTGTGGACGGTATTATACCATACTTTAAACGTAATTTTTTAAAATTAAAAACACGATGAAACATGTTGAGTTGATCTTTATAGCCCCTTGGCAGGATCTCTTTGATAAATGGTGCTAATGCATTAGCGCTTATGCTTACGAATCTCCAATGTAAACCCGGCGTTGGTGACAATGAAAACAGTCTTGGTAGAGGTAATCGTCTGACATCATAGACTTTGTGGCTCTTGTGTTCTATCTCGTATTCCGATATAATGTTAAACAGACAAGGAATAAATGTGTTAGGCGCTTGAGACAGAGTTGTAAGAGCCACCCGGGTCGTTATTGACTCCTTTAGTGGCAGGAAGGTTTTATCAACCATGGTTTTCTTTTCTTCAGTAGATTCAAGACCTCGAGGCCACACGGGATTTCCTTGGCACACATACTGGTAAACGTAAGGGACAATTTTTATAACATCTGAACGTTCCATTGACTATATATAGTATTATTTACGTACTCTTTTATAATAGTATTGTACTTACTATGAATATATTTTGTGTTTTATAGAATATATACTTGTATACTCTTGATTCAAATGTTTCTACTATGTGATTGTTGTATACTGTTTGTAGCTGTTGGGACGCTTCTGAAATGCACTGACTGACGCCACTGAAGGAAAAACTTCAAGATTCAGTTTCCAAACAGTGATTATCGGAAATCTTTTGTTGTTGAACCTCACAGCAAAAGATTGACTGATTTCAAGAGCTGCAACCTTAACATTGGATGGGCTCTGAATAAAGGAACCAACAGGAACCTTGATACTTGCCCAACTAGACACAAGAATTATCTTGGTGCAGTCTACTGTTCAAACAACTCGTATATTCCACTCGAAAAAGAAATAAGACCTAAATACATTCTTCAGCTCATCAAGACTCAAGAATGTACTCGGGATGAAACTGAAGAGATCGACCTTACTTTGCCAAAGAGCCTTCTCAAAGGTGAGAAATCTACTGGCATTGTTATGTCGTACCTCTATGATATCAAGAACAAAGATATTGAGAGTTGTTTATCATCACTTTTCGAAGCTACTCCTATCGTCTTTGTAGATAATTCAAGCCTGCTTGATCTGGATAATTATATTGAAGATGAAAGACAAACTGCTACCAACCCAAGTGCTTCTGCATTTGATGTGCATTCCGCCAGCATCACAGACTTTTTGTCTTTGAAAATGAATGGCAACAGAAGCCGTTCATGCTACATTGATGCTCCATTTAATTTGTTTTTAGATGTGTCATTCCTTTCATCAAAGAAGAATTCCCCGAAGCGTGCGACAAAAGAAACAAGTAAGACAATGTTCTCTTCAACTCATTTTGTCAATACAAAAACGGTAATAGCATTGAAGGTAATCAGGCTATCAGATATTTTGTTTAGGGGAAAAAGAAAATACTTTCACCAAGGGTGAAATGGATGCTTCCTACTTTTGCTTGGATTGGTTCCTCTCTGGTTTATCTGATAGAACAAAAAGTTTGTTTTCTTTTAAGTCTGTATATGAATTTTCGTTATGCAGCATCTCAGAAGAGCACTCTTGCTTTAGAGAAAAAAGATTGAATGCTTTGCCTTTCATCAAAGGGAATTTCCCTCGTAAAAAATAAGGCAACGCAATCAAGCAAAAATATGAACTTCCAATATGCTGTCTATGACTTTTCAAAGGATACGTTGTCTGGTGTAATTGGATCAGAATCTAAGAATAATGAAAAAGAAGCAAAAAATCAACTTGACAAAGCAGATCCCAACTACAAGCCCAAAAGAAAAAATGTCTCCGCATTATTGAATTGTAATTGCAGTAATACATGACACTTCTGAGACTAAAGAAAGCAACTTTGGGTATCACTATTAATAAGTGTCTAATAAAAGTGGCACTTCTTATGTTTGATTTTGTGCTGAGCGATTACGTTAAGTATTTATTGTTCTTAAAATCTTATAGCTTCATAATAAACATTTCAAAGGGCTTCTGCGTAAATTCCAATCTTCACAGCGCGCCATTTATGGATATAAGAAAGGGTTCTTTGTTGTGCTTGTTTTTATGAAAGGAAGGAGTTCTATTATATAATAAGGCTTATTATGCTACTCACTAATATGGTATGCTGCATTATATTAAGGCCATCCTAGCTTATTGATTTAAAGTCCAGTAAAAAAAGGTTTTTCTTTTCTTTTTTCAAACACGACATAGAATGGAAGAGCCAACACCTAAACGCGCTCGTTATAGTTCGCCCGATTTTGAAGATGATGAAAACAAACAGATGGCCAAGTCAAGTACCACAAATAACAAAGATTCCACCGATCTTTATTTAGACACGATCGATAGACATATGCTCGACTTTGATTTTGAGAAAGTGTGCTCTATTTCTCTTTCTCAAATCAATGTCTATGCATGCTTGACGTGCGGAAAGTACTACCAAGGACGTGGAAAGTCTTCCCATGCTTATTTTCACAGCATGGACAAAGATCATCATGTCTTTATTAACTTGCGCACCTTGAAGGTGAGCGTGTCATTGAAACAAGTAGATCATTAACCCTGTTCTGCATAGGTCTATGTGCTTCCCGATGGTTATGAAGTAGAAAATGCTTCTCTTAATGATATCAAAGTACGTCTCAAAAGCCGAGACAGATGACTAACGCGGTTTTTTCTTTTAATACAGTATGTCTTGAATCCTATTTTGACAAAGAAGCAAGTTCATGAATTAGACCAAAACCTTGTCATGTCTTATGATTTGAACAACAAACAATATCTGCCTGGATTTGTAGGTCTCAACAATATCAAGGCAAATGACTATGTCAATGTGGTAATTCAGGCATTGGCACATATGCCTTCTATTCGAGACTATTTTATTGTCGAAGATTTTGAAAAGAAAGGCTCTTCACAATTAGGTACGCATTATTTGGAATTATATAAACTTTTCTCAACATGTACAAGTATGTCGATTTAGTGCTCTCATCAGAAAAATGTGGAATCCAAAAGCATTCAAAGGACAAGTGAGTCCTCACGAACTACTACAAGAGATTTCAAATGCCAGTCAAAAGAGATTTAAATTGACCGAGCAAAGCAATGCCATTGACTTTTTGTCATGGTTCTTGAACACACTTCACAAAGATCTCAATGGTACTCGAAAAAGAAACAGCAGTATTATCTATAAAAAACTACAGGGCGAAGTGAGAGTACAATCCCAAGATTTCAGTTCATCAGGCCAGACTAGCTTAAACGAAGCCCTGATGAGATTTGATGAATCCAAACCTATCAAAACAGTCAACTCGCCCTTTTTGTTTTTGGCACTTGATTTACCACCAGCACCTTTATATCAAGATGATAAAGAGAAAGATATTATTCCTCAAGTCCCTCTCACGACGATCCTTGCCAAATTTAATGGAACCAAAGTACAAGAAGTTGCTAATCAAATGCGAAAATACAGCATTACTCGGTTACCTCAATTTTTGATCTTCCATATAAAGCGATTCAACAAGAATAATTGGTCTCATGAAAAGAATCCTACCATTGTCAATTTCCCTATCAAGAACATTGACATGTCGCATTGTAATGTATACACACCTACTAATTATGACTAACACGATCATAGTTACTAGCGATCCTGATGCGGAGAAGCTAGGTGCTCATTATGACTTAGTGGCCAATATCTGTCACGAAGGTAAACCTGAGTCAGGTTCTTATAAGGTTCATGTTCGCCACCGTGGTACGGGGCAATGGTACCAGATTCAAGACTTGATTGTAGAAGAAATTATGCCTCAAATGATCTTTTTGTCTGAAAGTTATATTCAAGTAGGTTCATCTTGTTTCGCTTTATTTGTATTGACTCTTTTTTTTTCTTGTTAGATTTGGGAGAGAAAGAAGAAGGAGGATCAATAAAAGAATGTTACAATAGTTGTTTAGTAAGGAACTCATCGGTGAATGTTTCTGGATCACGGATATCATAACCCTAATTTTAATATAAGCTTGAATTGCTCAAAGATATTATGAACTTACTCTATTCACACTAATCTTTTCTTGAAGATATGTTTTTGCACTTGCATACTATTGAACAGAAAATGAGATTCTATCATGAGAAAAAGAGGACTTACGAGCATGTTGATCTCAGCTTTAGCAGTAGAAGGAGACCAGTAAATAAACAACAAAGGAAAATTGACTCTACCATCACTATGTTTCAACTATAAAAGCTTAATCAAACCCCAATTCTTCTTGTCTCTTTTCCTACCTCATAACTCAAGATAATAAAGCGAGGTGTGTTCTCTGGTAATTCTAAAAAAAAAAGAACATTATGCTATGATTCATCAAGGATCAACAGTACCTTCAACCAAATCTTCTATAGAAATGTTATCATAAACTTCATCCTCAATGATCTTTAGTGATTTCTTATCAATTTGTACTATGTTTGATGAATTAGAGACATACTATCTCTGAACGCGTTTTACACTTACAAACAAAGGCAGCGTTTCCACTCTCGTACTTTGCAAAACGAAAGTTGTCGAGCTTCTTTACAAGATCTGCATCTATTTCACAAGTTGAAGTCTGTAAAAAAAAAAGCTATCAAAAAAGAGCTTTTATAGACGTTTTACTTACCATGATATTATAAATACAAAAAAAAAAAAAAAAAAAAAAAAAAAAAAAAAAAAAAAAAAAAAAAAAAAAAAGAAAAGGCGGGTTTTTAAAGAAGGATGATTGTATTCTTGTATGACCAAATTAGAGAGAGAGAGAGATATATATATATATATAAAAGGTATTATACTAGAGGATTATATATGTAAAAATTACTATGAGTCACAGAGTTTGGAGACTACAGAGAGAAGAAAACTAGATAACAAAAAAAAAGATATTGTAAATAAGCTCTGAACATCTTTTTGTAAAGAGTATATATGTGCAGTGATTTTGAATATGTTGTTTACATTACTTATGCCTGGTTACAAACGTCTTATTCAAAAGAGCGAGCGTTTTAGTGACATTCAAGCGAACATATTCAAGATCCAATAACTCGACATTGTCTTGTTGCTAAAAAGATTTGGTTAAGCCATGTTAAAGATGGGAGGAATCAAAGATTTACCTTTTCAAGCAAGTCATCTAATTTCAAGTCCATTTCCAATATAGCTTTATCACGTCCCTTAAAATGCATAGCAATGATAAACGTACCAGGTAAAGGCGATGTGATTGAGAAAAAGATATTAGGACGCCTGTAGGTTTTTTTTTCCTGTTAGCGATAAAAAAATCAGATGAAAAGACGTACCTGTTTTCTGGTACGGTGCTTTCAGTAATAACACCATCTTTTTCCAAATGATTATGTGAGAACTTGAAGGGTCCTTTAGGTGGACCTTTTGCTGCTTTTCGGTGTTTTCCTCCACCTTCAATTTCAACACCAATACCAACTGAATTTTTGGATGTCTTTTCACCACCACTTTGAATTCTGACATTTTGAAGATAAGCCTTGTAGCTTTCCAGTTGACTTCTTAAATAGCCATTGTGGTCCAAGATAGTCTTGTAGACACCTTCCAATGATGTTGATTCCTGTAACACTTTTTCTTTTAAGCTACCCAAATGAGCTAGCTCCTGTGTGATTTCTTCCACAAGTAATTTGTAGTGGTCTCGGTGATCAATGACGCCCGCATCTTCTAGTTCACGCAACATATCTTTAACTTTAATACCCTTTCTTACTAGCTGTGCGTCTTTGGTAGTAGCTGCTGTCTCTGCAATGTAATCTAAATCCAAAGGACTAGAAGCAAGATGAGGCAATGAACGGATCAATTGAACATAAATTGCTTTGGTTTCCATATAGAGGATATCGTTCTGTGTGATATTGTTTTCTGACATGAGTGCAGTGGTAAGGTCTTGAATAGGTATTTCCCATCGACTAAACAAAGGCAGATCAACAGTCTTGTTCTCTTTTCTTGATACTTGAGTAGGTGCAGGAGAGAGATCAGACATCAAGATACGCAAATGATCTTTTTCTTTAGGTGCAACTGTATCCAAATGACGCTGAACAAGTAAATGTGTACTGTACATTTCGTTGAGAGTAATGTTGATCAAAATGTCTTTTTTGGATAGTGCCATATATTGATCCATTTCGAGCGTTTCATAAAAATCACTGACTTCACATAGCTCATTCAAGAACTTGTTGATTCTTTGTTTGTTTTTCTCAACAAAAGGGTTTGTGGGTAACATGTAAGTCTCTTTAGCATAAGAAGGTCGATTGGCCAGATTCTGTAGCATTTTTGCAATCAATGTGAGTGTTCTTCTGGGTGCATTACCAGGCACAGTATCCAGCAGCATATAGGCTCTTGGTGTGACAATAGCAGGATTGATAAATCTTAAGAAGAAAAACCCACCAATCATGGAACAAACAGAGTATTCCGAGGCGTCTGGACTCTTTCGTTTTGTTAGAGAACGAATTTGCTTGCAGATCCAGCGAATACCATATGGCACAGAAGAAGTGGATGAGATAATAGTGGTCAAGAAACTTTCTGCAATGTCAACAAGCTTCTCAAGTCGAGGCTCAATAATGCTCTGAACAATAGGGTTACTAGCAGCTACTTCTGGTGTGACACTTTTTGGCAAATCTGGTGGTAAATATCCCTTTTCACTCTCCATTTGTGCCACCATTTGTTCATATACTTTGAGTGGGTTAATTTCCAAGTTCAAGTTTTGATCTTGCACAAGATCTTTAATCTTGTCTGATAAGATGGATTTTAGGTAAGATTGACCGGGACCACGTCTAGTGTAAGTGGTCATCATACGAGACACAGGTGTATTTGCTCTCAAGAGTGACCCAAACTCTGTTGATGTTTCAAACTGAGCAGCAAGCACATTCTAATATAGGATAAATAAGGTTTATGTTTGTGCAGGATATATATATATATATATATATAATACCTGGAACATAGTCAACAACAGGTGTTCTTCTCTACTCTCATATTGATTTCCATAGAGTGTAAACATGACAGTCTGAAGTAGAGAATCGATTTCTGCCAAACTAACAAGTCTGCATAATGTAGCAATATGTCTTGGCTCACTTTGTAAGATGTAAAAAAGATTACCATATAGCTGCATTTTTCTATCATCGGGAAATGAATCACTTTCGCCCATGCCATGTTCCTCAAGATGGGAAGCCATTTCATTTTGCTATGATTCATGATTAATCAAACTAGTAGAGATATCTCTAGACTTACTTCATCAAGAGCGATACGGTTCTGGATTAAGAGAGCAATACGTGAATCCAAATAACGCACATCTCTTTCTAATACAAAATTCTTTTTAGATTGTGCAGAAATCTTTGCCTTCAAGTCTCGTAAACTTCTTTGTGCTGTCATGATAATGAATAAACGATGGTCAATAGGTATGTGTTACCTTGTGCTAGTTCATCTTCTACTTCGTTATCTTGCTCAGCAGCCATTGAATAAAAGGCAGAGACTGAATATCTTTTTGAATTGCGGCCTGATTTCCCGCGACTCGAATGATGGCTATTGGCAGCAGCAGCAGCAACGGCTCTTGATACTATCTGGTTCGTACCTGGGTTACTAGGGTAACCATAAGCTTGTACCATTCCACTTTTACGATCTGTCATCGTTGAGTAAGTGTTGTGTCTCTAGATGACTGTCTGTGTTTGCTATACGAGAAGAACAAAAAAGAAAGAAAACAAAGGAGAAATAAAAAAATTAATATAGTAATTAGAAACAAGCAAAAGCTTACTATGGATTCCCACAATTGGAAAGAACAAAGTTACACAAATTAGTAGACTCTTTAGCAGAATAAAGAGCTTCTTAAACAATGACTTGACTCTTTGTCTGGCTGTTTATTCATGAACTATGCATTCAAGCAATCCATCTTGGAAGAAGAAAATGATAAAATATTCTCATTAAAATACTATACCAAAAAGGAATTCATGAGTTTAGCAACTATTGATCAATATTGATTGTCTACCAAATCCGCATTCAAGTAACTGTCTTTCATTAATGAACAGTGCTATTTGGACCACAAAGAAAGCGTGTTCTTGATTTAATTCAAGTACCGTTTCTACTGTTAAAACATAAAAAGGATGTCCTGGATCTGTAGTGAATCAAGACATATTTTCTAGGGTTTACGCCTTGTGAAGCAGGTTCTGCCTCGATGGTTCCTGACGTCTCAATTTCTGAGGATATACTTTTTGCCTAAAGGGAACAAGTAAAGTGATTGGTTAGTCTTCAATGAAAGCTCCTTGCCCTGAACATTGGCAATAGTTTTATACATCAAGCAAAAGTCAGGAACAAGGCAATACTCTCTAAAAAAAAAAAAAAAAGGAATTTGCCCAAAAAGGATTTTAAACAGTGTTCAAACTGTGCCTTTTGTTTGTTTGTGTGTTCAAGCACATACATATTGGTAATAAAAACGATAATTGAGTACGTTTATTATGGCTCAAATAATAAATGATCTTGTTTCTCTCGCTTTATCCACACTGTTTTCTACAATTGAGTCAATTCGTTTGATCTATGCTGTTTAATTAAAAGAAATCGTTTTAAAAAAAAATACGTTAAAAACCAGCAAGGCTTTTCATTGACTCATTTTTTTTTATTGATCTAGATGATCTATTTGCAAGCCAAATGAAATGATAGAGTACAATGAAAGCAAACTTTAATAAATGCGCATGGATGATCATATATTCGTAAGCACTGGTTACGGTTTACTCTGATGGGAAAAGCAACTACATGTGAATATAGAGATTTACCCCGGAGACTAGGAGATGATGTTGATGTCACTCCGCTGATGGTGTTATTATTTTTGTCAGCATTTATTTTAGATTTCTTTTTTCCTCTTCTTTTTTATCCCATTTATTATGTCTAACCCCTTACGTATCTTTGTTCCTGTTAAGCGTGTTGTTGACTATGGTATGTGCAGTGAAATATCATTTGTTTATCTAATATGGTCTAATTAGCTGTCAAGGTACGTGTCAACGCCACCAAGACTGACGTTGACCGTAACGTCAAGCACAGTATGAACCCCTTTGATGAAATTGCCGTTGAAGAAGCTGTCCGTATTAAGGAAAAGTCTCCCAAGACTGAAGTTGTTGCTATTTCTTGTGGTACTGCCAAGTCCCAAGAAACCCTCAGAACTGCTTTAGCTATGGGTGCTGACCGTGCTGTTCACGTTGAAGTCAAGGACGACAGTACACTTCAGCCTTTGGCTGTTGCCAAGTTATTAAAGGCTATTGCTGATAAGGAAGCAGAGAAGCCTGATCTTTTCATCTTGGGTAAGCAAGCTATTGATGACGATGCCAGTCAAACTGGACAAATGCTCGCCGGTTTGCTCAACTGGCCACAGGCAAGTGTCACCAAATTATTTCCCACGGATCCGTGCTAATATGTGTGTGTGTGTGTGTGTGTGAAAATATAGACTGCTTTCGCTTCTAAAGTTGAGATCAATGGTAAGGACTTGAAGGTTGTTCGTGAAATTGATGGTGGTCTTGAGACTGTTGCTACCAAGTTGCCTGCCATCATCACTACTGATTTGCGGTAAGTTTATGACATTGTGTACCTGGTTTATTGACTTGTGGTTAGTCTTAATGAACCTCGTTATGCTTCTCTTCCCAACATCATGAAGGCCAAGAAGAAGCCTTTGGTTAAGCTTACACCTGAAGATCTCGGTGTTGATATCTCACCTCGTCTTCAAACATTAAAGGTTGAAGAACCTGCTAAGCGTGTTGGTGGTCGTAAAGTCGAGAATGTGGACGAATTGGTTGATAAGTTGCGCAACGAAGCCAAAGTCTTGTAAATTTAGCATATAGATTGTATTCCCCCTCCTTCCTTTTTTCTTCGCTTCAAATAAATTCGTACATTACCCCACATTTATTTTATGCATTTTGTTTATTTTACGCTCAGATGTAGTTAACAAAAGAAAAAAAATTTTTTTTCTTCATCTTTTTCTTTCAACATGGCTCAAGCAGCTTCCCTTGCATCTTTTGATACTGGCTATAGTGCTGATGCTGCAGAGTTTTGTCCTTTTGAGGATCATGCTAACTATTTAGCAGTCGGTACTTATCAACTCACGGACGAGCAGCAAGAAAAGGTGCGCGTTAGAAAAGGAAAGACCTATTTATTTGACGTGACAAAAGGACTTATACCAACGCAAGTAATTGAGACACCTGCTGTACTTGACATGAAGTGGAGTCATGCCCTTATAGACGACAAACAAGTTTTAGGTATTGTTGACTCCATAGGTGGTTGTCATATGTATGGCTTTGATGACCAAGATCAATTGCAACTTATGGATCATTTTCAGGCAACAGACGATACAAGTGTTCTTTGCTTATCCCTAGATTGGGCTAGTCGTGTCAATCGATCAGATAGGCGTATTGTTACTTCTCACTCAAATGGTGATATCAATATTTTAGCACCTGCAGAAACCGGATACCAAATACAAGATCAATGGCACGCACATGACCTGGAAGCATGGATTACTGCTTTTGATTATTGGAACACAAATATTGTGTACTCAGGAGCTGACGATGGCCTCTTTAAAGGCTGGGATACACGTACACAGACAACCACTTTTGTTTATAAACGACACGCAATGGGCGTTACTACCATGCAATCCAACCCTCATCAAGAATTTCAATTGGCTACAGGAAGTTACGATGAAACAATCTATTTCTGGGACACCCGTGCGATGAGACAGCCATTACATACATTCCAGACACCTGGTGGGGGTATATGGCGACTCAAGTGGCATCCAACCCGGTCTAATCGATTATTGTCTGCTTCCATGCATGCAGGTGCATTTGTGGTTGATGTAAACACTGAAAACACACAAGCTCAACTGGCAACAAGCTTCTTGGATCATAATTCCATGGCTTATGGAGCTGATTGGTCTTTTGCTGACCCAGAGTTAGTGGCGTCTTGTTCTTTTTATGATCATGTCTTACATCTCTGGAAATCAACAGCTCAGTAAAGAATTGTACTCCTTAAACCATAAGTTTTTCTTTCTTATTCTACAGAGGGGTTTACAAAAAAAAAAAAAAAAAGGAGAAAAGGGAGGACAAGGACAAGTTCTATAGACATTTGTAAAAATAAAACCCTATCATGCGCAAGAGAGAAATAAGGAGTATATACATAAACAAGAAAATTATTATTAATATACAGTAGATTTAGTAGCTGGGTATTGTGATACTAAAGTTTCATCAGAAAGATTGCATTCTGGACTTATCCACTTCTTTTTTTTCTTGGAGAAAGTATGTGTACACAATAATGTAATTACGTTACATAAGGCAAGTAGCTCAATAGCCAAGCTTGTAAACAAGGTTATATACATGCGCGATAGAGTTGTCTGAACAAACCTCGTCAATGGTCTCTGACAAGCTTGTAAAGCATGAAAAGTGGGACTGGGTAAACAAGCCGAGGAAGGCGCAGGATGATCCATAGCCGAAGCATATCCACAACAATTAAATCTCTTTTGAGCATAGAGTTTATAGTCTTGCGTAGATGTAGTCCAACCCTCATTTAGCCAGTTAGGAACATGTGCTGCTTGATCATACACAATAACAGCAATTGAAATTTGATAAATTAAAGCTACAACAACCAGTGTTAGATACAAGACATGAATCATTTTTCTATCTTTGTAAAAGCCGCCTAGAATACCAATCAATGCAATAAAGATTAAAATCAAGCCTAGTATTGAAAGCACTTGATGCAAGTTAGCCTTTTTTTTTAGTGTTTATGTTCTTTTGGTTTACTTTTGAGGACATTCACAGGATAAAGAATCGAATCCGTCAATTTGAATTGAGTTGCCATTACACCAAAGACAAGTAAGATGCATCCACAAACAAAAAAGAGTAGGTTGGTTAACAAAAGATATATTACACTTTGTCTATGATACGGTTAATTTCCTCAAATGCAATTTAAATGTTGTTTACTTTTGACAACAACTATTCGTCATTTTATATATTGCAAAAAAGAAAAATCAGAAAAAGAGAGAAAGAAAGAGAAAAGAAGCTTTGTTCTCATTTATAACTAGTTTTTTTTTAAGGAGTATGTCAAAACATACATTGAAGAAGGAGAGAGACAGAGGGGGAGAAAGGTATTCTCACGTACACTTTATTGAAAAAAATTTCGTTGTGAAAAATTAAAAGTCTAAAAATTAAGCAGAATATGAGATATTTATATTGCTACTTACATTAGATTGTAAGGAAGAGCAGAGAATTGCTAAAAATGAGATAGTCTTCAAGCCATTACATCCATACTACTACATGCTTAATCGACAATATGACCAACCAGTACTAAGCTGTGATTGATGCAAATAGTGACTACATCAAATGTTAGTTTTTTCTTTTTGTTAAATGAACAGCCTAAGCTTTTATTCTACACGGTATATAGTGTTAATCTATATTATGCTTTGGGAAACTTATTCAAGGATAGAAAGCATGCAGTTTCTATTTCGAAAATATCCAATATTTTTTCTATTCTCGCGTATAAGCCACTTGATTTTTTTTTCTGTGCATGTGTACACAAGTTGAACCACCCACAAAAGAGTGAGGGAATTTTCACTTCTCTTTTTTCTTTCTTTCTTTTCAATTTTTCTTTATGGCTACTTCAACAGACTCAAAAGTCCAGGAACATGCTTCTACAGAAACCGTGAAAGACACTCCTAAAAAGATCCCGGCTCCTATTCCTGACGTCAACGTTTGGCAGCTCAAGAAGCAGCCTGTGTCAGCCATAAATACCAATGGTAAAAGCCTACTTAGATTAATTTGACACTCAATATTTTCTTAGATGCTTCTTGGCCTGAGCCTAAAGAAGCTGTTATTCAACAAGAAGAACCTTCCGTCAAATCAAGTGTTTCCACAGGCCACAAATTAGTTGGTAAAAGCCAATGGAAGCCTTATACCCCCACCATCATTCATTCTACACCCTCTCCTACTGCTGGCGGACGTGGAAATCGTGCTAATAGCACAGCTCGTAATGGAGCACGTCAAGGATCAAATGCCAAAGAAAACATCAATAGAAAACCAACTTTAAAAAACATCCCAAAACCAACAAGATCTCAACAACAAAGATCAATCAAAGAAGAACCTAAAGAAAAGACTGCTGATACAAAACCAACTATTCCAGAAAACACCCCTACCATTGAATCCAACCAACAACATCACCGCCAAAATCACCATAATACTTCTTTCATGAATGGTCGTAACAGTAGTAGTAATGGAATGCGACGTGGCCGTGGATCTTCTCGATTTCAACCTCGTTTTTTCAATCGCCCTAACCCTTCTGCTTATCTTAATGTGGATCCTGAAGTTCTCAAGTCTTATATCTGTCAACAAATCGAGTATTATTTCAGTGTCGACAACCTCTGTAAAGATCTATTTTTACGTAGCCAAATGGATGCAGAAGGCTATGTTCCTTTGTCTTTGATTGCTGGTTTTAACCGTGTTAGAGGTTTGACATCAGATATGTCTCTTGTTCGTGGTTCTTTGAATCTTTCCAAAATTCTTGAAGTGAAGCAACAAGAAGATGAACTCTTTTTGCGTAAAAAAGAAGGTTGGGAGACTTGGGTGCTGCCTGCTGCTGGTACCGCAGCAACTACCAAAACCGATTCAGGTGTGCCTCAAATCATCAAATCAACACCTGCTGGACCTGCTCCTGTTCCTACCTTGGCTTCTTTAGCTGGTCAAGACAAAAAGACTGCTCCCCAACAACAACAACAAGATGAAGATGATCTTTTTGATTTTGAAGATGATGATGAATGGATTGATGGTAGTCGTCAAAATACAGTCAAAAAATACTATCTCTCTGATGAAGATGATGAAGATGAAGACTACGAATTTGATGACGACCAAGTAGCTCGTATCATGATTGTCACTCAACGTAAACGAGATCGTACACATCAATCTTTTGATCGTCATAAGATGAATGATGATATTTCAGAAATGATTAATGAGGGTCTTTATCAGTATGAATCTGGTCTTGGTATTAAACAACCTAATCTCTCAAAAGTGGGTACTATGGATGCTGAACATTTTGCTCAATTGGCTGGCAAACAACAACAACAACAACAGCAACAACAAGCTGCCCCTACACCCAAACTAATTAAAGAACAAAAGAAAAAGACACCTCGCTTCTATCCTGGTGGACCTGAATCACTCCCTAACTCGCTTGCTCGTTCTTTTGCTGCTACTGCCGCTACCAATGCCAATGCTCCTTCTCCTGGCAAGAAGGAGGCTGAACATGTAGGTTGGGTTTTGAGCGATCAAGCTTATCATCCTAATCCCAACGATCTCTTATCCACCAGTCTTGGTAAATCGCCCTTGCCTGACAACAACTTGCTTTCCACTTCTGTTGATAATATGGCCCATTCATTTGGTAGTTTCCAACATCCCAGTCATGATTTATTGAAGGACAAGGGTTTTGTTCAACACAAGTACCACAAGTACCATGCTAAGGCGCTCAAGGAACGCAAGCATTTAGGCGTAGGCCACTCTCAAGAAATGAACACTTTATTCCGTTTCTGGTCTCACTTTTTGCGTGATCATTCTAACAAGCGTATGTACAGCGAATTTAAGCGCTTAGCTGTAGAAGATGCTAATCTGGATTACCGTTATGGTCTTGAATGTCTTTTCCGTCTTTACTCTTATGGCCTTGAGCGCCGCTTCCGCAAGGATATGTTTGAAGATTTTGAGGAATTGACCCTTCAAGATTATGATAATGGTCATTTATATGGTCTAGAAAAATTCTGGGCTTACAACTTTTACCGTAAAGATAAGAAGAAGAGAGAGCTGGTGTTTAGTGAACGTATGACCCAGTTACTTGAAAAGTACAAGACCATCAAGGACTTTAGAAACGCTGAAAGCCCTAAAAAGGTAGAAGGTGCTACATATACTGCACCAAACCATACTTCTGTAAGTAGTAACTATATGTTAAACTGTTTTCATGCTAATCACATCTTAGAAAAACAACACTTCTAAAAAGTCAACAGTTAAATAAGGCACACACCCAAAAAAAATAACTCTTGCTCAATTGACATATATATTGATATAGACATAAAAAAAAAGACTATTTTGAAGATGCATCCGCTGGCAAAGCTGATAATAAAGGTTGCAAGACGCATGTATGTCCACAGCCTGTAGCACACTGGCTTTCTATAGCAAACCATTCTCGCATATGAGTAAGATGACCACCATGATTACAGCCTTGACACCAAACATATAATCCACGCACAGTTTGATGGCTATAAGAAAATAATGAATATGAAATAATATATGTATGTTTCTTACCAAATAGTGCAAGGATTCAGCAGACGATGACATTTATCGCATGCCCAAGCACCATTAGAAGTACCACTCACTAGCTTAAAGCAAGTATTACAAGCAACATTGATTGTAGTAGCATTCTATATACAATTGAGCTTCTCTCTCTTGGTTTACTCGTCTTTTACCTCGTTCCTTTCTCGTACACTTTGGACTTTACATGCTTTAATAATAGCCGTTGCTGTAGTCCATAGTTTAAATCGATGTAAAAGGTCTATGTATGCAGTAAACCAGTCCTCTATACGTTCATTATCAATAGTAAGATGTTTCTCCAACACAAGATATAGAGTAACACACATTTGTATATCTCCCTAAAGCCATCATTCAGTTTGATAGATTCAAACACATTGTTTACCTGATCTGTATAGTACTGTAGTAAATCTAATACCACAGGTTCATGTTTCCAAGGGATCCTTAGATTGAAAGAAGAACAAGACATTTGTACAGAACAAGCACTTGTGCTTAAACTCTCCAAATCTTCTTTCGACGACTGTGATACTTCATCTGAAATTTCACTGAAGCTCTCATTGTCTATATCTTCTTCTTCCTCCACGTCTTCCTCCTCTTCCCCCCTCTCTTCTTCTTCTTTATCAGAAACTTGCTCAATATCATTCACACTTTCATTCTATTCAATCTTAAGACATTGTACATGATTCACCAATTTTACCAATTTTTCTAGCAGCAATGCTTGCCCATCTTCAGGCTCATCATCGCTATAGAACATGCTGATAATCTTCCACGTTTGAGCTGTACGATATCTCCCCATCTTCCATGCGAGCTATCAAGAGAATAAGCCAAATATGTACGCAAACTATGCCCTTACTTCGCCATTCATCTCACATGCTAATGGAATATTATCACCAGAAATAATATAGTTTTCTGCAAAAATAGAGAATGCTTCAAAATCAAACAATGGCATATGTACAATTCCACAACTTTGTGGTGGTATATATTGAATGATCTACGAAAACGATTAAGACAAGTCAGGTTATGTACTACAAACTTCTTCTTCCATATTACTCTTGACGAGTTTCTTCCAGTTTCTTGGTGAATCGGTAGAGGGTTTTGCAACTAAGCTTTCATCTACAAATTGATCTCTGGAGCTTTTATCAATAGTAAAAGCAATATCTCCTTGAACGTTCCAGCCCATTCCATTGCGCTTCAAAAGATCAAGTGGCCGATACGATCCCTTAATCTTTTGTCGAATAAACCATTTATCTTTGGATACAGACAACAGTTCATTTGAATTAAACCATAAAAAGCCTACAATGTCTATAAGTCACACTTCTTGATGAGCCTCTGTTACCTGTGGGTGTTGCATCATGTTCATCAAATGTGAATTTGGCAATATTAGGTCTTCTTATATCCCAAATATGAATACGACTATCTGTCAATAAGGCACAAGAAGCTATTTCATTGTCAAATCCAGGACGCCATTGTATACGAGAGACAGATGCCATTGTACGAATTGTATAAAGGGGTCTTCGATTGTCCGCTGACATGTCCCATACCTATCAGCAAGTGAATATCCCAGTTTTTTGATAGGCTGTTTATTTACTTTGATAGTTTTGTCTCTACCTCCACTTGCTACAAGTCTTCCATTGGGATGCCAATCGACGGTCAAACAAGGACCATTATGGGCACTTACTTTTCGATCATAAAGTGCTTTTACATTACGCATATCCCATTTCTTAACATGTGTCAATAAAAGCTCTCTCATTCTAACTTTACCTGAATTGTGCCCGTCTCAAATGCAGCAGCAAATTCATATATATTGATAGGATTAAACTGAACGTCTCTAACAGATTCTGATTTGCCTTCAAACCTAAACTTGGCTCCATTTTTTGGGTCTCTAAAATCCTTATTACCTCCTATAAGTATCTATAGAATGCAGACAAGTATGCCTACCCAACATTTCATAGTACCATCTTGTGAAGCACTTAAAAGAATATTTCCATTATCTGGTTGAAAGCAAATACGATTGACGGCTCGAGAATGCTCTGTAATAACTCGTTCTAAAGCCACTTGTTAGACATAAGAAATAGTGCATGCAAATCTATCATGCTTTGCCTGCTTTTTTGCCAATCTTGTTTAAATCCCAAATAATAATGGCACCATTGGTGGCGGCTGTGGCTACTTTGTGTTTGGTAGCTAAGAAACCGATAAGTTTATTTGTTTATGCAAAAAAAAAAAAAAAAAAAACATGATTACCATTGTTGCCCCATTTCACATCATTACTACTATAATTGAGATTAAAGTGGCTTCCTGCTCTCAGATTCAATGATTCTGAGATCTCTGTCTTTTGGATATTGTAAACTTTTAAAACTATTGCAAGAAGATGAATAGATCTAATCGGCATCTCACTCATACTTACTTTCTCTTCCAGCAACAACAACTGCATTACCATCTGGCGATATGCTTAGCGCGTTAATAGCACCAGACATCCGCTCACGCATAATGTAACTTTCTTCCATTGCTTATTCAAACAAAATTTTAAAAAAAAAATGAAAGAGGTAACTTTCTGACAGATCGTTTTTGATTTTATTCTTGCTTCAAGCAGAAAAAAAAATTATTTATTTTGCAGTAGCACTCACTTCGTTTAACAGCAATGTTTAAAGAGCTTTTTGCTTTTTAACTTGTTCGAAAATTGATTTTACAATACGTAAGTTTCTCTTATCATGACCGGGTATAACTGCATAGCCGTTCGTAACATATCCAAGGCCAATCTTGTACTTTCTATTATAAATAAACAGAGAGCCATCAGCACCAAATCCACCTTCAAAATGGCTCTCGTTATCTGAGATGTTAAAGTAAGGGCCATTAGGAAAGACAATAAACCCGCCTTTCTGGTTATCAAAGGGAAAGTCAGGGAAAAGTACATCCACTTCGGAAGCAACGTATTGAGTTGCTTCCTTAAATGTCTTCTTTGATATCAAGTCAGGTTCTCCGGGCACTATGGCTTTACCTTCGTTAGCCATCATGGCTGCCAATTTAGCTATCTACGGGCGTATATAAGTGTCACAGGCAATATTAATGTTTTATTTACAGATTCTGCATTCGTATGACCAGAATAAGAGGGACCCTCAATAGCTCGGCGAATTGGATCTCGGTTATTCATGACTCCACGTTGTTGATCAATGTTTGCATGGACGAGGCTTCTTGTAAACAAACTATCTTTGTCAAAGATATTACGAATAAACGTTTTGTCTGCGAATGGATTTAAATAGATCCGAAGAAAAGGAGCAAGTTGATGTAGGATAGGTTGCTCATAAAAGGGCGCAATTCGACTGGTGTCTACACCTTCTGTTACATCAGGTTTCAAATACCATTCTGAGCCATACTTGTCCTTGAGTGTACGAGCAAGGTCATCCAAGGTTTTTCCACCAGTGACTCGGCGCACAATTTCATTTTGATACCATCCTTGAGTGATAGCATGGTAAGCATGGGTAGGCACACCATCAAAGTTGTGAGGCTGACTTGCCAAGATGTTGGCAAAAGTAACAGGATCTGTGACATTGGCAAGGGAGATAGGATAATCTAATGCCCCGACACCTGCTGTATGACGCATCTTAAAGAAGCTTAATCGAATGCATGCGAGAAAAAAGAAAAACTTACTAGATCCATTACGGTTACATTTTCCTTTTTGCCCTGAGCAAACTCGGGCCAATAGGTTGAAATCTTTTCATCATAGGATAAGAGGTTTTGCTCAACTAATTGTGCAATAAGAATAGCACTCTAAACAAGAGAATGAGCGCCTTACATTTCTACAAAAATAGATTTACCAAGGTTTTTGTACATGAAAACACCATTTGCAATGTCTTATTTGTATATTCAATTTTATTTTCGATATCTTGCCAACCGGCCTGAACATTGATCACAGAGACACCATCCACATAGACTGAAAGTCCAGCACCGATATCAAGTCCTTGCTTGAAGTTTTCGAGAAACAGATCGTAGGCTTCCTGGTATGCTTTATCATAAAAGCCATGGACAGGAATATCCGTAGGACATCCATAACGAAATAAAGCACAAGTGGTGCTCAAATAAGGTCCACTATTAGCATATTGATATAATGCATAAGAGAGTAATGGTATAGTCAGAGTGGTAACTTGAAATAAAGATGGCATGATAAAAATAAAATAAATAAATAAAAACTAGTGTTCTTATTCACATTTTGAAAAAAAGTCCGTTTACAAATGTAACTATAGAAACTTTATTTTCGAACAAGATTGACAACCCTCTCTTTTTCCCTGTGTTTACCTTGAACGACGGGACTAACAAATATAAGAGATAAACCAATAATTAACAACAGAAGACTGTAAAGACCATTGTAATTATAGAGAGATAGACACAAACAGAGAGATTATAACCTTAGGCACAGTTCCTTCAAAAGACAATGAAGATATATGTAAAATAAAATTTATAAAAAAGATATCGATTATTAAAGATATTTTTATTCCTTCTAAAGTTCTTTAAGTCTTTTATACTTTCTTTAGAATAAATTTCTACAAAGACAATTGCTTGTCATTAATCTAGAACAAATCAAACTTGCCCAAAAGCAATCACGTTTGAAATGTCAAACAGGAGAACAATTAATACAATCAAATTATAAAATTCAACAGATTCAAACTGAGTAGTTGAACTGTCAAATATAATAAACAAAAAAAATAAAATAAAATACACGATTAAATCACAGCGAAATATCATGAAACAAAATACGGAAGAAGTAGAACAAATAAGGAACATCAGAGACACGTACCCTTTCAATTTGAAGATTTGTTAGCATAATAAAATCACCAGAAAAACTGCGAAAGAGAACGAAGAAGCGACCCAAAACAAACATACACACATGACAGGATGAGCAAAGAGGATCTCGCTGAAACAGTACATTAATCCAAGAACTTTCGATTTTTGAAGTAAACACAGGAATAAACGAACCTTTTTCCTAAATGTACTTTCAATATTAAAGGCAACACAATAGCAATATTGAAAATATTTAGTTTGAAAATAGATATGAAAAGGGCTATTACTTTTTTTTTTGTTTTCCTTACTTGAAAGCAGTATCATCTTCTAAAGAACTTGATTCTGTTTAGATTGATTTTTATAATGTTGTTAAGAACTTGTGTCAACACAACTCCTAGTATGAGTTTGGCAAGCGAGGAAAATAAAGCAGGCATGATTGATTTTGAACCTTTGTTCTATCCAAAAGCATGAGCACTATGTGCCTACTAAGTAACTTTTGATTCCATTTGGTATATTACACACTTAGTATGCTTTTGATTCTCAATTTATTCCTTTTCGAACATCAAACTTATTATACAATCTTGGTTTATAAACTAGCTTTTAACTTATTTTTGGATAAAATTGATAAGTATAATAGCACCAAAAATGTATTGGTAGCCCGCTGTTGATTGAAATAAACCATCATTTCTACCTTGTTTTGAGTTTCTTATGTTTGCGCATACACAAAAGAACATATTTATGCAAAAATATAGCAAGTTCTGAAAAAATGTGAGAATCGTCAATTTGCCCTTATGGTACCCTTTGTGAACGATAGAGACATTGTAAACGTGTCTTGGTACGAATTGCTCCTCTAGGTCTATAAAACACACTGAAAGTGTTACATTTGCAAAAGTACTATAAAAAATGTACGCTACAGCTCAAAAACAGAAAACACGTTTTTGAGGGATAGCTCTCTATCTTCACATCTAACAAGTTACTTTCTATACATCATTAAATGCACTTTTTTGATAGCTCTTCAGTTTTAGACACTTTTAGTCGATTACTTCTCTTGAATTTCTGAATTTCCTAATTTTTTTGTTGATCGAACTTTGAACTCTCAGCATGAAAAATGGAACGCCGACATGCACACACGCACGCACATCATGAGTCGGGCAAGAATTATGTTGAAGGTGTAGACGGGCGAATAGACAAACCTTCCTTTTCATTGAGTATTAAAAATGGTACGTAGCATACTGTTAACATAAGGATAATGGATGGATGATGGATGGATGGATGGGGTGAAATGAGAAAAGATGGGATGGATAGAAAAAAAAATGAGATCACAAATGGGCACATGGAATCTGTCGACTCATTACAATGTTTAGCCTTTCGTCAAGCAACAAAAGAACAAGGCTTACTTCAAGCGTTACCAAGTCAAGTACCGTAGAAGAAGAGGTAAATGTCAAGATCTAATGACGAATGACAACTAATTCATACTTATAGAGGGTAAGACCGACTACTATGCTCGTAAGAGACTCGTCGTTCAAGCCAAGAACAAGTACAACTCTCCCAAGTACAGATTGGTCGTCCGTTTCACCAACAAGGACATTATCTGTCAAATCATCTACGCTAAGCTCCAAGGTGACTTTGTCCTTGCTGCTGCTTACGCTCACGAACTCCCTCGTTACGGTGTCAAGGGTGGTTTGACCAACTGGGCTTCTGCTTACGCCACTGGCCTCCTCCTTGCTCGTCGTACTCTTGCCAAGCTCGGCCTTGCTGACAAGTACGAAGGTTTCGCTGAACCTGACGGTACTGTCCAAATGATTGAAGCCGCTGAAGATGCTCCTCGTCCCTTCAAGGCTTTCCTCGATGTTGGTCTTGCCCGTACCTCTACTGGTGCTCGTGTCTTCGGTGCCATGAAGGGTGCTTCTGATGGTGGTATCTTTGTTCCCCACAGTGGTAACCGTTTCCCTGGTTTCGATATCGAATCCAAGACCAACGATGATGAACTCCTCCGTAACTACATCTACGGTATTCACGTCGCTGAATACATGGAATACCTCGAAGAAGAAGATGAAGAACGTTACAAGAAGCAATTCTCTACTTTCATCAAGGCTGGTATTACTTCTGATAAGGTTGAAGACATGTATGCTGAAGCTCACGAAGCTATCCGTGCTGATCCCTCTCACAAGCCCACTGAAAAGAAGGGTAAGCCTGCCAAGCCTTACCGCAGAGCTGTTGCCCTCAATAAGAAGCAACGTCTCACCAAGATCAAGGAAGCCAAGGCTGCTTTCGAAGCTTCTCAATAAGTTGCTTAATACTCAATGTAATAAACATGCCCTCTTTTTTTTTGTACCTGACTGAATTGTAAATTGTCAAGAATTACGGTCTTAAGTCAACTAGTTTTTATTCGTTTAGCCTTGTTCAGATATTGTCCCACATCTCAATAATTGAGCTTACATAAATGCGTTTTTTTTTTTTTTTTTTTTTTTTTTTTTTTTTTTTTTTTTACTATTTGCATCAATCATTGTGCCTCTCCTTAACTCTAAAAATCAATTATAATTTTTCACTTATGTGAACTAGGAGTCTTTCTTTTAATGGTTTTATCGACGTATCAAAATTGCTATTTCCTCTCGAAATAATGGCAACGATACACATCAATGCTATTTATTGAATATTCTTTTATTATCATGTAATTTCTGTTCTATTTTTGCTAATATTCTAATACTTTTAAAGCCGTCCACGAGTGATCAAATCTGGCTTTGAATTTCTCCTTTTGTCCCTAAGGTTGCTGAAGAATACATAATTTTGGTTAAACAATCCCCATTTAAAAAGAGAGAAAAAAAACTCCATTTATATTTCTCTTCTTTTTCTTTCCCTCTCTTTTTTTTTGTTTCATGTTATCAGAACGTACTCAACCACCAGGTCATTTAGACCTTGGTAATTCACTTCAAATACCTCAGGGTCCACCTTCACCCTCTTATTCTACAGTGTCATTTATGTCGTCAGTCACTTGGATGGCCGAAAAGACAACGACGGAACTTATTCCATTGTTAAAAAATGCATATAGCGCATTGAAAGATAAAGAAAAAGGTGCGTGTTTATTTGTTATTTAATATAACGTGCATATGGAGAGGGAAAATAAGTTTGGCTTCGAGAGAGCGTGAAACTTTCATGTGATTATCAATATCTTATTGTTCAATACGTAGATTTAGTATTAGCTGCCGAAATAGGAAAATCTTTATTAGAACATAACTTGCGCTTAAAGTCTAGTTATGAATCATTACTCCAGTCAACAACACCCCCAATTACGCCTTCTTGTTCTACAATACCATTGGAGGATTCTGGTATTGATTCAAGTGACGATGAAAGCAGTAGTATGCGATTCGTGCCTTCAAGAGGTACACGGGAAGCCATGATTGAAGTTTTGGAGAAAAAGAATACAGAATTAGCATTGAAGCTTGAATCTGCCATGACAGAACAAGATCAATTAAGAACATCCAACTCGAAAAGAACGCGTCAACTCGAGAATGAGATCAGTTTGCTAAAGGGCAATCTGGAAATTGCAACTACTAAAATACAGGAACTTCAAGACATAAATCAACGTCAAAAGAAACTAGAAGCTGCCAATGCATCTATTAGCCAGCAACAACAGGAAAATGATACTTTGGTAGATGAACTCTATACAGAAATCAACAAGATAAAGCAAGAAAAAGAGATAGTGAACCAATCAAAGCTTGAACTGGAAACCAAGTTAGCCAACACATTAAAAGACCTTGCGGAATTGAAAAAGCAATTTGAGAAATTTGAGTTCACACAAAAGGATTTCGACGAATTACAAGATGCTTACAAGCGCCAATTTGATCATATTGATGAACTCAATCATAGCCTCGAAGACCATCGAAACCTCCTTCAAAAACTTAAAGAAAGAGGCATCAATATTCATTCAACACCAGCCCCAAGTATGTTTGGGGGTGAAGTAGATGACCAAAAGTTCCGAAAAAATACACTTTTGGGGGAACTCGAGTCAGAATGGATGAAAACAAACTCACCTCAGCTGCTTCCTTCTTTTATGATCGAGAAATCATTGGCCGCCTTTTATAACATGCCCTCGATTGGAATTGAAAGTATCTTGTCCAAGGCTACTGGTATTGATCCACAGCTCTTAGATGATGCATTAGAGTTTATCAACCAGATTGAAAAAGAACACATTGAAGAAAAACTGTTGTGTGATAAGTTCGATGAATGTGATTTTGGTGTACTGCATGATCCTTATCCATCATCTGGCTTGTATCCTAGTGCAACAAAGCCAGAGCTGATGCAGATGCAACGTTTTGCTGAACCTAAAACCTTTGTGGGACGTCTCCGTGTTCGTATCCAGAAGATATTTAATCTCGTGTGGAAATGGTGTCGATTTATTATGATTCTTACCACTGCCCTTGTTATAAGTGCATGGCAAGGACCAGATTCTTTACTTGTCACATATTAATTTTATTGTAATTCTTCATATATATCCTGTACACAACCTATAACCCCTCTTTTTTTTTGCATTCATATCTTTAATAACATAATCACATCCTTTTTTATTTATTTATAAAGTGATTGTCAATAGTCATAAATGGCTTTTCAGCTGTTATGCGCATTTTTTTGATTAATTTCTTTACTACTTGAAGTCGATTCTTTTTTGGTTTTGTTTGTTGTTCTTTTATATCTAAAATGTTCACTGGTACAATATGACGAAGAGAAGATGAATGCACTTCTTCGTCAATTGAACGTATTAATTCTTGTTCTTTATAATAACGATACATATTGTTTCTCCTGTTATAATCTGTTGACGTTGTTGTGATTGTATTATAGTCGCTGTCATCTTCATCACTCATAATAGATGACTTTTCAAGGCAAGAGTCATACTTGTCATCAGGTACAGGTAATTGTGCCCCACATACATCTAGTGTAGCCCGAGTTTCATCTATAGCGACTTGTTTCTCTGAGGAAATAAAATAATGGCAGGGCACATATGATATATCCTGAATCATTTCTATATACGATTGTTGTATCCAATCTGTAGAAGTAGGTGTCTTTCTTAGCATTTTACTACTCAATTTTGATGAGACAGTAACCGGTGGAAAACGTATTGAGGTATCTTGATATGGCATAGTACGGACAGAAGAAAGAACCTTCAAACAACAGAAAAAAGAAAAGAAAAGTTTAAAACATATGTTGTTGTTTGTAGTTTACCTGATTTAGACATGCAAGTTAGAAAACGCGCGCTCTTTTCTGTTAGGCAGGTTGTACTACAGCTCTTTTGTTTGGAGCAACATACGGACTTGACAAATTACTGGCATCTTTGTATAATAAATAGCAATGAAATAAGGTCAGGTGATAAAATCCTTCTGATAATAAACATGTTTTCTTTTCAAAAATAAGGTCTTTATGCAAACATTGTCGCTTTTTAGATGATATCAATAATAGTTGTCCCAAACAATAAAAAAGATATTATAATTTCATCCCAGTCATTGTGAATATTATTTTCATGAAGTGCTCCAAACGAACGATTATTATTTATTAGCAAGATTTACATTGTAGGGTAAAGAGATCGTTTAGATATCAAATACTTCTGCATGGCAAGCTGAACAACGCGGCACTTCCATGAACTCAAAAAATGCAGGCTTCTCTAAAGGCGGTAGCTTGCCTACAGCAGGAATATGCTTCTTGCCCAAGGCATTCTCATCTTCGTCATCCTCATACTCTTCTTCATCAGCATTTGTCCATTGAAAGCCATGCTCACTTACAGGACTATAACCGTTCGTCATCAATTTGACTTGAGCAGCATCAAGAGCAGCGCGACCCAAAGATAGATCCTCCTCATGGTATCTTCTTAGTTCCTCATTTTGCTTCCACATTCTTTCTAAATGTTCCTCATATTCCCCTCTTAAGCGCTGAACTGTCATTTCGAGCTCTTTCTTTTCTCGCTCGATATTGTGCTTTTCTTTCTCGAGCTTGGATTCTGATTCAAACTGTCTTTGACGCTGAGCGGATATTTCACTTCTTAATGTATTGAATGCTTCAAACTGTCTTTCTAAGCGACTTTTGAGTTCAGCCGTTTCTGGTGTATCAGCAACTTGAGCTTCTAATTCCCGAACTCTTCGGCGCAGTTCTTTAACCTTGAGTTCACTTTCAGAAGAATCAGCTTTTTTATCGGACAGGTCTTCAGCTGCTTCTTGTTTTAGTTTTTCTAATTGTGCTTCTTTTTCACTCAGCCGATGTTGTCGTTCTTCCAGATCAGTTCGAAGGTCATTGAATTCCTTTTCTGTTGAAGTAAGGTAATCAATCCTTTGATTAAGCTCTTCTAATTTTTTATCTCGAGCCTGAAGTTGTCTCTTGAGTTCGCTTATTTGCATTTCGGCTTTACGGTCGTTGGCTGTTCTAGGTTGTAAGTTGTTTTCAGCTGTAGTAAGCTTTTGACGATAATCTTCTATTTCTGCTTCCTTTTCTTTTAATGATACTTCTTTTTCTCTCATTTGAATGACATTTTGGTTTTTAATCAACTTGAGCTGACCACGCAACTTTTTTGCTTCTTTTTCACGGTCAACAAGGTCCTTCTCAAGCTGATCAACCTTTCCATGAAGTTCGTTACTGTTACTTGATTCATTGTTGATTTTTTGCAGTTCATTTGTCTTTTCCTTTAAGAGGTCTTCAAGTTCCTTGATACGAACTGTCATCTGAGTCATTTGGTGTTTATGTGCATCACAGTCTTTCTTTAAAGCATTCAATTCAGACTTCATTTCTGCATTATTCTTTTCTGAATGCTCTCCTGAGGCAATCTGGAGCTTCAACTCTTGTGAACTCGAGCTCAATTGTTTCTCTATTTCTTCAAGTCTTTCCTTTAGCTTGTCTGATTCTTGAAGCTCTTGTTGTAGCTGTTCTATCTGCAATTGGAACTCCTTTTTAGCACTGATTTCTTCCTCTATCTTTTTCTGATGTTCAATAATTTCCGAGTCTTTTTGTTTTATCTGAGACTCGAGTTGGCTCTCTAGGGATTTCATTTCTTCTAACGCTTCTTCTAGATCAGTAGATTTCGAGTTGATGATCTCCAATTCATATTTTTGCTGCTTCATTTGCTCATTCATGAGTTCCAATTGCTGGCGAAGTTCATCAGATTCTGACTGTTCATTCTTGAGTCTTTCTTCAAATTGAGATTTCAACAAATTCAATTCTTCTACATGGCGTTCTTGTTGTTGATTGAATTGATCTAGAGCACCAGCAGTTGTTGCCATCTCTTGTTCTCGCTGTTCTAAATCTGATTTGACTCTTTCTAATTCAGCAACAGATGTGTTGAGTTGGCTTTCAAGATCTTTGTTAGAATGCCCTAGTTGATTCAACTTGATTTTCAATTCATTGCATTGCGATTCTTTTTCGACGATTTGCTCTTTGGCTGTTTTGTAGTTTTTTGTTTCTTGCTTCAATAAAGGAACAAGCTTTTGCAGCTTATCAAGTTCTTTTTGTTTAGTGTCTAATTGATTTTGCAATGCCTTAATTTCTTTACTGAAGTTTTCTTTTTCTGTTACTTGGCTTGAAATCTTTTCTTGCAATGTTGAAATTTCCGTCTTTGATTGATTCACATTATTGCTTTCTACTTCGAGATGTTCTTCAAGTGTTTTGATTTGCTGTTTAAGGTCCAAGATGGTAGCCTTGTGGGTTTCCATCTCTTGTTGTTGCATTACTTCCATGTCATTGAATTTAGTCTGCAGTTCAGTATATCTAGTTCGTCCGTTCTTAACTTCAGTCTGAATTTTCTCGTACTTGTCTGATTGCTCTTTTCGTAGTCTTTCAATTTCTTCAATCTTGTTTTGCAATTCATGGGCTTTAGATTGCTCTGAACTAATTTGAGACTCAAGTTGGCTCAGTTTGTTTTGAAGATCTTTTCGAGTTACGTCGTCTTCTTCTTTCTGCTTTTTTAATTCACCCAATTTCTTTTTCTGTTGTTCTGATTGTAAACGACTAGCATCTAAGCTGGTCTGTAGCTCGTTTGCTTTGGTCTTATGCTCCTCCTTTGCTTGCTCTAATTCGACTAATTCGTCCTGAAACTTTTTGAGCTTGATTGCATCCTTGTCAATGATTTGTTCCAATTTTTTGAGAGTTTCTTGCTTTTCTTGGACTTCTTGTCTCAGAGCAGAAACCATTGACTCGTTTTCTTCTAGGCTTCTCTGAAGTTCTTCATATTTCTGTTGATTTTCGTTTAGAGTGCCTTCTTTCTCCTTGAGTTCATCCTTGACTTGCTTTAATACTTTAGCGTGCTCCTTAGTCTCTGTCTTATTTGATATTTTGACTTTTTGGAGTTCAGACTCGAGCTCTGTAAGTCGAGCATCCTTCGATTCAAGTTCTTTCTTTAAATTATTTCTTTCTTCTTGTGCTTCCTCAAGCTGAACTTGTAATTCATTACATTTGGCCTGCTGAGCTTGTGTTTTTTCTTTAGCAGTAAACATTTTCTTTTGAAGCCTTTTCAATTCGGCAGCATGATTATCTGTAGTGGTTTGGTGTTGATTTTTCAATTCTTCAATCTGCTTTTGATGTTCGTTTGTTTTCGATGCCTCTGTTTCAAGTGAATTGTTTACTGTTGATAATTGGGCTTCAATATCGCTTATGTAAGAGAGCCTGGATTGTAGTTCAGAGCGCTCAGACTCAAGCTGTTGTTTCATATCAGACAATTCTTTTTCAAGCTGGACCTTTGAGTTGTTAAAATCAGACACTTCTTTTTCTTTTGATTCTTTCAATTCTTTTATCGTTTTCTGCAATTCTTCAGTTCTGGCATTCTCTTTTTCAAGGTTCTGTTTAATAGCTACTAATTCTTGTTGAGCTACAGAACTTGAAGACTTGTATTGATCCACTTCAGCTTGTACAGCATTGGAATTCATTTGACACTTTTCCAATTCTGATTTAGTTTTGGACAATTGATCCTTAAGCTGAACAACAAGCGCTTCGTGATCTTTTGTTTTCAATTCTTTCCAGCTTTCCAAAATCTGAATCTTGCTTTCAAATTCATTTGATTTTGTGCGTTCTTGTTCCAGAGAGCTTTTTGTAGACTCTAGCTCATGTTTGTGGACATTCAATTCTTGCTCAAGATGGCCTAGTTCATCAATTTTTGACTGAAGTTGCTTTGATTTATCGTATTGTTCATCAAGCTTTTGGCTCATATTGTCCATATCTTTCTTGAGCTGTAAGTTACTTGACTTATGAGAATCAGCTTCTTGTTGTTTTAATTTCTCGAGGTCTTCAATCTTTGATTCAAGTTTTTTTACCTTGGATTGCTCTACTGAGAGTTGATCTTTGGTAGTTGATAGCTTCTGGTTTGTTTGGGAAGCAGCTGATTGTTGCTCTTCTACTTTGACTTGTAATTCAGTTAGTTTGGAGCGTTCAGCGTCAAGATCAGCCTTTGTAGACTCTAGTTTTGACTTGGTTGTATTCCATTCTTTCATACTTTCTTGGCTTGTATGAGTCATGTCCTTTAACTTGTCTTCCAACTCTTTGATTTTCTTTTGCTCTGATTCCAATTGTTGATTAGCAGATGATAGCAGCTGTTCCAAGTTAGATGAAGAGCCTTTGTGCTGCTCCAGTTCTTCTTGTTGAGACTTGTATAGCGAATTAAGCTTTTGATCCAACTCTATGACTTTTGCACGCTCAATATCCAATTCATTCTGACTTGCTCTCTCCAATTCCTTAATTTTATCCAACACACCTTGATAATCATTGTTTTTGCTGCTCAAGTTAGATTCAGCTTCTGACAGGGAATTCCTCAAGTCCTCAGTCAAAGCTTGTTGTTGAGCAAGTTCTTGAGAGTGTGTATCAATTTTAGATTGTAACTCATTTAATAGTTGAGTTGAGCTTTCTTTTGCTTCTTTGATTTTGGTTTGGTATTCTTCAGACTTGCTTTGTTCTTGTTTTAATAATCTGCTTGTGGCAGCAAGCTTTTCTTCCATCATAGCCTTCTGTTCTTTCAATGACTGTTCCATTTTATTTTGTAATTCTTGAATTTTTAATTGTATTTCAGCTGTTTTGGTTTGTTCAGACTCTAATGATGCTTGAGCCTCTTTAGCTTTATCAGTCAATTGGGTTTTTTCTTGCTCGATTTCCTTTAGGGTTTGTTCCAAGGTCTGGTGTTTGTTTTTCTCGGCTTCTAAATCCTTTTTGACTTGATTTAATTCATTTTGAACAGCAGAGGAATCCTTTGATTGTTTTTGGACTTGTTGAATTTCTTGTTCCAAGTTAGACAAGTTACTTTGCAGGCGATTTATTTCATTTTGATGCTCTTTTGATTGTTGAGAAGATACTTCTGTCTATGATATACAGTATAAGCCTTGTGCTTATCGTTTTGTACATACATACCATTGTCTGCTTATCCAATTCAAGTTTTTTAATTTGTTTTTTTAATTCTTGTATTTGCGCGTCGAGAACTGAATCTGTTTCCTGGGACGAATTTGTTTGATCAACTGACAAAGAGTCTTGCTCTTTTGATGCAGTAGTCAATTCATTGTTGGTGAGGGGTTCTTCTGTTTCTTGTATAGGTGGGCTTAGCGCGTCAGTCGAAGTTACTTCAGCTTTCTTGCCTTGAAACTTTTTCAACTACAAGAAAATGATAAGTCCAAAATATACAAAAAAAAACTGCTATATTTACTCTCTTTTTTGCGGCTGTAAGCTTTGCTTTTCTAGCTTCTTCTTCAGCAGACATTATGATCTTTAGATGAGAAAGAAGAAAATAAAATAAAATTCAGAAATGCAGCCTATTTTATTGTTACAACAATGATGCTGTATTCAAACAACGAAGAAACCCAGCAAGAGTAATAAATATCAAAAGATTATGCTAACAGTTGGCCATATTTATATCTAAGGAAACGACGTAAGAGAGTTTCAATGGTAGGTGTATTGGAAGTAGATAGAGCGTATTCTATCAAATGTTGTATTCATGAAAGATCTTGGTGTATTGAAAGTGATATTGATATAGAAACAGCGATGTATCCAAAACTATTGATTTCAGATAGTCAATTACTTTTTCATCATTTTCGATATATCCATCAGGAAGGCTGTAATTTCTATGATTATTCGTATCTGCCAGACAAGCAGCGTTTATTTATTTGAAGGTAAAAACTGTTTTTGTCGCAATTGAATAGCTTCAAAACAATGTTGTAGTTGATTTTTTTGATTTAAAAGAATTTTATCATATACTTTATTGTTACTTACATTAGGTTACAAGAAAGAGTAGAGAATAGAAAGGAGACAAAAGAGAGAAATAAACTAGTAACATATAACAACCAATATATGTAGAATATTGACACAGATATGAGGAGGTAGTTGCATACCGCTATCTTGGCAACTGCACAATTGCTTCAAATCATTACATTCATACTATTACATGCTTAATCGACCATATGACCGACCAATACTAAGCTGTGATTGATGCCAAAGGCGGTCATACTTATTATTGATTTCTGTTTATTTTTATTTTCATTATAACTATAGAATAAAGTAGGAAAGAGTCGGTATACTTTGAAGCCCATATTTGCATGTATGAGCCAATTGTCAATACTAAAGGATCAAATTATTTAGAATAAACACTTACCAGTGTACATCTTGATAGAAAGAATATGCGTAAACGTATGAAAATAGAGCAATGATTATTCTCTCTAAATGAAAATGATGTACTCAGATAGACGTGGTTGCAATCATTAGCTATTCAATATCTTTCAAAGAAAGGGGACATAGTTTTTATTCAGAGAAAGAGAGAGAGAGAGCATTCTTGTTTGAACTCAAAACATTTCATTAGTTTATTTATTACAATCCGCTTTTAATTCGATCTTGTTTCTTCTTTTGATACATGGATACTATGGAAATATCCTTGACAAGAGGGTCATCCTCTGGTAAACTAGCCTCTAATTGGTGATGTAGTTCATTGATATAGTCAATAGCTGCTTGTAGAACGCTCAGTTTATGAATAGGTTGCTGTACAGATGTAGGGAATTGAGCTGTGCATGAAGGAATTAAGGTTTTTAACTTTTCAATCTTGTCATTCATTCTTTCTCTCCTCCTTTTCTCAACAGCACTGTGTGAGGATTTCCTACTGTTTTCTTTGGTTTGATTTATGGCCATTTTATTAGTAGGCTGAGGCGGTGAAGGAGGAAACGGTTGCCAAGGTACTTGGTGGTGGTATTCCATAGGTGTGGGTGTAACATAATAATGAACAACAGGTGCTGGAAGTTGAATAGGTGGTAATCCTTCAAAAGAGCCAGTTCTTTGTTTGTTTGTTTGAGTATCTTTATTAGCCATAATGAAAGAAAAAAAAAAGAGAAAAAAATGATAAAGATAACAACTTAAAGGGAAGTGAGATTTGCATAGTGAGCATGATCGCACATGGTCTCTTTATTGGATAGTTTTTTGACAAAGTGTGCATGTGATATAGGCTGCCAATCTTATCCTTAAGCGTGGGTTAAACTCTTTAACATGATTTGCAAGAAAAAATTACTTTATTTAATCTATCATGTACATTAATGGTCTTTAGCATAAAGATCAAACTTCTTCAGTAAACCATCAATCTTGTCTGAAGTGTAGCCATTGTTAATAATGTCTCTGGCTTCTTGAACCTTGCCAAAGACGTTGAACAAAACGAGACCAACAATCTTTTGATCACGTACATAAAATACAAGACCCTTACCGAACTTTTCATCTTGGAAGGGGTTTGGCTTGGCCTTGACAGCATCAGTGACGGGATTAGCTATCTTGGATGTGTCTTCACCAGGAGCAGCACGAGGGCTATCGGCTTCAGAAGCAGCGGCAGCAGCGGGAGTATCATTAGCTGTAGCCTTGGCCCAAACACTCACAGTGGATAATTGAGCATCAATTAAACCAACAGCTTCATAACCAATCTCAGGCCCTAAATCAGACCAGAACATGGATTGATGGTTGTATGCACGAATATCACCCACCATGTTTTCACCGGCATGGCGACCACTCAAGACTGCATGGTCATGGTGTTCAATACGACGACGGCCCAATTGAACATCATGGAAAGAAACCATGTCACCAGCGGCATAGACATCTGTACGGGCTTCAAGTTCAGCATTGACAACAACACCAGCGCGCTTCTCGTCAATTTCTAAACCAGCTTCACGAGCCAAATCAACGCGAGGCTCAATACCAATGGCCACAATGACATGATCAACAGTCAATGATTCCCCATTGCCTAAGTCGACAACAGTCTTGCCTGATTCCTTGTCAACGGATACGGATTGAACAGTGCTCTTTTCCTTTACATCAACACCCACTATGGATTAAGAATTAATTCAGTTGTTCATGTATGCTGGCAAACTTACATTTACGAACACGACTTGTGGTCCATTTGGTCAAATAACCAGGGAAGACATTGGCCATATTACCATCTAAATATAGTTTGTAAATATCAATATACACATCTTAATGTTCTGTTACCCTCAGGGAAGATTTGGGTGACCTTGAGGTTTTCTTTACCAGCTAAGAACCAAAATATAATTAGATATCGTTCAAAAAAGTTTAATTCAACAACTTACAGCGATGAGCAAGAGCAACAGCAAGTTCAGAACCAAGGAAACCACCACCAACAACAGCAATATGAGCACCATCCTTTGCAATCTTATCCAACTTTTGGAAGTCACTCACGGTTCTGAAAGTAGTAATGTGCTCGCTTTCAGGTTGGTTAGGTAACTTTTTGGGTTCACCACCAGTGGCTAACAAAACCTTGTTGTAATAAATAACACTGCCATCGTTTAAGGTGATATTATGGTCCTCAACGTTCAACTTAGTGACTGACTTATTGAGTAATAATTTGATCTTTGTGGTTTCTTTATCAGATCCTGAAGCATCTTCGATAACTTCATAATCGGCAGCATTTTGGTAGACGGCACTACATACGAGGTTAAATACACGTAGTTGAGTTTATATTACTTACTTTCTCTCAGTACCTGACCACTGCAAAGTTTTAAAAAGAATCAACATGATATTTAACTTATGCATGACTTACATCCTTAAAGTTCAAGGTTTGTGCAACATTGGGATCCTCAGAGAACCAAAGTTCTTTTGACAAGGGAGGTCTAATCAAATAAAGTCAGATATCATTGTCTTGTATTTTGTCTTACAAACCTCATGTAGGGTGCGTATGCTTCATCACCAATGATGATAACCTACCAAACAATGAGCTTCAAACAATAAATTAGAGCTTTGAACTCACATTTGCTTCAGGGTCCTTTTCCTTGATAGCTTGAGCAGCAGCAAAAGAAGCAGTACCAGCACCTACAAGCACATAGGGCTTTTGAACTCTCTTGGCAGGAAAGATAGGTTCCTTTTCTTCCTTTTCTTCACCAACAATAGCCTTAGCAACGGGCGTAGGAAGATGTTCTTCGATAACTTCCTTGACCTTCTTTTTAGGAGGAGGAGGGGAAGACAGCTTGAACAAAATAGGGCCGAAAACTAAAAGGGAGCCAATAACCCAAGGTGTGCTGCTACCTTCTTGGTGAGCAGAAGGAGTGGTAGAGTAAGAGCGTTGAGCAAACTTAGTATTGAAGAGCTGAGACTTGAAGAGTCCTCTCTTTTGAACGAAGCGTGTTGAACGTCCTGTGGCTTTCAAAAAGTTCATGGTGTGTAAAACAAAATGAAGGGGGAAGAAAGAGCGAGAACAGAAAGCTGCTTTTAAAATGTATATATCTCAGTCATCGCAACAAAAAACCTGATATGATTGGGTATTTAGGTCTATCAAGAAGAAGGCGAAATTTTTGTATTTAGTGGTACTTTGATGAATACAGAGCCTTTTGTTAGAGCCCAACCAAGCAAATCAGAAGAATATGATGGCAATTGGACTTTGTAAAAGAAAAGCCTAGTTTTAAATTAAGAAGAGCAGTAGTTATCCATTTTAGGAAGCCATACGGACCGAGTCTATTTTCCGACCCGAATGGCTCCTAAATCACTTGCAACGCGCTTTCTATGAGTTTCCTATGCATTAGCATATACAAACAAACATTTCTATGTAAAATGCGACAAGTTGTACTGATGTTGAACCTCCATGTTTTTACACGCCGGATAAGGTTTAGCCGAAGGATCGTCCTCAGTGGCTTATAACTTAGGTCCTTTTCAAGTCGAGGAGATGCTATCCAAGGTAATAACAACACTAGTTTATATCCATAAATGGATAGGGTTCTGGGAAGACCATAGGAAGAAGGGCCAAACTTATTTTTGCAATGTTCAGTGTGATAGAAATTGATTTCAGATTAAGGAACTTCAAAATTTCATGTTTTATAGGAGGAAGGAGAGAGCTTTAAAGATTCCAAAGCAATTGAAAAGTTACAGGTAAATTCGTAGAAGTTAGGAAGTTATCATGAAAGTAATGGACTTATCTTCAGAATATTTAATAGTTTACAACTCCGGCATCATTTATGCCAACATTGCAAGTATGCCATTTGCGTACTCAAAAAAATATTTTTTGAAAAATAATAAAAACCACTGTTTTAAAATAAATCAAAAAACTTTCTGCAATGATAAAAATATAAAAAATAGAAAAATCCTTATTTTTTTTTGCTTAAAATTAAAAAAAAAAGCTTGCTTTTCAATTTTTCAATTTTAAATTAAAAAACGAATCTACCAGGCAGTAATATCCTTTTTAAACTAAACAACAAAATCATCATCTGGTAGATTCGTTTTTTAATTTAAAATTGAAAAATTGAAAAGCAAGCTTTTTTTTTTAATTTTAAGCAAAAAAAAATAAGGATTTTTCTATTTTTTATATTTTTATCATTGCAGAAAGTTTTTTGATTTATTTTAAAACAGTGGTTTTTATTATTTTTCAAAAAATATTTTTTTGAGTACGCAAATGGCATACTTGCAATGTCGGCATAAATGATGCCGGAGTTGTAAACTATTTTTATGAATTCATTACATTCATTAGAGTTCTGATATTTACGAGGTTTGCCGAAACGAAATCGAAGCGAAATCAATGTGCTGAGTATAGTCTCACACTAGGCTATAGATGGGACTCCAATAAATGTACCTGAGAAAGACATCATCGACCATGCTCTCTCTGGTTCAGTCACTTACGACATGACACCTTTTCTTCTGAATTCTTTTTAGAAGCAGAGGCATCTAGCCTGAAGTGCTTTGTAAATTGGTTCTAATCAGGTTCGCTCAGTATTGTATACATACAGCTCCTGTATAACTCAGTCAATGATATTAAGGATACAACAACATCACAGAATAAGCCTAATTTGGGTGTGGCGGATTTATACCGCAGACAACACTGTAGATATTTGTCCCCTGTGTATACATACCAACAGTAAACAATCTTAGTTGTTGTCACTGTTCATTCTAGTACACTCTGCTTTATACCACACTCAAAGAATGTCTATCAGGACATTCCAGTCATGAATAACTCACACAATATATAAAGAGTATAAGCTATAATAAATCAGTCTTTTTAAGCCTTGTTTGGTTCTGATTAAATTTTATTCTCTCAATCGTTGCTCATATATAACACTCAACTATGACCATGCTAATCTCTATTGGTGTCAAATCACTCGTTTCCCTAACTTCCTAGAACCAATCTCGAGCGTATCCGTCTAATTTACTGACGAATTGTTTGACTATCTGGAAATAATCCTAAGTCGTGTTCTTGTGCCGCATGCCTCTTTCACTCGCATGTAACCCAGTGCTTTAATATACATACTAGGTTGAAATAGCTCACAGCGTGTGTCGAATAGAGCTCTACATATTTCTTCCTGTCAAGGATGGTCTTTACAAAGCATGATATCATGTGAACTCTGCTATTTTCAATAATCAGTCAGCTCTCTCTCTTCTTTTTTTTGGCTACAGGTACACGCCAACAAACATCATTAGATCAACATTTTTTTCTCTATGCATTTCTTATCCTTGTTCCCTTGAGAAAAAATTATTCTACTTATAGACCATGTTTAATAACATATATGGTACTTTTAGAGTCTATTTGGACAAAAAAAAGGAGACATCCAAAACTTGGTCAAAAAAGGCTTTTGACCAAAGGGTATTGCTTGTAGAAATCTTGAATTTGACAACTTTTTGAGCTTCTTTTTGACGTTACAAGACGGAAAATAGAGCTATTGACAAGCTTAAATATTCAAAGTGAATGTCAAAAGCTGTAGTGTCTAGTGTATATGTTTGCTTGTCAGGTGTACTGTAGAAATAATGAGATATGGGTGAGAAGCCTTACAAACATTTTTGCCTATTTCCTCAAAACTTTAGCAGCAAACTTGGTGTATTTCCTGTGTCAATACACTCAAAAAGTAAAGATCTACAATGTTTGTCACTGCATCAAAGTCATCTGTGGAGAGTAATTTTGAGAAATTATTGTTTTTTCTTTTTCATAAAGTAATTACAATTACATCCTCTTCTTCAAAAATTGCATATTCATATAAAAGCGGTTGCTTTTTGGGGTGGATGGAGTATTCTCTAGCCACCCTTTCTCCATCTAGTACTCTGCGAACTTTGGTTTAAACATGTCTGATATGGGATGGTCCCTAAGGAAAAAAAGAAGGGTGGTGCATAAGAAAACTGGAAATAAACCATCCAGCTAATGCGAGTTCTGTCAAAATTTTTGATCATGGTTTTGAAGCTGTTGAAAAGGAAGATCGAAAGTCAAAAGAACTTCTCAACAATGAAATTAAGGTTCTTCAGAATGAGATCCATCGTTTGGAAGATGAGCTCAAGTTAAATGCTAAGAAAACAAAACAGTAGATTGTTTTTGATTAAGGAATCAAAAAAGCAATGCAAGAAGAACAATACAGCAGATAAAAGACAAGTCATTTATAAAAACACTGAAGAAATTAAGACATATAGATATCAGGCGTTCGTAGCTATCCACAAGCAGGCGACAGTCTTAAAAGAAGAACCGCTCTTGTAAGATATTAAAAGAACTGCTTTAAAGTCATCAAGTACGACAGCAATGCCTTGTGTGCTTTCCAGCCTCAAGTATGTTGACAAAAGTGACTCTGACATTAATCATGAAGAAATTGAGTTCAAAGATCTGGATGCAATGGAAAAAGTTTTCTTTTTTTCTGGTACTGACAATAGAAACTACCATCTCTCTGTAACGACGCCTTTTGATTTGGATTGGTCGTCATTGCCAAAGAAGTTAAAAACTTGTTTGTTTGTTGGAGACCGAGGCTTTGGTGTTGGCTCGAGAATAAAAGGCCATAGAGGATACGGAGGAGAGTAGGAGCAGAAGTTATTTTCAAATACAAGTCTTGTGTGTGTGTCACAAACAAGTATAATACGTCGTAAACTTTTATATTTTGCTTTCAAAAATTAGCCCATCCAGCCAATAGAACTATTACAGCGCAAAAGCAGTAAAAGGTCTGTTCTGTTGCTTGAATAAGAATTACATCTCCGTAAAGTACAAGAAGTCAATTATGTTTCGTGATTGGTTGTCAGCTTTGGCTATTGGTATTGTTGATCTTTCAACAATATTGTTTGGTAGAACGTTCTCAGCATTTGCTCATAAAATCTGTCAATCTCATATTGATGACAATCTCAAACAGCTCATTATGCTTTTCCCTAAACGAAAAGAGTATCTAACTGATGGTAATTTCACTGCTATCAATTTGAATGGTAAGTCGTAATAATACCCTAAAATCAAGCATCTCTAACTGACTCATAGTTGGTAATATTCTCCAAATGACTTAGACTATTTTTTGAGCTTTGGTTGATATTCCGCTTTCGCAAAAGGTCTCCCAAAGCTTGTTGAGTTAGACGGCAAAGGTAGAATTGTAAGCCAAGCTTACAAAATACTTTTTCAGGTAGTTGGAATCATTTAGCAAAGCAAAAAGTATGCACTGGTTTCATATTTTCAATCCAAAGAAAGCATTAGATTTTGGAAAAAGTAGCTACTATTAGTATTTCAATAAGCCTTAAGATACGTCAATTCTTCTTTCAAGATGCTTGAGAGGAGTTCATAATAGATTTAGCATGATCAGTAAATAAAGTCAGCTTTATTTGACAAATCAAAAGACATGTCTTCCAATGTATTTCTCTGCTTGTTGCAATACTTTTGTGTATCACCTGTATTTTCACCATAGCAAGACGTAAAACTGAAAGATTTCTATTGGAACAAGGCAAGCAGGTGCGATTTTCTCATATATATAACCAATAACTAGTTAACAAGGAGTTTTTGTCAGTAGAAAAGTATATAGACAAGAGCAATTAATATCAGACTTTTATGAAACTGAAAAAAGAAAATTAGTCAAGTTTTCAACGCTATCAGGAACATGATTGTATTTGATATTGACTTTATTGAAAATGGCCGTTAAAAAGGTAGCAAATCTGACTATCTTTGATGTCATTTGGATTGATCAAAAACAGCTCAAAGAGTGTTGAACACTTGTCATTAGTGTATACACATAGGCAAATTTGAAGATTCACTTGGTACCATGAGCCACGAGATCATGCTTAATGTAATTGTAAATTTTAGACAAATGCATATTTGCTTTTTTAATTCTTTAAAGAATTATGTTGATGGTATACGAAAGTAAACATGTCAATTAGATTTATGGTAAAAAGAGAATCTTAATATGTCCGTCATGTAAAAAAAAAAATCCAGTCACAATCTTAATCGTTTTTGCACTATAAGCACCCTGCTATAAGAAATAGGGCCTAATTCATTTGGGTTTAGTAATAACTCGACCTTTTTGTTCTTTTTTCTTTCTTTCTTTACGTATAAGAAGCTCTCTACGAAACATATATTCTTTTCTTTTCTTTTCTTTTCTTTACTTTCTTAACTAACTATTGTAAATTTTTGTAAATTTGTAAATATTATATACTATTGAAGCAAAGGAAGGAAATACATATATATAAAGGGAGAAAAAGAAAAAAAAAGACGGAGAGTACATATATACAAACGATACGGAAAAAATGATGCCAAGTCTAGTGAACGATACGAGCAAACCAAGTAGCTTAAAGCAGCCTCAAGCAAGTAACGCTCCCCAAGGACAACAGGTATAGTGTCTTTTTTTTAAAAAAAAAAGAAAAATAATTAAGTATGGGTTTAGCTGGCTGCTTTATTACAACCAGAATATGATTATGGCCTTTTTAGCCATGCAGGCGCGTCTTCCTTGTTTCCTGATGACGAAGTTGACCGCTCCAACAGTGCTCCTCCTCTCCAAGGCTTGCAAAGACCACGTGATTTGAGCTTGAATAACCCTACCTCTAGTGCCGCCGCTGGTAACACGACATATGACCCACTTCAAGCTTGGAAGCTGTGGAAGAATGGTAGCACAGACAATTTCCAAACAACTCAAGCAGCAGAAAGTAGTGATGCTAAAGGAAAATACGTTGGGATTATTCAACAAGTAAGTGTTGTCTCGTATCGAACATTAAGACTTATTATTTACTCGTAGGATTTTCCTCGAACACCTTCCCCCATGTTTGGTTTTCAACAAGGATTACGTGATGAAAGTGTCGACTTCGATCCTCGCATGTATGGCTATAACAGTACTAACAATGCCCAGTTATTACAGCAGCCCAGTGGTTCACGTATGAGCGCCCTTCGCTCTGCTCAATTCTCGCCTACGCGTCCCAATTCGACTCCACCCACGAACGATAGTCGATCTCCTTATGGTGCCACTACTAGTTTGGAAGAAGACATGTTGATAAAGCCTTTTAGTAGCCTTGGCCTTTCTGATGAGGATGATTATATTCGCTATAACAATGCGCTTCGTTATCAGCAACAACAACAGCAACAGCAGCAACAGCAATCTCCTTATCCTTATTATGAGAACAATACGTCGTTGGTAAATTCTGCTCTTGATTTAGCAGGCAATGAAGAATACGAATCCATTTATGGTAAATGGTCTAGCGAAGACGCTGCTGCTGCCTACCACATGCGCTCTAAACAAGGCCCTTTGACTGCACCCATTCCTTATGATCCTACTGGATTTCCTATGGCTGACACAAACACAGATAAGAAATTGCGTCAATTACAATTGCAGCAGCAACAGATCTTGATCAGACAGCAGCAACAGCAACTCTTGGCTGCTCGTCAACAGTTATTGCTTCAGCAACAGCGCGCGTTCAATAATTTGAGCGCTAGCAATGTCAGTAATAACAATGTTGGTTCGCGTGGGTCTCGCTCTCAAGAACAAGTCTCCCGATCATCTTCTTCGCAAGACCTTGCTCTTAGTATACGGTCTGTCCTGTTGGAAGAATTCCGTAATTCCAAGAACAAAAAGTATGAACTCAAAGATATTGCCGGTCATATTGTCGAATTCAGTGGTGATCAGCATGGATCTCGTTTTATTCAACAAAAACTCGAGACAGCCAATAGTGAAGAGAAGCAAATGGTTTTTGAAGAAGTCTTGCCTAATGCCTTGCAACTCATGACAGATGTTTTTGGTAACTATGTCTTGCAAAAGTTTTTTGAACATGGTAATCAAATGCAAAAATCTATTTTGGCCAAGCAAATGGAAGGTCATGTTCTTTCACTCTCGCTTCAGATGTATGGTTGTCGTGTGGTTCAAAAGGCTTTGGAGCATGTTTTGACAGAACAGCAAGCTATTTTAGTAGGCGAGTTGGATGGCTGTGTACTTAAATGCATCAAGGATCAAAATGGCAATCATGTCATCCAAAAGGCCATTGAGCGTGTCCCTGCTCAACATATTCAGTTTATTATTGACGCTTTCCATGGTCAAGTTTATAATTTGGCAACACATCCCTATGGTTGTCGTGTGATTCAGCGTATGTTTGAGCACTGTACTGAATCGCAAACGGGTCCTCTTTTGGAAGAATTGCATCGCTGTACAAATCAACTTGTTCAGGATCAGTATGGTAATTATGTGATTCAGCATATCTTGGAGAAAGGAAGACCTGAAGACAAGGCAAAGATTGTTGATAAGATTTTGGGGCAAATTCTGCCTTTGAGTAAGCACAAATTTGCTAGTAATGTTGTGGAGAAATGCGTAGATTATGGAAGTAAACGTGACAGACAATTGTTGATTGAAGAAGTTATTCAAAATAGGTCTGATGGGTAAGGAAATGTGAGTATAAAAAAAGATTTACTTACATCTCTATAGAACATATCCTCTCATTACCATGATGAAGGATCAATATGCCAACTATGTTGTTCAGAAAATGTTGGATGTCGTAGATGATGATCAACGCGAAATCCTTGTCGCCAAAATTAGACCTCACTTACAATCACTCAAGAAGTATACCTATGGAAAACACCTTATCCAAAGTAAGTAGCATGACATTAGTATACATCAAACTCATTTTGTTATAGAAGTAGAAAAGTTAGGTATTACCTATGACTCTAACCAAGCATTAGAAGATGGTGAAAAGCAAGAAAACAGTAGTGACTACACTGCTTAAGAAATGTACCTCTTACCCACAGGAGTGGGTGTATATATTGTATAAAACTCCTGTACCATATATTATTAAAATTTTCCCCTTTTGCTTCTTCATTGATAAATTCAAAAGCACTTTTTATTTAATCTATCAAAACTTAAGGCCTGCCCCAAGTACGAATTCGACCTCTTCTGTCTGTTGTTACAATTGTATCTTGTCTAAAAGTAACAGACAAGCAAGGGTCAGCATGAATTGCTCTAATGGTTGTTGGCTGTAAGATAGCTGCTTGATTCTTTTTTAAAGGAGGATGCAAGACAGGCAAATGTTGCTGCTTCCATTGTTCTTCTACTGTATCTTCCACAGGAGCAGCCGTAAAATCTGTGTTGGAACTACTATTGCTAAACAAATTATGAGACCGAGAAGACCGTTTTCTGAATCGACTAAATGAGGAGCCTACAGTACTACTGCTGTTGCTGCTTGTACTACTGCTACTCAGAATAGTCGATGTGTCAGGTGAAGAAAAGCCTCGAAAGAGTCTGTGTGTCTTTAATGACTTTTTCCGCTCCACTAAAAGCGGTGCTAAAGGTGCTGGTGTGGGTGGTATGGGCTGAGGTGCTGGTGGTGGTGGCGGTGGCGGTGAAGATGATGATTGCAAAATAGGTGATTTTTTAGATGTAGGTGAAGTGGGTGAAGAAGCAACCACGCGAGGCTAACAGAATACATCAATATTGTGCATTTAATATCCATACAACTTACATGTTTTGGTTTTTGAAGTGCACTATAAGAGAAGTCCCAAAATATCAAGTTGCAGTCCTCACCTACACTTGCAAATCGATAAGTTTGCTCATCACATTTCCAACGGTCAAAAGCAACACCTGTCACCCATGATTTATGGCCTTGGCATCGAGCAACCATCTTCTTTTCTAAAAAGGACCATAATGTAACAAGGTCATCTTCCCCACCCGTCTTGTTTACATCAGTCAATCAAACTACAACAAGTAAAACACTTACCAATATATAGCGACCATCTGGACTCCAGTCTACACAGTTGAGTTTACCATAATAACTTGAATAGACATCAAGCAATCTAATTACATTTTCAGTAAGTCGTATTCTATCTCTGTTTTTACCTTTCATTTCTAAAGTCAATCACCCTTAATTGGCCATCAACACCAGTAACAGCTAAATGAACTCCATCTGGACTGAATGCAAAATCTATAGGATACATCATTGAGTGTCTATTTCCTAAACACTAGAGTAATTACCTGTCAATCCTTTTGTGCTTATTTTCCAGCAGGATACAGGGTTATATTTCGAGCTCTTGTGGGGTCTCAATGCAGTAAATCTATTAGGCTATATCAATAACCCACATGAAGACACACGCACACACTTACTGAGATTCTACCCATGTTGTTGGCTCAGGTATACTAAATGACTGATCGTCCCTTTCTTTGTCCATGATCATAACACACCCATTCTTAAATGTGGCTACAAACAAATCATCTGAGCCAGGTATCCATCTAATCATACTGACAGCTGCATTGACCAAACAGCCAGCCTTGTTTAGCCGCACATATTTGCTGTTGAATGGATCATACCAAACAATGTCGCCTGTTGAGAATCCAATAATGATGTCCAAATGGTCATCGCACCGTGTTGTTTCATTGATGTCATGGCAGAGCGGATATGATTTAGAGAACACAATACGAGATAAGGGGTCCTGAACTGAGATAAGTAAAAATAGATCTAATCTTGTGCTTACTTTGGATTTAGTCTTGGCGTCTACCCAAATAAAACTAGAGCCAATATTAAAGAACAAGAACTCATCGTCTATAGCTCTTGAAGCAAGGTATTTTTGTAAGTTTTCATGAACCACAAATCTTAGAACAAAAGTAGAATTGGTTTTGGATAAATGATTTTTCGGTCTACTATTTGTGCTGCTCATGGTACGTGCTATAGAAGACGATAGTTGAGGTGTTGATTTGCCTACGCCTGCTCCTATTGAATTCGAACTGTATAGGTTGTTTCCTCTACCAAACAATGAAGAAAGGGAACCTACACTACCTCCATTAGCAATAGCAACAGGATTTGTCAAAGAAGAAGAAAGTGAATCATAATTCACTAATTCCTGTTGTGGTTGTTGCTGTTGTGTAGGTGTAGACGGCATAAAAGAAGGTGAATTGGGTAAATAAGGACTTCCGGGACCATTGTTGGCTGTCATGATCTTTTGAGGTGAAGTTAAGATATGAAGATTGCCTATACTACTACTGCTACTAGAGGTGGTTCTTAGGGTTCTTCTTGCGTTAGGAATAGGTAATGCTGCAGACTTGACAACAGGCGTCATGGATAGACTGCCTACTGAAGAGAAAGTAAGGCCTTCATCTTCTGAAGAATCCAAGGGTACATGGTCTTCCTTCACAACACCTACGACATAAGCACGAGTTCCTGTAGCGAATTGAGGTGCAATCGTATCAAAAAATGTCTCGTGTAACAGAGAGTAAGTGCCATCAGGTGTATGTAATTCAGTGCAATTAAAGTCTTTGTTGGTAGGTGGAAAGTGGGCTATAACTCGAGTTGTATTGGGTGTCGTTGAAGAAGTAGTTTTTGGAGGTTGTAAACTGTTTGCAGCAAGTGTCTAGTTTTATTTAGTAAAAACCATAGTATCAGGTATCACTTACTGATTGAAAATAAGCGTCCATTGCCTAGTTCATAAGTTGGACTTGAAAAGAAAGAAAAAGAGAGAGAAAGAGGAAAAGAAGAGGGAAAAATTTTCAACCTTATTGCAACAAAACAACTTCACACGCTCTACTTTTTCTTTGACTTTCGACCGGACTTTTTTTTTTTTAGGGTTGAGAAAGAATTATTGTGTCATTACGCGCACAGTCAATTAGGTTTATAGGTGATATCATTCCTTGTTGGACACACGTTTGGACTTGCCTTTTTATTTTGGGGGCATAGCTCTGTTGAGAGTGTGATTATGCTGCCCGAGAAAAAAGACGCTTTTCTTTATGTTCATTTGTGTAACAGATCTGTTTATGGCAACTCAACCGAGGTGACAGTCATTATAAAAAAAATGGATATAATTCCTTTCCCCTTTTTCTTTTTTCCCTTTTCTTCTCCCTTTTTTTGTTTTCTGTAATGTGTGTTAGTATACGAAACAAGCGCGGAGAAGCCATAATTGGTATTCTTGATAAAAAAAATGATCATAGAATGGTCTTGATGGTTCACGGTGATCAAGGCAAATATTGACACCAAATGTCTTGTTATTGACATAAACGTAGGGCATAAAAATAGCTTATATCAAGCACAACTTGCAGAAAAGCTACCTTTGACTAGTTTTCGATTTGATCTTGCTGGTCGAGGAGACAGTGAGGGAAAACCTGATTATGGTCAAATTGCTGTAAATAAAAACAATACGCTCAATTTTTTTTGTTTACTCATGTTCAATAGAAAGATACAGAAGATATTCATACTGTTGCTCAATATTTTGAAAAACAAGGATTTGAGATCTATGCTATTATTGGTTATGCAAGAGGTTGGAACAATGAACACGCGAGTATGTACTAATGTTGATTAGGTTCATTGAGTGGATTGAAATATGCAACCACCTGTGACAAGCCATTATCACATTATTTTAATATTGCTGCACCCTATCACAATAACGATATTAAACTAGGACTGGTTGGACAAGTAAGTAAGTCTTGACTGTTCAGGTTGTTCATAAACCTGTGTAGGAATGGAAAGTATATCAAAAGGATCAACTGGTCTCTCTTAATGTAGCTCAAGACGAGATTGATCAATTCAATGCTTGGGATAACTCTCATGGTAAAATTGGAAAGCTCGCAAGATAACATCTTATTGATAAATTAGTGATTCGTATGCCAAAGACAACCTGTGTTCACACAATTCATGGTATCAATGATCAGGCAAGTGATTGACGTAGAAAAAACTGAAATGAATAACGATTCCTAAAGATTGTACCTGCTTATCATGCTGCCATGTACGCCAATACCATCTCCAGCCATTCACTCACCTTGATTCCCGATGCAGACCATCAATTTACACATCAGATTGACACCCTTATTCAGACAATTATGGACCATTTCCAGAAACATGACACAAATGCATACGAAAAAGCATTGATGATGGGGCAACATGTCAGTGTCTGTATTCCTCGTTGGATCGATATTCCCGGTGTTAAGAATTTTAGAGATATTGGTGGTTGGCCACTAAAAGATGGTAGTGGTTATATCAGAGAAAGAATTGTATTTAGATGCGGGCAGTAAGTAATATTAGGAATCAAGAGTAATACTGACCTATAATAGTCTTGTGGGTATTACTCAACACGGCATAGATATCTTGCGTCGATTGAATGTGATTGCTGCTTTTGACTTCCGTTCTGATCCAGAAATTGAGAGACAAGGTGTGATGCCGTACGTATTTACTGTTTTTAAACAATGCTTAACTCTTTATTAGTGAGATTGAGGGATTGATTCGTTACCCATCTGCTATGTTCACAAAAGCAGACTATTCTCCTGAGGCATTGGCCTCTCGTTGGCAAGGTTATTTTGAAGGCGCTAAAGGATTTTCTAAAGTTTATGCTGTCATTTTGGAAAAAGGTGCACCTCAATACCGTAAAATATTTATTCATTTGATTGAAAATCATTCTATCACATCGACAAAATCCATCATTGTTCATTGTACAGCAGGTAAAGACCGTACCGGCATTTTTGGCATGTTGTTGTTAGGTTTATGTGGTGTGGATGATGAGATTATTGCGAATGAATATGCATTGAGCAACCTTGGCTATTGGGGTAAGTAAACCTACTTTATGTTCATTATGTGTGCTCATTTGAACAATAGAACCTGAACATGAGTTGCAAAAGAAGGCTGAAATGCTCAAAGTATCAATAGACAATGTTCGTATGGTCATGTCTGCTCCGTAGGTTCTCTTATGTACTTATTTATGACAGTATGTATTAACTCAGAACAGATATCTTGCAATGAAAGAAACCATTCGCCTTGTTAAACAAAAATATGGTTCCATTGAGAGTTACGTCTTGAATGAATGTGAATTGACACAGAAACAAGTACAGCAAGTTAGAGATTTAATGATTGTGCCTATTCGATTTGAAGAGCGTCAATTGTTTAGACCAAAGATTTAAAATATCACATTCGGGATATTAAGCAAAAGGATTGCTTTGCTTTGCTTCGTTTACAAAAACTTCCGCAAAAATAAATACAAGTAATCCTCCTTTTCTTTCTTTTTACTTCTTTTTGTTTACTGATGGCAATGCGCTTTATTGAAAATACTTGTCTTTATCAGAAACAGAAAAAGAAATTAATGCATCTTGCTCTACAACTGCCCGAGATTGTCAGCCATATCTTGTCATATTTGACAGTTGGAAACCAGCAAGATGAACAAAATAGAGTCAAAATCTATCAGCACATTTATCCTTGTCTCTTTGTTAATGCACTTTGGCATGATTGTACCATTCGATTAATGTGGCGACATATCACTTTCGAAGACAGCAAATCAGAATATGAAGCATTTTTGAATTTTGCTCAAGCCATATCTAATTATCCCCAAGCCATTCAAACCATGGATATAAACTCACCTGCTGTCTTGGCTATTGCTGTTCCCAAAGCATCTTCAGGCTTATTCTTTAGCCAAGACAAAAGACTCACTTTTTTAAAGCAACAAAAAAGAGACACGGAGCCGTCCAAACTCATCGCATTTGATACCAATGGAGACACAGTTCGAACAACACGATCCGCCGCCATGCAACAATCTAATATGCAGTCTTCTTTATGGACACACCAACAATACCAAAACGCTGTGCGTTCTATTTCCTTGAAAAAAATCAAAGATAAAACCATCAATGAGCCTCTTCAACACATCGGTCATTATACAAAACGACTTGAAAAACTTGATATTTACATTTGTGATCATCTTTCAGATAGCTCAATTTATACCTTTATTATTCACAACCATCAGTCGTTGACTTATCTGTCCTTAGCAGGCTGTAATCGTATTACGGATGAAGCTGTCTTAAGTGTAGCCAAACATTGTCCTCGACTGGAGCATTTAGATTTACGTGCCTGTGGTTTAATCTCAGATGTATCCATTCAGGAAATAGCCAACCAATGTCCTCGACTGCATCATTTAAATGTAGGCCGAGTACGCGACAGAGAAAAGATTACGAGCAGGTCTATCAAACTGATTGCACTCAAGACCCAAGTGGCTGTGTTGGGCCTAGCAGGCTGTGATATGACAGATGAATGTTTGGTGTTGTTGGCTAAATGTCGAGGAGCAGGTCTTGAACGAATTTCGGTTAATAATTGCTACAGAATTACCAATAAGTCAGTGCAAGCTTATGTCAAGCATTGTCCTAATTTGTCCGTGTTTGAAATGAAAGAGTGTCACTGGATTGATGATTGGGGATCTGTCGCTGAGTTAGTGCAGCGTAAAGTGTTGTTGACCTTGTGTGATCAACAAAACAGAGCTTGTGCTGAATGGGCTCGACAGAGAGGGAGAATTATGGAAGTCAAAGCTCCTGTTAAATAAAGATGTCTATAAAAATAGAGTCATTAAACCAATGTTTTCATTGTCATACGATGATAAATAAAAAGACAATGGGCCATCGCCATAAAAGTAATGTTTTTCTCTTGCTTTTCTTGGTAAGTGATCTGGTTGCTTAAATATGCTACTAAACGCATATAAATTTGCAAAATCTTGTATCAATTGCTGTATGAATATGTGCATTTTCCATCCCCAATGACTCCTAAATTATTCGCAATACACTTTTTACGAGTTTGCTATGTATTAGCACACATAAACAAACATTTCTATGCAAAAAAAATAGGTCAAGTGGCAAACTGTCCAAAATATTGTCAAAAGCATTTACTACCCCCTGAAGATTTTCTTCCACCTTTGGTTTGGTCACTCTTGGTGGTGCTCCGGATTTTGCTATAATCCCTTGTGGAAGGCTGTATCTTTTAGGTATCAACAATTGTGTCAAGTTCCAAGTGCCAAGTAATTGAAGACATTTTGAAATGGTGTCTTTTACTTGTGGTATTGGTATTGCTATCTGTAGCATTGAACAAGACAAGATATAAAGAGTGCTGAATCTCAGGAGCAACGAGTGAAACACTTAATATATCCTTTTTGGAACATATTAATGGATAGCCCAGATGACGGCTATTTTATTGGGATTATATAAGACTCATATAATCGTATTGAATGCTTCCACAAAAGCATTGTTTTAAAGATATCTCATATGGCTAGTCACTTTGCTTCACATACGCTAGATTCTTGGTCACTGTAAATTTCAGCTGTTACGGGGTCTGTGAGATCTCCAATCGATTTCTGCTGTTCCTGTTGTTTCACCAATGCCTTCAAGTAACCAGGTGATTCCTCATCCTTTTCCCTCCATGTCTTTCCAGCGCGAAGCATGGCTAAGTCGGCCTGTTCTTGTAAGCTTGAAATTCGCTGTTCAGTCACAGGTAGTCTCCAAGCCTGAACCTGAAAATGCTTCTGTTTACGTAACATCATATTACGTTTACTTTGTAAACGAGTAAGTTGTTTTTTCCGCCAATTAATAATTTCCAATTGAAAGGATTTGATGAATGCCTTGACCTTCTGCTTGATCCAGTCCCAGTTCTCTTGAAGAGTGTAAATGGACTGTCGTTCAGAAAGTTGTGGTTGTAGCTGCTCTAAAAATTTAGCTAGCTGTTGTCTAAATTCTTTTCTTCTAGCAAGAAAGGGGTCCGCTTTCCATGCACCTGGCCCTTTCGTAGATTCTGCCGCAAAGTTAAATGATGTAACAGATAGCATGGCGTGATCAGTCCATTCGGGTGACAAATAAAGTTGCTCTGTTCGATTGATTGAGAATCTAAGTCGATTGCAACAAAAGATATAATCGATGATTAAGCGTAAATCTCCTCTTTTAAATGTAGTCTGTTTCTCGTCTTTAAAGCAATCATGATATTGCAAGTCCAGCAAAGAAGACCATGTTGGAGGAGGGCCACGTACTATATCATCCATTGTTCTTACATCACAGCGATAGTTGAAATCCTCTAAAATCACAGTGCTATACAATTCGCTATGTAGGTATTGGTGCAGAGTTGAGTCATTTAATACAGAGTGGAAAAATTGTTCTTTGATTCGTGTACTACCGGTAGCTGGCGCATATATATTAAGAATCGAAAGGAGAGGAAGGGGGTGGTATATTTCCTCTGCCATGGTGTCAGTTGAGCAAACTTCTGCCAAAACATATCTTCCCGAAGGATCAATGCATATTGATCGCACTATATATTTGGGATTGAGAGATACTATACCGCAATATTGAGTTCATATACTAGAGTTTGTTTGAAATTGAGTATTGAGTTGTTGAATGATTGAATTGTTTCCTGCATGTGTTTCTTGGAATGCAAATATGTCATATTTCAATTATCTTAAGTAACGTATAATTTTTTGTTGTTGTAAAGGAGAGTGTGCTTTGCGTAGGCTGCGCCAGTTGAGTGTCGCAACAGTTATTCGACAAGTATTAGATATCATAATTGAAATAGTAAAGGAGTTAATGTTGTCCTCCACCCTTATTCCCAGTTATTGTTGAAGAAGAAGGAGGGAAAGAGGCAGCTGATTGCTGAAGATTCTTTCTGGTGTCGTTGTGTTCATTGCTTACCAAGTTGTGAGGACGTCCGCTACTAACATCGACATGCGAATTCTGTCAACTGATTTTTTGTTGCTGGATATCCTCGATATCTCTCGTACGATAGTCCATTACCTCGCTTTGTTTTTTTTTCCCTTGGAGTATCAAGCTCCTCCACTTCATTCATAACAGTATCTTTTACTTTAGCCGGTTCAGTGCTAGGCTCCTCATCCGTTTCAATCATGAGTTCGGGCTCTTTTTCCGTCACAGTTTCCTTAGCCTGATCTTCCAGTGAAGGTGTAGTCTGCTTAACCTCTTGGACTACTGTAGGTCTAGGTACTTTTCTCTCCTTGTTCACAATCCGTTTCTTGCTAAGAGCAGTGACCGTATCAATCGCATTGTTTCGTGGACATTGACGCATGCGATGTCCTCTTTCGTTACAGTTGTAACACTTTAAAAACTTTGTGCTGTGGGCAATCTGCTCTACAGTGATCAGAGGCTTGACATATGTGACAAAAATCAGGCATATCCTCCCATTGGAGTAAAACACGTCTTTCCTCTCCATCATCTTCTGTCGGAAGGATTATTCGTTGCAAAGGCTCAAATTGAGTATCCTTATCTCCTGAAGGAGATAGGTTAAGAGTGGCATAGCCCTGCCCAGTAAAACATCCTTTAACTGTAGTAACTCCTAAATCCAAGATTTGACCAAAGCGTGATAGTTGGCTCTCCATATCGGCCTTCAATAAGCGGAAAGGCAAATAAGGGTGTCTTTCCAACTTGAGTCTGACGATACGAGCATCAGCAGGATGACTTGGAAATCCTTTAACGAATGTCCCCTCTGCCAAATAAATCCCTTCATTTACAATAACATTTCTTTCAGGACAATCTTTGAACCAGAGAGTTTCAACGTATTTGCGGTTAAGGTATTTTCTAATGGTAGGTACTCGACCGAGATAGTCTTCGTAACCTGCATTTTCTTCCGTGTGCTTATTGAAATTCTGTAATGCATCAAACAAGGTTTGTTGATCCTTCAAATCTGTAACGTCGATTAAAATACTTTTTCTATCGATTCCTTTCAAAAAAGATTGTACGAGCTGAATAGGTGAAGGAGTGTTGGATTCAGAAGTCAAATGCACATCCGTAGTAACTCTACTTGCTGCAGGGACATTTGGAGTAATTATAGTAGGCCGAAAGGACTGAATCTTATGGACACTACTCTATACTACTTTAGCCCAGGAGGAGTAACCGGTTTGCTTAGATGAGTTCCTGTCAGAGCTTATTGCTGTGGTTGGAAACGTATGGTTCTGATTTTTACGCGAAAGATCAATGTGGAGACGAAAGAAAAGCATACATGTTCAAAGTCCGATATACTCAACTTCTGTAAGGTCAATACTTTTCTATACATCAAAAAGCTATACCAGAGTAACTAAAGGAGTCCTTTTGTTCAGAAGAGCACTTTTGATAGTATTTAGGAGTGAAATTTGTTAAATTCACGAAAATTTTCCTTTACTGACCTCATTTGAGTAGAAGAAAACCACTAAGAAAAGATGTAGAGGATTCTGATCTACGGATTTTCAAGAAACAGCACAAGCTTGATTTAATCTATCGAGATCTTACTTTAAAACACATTATCCAAACCCAACGTAACAAAAAAAAAAGTCAATTGAGTAGCCTGAACCAACTAATTGCACAATATCAAGATTTATTTCAAAGCGAATAGATGGCGTCATTTACACATCTCACTGAATCATCCATCTTGCATATTTTTCATGTTCTTCTTGATACTAGCTATTTGTCCTAACACAGCGCGCTTTAAGAACATTGTACTCATCTGACAGATGTCTTCGACCAGCGAAATCAATTCGAATTCAATTATGGATTGACTGTATTTACTCGTCAATAGTAACAATATCTGCATAGAGCCTTTATCTTTTGGGTTGGATCGTACAAGTGCCTGTATAGATTCCACAAGATGATGTAAGGGCGTTTTTGTGAATGTAATCAAAGGTTGAGTACTGAGGATGGCATGGATAATTTGGAAAATACTGTCGTTCCATGGTCTTAAATACTTTTGAACTGTGCTGGGCAGAATGTCCTGGTTATCTGTAAAATAGGCTTCACCATCAAACAGAATGACTCTAAATATAAGGGTTTATTCATGCCTTTTGAGATGTTACTTACTGCAAAAATGAATAACGTTGTGATGCATTCAAAGATTCACTGACTATTTTCACAATTACTTCATTTTGAGGTTTCGCTAGTTTGGATTGAAATAAAAGAGGTATGAGTAGTCCATCCATATTCGCTTTCCCTTCTTTCTTTGCCAAAAGAACTATGCTGTTCATTAATAATCTCGGTGCGCTTGAGTCCAATGCTGCTATCTATACACATAATTTAGTCATTTATTTGGACCAAATGAGTTACTTTTTTATAAAAGATAGCATAGATCAGCAGTGCCCAATGTGTATTAGGTAGACTCTCTATTTCTGACAGAGTATTAAAGAAATCTAATATGACATCGTCTGACCAAGAAGCAAACTCAACAGAAGAAATCATTTTTTTGAGTTGAGACAATGATAGACGAGCTAAATCTTGAAGGTCTGATTTGTCTTGTAACTGAGAGCTGGCCGTAGAAAACAAGTGTATCGATTCAAGTAAAGGGCTTAGGTCTTCAATATCGTCACTGTCTACTTCCATGGGCTCTGTCTCTTGCATAATCTCTGTCTTTGACATGATGGGTCTTATGCCTCTATGTACTTTGTGAGAATCAGTCAAGGAAAACACAGCTAGATCAAGAAGAATGTCAATAAAATAGAAAAAAAGGATATAATAATAGGCTCTAGTGCATGTCCTGCTTCTCTTGACTCGAGCCAAATGGGCTCAACTACAATCATGATTGAGATCTTGTCATTACTCTAGTATTGTTTACCTGATGCTCGATGACCGTTAGGATCAAAAGCAGACTGAAGACTATGCGAGAATTGAAAATCATTTGTTTTCTGAAGTACACGCTCAACTTGTTCTGTTTTATTTGTATGAATATCTGAGGCAAACATGAAAAAGAGAGAAGGTTTATTTACAAGATGCCTGCTTCCCAGTATTTTTCGAATTTTTGACGGACTTCTATAATGCCTTTCTGCATTTTATAGTCTTGAAACCACTCTGGATGATCTATAATACGCTTGCGAAGCCAGTCAATATAATGGCGTGTCTTTTCATACGTAATTTTTAACTCCTTCTCGGGCTTCACAAAGCGTATGATGCCCTGATGATTTTCAATAAGTGCTTTGGTGACTTCGCGGTATTCTCTATAGATCAGGTATTGTTCATTCTTCAACTTAAACATGAAATCTGCGCCTTTTCTCTTGCATCTAACAACAGCGCCTTCTACTTCTCTACCATCAAATAGACCTGTTTGCTGCATTTCTTCTCCAAATTCTCTAACTTGGCCAACTGTGTCAAATAACTTGAAATCAGTCTTGTGAAATCCAAAATCTTGTGCTAATTGTTGTACTGTAGAACTAGGCAATGTATACAATTGAATTGTATTGTAATTGACACCATGAAGATATAAACCTCGATCTTTTTCTGTATAGGGCAAGATGTGTTCTTCAAACTCATCATCACATAGTTCTGCTACTAGTGTTACGTTTTTATCATACAGCCATTCTGCTAGGTCCTTTTCGCTCTTTTCTACTGAGGCCAAGTGTTTTAATACCCAATTGTAGCCTACACCTGCATGTGCCTTGGGATCATCTTTGACAGCGGGAATCGAATGTTTTGAAGTAATCACCACTTTTTCTTCAGACAATGCAGCAATGAAAATAATGCATCCGTTCTCTTTTGCTGTTACTTCATAAGGACCTTCTGTATCCGATTCAATGAATGGCCACTATATTTCATGTTAGTATTAAATGATCTATATGGTTTTAAGTGTTTACCTGTGTGATTTTCGTTTCTAGTATATTAAAGAATTTATCATAGCCACGGGCCATGACTTTAAATCCACCGTCGGTGTGTTTAGTAAAGAATCCTCGGGCCATCGTAGGGAACGTATCCATCTTTTTCTTGTAAACTTGTTCCCTTACATTCCAACTTGTCCAGATCTGTCCATTTTCTAAAGTATAGTCTTTGAATCGTAACTCTCTGGGTGTTTCTTTTTGGAATTCGTATAAGCGTTCCACTGCATCTTGGACATGTGCTTGCTCAAAGTTGATATAAGGGATGTTGACGGTAGACATTTGGTAATTAGAAAAAGAAAAATAATTTTCATGTTGCATTTTTATTTGGCAAGGAACGACTCTGAGCCAACTGCGGTAGCTGCAAGATGAACCAAAACTCGAAATGTAAAGCCAGCCAGTCACAAGAGAGAATAACTCAACTTGATCCCAACCAAGAAATGTATAATAGAAACATGAACAGACGCTATAATAGAGAGCTTAACAGTTTAAAAAAAGGGAGGAAGGGAGAGAGAACGCAGATATTAGATGCATACCTTATTTTCTTCATTGCTTCTCCACAGGTGAATTATTCTGCTTCCATATTCGATCCTCACAAGCTTCTCTTTAAAACAATTTATTTTCTAATCAGCACAACAGAACGAAGGATGTCAATAAGAATGAAATTTATGTTCGATGGTAACTCTTACAAGTTTTATCGAATCAATGATACACCTCAAAGAATGAGTGTGATGACACAGTCGCACCTGAATCTAGGAATATGTTCAGTCGAGTTCATATTGTATCAATGACCAGGATTGTTATGAATGTAAGCTTTATCTGTTTATCTAAAAAAGCTGCCTTAAGTTTATTCATACGCAATCTGAATTGACATATTTACCTTATACAGCTAGCTTTTAGTCTTTTTTACTGGTAACTAAAGCTCAATTTGACCTTTAAATCCTTCAACTATCCTAAAAAGACGATTTGACTCGAGTAACTTCAAATGGGCCGTAAAGTGTTGTACAAACCAAATGCGAATACCAGGCGTAAAATATGACCAAAATGATGCAACAACTATACGTTCACAATGAATAAGATCTAATTACTGCTTACTCAAACATATTTAGCAATTTGCGATTGAATGTGCCACAGAAAATACACTCAAGTTGATGTAGTGATACACGAACTTTCTTGCTACTGTTTTTATTGATTTTCTTGAAAATCGCACAATCGCTAGAGAATATGGTGACGATGGCGAAATCCTTATCGTGTTTATTACCTTATTTGATAGACTCAAGAAGGTAGAAATATAAAAAGGACTAAAGAAATAACGTTTTTTTTTTTTTGAACACATACTTCTTTATTTTTTTTACTGTAAATACTACTATGGTATTGCCAGAACATAAATCAGATGAAAAGTCGGCGATTGACATACCTGATGAAAAAGTAATTGGTCCCAATGAGCTTTTCTATGATAAAAAGCAATCTTTGGCATCTTCCTTTACTAGTGACTCCACAGAAGACATTGGAAACCAAGTAGATGGATATTTTGCAGATCTTGAATGGTCAGAAGAAGAAGAAAAGAGAGTCTTGTGGATTATTGATACACGCTTAATGCCCTTCTTCTTGCTTATGACATTTGTCCTCAACATGGATCGAACAAATATTTGTATATAATTAAGCTATATTCATGATCATTTTACTGACTTTCCATTAGCAAATGCCATTTCTGATAACTTACCTGCTGATTTAGGCTTCAATATGACAGGTGTCAATACAGGTACTTTGGTTCATTCTATTGTCTTTACAGTCATTACACTCGTGACTCAACCTGTTGTTAAGCGTGTTGGTGCTCATATTTGGATTCCTATTCTCATGTTCTCATGGGCCATTGTCACTTGGGCTCATGCTCTAGTTCATGTAGGTACCTCTATTTCAGAACAGCAGATACTCATATTTATCTCTAGGACTTCAATGGATTTATTGCAGTACGTTTCTTTATTGCTTTTACTGAAGCTGGTTTTATTCCTGCTTGTCTATACTATCTTCAAGCTTGGTACAAGACAAATGAGCTAGCTACTCGCCTCTCTTGGTTTTGGGCCTTACAATCATTTGCTTCTGCCTTTTCTGGTCTGATTTCGTTTGGCATTTTTAGACTAGCTGGTGTCGGTGGTCTCTATGGCTGGAAATGGCTTTTTATCATTGATGGTATTCTCACACATGTGGTTGGATTTATTTCCATGTAAGAAACATGAACCACTTTCTCTTCTAACTCAATCATAGCTTTTACATTCCTTCAAGTCCCTTTTATACGAGCGGCCAATTACGAGGCAAAGGTGGCTGGTTCACTGAACGCCAAAGTCAAATCGCTGTTACTAGAATTGTTCGTGATGACCTTACCAAAGCAGATCAAAAATCAAGAATTTCATGGCATGATATCAAGATCAGCCTGTTAGATACCAGATTATGGACTCATTTAGTGATTTGCTTTGCTAGGTAAAAAAGATCACCCCAACATCTTGACCAAACTAATTATGTCAATAGTATGATGCCTACAACACCAGTAGGTACTTATTTGCCTACGTTGATCAAGGGCTATGGTTTTTCTGTCACGACAAGTAACTTGTTGACTGTCCCTTCGTTTATCATTGGTCTGATTGCTTCAGTTATTATTGCTCATGATGCAGACAAGCGTGGCTGGTATGGCTTTCATGCATTGATCGGCCCGTTCTGGTCTATTGCTGGTTTCATTGCTTTGGAGTTTCTTAAAGATGATGCTGGTCCATGGAACTTTTATGCAGCTGCCTTGTTTCTTGCTTCCTCTCCTTCATGGCACGGTATGCATATTGCCTGGATGTCTTCTAATTTAGCTCCCTTGGGTAAACGTACACTTGCCTTAGGTGTTATTGTTGGTTCTGCTAATATTGCGGGTGTGCCTGCTTCACAAATCTATCGCAAGTAGCTATCCTTATTTTCCAATATGCAGACATTAATCTTTGTGTTTAGAACAAGACGATTCTCCTCGATTTTTTAGAGGTAATTGGATCAATTTCGGTATCTGTGTCTCTACTGTGCTATTGGTACTTTTCCAACACACAAGATATGTGCTTACAAACAATTACAGAGAAAAGAAATGGAATTCAATGAGTGATAGTGAAAAGAAAGAGTATCTCAAGAACACAAAAGATGAAGGATCTAATCGTTTGGATTTCCGTTTCAGACTTTAAAATTATACACTGATCCGAACTCAGCAACAAAGATACCATGATTCAAGGACCCTTTAATATGCCAAGATAATACTTAAACGCACTCAACTTTTTGTTGATGATTTGTTGAGATGTTTATTTTAAAGTAAAAGATAGAAAAAATCAGTACTTGTAGTACAGCCTTTGGCATCAAACGCAGCTTAGCATTGGTTGGTCATATTGTGTAGTAGTATGAATGTAATGAGAAGGAAAAAACAAACAAACAACCCACTCTTTAATGATTATATTCTTTGTTATTTCTTAAAACAAGAGTTGGTCAAACTTGAGCTTCGATGAATGAATCTACACAACCACACCAGTAGTATTGCACCTATGATACAGACACATCAATGTTTCCTAGTTTACCATGATGCATGGCTCTAGGGGGGGGGTATTCAACTATCTCCTCGTATCTGTGTCAATATTTTACATAGACTGGTTCATATCTGTTACTGATTCATCTCCCTTCTATTCTTTGCTCTTCCTTATAATCCAATGCAAGCAACAATATAAATATTACTTCATTTCTAGAATTCAGTTTTTGCTTTTCAATAAAGTTTAACTCAATCTTTTTGAACGTCACAGCGTAGGAGCACAAAATGAAAAAGTGCGCGCATAAGAAAAACTTTTTTTCTTTCTTTAGTTTATTTCATATGCCAGCAGAAAAAAAGAGACCTAGAGGTTTGAAGAGTAGTGCCTTGGCCAAGTCCAATAAAAAAACCAAGACAGAAGAACTCAAGAATACTTCTGAGCTACCTGAAAATGCTAAAACTGTCGTTATTGACAAAATTATTGAGGAGGGTGACGAAGTAGGAGAAGCCGCTGCTCTTCTCGAGAGTGCTATGGAGAAGCTTGGTAATACATTTGAGTACGTCTCATATATATTGACATTTTTATGTAGAATCCGATCCCGAGGAAGCTTTAGCTTTGCTTCGAGGCACTATTCACGAATCAGATCGTATTTTACGCAATACAGAAGAGTCTTTGCCTGCTCTTTTTTACTATACTTATGGTTCAGCTCTTTATGAACTAGGTCGTTTGACAGAAGATGAAGAATTTGAACCTTATTTGGAAGCTGCAGAAGAAAGATTAAATGAAGGATTGGCTCTTGCAGATACAGAAATGAATAACAAAATCCATTTAGCTCTGGCCAAAATCTGGCTTGCCAAGGCTGCTAGTGCTGTATCTGAAGATAGCAATCAAGTGCTTCCAGAACTCTCTGTCAAGGCTTTAGATACGTTAGATGAAGTGATGAGCCAATCTGAAGTACCTTCCAAGACCATCATTGAATTGGCTGATATTGTTCAAAACCATGGTGATTTATATGAGAGTCTTGAATCTCGCGACAGGTTTAGATTATGGGCTGAAACTGCATTGGAAAAAGTTTTGAAAGGTAACACAAAATGGATCATACGTTTTTTTTTAACATTGTCCATCTAGATGAACCCAATCATGCTCAAGCATTATCTGCTTTCGGTTTATGTAAATTATCTTATGCCAACTATTTGTTAGACAACATTGTTGAAGAGGAAGAAGAGGAAGAAGAAAGGAAAAAATTGAATGAACAAGAAGAAAAAGCACTTCAAGTAATTCGTGAGAGCAAGAAATACTTTGAATCAGCACATGAAGAACTTGTTAAAACAGATAAATTGTCGCCTCAAATTATCTCAGATTTAGCCGAAACTTATTTGAATGAAGCCAATTTGATTTTGGATGAAGAAGAACAATTGAACGTGTACAAAAAGGTTGTTAAAAAGATCAAGGAAGCTCAATCACTCATTGCTGAAAAGAAGCTCAATTTTGTCTTGCCTGAAGCCTTGACTGCATTTTTGGAAGAGTTTGAGCAAGAAGAGTAAATTATTTGTAAAATAAAGCATAGATCAAGTCTTATGACCCTTTTTTGGCAATAGTGTTTCATTAAAAAAGGAAATACTTTCTTAAAACATGAAGCGGCGTATAAATGGTAGCATAGATATCCTCTTTTTTTTGCTCTCTCTCTCTCTTTTTTTTTATTTATGAGTACAGAAAGAGAACCTCTTTTACCAAACGAGGAAGATGACGAGGGACGTCCTTCATCTTCCCGAATTCACAGTGTTCAGAACGGCAAGTTCACTTTGCTCGAGAAAGTCTTGTTTGCTTTAGCTACTGCTTTCTTTATCGGCTTGTGTATATTAGCAGGTCTTTTCACAAGACGCGTATATGATGAAAAGCCCGAGAACCCTTCTCCTCCTACTGTTCCTTCCCCACCTGGAACAAACACAACAGCAGTAAGTAATGATACACATAGTCTACATGGACTCATGATAACAGCCTCTCTGTATTACACCTGAATGTGTCTTGACAGCAGCTCAAATTCTTCAAGTAAGTACTATAAATGTATGAATACCAAACTCATGAACACTAGGATGTTGATTTGACTTTGGATCCTTGTGATGATTTCTATCAATATACCTGTAAGTTACTAAATAAGATAGGCAAGTTTATAAACTCGTGCATTAGGCAGTAAATGGGAGCAAACCCACGAAATTCCTGACGGCAAATCTTCTATCAACGCCTTTGTATCACTAATCAATCAAAATAAGGAGGCACTTCGCAGTATTTTTGCTGGCAGTTTTGATGATTTCTATGACCGCACTCACATTTCTGTTTCCGGTCATTTACCTGATCCTGAGAAACCTATTGATAAGCAAAACTTTGAAAAAGTAAAAGACTTGTATGATTCTTGCATGAATGAAGCCCTTATTGATAAGCGTGGTGCAGAACCCATTTATCCTTTGCTGAAAGACATTCGCGACCAATTCCCTGCTTCTTCTAATCCTGCCGAAACTCGCCGTTTGACTCAAACCCTTTCGTTTTTGGCAAACAGAGACATTGGTAGTCTATTTGAAATCATGGTAGATGCTGATCCCAAGGACCCTACAATCAATTCACTCCAACTCTATCAATCTGGCTTGACATTGCCTACCAAAGTGTATTATACACAAGAAGATACTGTCAAGGCTTTGACTGAGACCATTGCTGATACTCTTGCTGTTGTCTACCGAGGCAAATCTGCTTTGGCAGCTGAATTATTTGGCGAATATGATCTCCGTATCACGGCTCGCACGATCGTCGAGTTTGAAAAGAAATTGGCCAAGATCAGTCAATTGCCTGAAGAATTCCAAGACCCTGAAGCCACTTACAACCCTATGACATTGTCTGAACTTGCCAAGATTGCTCCCAATGTTGACTGGGGACTCTATGTCTCTCATCTCTTGCCTCCGAATGCTCCTCACCCTGGCAAGGTTGTCGTTACTTCTCCTGCTTATATCAGCAATGTCTCCAGCTTGCTTCTTGAAAAGGAAAGTGCGCGTACTTTGCAAGCTTATTTCTCCTGGAGAGCCATCTTTGGTTATTCTGAAGCCCTGGGTGAAGAGATTCGTGCTCCTATTCGTCGCTTGACATCTCGTTTGATTGGTACAAACCCCAAATCAATCAAGCCTCGTTGGGATACTTGTTTGGATGAGGTCAACAATGCTTTGGGATTCATGGCAGGTCGTTATTATGTGATTGACAAGTTTGGTGGCAAGGCTAAAGAACGTGCTGATGAGTTTGTCAATAGTATCAAACAAGTCTTTTTGGACCGTTTGCCTGGACTGGAATGGATTGACAAAGAAACACGTCAAAAGGCTGAAGAAAAGGTCGATAAGCTGATTCGTAAAGTAGGCTATCCTAACACAACACCCAATGTGATGTCGCCTGTTTCTTTGTCTGGCTATTATGGTGATCTGACTATCACTCCTCATGAATACTTTGACAACTATGTCAGTGCTCGCAAGTTTGATGTCTTGAGTCAATGGCGCCAAGTTGGAAAGACGCCTGATAGATCCAAGTGGTTGATGAATCCTCAAGAAGTCAATGCTTACTATAACCCTTCATTCAATGAAATCGTGTTCCCTGCTGGTATCCTTCAAAACCCTTTCTTTGGTGACAATTACCCTGATTACTTGAACTATGGTGGTATTGGTGTTGTTGTTGGACATGAATTGACAGTAAGTAGCCTATAAGAGATGCTCCTGTCTTGACTGATTTTTTCTAGCATGGCTTTGATAGTACGGGTAGACATTTTGATGCTGAGGGCCGTCTTGTTCAATGGTGGACAAATGAAACAGCTGCTGAATTTGAAGCCAAGGCTGATTGTTTTGTGAACCAATATAGCAACTTTACCATGATTGATGAAAATGGTAAAGCAATTCATGTCAATGGCAGATTTACACTCGGTGAAAACTTGGCTGATAATGGTGGTTTGGGTGAATCTTTTGCTGCTTGGAAGCAAAGATATAATAGTGATCCTGAAAGTAAGCGATACAACAATGTTCGTTTACCTGGTTTGGATGCATTGTCTCCTGAACAATTGTTCTTTGTCAACTTTGGTCGTATCTGGTGTAATAAAGCCACACCTGCTCAAGCCAAGAAAGGCGTAAGTTTGAATTTTGAATAGACAATGCATACTCATATCAATTAGGTCCTTACGGATGAGCATTCTCCTGCTAAATGGAGAGTAAATGGTGCTATTCAAAATTCCAAGCAATTTGCTGATGTCTTTAAATGTCCTGCTGGTAGTCCAATGAATCCTGTTCATAAGTGTGAATTATGGTAAATAAAATTATGTTTGGGCTGTCTGAATTTCAAGTTGATGAACAGTAATGGCTTTCCCCTGCGAAAATAACGAATCGTTCCTTTTTTTTTCATATATATATATATATATTTGTTCTTTATTTTTTTTCTTTGTACTATGGATATTGTTAATCATGAAGAGACAGGGCTTATTCTACCACCTGCAAGAGAATTGTTAAGAAGTGCACATGATGATGACCAAGAAGACAAGATGGTGATTGACCAAGGTATCATTGCCAATTTAGATGTTGTTGTTCATTTTCTGTAGAACAAAAGCCTCTTTTACCGTCTATGCAGTCCATATCAATACAAGCAGACGAAATTATTCGACAAAGGATGTCAGGCATGTCTGTCTCTTCACAACGATATCAAAAAGTACTTTCTCCCTTGGAACCCAGCTCTCAACAAATGTTTCACGAATCTCTGTCACTTTCTCGAAGAGGATCTTTGGTAGACTCACATAGCAATCTTCGTCGGCCTTCCATTACAGATATGGGTAGTCTACCTTTGCCTAATTCAACTGTAGCTAGTCGCCGAGGATCGATTGCTACAACGGATTATGATCTATCTTCTCGGTCTCCTTCACCATCACCTTTTTCGACATTGAAACGAAATCACGAGAACGATGCATTATTAAGCAGGCGTGATTCTTTACCCAGCAATCATGTCCCTTCTATGCCTTACGATCATTTCCAAAGAAGACATTCAATTGCAACTGCTCTTACAGATCCTGATTATAGTAACACGAATGGCAATCAACGCAGCCATCTTTTGAATACAAAATATAGAGGTAAGACAGACATGTTTGTATCCCAAATATTTATAGAATGATCAGCCTTTAGATTTCCTGCACCTATTCAAGAGTCATCAACTTACAGAACGTATTCTGCACCTCCTAGTCCGCCCCAATCAGCACTAAGCAATGTAGCTTATCAGGAGTCTTTGCATGACAACAACAGGTTTAATCGTAGAGATAGTTTAGCCCGAGCCAGCAACAATAGTGGAGGTGGAGGACCTATGTTACCTAGTCGACGACCTTCTATACTAGATGAATCTTTAGATGAATCTTCTGCCGAACATGTGTTGGCCAGAAGAGCTTCTATGCCAGTTGTGACACCATCCAATCGAAGTCGACATCCTTTAGAAAGAATGCCGTCTCAGCAACCTTCTCATCTGCATCACATGTGCGATGATCAAGAGGAACAAAAGCAGCTGAGAAAAGAAACACCTTATTCTCGTTCCCCGGAATTACGAGTGAGCCACAAGTTGGCTGAACGCAAACGAAGGAAAGAAATGAAAGAATTATTTGATGAATTGCGCGATTCATTACCTGTAGAAAAGAATATAAAGACAAGTAAATGGGAAATATTAAGCAAAGGTAAATCACTTTGTATTGGATCATATATTAATTGTGTAGCTGTTGAATATATCACACTGTTAAAACGTCGAGACTATGATTTAGAAAACGAAATTACAGGATTACGACGTGAGATTAACATGATCAAAAGAAACAAAGGTGAAAGGTAAGTAGCATAAAATTAGAGGTTAAATTCACATACATATTCAGTAGCCACACAAACAACCAAGGTCCACCCTTTGCTTGATAAAACGATACCATCTCTTTTTTTATTATTATTATTATTATTATTATATATATATATATATATATATCCATACAGATTCTTGGTCTGTTTATTGCAGTTTGAGCAAAACAGCAAGACATTTGAGTATCATAACTTTCTAATAAAATATTTCTAGTTCCAACATTCTTCTTGATATTGTCCTGTCTTATTCATGTCTGCAAAATAGTCTTCTGCTTCATCTGCACTTAGTTTGCCTTCTTTCATGATCACTTGCTTCAATGCAAAGGCTACATCGGCAGGCATTCTATCTAATGAACCTGAAAGTACAATTTTGGCTTGTTGATGTTCAATCAAATCCCAAAAAAGACTTGCATGTTGTCTGATACGGTCTTGAACATACACTTTCTCTTCTTGATCTCGAGAAAATGCAGTTAAAAGCTGTAATTGTCCTTGGTCTATATACTGTTGCCATTGTTCTCTATAGTGAAAATCTTTATCGTGGTAACGAGCACCAAACAAAAGCATATTTTGTTTAGCTCCCTCAAAGATACGTTGTTCTATAAATGACCGCATAGGGGCAACACCTGTACCAGGGCCAATAGCAATCAATGGAATATCTGTGGGCGGCAGTGCCATGGTTCCCTTGGTAATGCGGACGCGAGAAATGATATCTCCTGGTTGCCATGTAGATAGCCACTTGGTAAACACACCTCGACGGATAATTCTTAATTTTGTTTTGTATTTTACTACCGCAACACACAATTCCATACGTTGAGGATGTAGACTTAAACTAGAAGCAATAGAAAACGAACGAGGCTGAAGAGGAGGAAACAGATCCAACATATAATCAAAAGGAATATCAAATGGCTTAAAATCAAACAAGATTTCACCAATATGACGACGAGGCTTCATACAATAATCCCACAAGTCTTGTTGCCCTTCAGGAGAGGCAAATTCTCTTAGACGTTCTGTATGGTTTTCATCCACTGTAAAATGAGCCAACATTTCAAAAAAGGACCTTCGTGGCACACCAAAAATATCAAGATAGTATACAAACAAGTCCCTGAATGTCATCACGTCAGGCCAATGAGCAGGCACAATATGATCTTGCATTGCTGTGATTTTGATCAGTTTGTCTGCATGCTCTGACCATCCTATTTGTTCCAAAAACGCATCTACTTCTTTGGGTAAGTTCTGTGGCATAATGACAGCAATATCGCCAGGTTGATATTCAAAATCAGGATGATTGCATTCTAATTCAACATGACGTACATCCTGGAAATGGTCTTTGGCTGTAATTCGTGTGTTTTGTTTGACAGTTAGATCAAATTCACCTTTGAGTGTCTTGGGTGGCTGAGGTTGTCCTTGATCAACAAATTCCATTCTAAAACTAGGTGGTAAAAGAACATTGTCCGAAATGATGGGATGTTTTGTTGGGTATTTCTCTAACACAATATCCCATAGTTGTTTTGACCAAGGAATAAATGCACCATCCAGACTATAAAGAGTATAAGTGAATATTCGAGACTATATTGACTTTTTACCCTAAATAATGTTGATCATCACAATCTCCTCTTTCAATCAACATATTAGCGCCCAGTTGTGTTAATCTTCTATAGAGCTTCTTTGATGGATAGTTGAATCTAAATACTTGGTTAGTCGTGTTCAATTGGCTGAATTATTACTTTACTTTCTATAAGACGAATCGCCTAAACCAATCACTGCACAGTCTAAATCACTTAGGATATCATTAGGCAAGTTTTTTCGCAGTAAAAACTTCCAAAATTGCTAATGACCATATCTCAATAACAATACTAATAATATTTATGTTACCTTCATATTAACAGGTTCAGCACCTTGTCCTGTAGTAGAGCAAACAAAAATAACTAGCTTCTCTTCAATCAATTGACTCTTTTTTTTTTTTTTTTTTACTTTTAGTAACTGCACATAAATTATAAACAACATATACCCTGTCATAGTCATCCATAGCCATAGATCGTGTTCTAAAGTGTCTACGTCTTGCTTGTCTAGCCAAGTTCTCGGCTACATCTTGAGCACAACCTGTTTCTGATCCATACAGAATGAGTAGAGATCGCGACATGTTTTAAAAAAAAAAGAGAAAGAAAAAATTAATCTGATAAGAAAAATCTTACAAAGAAAAATTACACTGCATGAATGCAAAATGACTCATTTAAAGATAATATAAATTAAGTCCTTCTTTTCGTTTTTTCTTTCTTTTATATGCCTTACAGACTTAAAGAAACCTTACCTGATCCTCAAACATATTGTAGTATTCGTATTGAATGTGAATTATCGCCAAGAACACTTGAATCAGCCACAGCTGCATTACCTCGAAGTATTTACGGTGTTAGTATTATTGATGAAAACGAAAAGAAAGTGGTGGGCATGGGGAGAATTATTGGAGACGAGTTTGCCTTTATGTATGTGGTTGATGTATGTGTTGTTCCTGAACATTAAAAGCAAGGGTTGGGTAAAGTAATCATGACTGCCATAATGGACTATGTAGACAAGCACGCCACGAAGGATTGTGATGTTGTATTGCTTGCTGTGGGTAGTGCAAAGCATTTATATGCCAAATTTGGTTTTAATGATACTGCACCTCGAACAATTGCCATGCGATATCAAAGAGACGCACCTAAAGATCATAGAATCTACTTTCGTTGAAGTATAATAAATAAAGAATGATCTTTACAGGGAGTGAAAACATTTCTGGCTGTTTTTTTTTTACTTGATGTTGGATAATATGAACATTCTTCTAGTATCAGGTATAGCTGTAAATGAACTGAATTCTACATCTAAAGTGGAGATCTATTAGCAGAAGTAAAAAGGCCCTCATTCAGTATTGAATTACATAAACTTTAGGGAGTCTGAATATTTCAATCAATACGATGATATCCATCTAGGAGAACTTACGGCCAGACATGTAAGCTACAAAGCGGAATTTAAATATGACATACACCATGTCCACGTCTACTCTCTTTGGCTTCGAAAATGTCAAGAGTGATGTGAATGGTCTTAAGCAGTTTCTTGGGTCACTTAATACCCATGAAGAGTACTATTTTTTTGGTACTTTACTTGTTGAGCGCAAGTATTTGCAGAGACGTTTTATTGAAACTTGCTGGGACACCAACTCAGAAGTATACAATAAGTTGATCAACACCGGTTTGCAGATGGAAGATAATAATATTATCAAAGGTTACCGCAGCTTGCCCCAGAATGCGAAAATTGCTCGAGTTAAGGTTGAACGACTCCCCTTGATTCATCCTTCAACTCTCCGCGAGCAAATAACCAAACGTTTTTCCCATTTTGGTGAAGTCCTAGATCTGGGATTTCATATGGACGGTGCTGTATTTTTCGGCCAGGGCTACGTCGTTCTTGACCTAAACAATCCTCACAAGTCTGAGCCTGAGCAACTTGGTCGAGTAGTGGATTGGCCCGAATTTGATCGTGAACTTCTGCTTACGTGGGATGAAATGCCCCAATTTTGTCGTTTTTGTCAAAAATCCGACCATTGTCGAGCAGATTGCATGGAACTCATTAATACTCGTCGTTGTTATAACTGCAATGAGCGTGGTCATATCAGCCGTGATTGTCCTCGTCGTAGTCATGGATCAGGCCACCCTCCTAATAAGCGTATTGGGATCACAAAAGACAAGGCTAGTAGATCAGGACCCAACCTGCCCAATGAGCAACTGGCACAAAGTGCGAAGCCTAAGCAAAGTGTCTCTCTTGCTGCATTGACTACCGTTCCTCTTAGTCAAATAGCAACCGAGACTATTCAAACACTTTCAAACGGTACTACAGTAGTCGAGCATGAATTGATGGATCATGAAATGAAAGAGCAAGGAGATAGTGAAGTAGAAATCATTGACTCCGATGGAGAGGATGATGATGAATATCTTCAAAATATTCCAAGCAATAATCCAACCCAAGAGGCTTTGGACTTAGAAAAGTTTATCCAGGAGCGTAAAAAGATCAAATTTAATCATGACGATGAGAGACATAGAGCGGTGCCTAATCATAATACAGGTGGATCAACAGGTACCTCTCCTGACTTTTAATAAGAAAATCTATGCCTAAAGACTCTATGCAAATTGCCACCCTTAATTGTCGTGGCCTTACGAAAACTTCAGATCCTTACAAACAGTCCTTATTCATCCGCTTTCTACGCTCAACTAAATATGACATTCTATGCTTACAAGAAACACGCGCATCTACACTTAATATACAGAAACAGTTCAACCTCAAGTTCCAGACTAAATCTAGTCTTTGGACAGAACACTGTGGCATTGTTTCCTTAAAATCTCACTACAAAATCACAGCACATCCCACCATCAATTCTACCAATGGCCGCTTTCTCTTAGCGTCTATCGCACATGCCTCTGAACCCTCCATTCCTTTTATGTATATCCTCAATATTTATGCTCCTGCTTATCGTAGTAGTCGATCCACATTCTTTCGCACGTTATCTTCCAATCAACCATTAATGTCACATTTACGGTCAACGTCTTTGCCTATTATTATTGCTGGTGATTTCAACTATGACATTTACCGTAAATCCAACATTGATACGTGCTGGAATGATCTACTTCTTACTTCATTCCAAGATTGTTTTCAAAGTGATCCTCTTCCCACATTTGTCAGTACCACTGGTAGTCGCACACACATTGACTATATATTTTGCACTCTACCTCATGCTGACAATGTAATTTCTATGACTCAAAATTTTGTTAACTACAGTTGGACTGACCATGCCTTGCTTTCTATCAACTATCAACTGGTACACACTCCAGCTGGACCTGGTCCTTGGAAAGGTAATCCTAATCTTGCTCGACTATCTGCATATAGAAAAGGTTTGACAACACATATTGAGCAATACATGGATAACATCAACCGTTTGGATCCTGATTGCCCTTCAGTTCAAACTATTTGGGATGAATTGAAAGAACAAGTCAAAGTTTTTACTCGATCCTTCCAGATCGAGCGTAACAACTGGCGATCCAAATCTCTGAAAAAGCTTCAATCCAAACGCAACAAAATTTTACGAGATCATAAAAATACATCTATTTTATCATCTCTTTTGCCAAAGGTTGAAAAAATGATTACTATTTTGCAGGATGAATCTGCCGAAATAGAACATCTCAAAGCAGGCAAATTTTGGCGAGAAAAAGGTGAACGATCTCCTGGTCTTCTCAAAAAACTTGCACAAGATAGGTCTACACAGCGAACAATACCAAAGCTCTTTGATTCCAATTCTAAACGATTGGTTAATAATACAGAAGGGAAAACAAAGGTGATAGTTGCCTTCTATAAGGCGCTATATCGTCCTGAAAAAATCCAATCCTCTGATGTCAATACGCTTTTACAACGTACCAACAGCCAACGACTTACTAAAGAGCAAGCATCTACCCTTGAAAGTCCTATCACTTGGCTGGAGATATCGAAAGCAAGTAGACGTTCACCTCGTCATAGTAGCCCTGGTAGCGATGGTTTGCCATACGAAATTCTAGGTATTCTACTTCGTGTTCCTTGTTTAAGGCAGCTAGTTCTACAAGTATACAATGATGCCTTAGCTCATTCTTTATTCCCAAGATCATGGCTGCTATCACTTATGACTCTTTTGCCTAAGAAAGGTGATCTAACGCGGGCAGAGAACTATCGTCCTATCCAGTTGGTTAATACAGATAACAAGATCTTCACTCGGATAATCAACCACAGGATTATGACAGTAGCTGCTACACTTATCAACAAACATCAGCTAGGCTTTATGCCTGGCAGATATATTGCTGAACATGGATTGCTCACCCAAATGATCATGGAAAATGCAGCAACAAACTATCGCCGACCAGACAAAGATCTTGGCATTCTTTTAGACCAAGAAAAGGCCTATGATCGTGTCAACCTTGACTATCTCAAGCAAGTGTTGTTACACTTAGGTTTTCCAAAGACCCTGGTTGCCAGCACTATTACCTTGTTTAGAGATAATTCCATTTGTATCAACATCAATGGTTGGCTCTCTAAGCAGTTGGTTCCAAAGCGCCGAGGCCTCAAACAAGGTGACCCACTCTCTTGTATTTTATACAATTTTGCCTTAGAGCCACTTCTCCAGTCGATATTGAATGACACTCAATTTTCTGGCTATCGCTTCAAGCATAATGATTTTAGTCAAGCTATCACCTTACCTGCTATCAAATTGCTTAGTTATGCTGATGACACTTTAGTTTTTCTTCATAATATCCGTGACCTTCGCAGAATGCAGTTTCACTTGCAGGCCTACAGTAAAGCATCCAATGCCAAGATTAACTACCATAAAGTGCGAGCAATCTCTCTCTCTGGCCACAATCTAGATGATAAATGGCTGACTACTCTACAAGCCATTGACATTCCCAAGATATGGTGCCGTACAGATGCTGAACCCATTATCTATTTAGGTTTTCCCCTTATCCAATCCTTGGACCAGCGCGCTCACTTTTTTTCGTCCCTCACTCGATCACTGACTCAACTGGCGGATATTCATGCCTCACGCAATCTTTCTGTTGTTGGTAGAGCTACAGTTGCCAGTTCGCTTTTATTGTCTAAATGCTGGTATATTTTGCGGGTAATCCCTACCACTCAAGCAATCCTTAATACCATTCGAACTGTCATTACTTCTTTTGTCAACCGGCAAATCTTTCCTCGCATTAGTTGGCAAACGATGACTGCACCAAAGTGGCATGGTGGCCTTGGCATTCTTGACTTGTTTTCTCAGCAGAAATCACTGTATTACCATTGGCTTCATCCTTTTTTGTGTCCTCAAGCTGAACGTTCTCTGATACAAGACTTTCTAGCAGCACATACCCGTGCTTTGCTTCAGACTGAACATCTGCTCTTGGGTCTGCTCTTTCCTCGTTCTCGCCCAGGCCAACTCAGGCAATTGGCAAGTAACACTGTCACAATGTGCTGCCAGACAATGGATGCTATTCCTAGGAAACAATACTCATACATGCCAAACCCTATCGAATGCCTTCTACTGCCATTACGCTCAATTGTTTTGCCATCTGACACCTTTGATTTGCCTCTCAAGCTACGCACAGTAGCAGTTTCCTATCTATATGAGTACCATCCACAGGGTCACTATTTGGCACCAATACCAGTTTCTTCCTTTCCCCTGGATATCCGTCGTAGTGTCAGAAAATATATTCAAGCAGTGAATCAAAATCATTGTCAACTGGAGCCATTCTTTGGTCAATGCCTTGTTCGTACTTCATTAGACTTATACAATCCTGTGCATATTCCTGCAATCCAGCGGTCTCTTGGTTTCTTTTCTTTTGTGCGTATGTTGAAACTGCCTTTTGACAATGAAAATTTCATTGCCCTCAAGAATGGTGGCTATACTTTCCGTAAGGTCATCACGCAAGCTGACTTGTCTGATATCATTGCCCGGCAAGAAGTTTCTTCTGCTGCTTGGAAGTACTTTTGGTGTATACCTATCACAACATTGCAGAGAAATGTGATGTATCGATTTCTGACTCGCAAGATTCCCACTCGCTTATTTCTATCCAAGATTTTTCCTGCTCGCTTCCCTACTGCTGCCTGCATTTTGTGTGGTGATCAGGAGACTGTGTACCATTTCTTCTTTCGCTGCCCCCAAAAATTTCCGTTCTGGGATGCCTTGATCAGGGAATTTCTATGGCCAGGCACCTCTCTGGATCTAGTCTCTGATGCACTTGCATCCTTCAATTTTTCTCGGATTCGGTCTCAAACCAACTGTCCTCTTTCAGTAGCCATGGTAACCTTGATCGGTCTCTCTGAGATCTGGAAGGCCCATTGGACCCATACCATGCAAAACCAACCATTCCATTATCTCTCTGTTCTCCATAGCACTCGCTATCAAATTATGCATATAGCTGCTGAAAATGACCTTTCATCTTGAGAGGTCTTTTCTCGCAGTAGCTGCCCTTTTTTTTTTTTCTTGATTTCTTTGTTTTTTGAAATTGTAGTACCCTTTTTGTTTCTTTTAATCCTCTTATAATAAATAATTGTCGAGCACCTCTTTTAGTGGGTCCCTCTCAAACCACTAATACGTGCGGCAAATAAAATCATTAAAAAAAAAAAATGTCAAGTGTATTATTACACTTTACTCGTAATTGCACAGGGTATAAAGTGGTGTTAGGATGAATACATGCTTATTAAGCAGTAGCTACTGAAAACGGCCTGTTTTCTACCAATTACAATGCACCACGAACTTTCATTGCAGATTTGAAGGTAATGCTCAAACTAAGTCACCTTTTTCATCTTAGTAAACTCACTTTATTTTCATCAGAAGTACCTAGACGTAATCTTACCTGATTTCGGTTGGACCAGACTTACATTGGGTTAATCCAAAATTTTCTAATCAAGTTATCTTCACGGACCTCCATGATCCTCTATGAGCCAAAAAAATAAATTTCACCCAAGTGCCAAACTAATGTTAAAATTCGATTTCTTGACTCGAGATAGCATGTTCTAAACAAAAAACAGCCTTGTCGGTCATGCAGTTGTCGAGTAATGGCCCATCAAAGATTGGCTTGTTTAAGCTGTGCTTTGAGCATTTTTGCTTTAAATCACGTATAGAACGTGTTATTGATAAGCCTATAAAGATAAATTATGCTATCTATACCGCTAAAAAACATATAACATTAGAAATATAGACATTTTGTAATGTAAATGTTGAGTAAATCAGCATAGGACATATAGATTGGTGGTGGTGCGGAGAGTAAATAAAACAACTCCAGTCACATAAAAAAACAAGCTTTTGCTTAGAACTGCATAAAGACGCTGTTGTTTGGCCTTGATGTTGCAATAAAAGTTATAGATCTGCGTTTTTTGAGCCTATTGATGTAAGAGACACATTAAATTTGCTGCTATAGTTCTGAGCAAATATGCAAAGATGTTTGCAAGACTTCTCACTCGTATCTCATCATCTTCATAGTATACTTGACAAGTAAACATATGCACTAAAAACTACTGTCTCCGGCACTCATTTTAAATATTTAACCTTGGCAATAGCATTATTTTACGTCTTGTAGCACCAAAAAGAAGATTAAAAGTTATCAAATTAAGGATTTTCGTGAGTGGTACCCTTTGGTTTTAAGAGGTTTTTAGCCATTTTTTACATGTCGCTTTTTTTGTCCAAATCAACTTTAAAGGCATCCTGAATGTTAGTAAATATTGTTTATAGGTATCTATAGTGTCTATGCTTGTATAAACAGGTTGTGTTTCAACTTTATATGTCTGGGAAAAATAATGTATCTACTTGCATTCTCTATTATTTGAATAAGGTTTATACCATCAAGTTGCTCATTCAAATACGCTAATTCCCCTATGTCAAATGAAGAGATGTTTGCTCACAAAAAATGTCAAATTGATGACATTTCACTTCTATTTTTGAAAACCTCATACCTAAATCCTTCCAATCGTAGTGCTTTTGCAGGACTTTTTTTGTGCTAAGATTGCACTCAATTTTCATAAACTAGTTTGCCTTAGACTTCTTGCTTTCCAAACCAGAAAACTCATTTTTCAACATCAAAAAGGCACCTTCAATAATAAGATTTGACTTGTTTTTAGAAAAAATCAAAGTCTGCTTAGCTCTTCTTGAAGCTGGCTAAAGGACCTATTCAGACGGTGTACCTTTATCTTAAATGAGGATTCAACAGGGCTAATCTCGTATTCTTTCTACCAGACACGAGCAGTGCTTTCGTTAGCACCAACATTTAATGCTGCAGCTTTGACGGACATAAATACTGGATCTTGTTCTGAAAAAATTCGTTAGATTGCTCTTTGATTGGCTGCTGTCATTATCCATAACATCAGCGTCAGCTTTTTTCGTGCATATATCCAAATTTACCAACTGTTTCAAAGCATAGAGGTCTCGTTGCTCATCGAATATATCCATGGCTCTGGCGCAGCTCTCGCCATAGATACCGCCTTGGTGATCTTTATTTAGGTCCTTTTCTAGCTGTCCCTGCCTCTCCCTCTCGAAAAGCATAAAATTTTAAAATTTCTATGTATGATAATAATGAAGCATTGAAAGAATAGCCTTTTTAGTTTGAAGTCAGCTTCAAGTACACTGAAACCGCAAAGAATTATAGAACAGCAAAGTCAAGAACTTAGTTTCGGATACTAGATATCCCATATTTTAATGACTTCTTAAAGCTTACGTCATCCTAGTTTGGTATAAAACAAGTCAATCAAAGGAGAATTGGATTACTGGTCTTGTTTCTTTTTTTTTCTACTGCACCCAATCCATTCTTGCGTTCGGTGCCTTGAAGCAACATTATGTTATATTCCCCATGACCTCTGAATTCCATTTTCAGTGGACACGTTATGCTGGCCGTTAACATATGTTGCTCACTTTCCATACAGTTATGCCTTGGCTAAGAGTAGTGTATTATATTCCCCATGACCTCTGAATTCCATTTTCAGTGGACACGTTATGCTGGCCGTTAGTATGTTACTGCTTCCTTGGCCCCTGTCTGTTACCTCTAATATCTATTTGTTCTTACTATTGCAATAGTAGTCCTGCCTTGGCTAAGAGTAGTGTATTATATTCCCCATGACCTCTGAATTCCATTTTCAGTGGGCACGTTATGCTGGCCGTTAGTATGCTATTGCTTTCCTTGGCTTCTTTTTACTATTAACTATTTCAATTAAATACACAAAGTCTGCAACAATATTAGTTTTTGCTAAGGGATGTGTTTCCTTTTTTGATGGAAGATTAACCAAACTTCAGGATAGAATTGAAAGCATTTATCTCAATCTAGCACTGCTAATTAAGAATGAAGAAAGAACGTACACCACCAAGAAGATGCGTCAAGTTTTACAAGTGTGTTATAGAAGAAGTTATGAAAGCACAAGACTACTGCTGATTTAGCTGGAAGAAGAGCATCTAACGCACTTTTGGACCAACTTATTAATGTTCTAAAATTTAACAAAAATACATTTTATTCGTCATCGTTGTCTTCTATTTTTTCAATTGTCTCTTTCAACAATTCTTTGATTTGAACAAAGTGCTTGAGCACCTTTGTGGCAGGGCCAACAAACGACTGAATGTTGGTTGGAAAATCAAAATTTCCAACAGAAGAAACACAGGCAATGTTGTTGTTTATCATTTTGATTGCAATTGTTTCCAAATGCAAGCCTGTTTTAACAAAAGTAAGCGTTTTTTTTCTTAAGGGTAGTGGAGATTGTGCTTACTATTGATCACAAAGCCAACAAGTGTGATGCTGCCTTGAACCTTGGGATAATCTTTAACAACCTTGTCCAGCATCATTTTCAACATAACAGGAGCTTCGAACCCCCTTTTTCTTATCACCTTGGTTGCTTCGCTATCCAACGTCAAAGCGAATTCTCCAACAGCATATTCAACATTATTTTTAACATACAAAAGGTCGGGCTTGTCCTTGCTTGCCTTTTTACTGATTCTTGATTTCCCATCTAACTGTCTTTTGCTACTCTCGACCGCTGCTACACAAGAGGAATAGACTTCCCCACTGTGACATGAAACGCCAATACTTCTAAAACATGTCTTCATGAAAGACCAAGTATTGCGTTGTAAGTCCCCTTCGGATTGGGAGGGAGGGTCATTAATGTCCACAAAGAGGAAGCCATCCATGGCATTAGCCATCGACTTGTTCAGCCAATACACATCGTAGCCTTGAGTCGATCCGTCAAACTTCGTGACATCACATGATTTTATTATGTCTATTGCTGTTTTCTTTCCCTTGAATTTCTTGCACTCTTTTTCAAATCCATTATTGACTTTAGACAGAGTGATGGGATTCAAATTCTTGATAAAGTTGATGTCTTCTTCTGTCAACAATGTTTTGTATATCAAATCATCAGCATCGAATACAAAAAAATGAGTAGGATGGTAGTATGAGCATGTGGCGGAATACATCTTCATCACATCTTCAAGATATTTGTTACTAGGCAATTTCAGCTTGTTGCTCATCTTGTCATATTTTTCAGTTATAATTCCCTTTGTTGTTTCAGTGATTAGGGTGGGCTCTTTAGAGGATAATATATTGCTTGTGGTGTTTCCTTCCTACATAATTAATAAAACTACTATAAGTATGTATTATAACGCTTTCTATCGTAATGTTTTTTTTTTTACCATCTTTCTCATATGAGCATTAAATTTATTTATTGTTGATGCCCAATGTCCTTTCCTCTAGCAATTTTGATTTACAAGAATTAGAGAGTTTATCTTCTACTAGCAATTTTTTTTCAAAAAAAAAAAAAAAAGAAAATACTTACGAACTTGATTCCTTTTTCTTGTACCAATCGTCGATACTCCTTCACTACGATTGAAGCCCACTCGCTATTTTGGTAATAGTTTTGTTTTATCAAATCTTCGTTTTCAAGCACAAAGTCAGATAGAGTTGGTGTAGTGGCTGAGTCGATATAAGAAAGTATAGCTAGAAATAATTTTGAGAACATGATAATACGCCTTTTCCATCTCTTGCTTAGCTACCTTCTGTTAATGCGGACATTTTGTTAATAATGAGAAAAAAGCAACAAAGGCGACTGATGGCTGCTTTAAATTAGCAAACAGTGACTATTGTTTGTGAGTGCAGATAAGCAAGAGCAAATATTTTGATTATCCATTTTGAGTATCAGATAATTTGGATGTTTTGGATTTCCAAGAGGTGCCAGGAAAAGTGCTACTTATCTTTGTCGTTATAATGCTCGAATGGATAGAGATCAGTCTATTAAGTGTGATGTATTTGAATACAAAACCAAAATCTCGTTGTCACTGCTCCTCTTGCTACAGTATGCTGACCTTTTTCTTTTACAATATCATATTATTTTTGAGATGCATGCATAATTGACATGTGTACTACTTTGTCAGCTGTTTTAACAATTTAAGGTTTTTTTCACAAGCTAATGAGTTATTACTCTAAATTTTTTTGGCGTTCATATTGTGTATTTCCAAAGAAAAAAGAAAAAGAGCGATATATTTCCTTGCCGAATATTCGACTCTTTAAATACTCTACAGTTCAATTAATCAAAAGTCAAGGGTCAAGTAAACGCCTTGATTGAAGCAAAGAAATATCTTGTATTTTGATTCTAGGTTTTATTGTATTAAAAAAAGGAAACAACTGTGTAACATCTGTTACTCCATCAGTTGTCTGGAACAACTGATCTACATAGTTGCTGTATACAGATACTGTCTTGGAAAAGTACTTTCTAGTCTTTGTATTTGTTTATCTCTTATGTAATGGTGGTTCTCTGATAACTTCTTCTAATTGCTCACCAAGAAATATATCTGTTTTCTCATAATGACGATTGCGTAACAGTCATCAAAATAAACAAATACAAAGACTAGAAAGTACTTTTCCAAGACAGTATCTGTATACAGCAACTATGTAGATCAGTTGTTCCAGACAACTGATGGAGTAACAGATGTTACACAGTTGTTTCCTTTTTTTAATACAATAAAACCTAGAATCAAAATACAAGATATTTCTTTGCTTCAATCAAGGCGTTTACTTGACCCTTGACTTTTGATTAATTGAACTACACCGGTTTAATGCACTGGTTTAATCTGCGCTCAAGAAAAAGAAAAGAAACTTGATGCTTGAAACACCAAGCCTTCCTTTCGCATGGCATTTATCATTTGTCATATCCAAGACTGCTATTTTTGGCTTCAAAAATACCATATATTAAAGAAGCCTTCCTAGTAAATATCTTCCTCATCAAATGGCGTATAAATGGATACCTACTTACTAAGCAGTAGCTACTGAAAACGGCCTGTTTTCTACCAATTACAGTGTACCACGAACTTTCATTGCAGACTTGAAGGTAATGCTCAAATTAATTTGCCTTTTTCATCTTAATAAACTCGCTTTATTTTCATCAGAAGTACCAAGAGATGACCTTTCCTCATTTCGGATGGATCAGATTTACATTGGGGGTTTTTTTGTATAGTGTTTTATTATGCAAAAATATGTGTTTTATCTACATATCGCGGAGGGGTGTAGCGTGGATAAGCTGAAAATTAAGAAGGCAGAGAGAGAGAAAATATTCAGATGAATTAAAATCGTCTAAGAGTAGAGTATGTTTCCTAAGAGAGGTGAATATCTGACTGATGATGTCAGATATGATGTCTGTGGCCTATTGTTTCCATTACTCTGCAGAAGAGAAACTCTTCTGTATTGTTTCTTCCAGCTGAGTTAATTGACGATAAAGGTCAGTCAAATTGTTACATTCGATTTCACTTAATGACCCTTCGGCGGCTCTTTTTTGCAATTGATGTATTTGTTGCATCAAAGACATTTTGAGATCCATTTGGACAGATAATAAATCAGCCAAGGCTGTCATTGCATCTTCCTTCACCGCATCTAACTCCATAGCGGATATACCACTCTCAGCTTCGAGTTCCTCTCTGGCATTGTCATTATAACTATCATAGAATTCACTTGTGTTGTATACACAACACTATTTATCCCTTCTTACACTAGTTATGTCCTAAAAGACTAAGTATTAATGCCATGTATAAATATATCTTTCAATCACAGTTTTATCCGCAGCTTCGATGGATGTCTTCTATCTTAGTTTAAACATGTTAAAGATTAGTCCATCACATAGCCACAAATTGACATCTGCACCAGTACCAATGGTAGACGAGGTTTGTGACCTGATCATGTACCCAGTTCTTGTGTACCTTAGTCTATTCAACCGATTAGCTAGTGTATACACACTCAGTCCCAAATCAAGGATAATCAATTATCATAAAAACAGTATAAATACAATACAAAATATAACCTTTAATAAAGAAGAACTTCTTTTTGGCCGTTTTGGTTCTAATCGACTTATTGATTTAACCATTTTATTAGTGATTATATCACATGTAGGGAGTGTCATAGTGATCCAGTATCATTCCTTCAGCCTCAGACCAAGAGAGACATTTGTTCTTCAATTTTTCTTCGAACTAAGACTTCTCCTTGTTGAGACACATTGGCAAGAGACGTTCCCAGTGATCATCCATGTTGAGAGAATGTGCTTCAAGGATGGTCTTGAATTGAGTGCAAAAATCGTACACCGAGTCTGTTTTTAATTGAAGACAAAGCAGTCCAGAAGGAACCAAAGTGCTCTTGTTTTCCATCTTGACCGGGTTTTCCATAGCATAGAAAATCTTGCAGGCTTCTTCAGCTTCTTTGAAAAGAGTTTCAGCTTCCTTGTATGAGAGATAAGCAATACGAGTGTTTTCAGTACCAGGATGAATTTTTGACACGACAAATAGTGGCCATAGGCAACCTTAAAACCAGAACGCAAACGATCCAGATTTTCCTTAGCAGTATCCAAGAGATGAATAAAGGTAGATTCTTCATTCAAATTAAGAGCAGCATCAGAGATAGTGTTTTCTGGAACTTTTTCAATGGCATTATCAAGAGAAGAATCCGTAGAGGAGAGAGAGGAAGAAGCAGGAGTGTTAGAATTAAAGTTGGACATAGTAGCAACAGAATTCACTGTAAAAAATGTGGTGTTTCGGTTGTGAAATGAAATATAATAGAAGATAGAAAGAAAACAAAGAAATACAATGAGACTGTTCAGTACTTCTTTATTACAAAATAAATTGATTCTTTTTTAAAATATATCTTTTCCAGGTTGTCTTTTATACTACCTGATTTATTGACTAATTATGATTACTGATTATTGATTACTTAACACCTTGACAGCTTGTGCCTGGGAGTTGACTATGTAGATTCTCCTTTAATTCTCCTGGTTATCTAAAAGGTACAATTATGGTTTCCTTTTTGTAAATATCCATATTCTCCCATTTACCGTTATTTACTGTCATTATACAATGCTTCCTTTATATTTATGATATATAGTGCTATAAGTGATTATTCATTTATATGATGAAAGACTGTTTATTATATTATTTATTGAAAAGCGCTCAGATCATCACAAGTATTTCACTTGACCACTTTATAACAATAAACAGGGCTCTTATTGTGTGTCGCCCAAAGAAACCAATCATACATTGAATTAAAGATAAATGATCTATTGATATAAAGAAAGAAAAGAGAAACACTTTAAGGCTAATAGCAACTGTATTTTCAAAATCTATACATTTATGCTTCTTTTGGGGCGACCAGAGTGTTCTCTCATTTAATTTAGTCCATGCGATACAAAAGATTTAGTATTAAAGATTTAGTGGTTTTATTCTCGCCTATTTTTTTTCTTAGATCTACATAAGGCAAAGCAGTTTGCAGAGTATCTACCGCTAAAGAAAGGTACGTAATGCACCAAGTTAAACATGGTACTACTTGATCCATCTGAGACAGGGATTTCTAATTTATGCATCAAGTTACATGTAAGACAAAACAACATTTATAGAAGCGTATTGCTAAATCATATTACAAAAATAAATGGGTAGGGTTCTGTTCCATTACATCGTATGGTCCTTATCGTCCGCTCAAATTTTACATAAAAATACAGATACATAGTACATATATGGATGGCTTAAATGGTTTATTTTATTTATTGAAATAAATGCATACATTAATGGTTATAGAATGCATTATCATATAGACGTTACTAAAGGATTACATATTATAAAGAACAATAAAGATTGACTATGAGCATCATTATAATAAACATCCTGAGAAGGCACAACCACAAACCAAAAATAGAATCAACCCAGATAACACTATTGTTAACCTTATCCCGGAGGCAAGCGGTTGCCATAATTACTGAGTAGCAATGTCTGTTTTGATCCCAAGCACTTGTGATGAATCAACAATAGATAAAACCATACAAAAATAGTGTACTAGACATGGTGCCAGGACTTATTGTTTGCATACCTCAAAGACAAGCCTTTATAGATAGCACCACCTAAAGTAAATAGCTTTAAAGTCTAAAAGAAAGAAAGGTCAATATAATTGTCATAGAAAGTATATAGCTTACTTGCCTCATCACTTTTATACAGTATCCCTAGCAGTCCAAGTCATCTACCAGTAGCAAAGTGAGATGAGTGCACCTGACTGTATACATGGTCTTTACCTTTCACAGAAAAAAAAGCAGTATAACTCAAGGGTCATTTGGCTTTGTACGCAAGTATTTAAGGAAAAAGCACTATAAAAAAATTTAGTAGACTGTAGTGGGTGATTGAAGTACCTTTGAGTATGAGTCATCAGTAATGGGATGCGTCGTGAATTTGGTGAGTAAAAAAAAAAAAAAAAAAAAGGAAGGGAGGTAAAGAGATCGAAACGCGAAAGAAAAGAAGTGAAAAGAAAGCGAAAGCTTTGTAAAGACTGTCGGTCAATGACTCTGTTGAAATAAACAAAAAAAGACACTTTATGCTTATTTTTATTGCATTATGGCTTTTAATCTTCAATGGTGAGCCTTCTCTTCCCAGCTACTTTTCTTTAGAATACAAGTACCTTCTCAAAACAGTTAAAAAAAAGTACATGCGCGATATTACAACTTGATTTACTTTTTGCCTATTTGATGACTATCAGATGCATATAATAAAGAGTTTTATCTATTTTACTTGGCTCATTTGTTTTTCCTCTCGAGACGTCGTTCGTCCTTTGTGAACTAACAGACTAAAAAAAAAGCATTATACAACCCATTTTTAAAAATACATACCTAATTTTACGTCCTTCTAGAATCCACTTTATTGCACAAACAAATAGTTAAATACCTTACATAAGCATATTTCTTTAAGAAATAAATGCATCTGCTTTACTTTTTTTGCCTATTGCTTTCATCTAAACATCAGTTATCACAAAGACCACGTTACAATTCCTCCCAGATATGTATCACGGATCCACTATTCTATTTTTGAGTAAAAGATGACACAACTTGGTGTCTGAACGCCAAGTAATGCAAAGAACTACTTGGTCCTTTGTATCAATATTAGAGCAATACACCAAGTGTGCATCAGAATTGAAATCTACTTGGCGCCTTATGCACCAAAAGTTTAGCGATAGTGGAGTGAAAAAAAGAAATTTTTTTTCTATTGGTTATACTGCAGTGTATGGCCCATTCTCTTTTAGAACGTCAAATTACTTTTTGTTCATGCGCATTAATTTTAATCTTTTGAGGGTTATGCCATTTAGCTTATCAAATGTCAGCTAGTAAACACATTTTTGTTTAGACCCAATATAAGCAGATCTATTAGAGGCGATGTGAGAGATACTCTTACTCCCCAAGATTAAATCAAGCTGTGAATACTTATCTACAACGGCTTTCTGAATATGTATAGCAGTTTTTGCTTTTGATTTTATTTTTGCTAAGAAATGGGTTCTTTTGATCAAATAGTCGTCAGCAGACTCAAATTCTCTCCATATTTTCAAATTACTTCTGACAGCTTTAATTTTGTAGTAATTCTGCAGGATTCGCGTATACCAATTACAAGCAAATTGTTTGTAAATGCAAAGTTGTCTGCAAATGCCGTAAAGTTCAAGCTTTCTTTATTCTCAAAACAACATCGCATATCTTTAACATGACTGCTGTCGATTGTAATTTTTTTGCAATTTCTAAGAAAACGATGACGAGACAATCCATTATCTGTGATAATTACAAAGCGATTTTTGCTCTCTCTTAGGTAAGAAATGGTTTTGCTGCTCAATAATGACTTTGTTTACTGCCTCCAAGAAGTAATGTACGTAAATCATTTCTTATATGATTAGCATTGCTATAGATTGCGCCTTTTTATTAGATACTTTGTGTTGGCCTGTTTGGTTTTGGTTTAGAGAACACTTTTTGAATAATACGATAAGAAACATCTTTCGTTTTTTAAAAGACTACACGAGCATGAGGCTGTCAGGCGTTACTTGATGGTTCTTCACTATGCAATTCACTAACCCCGTCTAGATAGCATCATGTCATTTAAAATACCATACACAACTGCAAAGGCATCAAATTATACCCATCCTTTGAGACTACCACAGCTTTTTCAAGAATTTGTGGTTTGGAGAAACCATTGTTAAATAAATTTATAGAGACAAATCCACTAATCAGGTTCTTGTAGGAAAATAAAGCATGTAGACTCTACGGTTGTTTGATTTATGCTGAGTGTAGCTGTATCGATCTTGGAATAATATGATGTTATGAGGTATCCAATGGTTTCAACATTCAGAATCATCCTCCTGTTTTGTAATGAATATGAAATTTGGCAAGTATATATTTCAAAATTGAGGGTTATTTCCCACAAGCAATTCTATTTTTCAAAAGGGGAAAATAAGCGATGGTCTCTCTAGTGACTTAAGCTGCTTATTTTGACAGGTCAGGAATGAAATAGCTTAAATATTTGAAGGAGAAGGAATATAGTGCAATAGAAATAAAAGGGGAAATATTTAAAGTATGCAAAACTTAACAGATTTGACATATACTATCTATATACAGCCATATCTAAAGTAAGATAAATTAAGGCTTTATCTATCCAATGATGGACAAACTTGGTGCAACTCTAAATAAACAACAATAAGTATTCTGAGGCTTTGAGCTTTTGTTAAACAAAATCTCTAGAAATTCCTTGCATAAAATAGGCGGCAAACTGTCTACTATTTTTTTTTAAAAAAAGCTCATAATACGAATCATCGTAACAAACGACCCATATCATGATTGTACAACAACAACAATAATAAGCAAGAGAAAAATGATTCTTATGCGTAAATCAACTTTATTCTTTTTTGCTAAGCTCAAACACTTTCTTTATTTGGAAAATTGTTGTATTTTGTTTATTTTTCAAAATGGGTTTAATTGAACTTTATCAGCGAGCTGCATATTAGACTTTAAAGAGAAAGTGAATTATTTTCGATAGTAAGTAGCTGATAAAAGTAACGCAAATAGAATCATATTATTTGTATTCAATTCGATAAACGGGCTTTTTGAAACATAAGGCTTGATTTGTTGCAAATGCCTTGAATACACACGGCACATAATTAGTCTAGCTAGCCCTCTTAAGGTTCATTTGGTGTAACCATTTTATTGGATAAAGAAGCCGTTTTTTTTTCTGTCTCTCCTTGCCTTCATCTACCTGGACTCTTATTATTATTGTTATTATTATTATTATTGTATTACAAACAGCACAAAACAATAAAGCATCAAAGAAAGAAGTAAAAATAGTTTTATGTTGATTTCATCACAACACGACATGGAATATGTCAAATAAAATAAGGGTTCATTTCCTATAGACTCAAAAAGAAATCTAGAATAAAACGCATGAATATTTGAAATGAGCACATTGGCCATTTGCCATCTTTTTTTTTTTTTTACCCAGCCTAATCATTGTGTTACCCATAAGCAAAAAAGTGCATTAAATTTACGGAGGAAAAGAAAACAAGTGTTTATTTGTATCACTCTGTATCTTAGTGTCTTTTTTCTTTTTTGTGAAAGAAGAAGAGGAAGGTTTGGCTTAAGCTTATTTGTAAATACCAAAAGGCTATTTATGTCATTACAAAAAAGAAGTCTCCATCTTTGAAATGTGCCAATTTATCTATTCGTTTCTTTTTTATATAGATGAGCGGAGATTGCGTGGTAATATAGAAAGGCATGGAAATTGTTTTCTTTTCATATTAAAGATAACAAGATATTTGCTCAAATCACTTGTTTTTACTTTTGCTTGTTGAAATAAATGCATATGTAGATACATCAAGAGAAAGCTTACCCTACATAACACATACATGTAATTTATATAAAAGTATAAATATATAATACTAATGTGACGTCATATTGGCGTGTTTTTTATGTGGATCTATTTGAATTCAAAACATAAAGCAAGCAATAAAAAAAAACTAAATAAGAAAGAGAGAGAGAAAGACAGAGAGATAGAGAGAAGGTAGTAAGTGAAAAGAGAATACAGATCGGATAACAACATGAGGCATTACCGAAACTTTAATCGGCCACAGAAAAAGAAAGATCGCTCTTTATTTTTATTTTATTTTTATATACACAGGACAGTCAAAAAAAGTTATTCGCACACCAACAAACACCTTTTCTTTTTTTTTTCCCTCTTTTTCTTCTCTTTTCTCTTTCTCTCTCTCTCTTTCTCTCTCTCTCTTTCTCTCTCTCTTCCTCTTTCTTTCTCACTCTCTTCTCTCTTTTTTTTTCTTTTCTTATTTATCTCTGCCTTTTTTTTATATTTGTTTCTTCAAAAAAAAAGTCACTACTTTCTCATCACGTCTCTGAGATCTTGCAAGAAAAAAAACATCATACCACATAACAAAAAGATGAAATCAAAGTGAGTAAAATCTAACAAACAAACAATGATGACTATGCCCAAGGATTGTTGTTGTATGTATACATGCACGCACTTTCTTGCCATAGTTACCATAGAAATGATTCGTTATTCGCATTGTCCAACGATACACAATTTTGACATTCTTTTTTTTTATTATTATTATTTAGCACTATGAAGAATCACATCAAGAAGGTGTCAAAAAACAACAATGCAAAACAAAGCAAATCGGAAACTGTTATTATCAAACTAACAAAACGATCCACAAGTGAAGAACCACAGAGTGATACTCATGACAACATTCGTTCTATGGCCAAGATGCTCAAGGAACGCTTATCAAAGGCAAGTAAACGCCTTGTTGATACACCAAAAGAAGAACAAAAGACGCTGTCCAGTTCTGATTGGCCAGCAAAGAAACCAAGCTCATTGCGCAACCTTCAACTGCTCAAGCAATACCTGACTTTTGTCTCTGGAGAGACATCTGATATTAGCCTTCAAGATCAGTCTATTCAGCTTACACTCTCTAGTCAAACAAAGCCAATTGAACCAACAGAGAATGAACAGTCAGCTCGTTTAGGTGCAACATTGATTGAATCTCTTGTTCATGATCCCGCTGCTTTCGAACTTCATCCTGGCAGGCAACAAGATGGTAAAAAAATATATATATATTGTGTATATGGGCTAACTGACTTTGAATTGATGATACAGAGAGTCGTCATACTAGTCGTCTTGACCGTCGTCGTCCTGGTAGACCACCCAAAACAAGACTACTGTTGCTAGATGACGACAGAGCTGAACATCAACGTATGCGTGTCAAGCGCAAGTCTATTCTCCAACATCGCCCTCAATTAAAAAAGAAGAAGGAGTTCATTCGATGCATCTGTGACACGCCTTCTGAAGAATTCGGTCCAATGGTACAATGTGATGATTGTTCTCGTTGGTTACACTTGGAGTGCCTCGAACTCAACGACGATGCCCTTGATGAAACCTTCCGTTGCCCCTCATGCTTTTTGTCACTTGGTTCTTCATCCAATGAAAAGAATGCTAAGTTGCTCAGTTCTATCACTTGGCGTTATGCTGCTCAATGGAAGAGTCAACGCTTGGCTGCTGCTCAGAATGATAATGCTACTGACGATGAAGAGGAAGACGAACCCATGGAGAAATTATCGCCTACAACTCCTCCTCCTCTTCATATTGAAGATGATGATGGCTATTCTACTGACTTACCTGGACCAGAGACACCCATCGATTGGCCTGATGTTGCCTCTGAATCAAGATTTAGTACTAGTCAAGATAGTGAAGTCACTACACCTAGTGAACAATTGGAACCTTTCTTTAAGGAAGATGATGCTGAGATGGAGTTGGATCCTGGTAGCTTAGAAATTTTGTCTCGTTTGGCTTATCTTCAATCCCTTGATTCTGTTAAAAAAGAATTGTTTGCACCTAATGCTGCTGATGTCTTTCTTTGTGAAAACTTGTAAGTAATTATTTATATCCTGCCCAAGACTAATATCAATTTAGTGCTAACAGCGCTGATGAATATATGCACCTTTTGACGCATCAAGTTCCTCGTTTTGCACCTAATACACCACCATCTTCTATTTGCTCTCAAGACCTTTCAGAATTCTCTTTTGATTCTGGTCCCTTTTGGGAATCCCTTCTATAAAATCCCTTCTCCTTTTGTATATACACTAAAAAGCTGTAAAAAAAAACTTGCCCAAAAAAAAAAAAGAAAAATCCCCTAAAAATCCATCTCTCATACACACCCACCCACCCACACACACACACATATACATTCTCTAGTATACACACACCTTCTTTTTTTTACCTTGTATCATATTCTTTTTTTAATATTATTATTATTTTTTATTACTATTACGAATTGCATATATAATCTCTATACACACACACAAAAAACAAACAAAAAAAAACAAGCTTCATTTTCCCCTTAAAACATAAACCCTTGTAATTCACAAAAAAAAAGAAGAAACACATCCTCATTCTCACTATATATACAACTCATATACATATACTTATGTATATGTAAACTCCCTCTCCCCTCTCCCTCTTCTTTATATATCTTCTATAGTAATAGCAATCATAATAATAAAACAAGTCTTTTTTCCATGTAGATTAAAGAATGCTGCTAATTAAAAACTTTAAAAGAAATAAGCAATTATTGTTGTATCGTATTTGTTTGCTTAGAAGCGCTTCCATTCTCACTTTATCTATAAAATCGATCAATTTCATCCAGAACAGCTTTTTGACAATTTCATTAATGACTGTCACACATAAAGCTTGATGCGATCAGTGACAATGCTAAACAGACCTTTAAGGAGATTAGTTTGATTTGTTTGTTTGTTATGATAGAGAAATGAAACAACTAATATAAAATCATGATTTCTCTCTTGATTTTCTCTTTCTTTCTCTTTGTAAAGATTACTCTTTTCTTTTATATATAACACATTGACTATTGCTTCCTTCATTCACTTGCTACACTATGGCTCGTGACACTGGACAACCTACCAGTGTTCCTCACAAAGGTTGCAATTCGTCCAGTTGTTGCTCTCCAGCAAAGTTATGGCGAACACTACAGACGCTCATCAAAAACGACGATAAAAAAGAACTCGTCCAGTTCTTCAAGGATGACCGACTTGTTCATATTGTACGTGTTGCCTTGACTTCAAGACTGACGAACGATGCTGCACTCTATCCTCCTTCTCAGCAACACAAAGTGGTTCGATTGACTTCAAGGGAATCCATGCTGTGCCTTGGTAAATCATTTACGGATCTCAATGCACTCCAACTGGCCCTTTTAGTGAGTTCGGAATCCATGGTCTTGACACTTTTGCACCAATTAAAGGCACATGCCACACGCGCTGAACTCAAGCAGTTTGTGAATCATATTTGGGGTCAGGGCAATTCGTCCCTTCATTTGGCTTGTTTCTTGAAACGTAAGGCGGTGATCAAGGTCCTTTTGGATCTAGGCTGTTCGACTGATATTCTGAATACAAAAAAAAAAAGTGCTTCGGATTGCTGTCTAGGTGATGCTTCTGTCTTGGCTAGTTTAGAACCACCCAAGCAAATAAAGCAGATCAAAACTGAACCTGTTCAACCCAAAAAGACGACGGAGAAACCTGAAGAAGTTTTGCCTGCTGCTATTGTTGTCTCTCAAGTTCCATTGCAAAAGGGACCTATTGCCAATCCAGAAGAATTTCTAGTAGCTTCTCATTGTTTGTTATTATTTTGTTTGAAACACCAACTGATAATCAGCAACCAGAATACTATTGTGCAACCCAACCATTGCATCTCCTTGAATCAACTAAAGAAACCACCCGATATACTATCTTGTTAACACTCTTCGTTTTATTTTGCACTATCAAAAACAAGGCTTTCCTTTCCTTTCTTACCCCTTCCCTTTCCCTTGTGATTTCTTTTTTTTTCTTTCTTAAAAGAATCATATGTTTTTTATTTATATACATACATATACATATATTTGAAAATAGCTCTGTTATTATATAATTACTTCTGTGTGTGATAATATCCCCTTCTCCCCCTTTATATATATACATATATATATATATTATGCTCTATTCATATATACTTATGAACTGGAACTTTTGTAGACAAATCTTTACATATATACTTTCTTTAACTCTCTTTCTTAAAACAAAATCTCAATGAATACTGGAACTGTAGATAACTTATGAAAACATACATATATATTTCTCTCTCTCTCTCTCTCTCTCTCTCATATATAAAAATCGCTTTTTTTTGTTTTTTATCAAAAAAAAATCACAATAAACAAAAATCACAATTCTTATCCCTTTAATGCTTATGTGTTTATTTAAAAAAAGAAATGTGTATGTATTTTACTGCTCTCATGAACTTCCATTTCAAACAACTTGAATGCGTTCAATTCTTCCTTGATCTGTTGTGCTAATATAGGCGTCAATCTTGTACAGACAGCATCTGGATCTGATTCTCGATCATATTCTAGTTTAGAATAAGTCTCCGTCGTAGTGACCGATTTAGCAAACTGAACGGCCCTTTTGTCACCTTGAGTTTTGTTGTTGATAGAACGTAAAGGAAAGCTCAAATGATGAGAAGAAAAAGATTTAGGTATATCCGCACATTTCTTTTTGAGTCGACAGGTGATAGACGAAAGCGAAGATGAACGAGGCATAAAGGGATGCTCTTTGGACTTGAGTTTGGACTTAATTTTATCGGCCAGCGATAAAGATATCTGACATGATTTGGGATTGCTAGGTGCAATATTGTTCATGTTACTGCTATGCATAGCGATGCCTCTAAGTCGTTGAAAAGCACTTTTAAAACGAGATCGTGTTGTTGCTGTTGTTGCTTCTGAAGCGTCTAGATTAAAGTTCAACTGTGGAGAATACGGTTGAATAAGATAAGAAATGTTGCCCTTGTAAGGTTCATTGTATTCCTCGTCTTCTGTGTCTTCCTCCTCTTCCTCTTCCTCTTTTTTGTCTGATTCATAAAGGGAGGGGATAGATTCGACAAGCGAGTCTTCTTTTGTGATAGAGAGCGTATTCGTATAATGACATGCTTTATCATGATGGATATATATATAAGCCTACAATATGGGTAAGTCTAATATTCTTGTAGAACCTAGCCTTACTTGTTTCTCTTTTTGTAAAGAATGATTCAATGTCACTTCAGATAAAGATGCCATCTTGACCTTTACAGAATAAAATAAAAAGGGCAATTTATACTTTATTCAACAACAATGAAAGAAAGTGAATAAACAAGAAGAAAAAAGAGAGGGAAGATATCGGTCCAAACAATAATAGATAGTTATCAAGGAGCAAAATAAAAAAAAAGGTGTATATTTAGTACAGTTGATATTTGAATACAATTTATTCAGTTCATGTATTAGAAAAAGAAAGGAGGACCATTATCTTTAGAAAAAAGGAGGGGAGCTTACTCTTTATCCAACAATCAAGGCCACTCACAACTTTGAACAATAGCAGCAGCAATGGCTTCTAATCCCTCTTTGTCTTCTTCAGTAAAACCTTCTACTTTTTCACAATCAATATCAAGGACACCAAGAACACACTGTAAAGATTAAAAAAAAAGTAAGCTTCTCCTTGCTTTCTTTTTAAAGTTGATAGATTAAAAATCTTACATTGTCTTTGATCATGGGAATCACAACTTCAGAATTAGAAGCTGAATCACAGGCAATATGACCAGGAAATTCGTGCACATCACGTACAAGCTGAGATTCTTTTGTGCTGGCAGCAGTGCCACAGACACCTTTACCGAATGGAATCAATGTACAAGCAACCTAGTCTATACTCAATGACCTTTGTTTATTTTGTCTGTCCTTCTTACCTTGCCTTGAAAAGGACCGAGAATTAATTGCTTGTCATTCTTAGGATCAGTGATATAGAAGCCACACCAGTTGATAGGCTTCTTTTGAAAGTGCTCCAACGAGATCAAGCCATGGTAAATGACAGTCGAAGCATTTGAAAGGTTAGTGACCTTAGTTGCGGTGAGTGAAGGCGCTCTATGGATATGGTTGTTCTTACCCAAAAAGACTGGTCCTCACAAATACACTTGACTTGTTCTAACAAGTCAGCATAAAACTCTTTTCTACTCATGGTGGGATTCGTGTTGGTGACAATGTCCTTCATAATGTCAACAGAGAAAAAAAAAATTGAGAAAAAAAAGAGAGAGAGAGAGAGAGAGAGAGAGAGACGGAGCTACAATGTTTATTATAACTAAGCATTCTGTAAAGGTGTTGTACTATTTGATGTGACAACAGTGACACTATCTGTACACGAACTATCTTCCAAGAGTTGTTTGATAGGCTGTCGAGGTCGAATTTTAGCATGCATGGAAGCGCTTCTTTGCGGAAGAGAAGGTAGTGTTGATAGACTGATTTCATTATGTACTGCTGTTGCTTCTGCCATAAGATAATGAAAGTTATTTATTTCTTGATTTGCAGTCATTGACTTGTTTTCTCGGGAAGACAGTGTTCTTCTCAATGTCTGTAATCGAATTGTAGCTGTTGGATTAAGATCATACTGGACGCCTGTAGAGAAATACCGAACAGAAGAAGTAGCGCATGTTTCCTCTTCGGGTACTTGAGCAAGATCGTTTATATATAATAATTCTTGTATCTCTGCTGCTGTCAAATTAACAACACATAAGAGCGGAAACAGACCTCGTAGACCAGAGCCTAGGTTATCACCTATTGTATGTGTAAGTATTATTTTTTTATTTCAACATGACTTTACCTAAACCCCAACCATCGTCAAAATAACAATACATACGGATAATATCGTTTTGTATTAATTCAAGTTCATCTGGCTTTTGTGGTGCTTCTCTTGAATGGTTCACTCGGACAAACTGCTGTCCTAAAGAGTCTACTTTAAAGACATGTTCCTTAACCCCTTCTACTTCATAGTCAATAGGAATATCTGGTGAAATTTCTGTATAATCTTCATCTTCTATAGGATATACATGTCTTGTGTTTTCTATCCATGTTTCTTCTGCTAACAATACTTGTTCTGTAGGTAATGAGGGTATCATTGTTGTTGTTGTTCTTCTTCTTATAGGTGTTAATTCTAATGAGGGTTCAGGTTCTAAATATTCTTTGGATACTTTAAATGCCTCCTTTGGATGAGTGGATCGTCTCTTTGTCTTTTGTCGTTTTCGAATGACACAGAAGAGGATAAAGGCGCCTAATATCAACCCACCTACACTGCCAAGGACAATGGCTATCACAGGAACAGTCGAGTCTGATTTGATACAGTGCTGCTCTTGACAGCAAGGAAGCATAGGATCCTGTGTGTTACAGTAATAACATAAAGCATCCTTATTATCACCAAAACCTAGATGACTGTCAATAGACAACACACATATATATAGGTAATAGGGAAGCCTACCACATAAATCAGGCTCAAAGTCAGATCCTGAGATACACCCACTTGGGCTAAGGCGACTCATATTGTCATTCGACCCACAGTGTTCTTCTAATTGCTCGTAATTTTTACTGAATATCTCCTGACTGCAGTCGTCTTCTAAAAGGGCTGAATTGACAATAGACTGTACAGAATCACTGAATAATTCACAAGTTGAACGACATAATGGGAGCATGGTTCTATTTTGTTGAGGAGAATGGCATATCTGTTGAGCATGAAACACAATGGTCGCACAGGTTACTGTGATAGCATAACGAGCTCTGTGTTCTATACTGGATTGACAGCCAAATTCGATATGCCAAAAGGCAGGTGAATCAATATAGCTCATCAATTGTTGATCAAAACTGGCTATAGAGGATACATTCGTAAGCCATGGAAATGCAACTAAATCAGGGTCTTGTATACTAATATAGGCTGAATGATACATTCGACAGACATGTGATTCACTGAGTGAAAGGCATTGTTGTTCACCCAAGACAAGTGTATGAAAAAAGAGAAGCAATAGACTTTGCTTCAAGTAATGCCTCATTCGAAAAGTAAAAGCAATAAAAAAGAAAAAGAAAAGAAAAAGAAGAGAAAAGACACTCTCTTTCTATAACATGCTTAGCAGGGAAGAAGGAGAAAGAGAGAGAATATGAAAACTCGTTTGGTTTTCATTTCTTCTTACAAAGAAAATCCCTACTAAGCCTCTTTTGAAGGAGGATTTCATTGTGAAAAACCCCTCCCTCTTCCTCCCTTCCCCTCAGTTGACTTTTGAAATAAGAAAAAGTAAACAGCTCGATTTTTATTATCTCTGTCCCTCTTACAACTCACGAATAGACAACAGCAATAGATAATTGTACCTTGCATTTTTATTAAATCAATAAAAACTACACACAACGACAAGAGACATGCTCTTATGAATTTATTGTTGGTAAGAGAAGACGTTCTTCAAGTCTATAAAGGTGGTCAATAAGATACATACAATACTTTTTGAAATACTTACAGCCATCTTCTTGGGAGAGACGGTTAAGGGCATCGTCAGATTCAGCTTCCTTACGGAGGAAACCACAGAAAGCATAGGTGGAGAAGGTGTTTTGGGCACGACCTTCAGCATCAACATCAGCAATGTTGATTTGGACAGAGGCGTGGTCCTTGGCAGTGATAAGACGGTTGGTGGCAGAGCTAAAGAACAAGTAAATATCGTATTGTTTTTGTCGAGAGCAATATTTACCACTTGCGAGGAATGTAAAGATCGATGACTTGGCCTTCAGAGTTCTCCATTGTGTATTTGTGTAAAAGGAAAGAGGAAGAAACCAGAGCTTGTTTGCAGCAAATTTTTTTTTATTGATACTAAGCCACAAAAAAATATTGTGGGCAGTCTCAACTGTCTTTTAAAACACAAATAGGCCAATCACACACCATGGTTGGTTGAATAAATTTTTCCTAAAGGTTGCTCTTAGAAGACAGCCTTTAGTCATAAAGAGCAGTGCATCTTCAAGCTAAAGTCATAGAATAACAATATAGATGTAAGGCAACTATTGCTTTAATTTTTCGATTGTCTTTTGTTTCATTTAACTGTTTGTGAATATATGAAATCAAACGAAGATTAGTGCGTCTTATAGCCTTATTGGTTGGTCTTTTAGACACCACTTGACTCAATAAACCCAATTGCTATCGTCTGCAACTATCGAAATTCTCTTTCTATAGTACAATGGATCAAAAATGTGTGCCATTGGTCTGATAGCGAATTGTCTTACGACCTCGGTCTGAGATCTAAATTTCAATGACTTGGCTTCGCCTTTTGATTTCAAGGAAGATACCATATTTGATCAATACTCGCTGAGGAACTGAATCTGGCTGAAAGGTGACAAACTTTTTTTAATAAGTGAAGGAATTGAAAGCTTATACTTCACTAATTCAGCTCAACTGTAAGAGACTTGAGTGTCATCCTTGTACTAACAAAGCCTTTGATTTGTGGTGGTAGATAAGGACCATGGTTTAACTATTGTTACTTTTTCTTGTGCTGTCTCATCAGTTGATAGTGATGCCTGTAGTTTTATAAGTTTCTTTTTGGCTAAAAAGCAATTTAGCAAACTTTTATTTGATAGTATACGCTTTCACATCAATAATGCAGCACGAAAACGAGATTTTAAAGCAATAGAATATTAAAAACAGAGGGACTTATTCAGCATTTACATTCAATTCAACTTCACCATCTGTTTCTTCAGGAAGAAGCAGGCCGTAACCACTAGCTTTTATGAGCTTCATTATTTCTCTTTCAACATATGAACAGAGGCTGTCTCTCTTGTTAGGTTCGCCTATGAGTACATAGCTGATCCAGCCATTATCTGAGATGAGTCGGCCAGGAAGAAAACCAGTTTGATATGGATTTAGCCATTAGCTTAGTGAAAATCTTTGCATCCACGTTTATCAGTGATAAAGGTCGCCAATTCTTCATTAAAGTAGGATCTCCTTATTTGAATAGCAATATCAGTCCTGTATGTTGCCAAGAGGATGGAAAAGATCGATGAACGGCATCCTGTATGATAGCCAATAGAAGATATTTGTACACTTTGAATGGTAGACCATTTAATCCTGGGTTTTTAGACATAGGACTGTGTCTGATAATAGTCACCAGCTCGCCTATCGTTGGTGGCTCCATGAGTAACTCTTGGTCAATGGCAGAAAGAGTACTGTCGCTGGGAGTAGATTGAACCAGTGAGTAACTGCATTGTAGTCTATTGGGTTCAGCGTATACAAGAAGGAATAGAAGTGATGAGCCTCTTGTAGTGTATCCTCGATGTCGTCAACTATTGCACCACTATCGGATTTTTGTAGACATGTAATTGCTTGCTTTGTTTGGCGAAACTTGAAAACTCGAAAGAAGCCCTTACTGCTTCGTTTTCCTTATGTATGCCCCGGGGTGAATGTTTGCAGACAATATTAGACAGCTTCCGTATAGTGTTTGTTGAGTAGTAGAGTTGTATTGAAGCGACAAGGTCCTGGGCCAATGGATGATTTGGACGTCAATAGATTGACAGCCAAAAGACTATGGCCAGTCCAAGCATAAGGGAGGTAGTGAAGTTGCGAATGAGTGATTTTTAGATAAATTAAGCTTTTCATCAAAGAAGCCTTCGCATGCGACCTTTTTGATCTGGTAAACTGTGCCATAATGCCTAAGCGCTTCTTGTAGCCCTGTCAACAATTCCTTACGTGTAGGGATATGAAGCAGAATGAGAGCGACATGCACAAAGCTCTTGGCCGTACTTTCCCTGGTAGGAGTGCCCAAAAACGTACGTTCTCTAATGGTGATCCCAGTCATTGTAGACTTCGAACAACACACCCTGTTTGTTTAGATGAAATCCTTCAAAACAAAGCCTGCAGCAAGTGATTGACTAGCAATACTAGCTGCTTTGCGATTCAACATCTCGGATTTGAAACTATGCGGTTTGATGATGACTTCAGATATGTACTTGATCGCGTTGTTTTGGGAGCTGATCCTCGGTATATGAGGAATGAGCAGTCTGTTACCGATCTCGGCTACTTTAATCCAAAGTATTTCACCAAAGGCTTTTATAATCGGATAAGACAAAGAAGATGTGTTTATTATTATTAGTTATGAATATGCGAATGAAATGTGACTGGAGATAGACATCTTGCATGTTGCAAAACAGTCCTACTTCCTTATTTACACTTTTGTATCTGACTCAAAATATAAGGTAAGCCAAACCAAGTTCATTTTGCAAATCAAACTCTGTCTGATGTTCTTCTTTTGTCTTTCTGCCTTTTCTTTTTGTAAGTAACAAGGGAGCCAGTGTATATACAGAAAAAAGAAATCTAGTACTACTTTGTTAATAGCAAGTTGGCTGAAATTCAATAATTAAACACAGGATTTCTTCTTTTTTTCTTTTTCTATTCAACAAGATGGTAAGCAAACAAAACAAAAAGACACGTCTTGTTCATCTTGTCTTTTATAGAGTGACCAGTTTGATTGTGCTTTAGATTTGATGCGTCGTTTGCCACCTCAAAATGTAGAGGAAAACTTGGCTAAACTATTTGAGTTGGTACACCCAGACTTGGCAGATGAACTCTTGTCTGCTATTGACCAACCTCTTAAAGTAAAGCGTTGCTCAAAGACAGGTCGGGACTATCTTGTATGTGACTATAATCGAGACGGCGACTCTTATAGGTAATAAAGTGTATCCAAACATCTATGTATTTACGTAACATAGATCCCCTTGGAGTAACGAATATGAGCCTGAGTTACCTGATGGTGCTATTCCTTCCCCTACGCTTCGTAAACTTGAAATAGCAGCCAATGAAGCATTTGATACCTATCGCGAAATGTATTATGAAGGCGGTGTTTCATCTGTTTATGCATTTGAAATTGATGATAAATTTGCTGTGGTTGTGTTAATTAAAAAAGGTAAAATTACAGCTTTATTTTCTGTGTTGACTGACAATGCATACCAAAGTGAGCGATGGTGCTAGACGTATGAAGGGAGCATGGGATTCTATCCATGTCTTCGAAGTGCAAGAGCGTGGTCGTAATGCACAATATAAGCTTACTTCTACTGTCATGCTCTACATGATTACAAATAACCAAGGCCTTGGTAACTTGAATTTGAGTGGTAGTATGACAAGACAGATTGAACAAGATTTCCCTGTGGATGACCCTGCTGCTCATATCACCAACATTGGTCGTATGGTTGAAGACATGGAACTAAAGATGCGTAATTCATTACAAGAAGTCTACTTTGGTAAAACAAAGGATATTGTCAATGATCTTCGAAGCCTTGGTTCATTGGAAGAAACCAAGAAACAAGCAAAGATTCAACAGGAACTTGTGGATCGTTTAATGGACAGACCGAGAAATGGCATTTAAAGTAAACCCCGTAGCAATCTCTGGTTGGGTGTGCAACTCATAAATTATTTAAACTCCATTTATAAATCAGAAAACGCGCCTTTTCTCCTTTTTTTCTTCTTTTCTTCTTGTTTATTCTCTAAAGATGCGCTCTGTTTTCCTAGTGCTGTCCAGTGTGCTTGCAGCATGTACAGCCGTACTTGCTCAAGGAACTGCTTCTATGCGAACACACTCTATTTCCATGCCTTACATTGGTATATATATCAGCTTCATTTTATCTTTCTTTGCATTAATATGTATTAGATGATGAACTCCAGAATAGATGGTTTGATTTTGGTGGTAATACAATCATTAATACCAATCACCAAATTCGTTTAACTTCAACAAAGCAATCTCAACTTGGTTATTTGTGGTCTCGCTTGGTAGGCATAACACCATAGACTGTAAACATGTATCTGATGCTTTTTGATAGCCTTTGATTGGTGATCATTTCCAAATTGAATTCGAGTACAAAGTAGATGGTAGTTCTGGACACCTTTATGGTGACGGTTTTGCTAGTAAGTACAAACGATTTTTGTCGCATTCTCTAATGTTCTGCACTAGTGTGGCTCACCAAACAAAGAATGACAGAAGGTCCTGTTTTCGGTGCTGCTGATCATTTCCAAGGTCTCGGTATCTTTTTTGACACTTATGATAATGAAAGAGCTCATGTAAGCTCGGTACCATGTGATATAGAGATCTGTACTTATCTTCTTTATAGCGCCATACTTTCCCCTATGTCATGGCTATGCTCGGTGATGGTATGAAGTCTTACAACAATGACAAAGATGGTAGTGATACTGAACTTGCTGGTTGTGAGGTAAATATGAACAAGACTATCCTTCATGACAACTCATAATAAACATAGGCTGATTTCAGAGGCAAAGGATTCCCTACCCGTGCTCGTTTCACTTATCACAAGAACAACTTTATTACATTGGAATTAATGTGGCGTCAAGATGATCAATGGGACTTGTGCTTCAAGAAGCACGGTGTTGCTCTTCCTGAACAAATTTACCTCGGTTTCAGTGCTCACACTGGTGAAGTAACAGACAACCATGACATTATTTCAGTGACCACCAAGTCAATTCCTCCTGCTGTCTTGGAAAGTGCTCCCCAACCTCCTCGTCCTGCCAAATCATCTAGTTCTGGTGGTATCCTTTCTGTCATGTTCAAGATGTTCTTGGCTGCTGGTCTCGTAGGTGTCCTTTTCGTTGGTTACCGTTTCTATGACCAAAAGAATAGAATGAAGCGATTCTAAATCAGATAATTCTAACCAATCATATCCAACACAGTGTATAAATATATTTTTTTCTCTTTATTATTGAGATTATCGTGGCACATAGAGTTCAGCAGGTGCAGAAGCAGTATGTGTAGGGACTGGAGGATAGTAGTGTTGTTGTTGCAATAGGGTTGGGTTCATAAGTATAAGGTGTTCTAGTTTTGCTATAAAAGGTAATGAAGGAGATCCTGATGCTGCTTCATACTGTAATTCATGAATTGATACTGGCTGTGTAGTTGGTGTATAGGATCTGCCTAACCTTTGGTTTAATGCCATGGCATATCGAATTAAGTATTCTGCTTGTGCATAAGTTTCAATCGCTTTCGCACTTCGTCTCTCTCGAAGTAGGCTCACTGTTCTTTCCACTGATTTACACAATAAGTTTTCTAATAACCAACATCCTGCAAACAGGCCTGCCCTTCCTACACCTGGATAAGCCAGTTAATATTAAAATCACAAACATTCTTGTCCATACCTCCTCTGCAATGCGCCAAGACATGATGTCCCTGACTGATTTCTACATTGACTTTTTTCACCACATTATGGACTTCAGATAAGGTTTTTGGACAGCCACCTTCAAGCATAGGCAATCTAAGTATCTTGAAATCATGGGTTTTGGCTGTTCGTTCATAGTCTGGCCATGGAGCACCTAATAATTCCAATTCCTTGTCGTCTAGGCAACTACAGATAGCAATAAATACACATAAATACAACACATTTATTTTTACCAGACAACCATGGTGATACCAAAGCTTTTCATTCGTTTAAAATCAAGATCCAAATCTCGATTGATCGCTGCTCTACCTCGAATAGGTCCGGTCAGCCTCACTTTCTTGCCTGGACAAGAACTTAGGCAAAGATTGCCTCTTAATTTCTGACCTTGTACTTGTTGTTGTATACATTTGATATAATCTTCTCTGACAATAGGATCCAGGAAATCAAGCAAATCAAGATCGTTCGGAAAATTAGATACTGACAAAAACCCAAGTACGTCTGAAGGAATAATCCAGCTTATACTAAGCATTGTTACCATCAACAGCATATGTATTCATTAGCTTACTTGATAGGGTGAGTGATAGACGTCTTGGGTTCTTTGGCTGGCAAACAAATAGGTATATATTGCTTTGTAGGCTCTTTGGTATAGACAGTAGGTTGTTGTGACATGTTTAAAGAAGAGAAAAGTAAAAAGGAACAGTTCATTGTCTTTTTTTATAACAATCATGAAAAAACAATAGTCACAATAAGATTCATGCAAGTTTATTGGTTCGATTGCAATGACGAATGATGTTCTTTAAGGGCATAAGCAGCTTCATTTGCTTTTTCTACTAACTGTTTTGGATTATTGACTAGAAAAATAAGCTCTGCTTTGTCTGAATCGAGCAACTTGCCAGTCAATTTACCTGCTTCTCGAGGAAATATCTCTGATCTAATCAAAAAAGGGGAGGGAATGAGAAATGAGGCTGAAAAGAGAGTCATTTACATATTGGCATAAATACGTTCGCCCAACATTTGACGCTGTGTTTCAGGTGTGAATGATTCTAAAGTAGCCAATGTCATCTGGTTTGATTTGATAGGCTCAGCCTTGGGTGTCATTTGTGCTTCAAGTAAAGTACGTCTGTCTTCTTTACGCTGTGCTAAAGCAACATAGATTTCCTTGTTCAATAGCTTGTGTCCATTCATCTTGATCACTGCTTCAGTGGCTTCCTCTGGCAAAGTAAAGCAGACAAACCCAAATCCTTTAGAGAGACCGGTTCTTTCGTCCCGCATTACTTTGGCACTCGTGATTTGTCCAAATACAGAAAACTCTTTGCGCAACAGATCGTCATCTACTTGATCCGATAAATTCTTGACGTATAAATTAATGCCTTGGTATTTAGTGGACTTTTCTATACGAGGTTGGTACTCATAATGGCGTCTTAATTCGTCTTCTCGTTCTGCTTTCTTTTGTGCTCGAGACACAAATAGTTTTTTGCCGTGAAATTCTTGATCGTGCAATTGATTGACAGCTTGTTCAGCATACTCGGGCTGTTCGAAATTGACAAACCCAAATCCTTTGGAATGCTGTTGATCATCACGCTGAATTAAAAGAGAAGAAACTCGGCCAAAGGGTGCAAATAAGTCACGTAATTCATCTTCTGTGACATCCAATGCAATGTTCTTTACATAAATATTCGTGAACCGCTGTTGCTGTTGTTGTTGTTGTTGTTGCTGCTGCTGTTGTTGTTGTTGTTGTTGCTTGGATGGATCCTCGGCTGATTCTCTTTCTGATTTAGGTATTTGGTGGCTTGCTTGTCTAAAGTTACTTAACAATAGGATGTACAATACAAAAGCTTACATTTCTCTGCCAAACAAAATAGCACCATGCACAGTCTGAATGGCTCTTTCAGCTGCATTGACTGTGTCATAATTTACATAGCCATAGGCTCGAGTAGCATTTGGATTTTTGATCATTCGACAAGAGATCACATTACCCCATTGAGAGAAAGTATCATAGAGTGCTTTGTCGTCAACAGAGGGTGGTAGATTCTTGACAATGATATTACCACAACCCACAGTTGCTCTCTTGGTTGGATCACGCTCAGGAGCCATGAGACGACAAGGCTTACCCAAAATCAAAGAATAATTCATTGTTTTCAGTGTATGGATGCCTTTTAAAGAAAAAATTAAAAAAAATAGAGAGAGTTCAACTTACAGTCTTCTGAACGATAGAAATTGATATAAGCATAACCCAAACTTTGTTGAGAGACACGATCACGACATACATGGACACTCTTAGCGTTTTTGAAGTGTTGCTTTAATACAGCGTCATCAGCCTCAGGAGCAAGTTCACCCACATAAAGTGTGGATTCAACGCGATCGGTAGAGAAACGTTGAGATGATTCTTTTAGAGACTGTGTGGCTGCTCGAGACTGTATTTCAGCAATCCGTTTTTGTTGTTCAACAGATAAACCGCCAGTACCTAGAGACTCTGTAGTCATACTCAGAAAAGAAAAAGAGGAAAGTACAAGAATACCATCATGAAATTCCGACGACTTTTGTGTACAATTGCAACTCCTTCGAGAAGTCATCTAGAGCTATTTCTTTTCTTGATCCATGTATTATTCTACAAGTGAGAAAGTTGAACACAATTGATTCTTTGCTATGAATTTCATTATCTAAATTGCTCTACTCAAAAAGCAAGCTTAAAAAATTCTCAGTATGAACCTCCCCTCTCTTTCTCTCTCTGTTCAATTACATGACCTTCTAAATTTGGTTTCTTTATACTTTTTAAGTCTATTGTAGCTACAAATAGTCTTATATCAAGCTCCAAGTCATGTCTGGACACTTTATTGTGATGAAAAGGATTGTATGGACTGCTATG